CCCTAACCCTAACCCTAACCCTAACCCTAACCCTAACCCTAACCCTAACCCTAACCCTAACCCTAACCCTAACCCTAACCCTAACCCTTGTAACCCTGGCCGTGTCCTGTATTGCCCCTGCTGATCACTTGCAAAGCTTCCTGGAGTGATCCTTGATAGCGGCTATCCGTCCCTTGAGAAGCTAGCTCAAGTTTGGCCCAAGCCAGGCTTGCATTGCCAAAGTTGTGAATTTGGCAATGACCCATGCCTCTTGAGCAAACCCATAACAATTTGTAGCCAGTCACAAAGCAGTCCTTGTTGGAATCCCAGCAAACGCCTTTGTCTGAGTCCTCTTTGTTAACCAGACAAATCTCCTCCACAGCTATGATCCTGTTGGAGTTGTCTTCCTCTTCTTTGTTGTTGGCGTAGGTGATGCCGCAGATCATTGGGTAGCTGTTCTTCCCCTTGGTTGGCGGTTCAGGGAAGTCAATGGCGCCAAGATGATGCAACAAATTGAGAAGTTGGTAGACTTTTTGGGTGTAGATCCAGTCCTGCTCCCTTTTGTTGATCTGGGTTCTTGATCACGCCAACTGCCTCCCCAATCACATCTTTGAGGACCTTCTGCTTGCTCGGAGATTTGGCGTTGGCAGCTGAACCTTGCCTGGTCTTCTTCTTTGGCGTTACAGCTGCCAGACTGCTGTTGTTGGGTGCTCCTCTTTTCTCTGTCATGAGTCTGCAAGACTCAAAGCTCAATATTCATGTGCAGGACTCAAGGCTCAACAATGTTAACAACATTTTGGAGATGCACAATTTTGTCTCCAAACAAGCTCCACATCCGGTTTTGAGCTCGGCAAGCGCTTTCTTCCTTTCCTTCTCAACTTTGCCTCGCGCTCGAAGCTATTGTCGCCGATCAGCAGTCAAGATGGCGCCAAAACGCATGCCAAAGGTGACGAGTCTGCCGTCGTCGTCGTCAAACGGCGGGACCGCCTCGTCAAGCCGGGGTCGCAATGCTAACCCATTCGGACCGGTCGACCCGAACAGCTACAATGACTACGACGAAGCCATGCAAGATGGTGTCGAGCTCGAGGAGAAGGGCGAGCGCTTCCAGTTCGGTCCGAAAGCACAGCGCTTCTACATTCAGGCGGGTACGCTATATGCTCGGGCAGTCTCGCTCGCTGGCAATTTCGTCGAGAGGAGAGCCGATGCGCTCTACAACGCCTCGAGGATACACTTTTTGCTTGCTACGCAGTTCGCTTTGCCGCCAGAGAACCTGAAGTCGTTGGTCGAAGCCATCACGTCGTCGCAAGAAGCCACGGGGCTAGCGCCACCACTTCCCGTCGACGGCTCGTTGCCGAATCCGTTCAAGCTAGACACGATGACGCAGCTCGCAACATCGACGCAGACTCTCGCCGAGGCGGTTCAGGAGCTGGGCTGGCCACAGGGACTGGAATCCTCACGTTCGATCGCACAGGGACCGCAGGGCTCAATATCATCGACATTGCTGTGGCAGCAGGCGATGACGATCTTCCAACAGGTAGCAGACGGGCAGCACGTCATTCTTCAAGATCAAAAGACCACAGAGAACGCCGCCGAGCCGCCGGTCGAGTCGTCAACAGAGGCAGCGGGCACGGACGCGGACGAAGACGACATGCAGAGCGTCAACGGCGGAGACGATGTATACGGCTACACTTCATCGCTGGTCACACCTGCATCGCTGATGGAGACGCTCCTGTCATTGCTGGCGTGTTTGACGTCGATGATCGAAGCCGCTTCTGCGGCGGGCGATGTATTGACTTTCAACACCGCCGTGGACCAGGTAGTCGCAAGAGCGCAGGCGGTGGTCACTGATGCCGGCTCAACAGCCTCTCTTCCATCAACGAGCAACGACGCTGCGCAAGCATCGTCGGAGGTCGCAGCGAGATGGCAAGAAGTCGAGCGGTCTGCTTTCTTAGCACGCGTGGCCAGCCTCAGCAAGGCATTCGAACTGGGCTCGACACCTTCGCAGATAAGCAGCGAAGTGGAATCTACAATGCAGCTGGCCAACGATTGGTCCTCCCGGCTGATCGCGTCGCCCTCCGCCACCAAGCCGAGCAGCGGTCGAAAGGACGCAGAAGTGGCTACGCTCTGCGACGTTGGCGAGGCTTGCCAGAATCTGTGTCGCCTCTCGCTCCGCCTCGAACCAGCCGAGGCAGGCGTCGCCGCTATCTGGGCGCTCGCCACTTCGAGCAGTAAACTCTTCTCACAAGCCCTCGCCGCTCTCGACACCTCTGCTGCAGGCGGTGGCTCCGTAGCCGTACTCGGCCAGGCCAACACCTCGACGCCCACATCTCGCGCCCGATGTCGGATTCTGCTAGCACTCTCCAGCCTGTCGATCTTCCGCTCGCACCCAGGTTTCGAGGCTGCAGGTATTGCGGGGGCGAAAGGTACTCGAGGCAAGCTCGTCGACAATGCGAGGCTGTACGCTCGCAAGGCCGTGACAGAGATTGGACTTGGGTGGATTCTTCGACCTGCTCCGGCGAGCGCATCGAGATCAGCGGCGCTCCCTCCACCCGGTGGCTGGGAGAGCCTGTCGCTCGAGGCAGAGGCTGTATTCCATCTGCTCCGCGCATTGCTGGTCCGGGCAAATGTCTGTGCCGCGACTGCGGACGCCAAAGCGAGCGCTGAGATGGCGACCGAACTGCACAGCCTGGTTCAGCACATCAAGCAGCTACGACAAAGACCAATTCAAATCGGAGCGACGGCCGGCACCACGTCGGCGCAGCTCGCAGATTGGCTATTCGCACAGGGAGCCAAATCGTTCGTTGATGGCGTCGTCGATGACAACGGGCGCAACATCGTTCAGGAGGAGATTGCGTGGTGGGAGAAGCTGTTCTCAGATCAGCTTGCCTCGTGAATGCGAACAAAATCTGACCAGTCAAGCGAAGCGAGGCGTCCGAGACGAGTGAACAGTGAGAAAGGAAATTGGCCGTGAAGTGCTGGTGGTACATGAGTGCGAGAACAAAGAAGGAAAGGCGAAGATGAAATCAGGTGAAGAGCTTGTTGACCGAGGTCTCGGACGAGGCCTGGGCGCGGAGGACCTTTGCAATGGCGAGCTCGAAGTCTTCGTGCGAGACGTGTTGACGACGCTCTCTCAACGCGTACATGCCGGCTTCGGTGCAGATACCTCGCACCTCGGCACCCGAACATTGGCCCATCTTTTCGGCCAGCGCACGGAGGTTGATGCCTCGTTGCAACGACATCTTTCGGCTGTGGATGCGGAGGATCGAGACACGAGCCTCGGGGCCCGGAGGAGGGAATTCGATCTTGCGGTCGATACGACCAGGACGCAGGAGAGCCGAGTCGAGGATGTCAATACGGTTGGTGGCCATGATGACCTTGATGTTCTTGGTGCCCTCGAAACCGTCGAGCTGGTTGAGAAGCTCGAGCATGGTACGCTGCACCTCCGAGTCACCACCGCCGGAACCACTCTCGCCACGGGACGAACCAATGCTGTCGATCTCGTCCATGAAGATGATGGAAGGCGCGTGCTCTCGCGCCATGACGAAGAGCTCTCGGACCATACGCGAGCCTTCGCCGATGTACTTTTGCACGAGTTCGGAACCAGAGACACGAATGAAGCGACAGTCGGTGTGGTGGGCTACCGCTCGCGCAAGCAGCGTCTTGCCGGTACCAGGAGGACCGTAGAGCAGAACACCCTTGGGCTGCGCGATACCAAGCGATTCGAAGAGCTCTGGGTGCTTGACGGGCAGCTCAATAACCTCTTTGATCTCCTTAATCTGACGGTCAAGACCACCGACCATCTCGTAGGTGGAATCTGGAACCTTCTCGACCATCATAAGCGAGACAAGAGGGTCGATCTTGTTGGGGAGCACTTTGTGAAGGGTGTAGGAATCGGAGCGGAGGGCAACGCGCAGTGTCGGTGTGAGGGTGGAGATGTCGATGTCGGAGGCGATGTCGACCACATACTTGCCCTCAGGCTGTACCTTGACGAGCACCTTCTTCTTGCCCATCACCTTGACAACCTCGCCGACGTACGAGCCTGGCTCCTGAAGAAGCTGGAGCTCCTCGCGAAGAAGTCGGACACGGGCATTGAGAGCATTTCTTTGCGCTTCGAGACGACGCAGGTTCTGAGTCTTTTGGTTGATGAGGATCTCGTACGATCGAATCTTGGACTGGTAGAAGGACTGGATGCCGAGAGCATTTGCGGAAGCTGCGGCGCCTCCAATGTTGGCGAGCGAAGCGCCTGATGCGTGGCCGGTTGCCGACTCGGCCGCGTGTGTTGTGACTGCTGCAGACATGATGGGTCGCCGTTGGCTGGATGAAGCGGGGAATGTCTTTCGTAGTGTCGATGAGCTGACTCCTTTGAAGCCGTCTCCTAAGCGACTCTAGATGGGACGAATTGAAATGCGTACGACGGAACGGTAGCTGGTGTCGAAGGTCGAGGACGAAGCTGCTGTCGATTTCAGCGCTAGCGCTACTCCGAGTGAGCTGTTGATGGATGACGGATGCTGAGAAGCGAGGTGAGAGCGAGAGCTTGGATCTGATGATGACGGTGAGGAGATGGTGTCTGAGATTGAGGCCTATGCTCTGTGTTGCTCCACTTCGCAGTCGACGCGCCACCTCAAGGAGCCAAAGCGAGGGTTCGATCACCTTTATTTTCGCCGAAGCCTAGCCAGGTCTCGGTGTAACACGGCGCAGAATTGTTTAGCGGTCGCCACATCTGCTAGATCGACTCAGCTCCCGATCTTCAACCTTGGCGACAAGTCCTGGATGAACATGTCACGCTTCGTGGAGCGTCTTGCGCAACTGTGTTCAGCCCATAATTCACTGTCAGTCGTAGCTACTGAGTTGTCGCAGTCCATAGAGGGATCTGTCGACCTGCTTGACTCGAGGCTGAGCAGCCAATGGAAGAGCTCGCAAATGTCAGGGCAAAGCGGTGTCGAGGGTTTTGCCGGACTTAGAGAAAAACCCGGCAGCAGAGCGCTTTGCGACAGGCGGGTGATTTGGACTCAGTCAGCTCAGCACAAATTTCCAAAGGTGGAGCATCCGACAGCCACCGACACGCCCGACCTGAAGGATCGGCGTCATTTTGCGATTCCGCCTGAAACAACACCGGAGAATCTCCTCTTCACCTTCAACTATCATCACCACCCTTCTCAACCACATTCGCTCTTATATTCACCTTGCGCACGCTCGCTTGCCAATCAAGCAGCCTGCATCACCCACGAGCATGTCTATACAAGCCGCCTCGTCATCGTCGATGGTCGCGGCATCGCGGAATGTGGCGATGCTACCATTCTTATACCCTGCCGCTGCGAGAGGTAGCGCCTTGTCTATCTCCGCTCGCGCACTGCCACCTCGTCAGCTAGCGTCCACCGGCACCAGCGTATCGCTGCGAGCGTCGTCTTCGCGTCAGGTCATCGACTCAAGGCCAACGGCCTCTCGTCCAAGATGGCTGTCCACATCGACTCACCGTCTGTCTCCGACATCCTCATCCAAAGCGCAGTCTCAGACGCCTTCCTCTAGCACGTCCACATCTTCCTCCGCCTCTTTTAACCCGGCATTTGCTCCGAAGTCTAGCAATGTCAGTCGCTCAGACTCGACCGAAACCGCAAGCGTGGACCCAGCGTGTGCGACACTGTCGCCGTCTTCACCAGCTTCGCCAAAGTCGCAGAAGGATCCTCGAGTAGCGGCAGTGTCCACCGGCAACGAGTCCGCACCAACTCCATCACCTGCTACACCCGCACCAAGTGCTGCTGATCCAGCACCATCGTCCAATCTCACTCCCTCGCAAGCAGCAGAGCTGGCTCAAGATCCCAAGGTAGCCGCCACCATGCCCGAAGCATCTTCCAACACCACTCCTGCACCCAAAAAGACCACTTCGGATCGAGGCACCAAGTTCCGCTCGCGCACGGCTGCGCTCAAGCTGACGCCCACCGCAGTACTCCGTCTGCGAGCATTGATGGAATCCGACTCAGGCCCGAAGCTCATCCGCGTCGGCGTTCGCAACAAGGGATGTGCGGGTATGAGCTACCACCTCGAGTACATTTCGCCCAAGGAAGCCGGTCGCTTCGACGAGAGGGTCAAGCAAGACGGTGTCGAGGTGTTGATCGACAGCAAGGCGCTCTTCAGCATCATCGGCAGCGAGATGGATTGGCAGGAGGACCGACTCAGCGCCAAGTTTGTCTTCAACAACCCGAACGTCAAGGAGGCGTGCGGCTGCGGAGAGTCGTTCCTTACATAAAGAGCGCAGGCCCTCAAAGCAGTGGTCGGGTTTAATCGTCAAGTTGGTATCCCCACTCACCTTCTCTATTCAGGACATTTCTTTGGTCATACTTGCTGTGGTTGTGTATGGAAAGATGAGTTGCGTGTGAGTGTGTCTAGAGTACAATATGGTGTGAAACTTGAATCGGAACAGAGCCTCCAGCGACAGGCCCTCCGACATCATGGCGAGGGTTGAGTCGGCTCTTCCTTTTGCTCCTCTTCGACCTTGTTTTCGGCTTTGTCCTTTTCGCCTTCGCTTGATTCGACGACGGTCTCGGGCTGCTCTGATTCGAGCTTCTCCAATTGTGCTCCCGTAGCCGCCGCATCGACAGCTCGAGAGGTCAGCAGACCGAGATCAAACTTCTTCGGGACCACTCCGAGTCGCCTAAACACGTTGGCCATCTTGGCTTCCGACGTGGAGAGGGCTTTCTTCGGAGCGGCTGGTGCACCTTCGCTTTGGGCGTCAGAGGGCAACGGCGTGTCATGTGGCAAGCCGCGAAGCAATGTGACCACCTTGCCGGTCGTAGGCGCGTCCGGATCGCCGCCGATACGTGCCACTCGCCCGGCAGAGTGGACGTACTGCACTGCATCGATGACGGAAGCGTATCCGACGAGAAACACGTGCGAGAGCGAGGGAATGTCGAGACCGCGAGAAGAAGTGGTCTGCAGCAAAAACAACTCTGGCGTGGCGGACGAAGCAGCCGAAGTCACGTCGGATGCAAGCCGAACAGTCACACCCAGCGCTTCGAGCGAGGCGCGCGTCTTGAGCAGACTCCATCGTGCCGGTATGAGCGCCAGTCCACGTTCAACTCCTTCCGAGGCAAAGCTGAAGGCGAGGGCCTCGATCAGCGTCTGGTCCATCTCGTGTTCTTGCGGTTCGTCCTCGGGCTTGATGATCATCAGATCGTCGTCGAGGCCGCTGCTTGATTCGGACCCTGTGGTGTGGATGGGACCTTCCTTCTTTCTGGCGAGCTTGGGCTCAAAGTTGCGCAGCGGCACCGATGACAGCTGCTTGGACAGCGGCGCTTCGTCTACGACGATACACGTGTGCTCGATCGAGGAGGGCATTGTGGATGGCTTTTGCTCCAGCGACGTTTCGATCAACGACTCGGCTCGAGAGCGTTCTTTCGCTCCGAACAGCCCTCGAATGCCTTGATCGACCATGCTCTTGCCGCTGAGGCCGGTGAGATCGATCCATCGACCAACTTGCAGAGCAAACGTCATGCCGCCGTCCTTAGCTCCGGTTCGTAGCCAGCCCGTCCGAGCTCCAAAGAAGTGGCGCATCACCGAGTTCGCTGTAGCACTGGTCGCCACTAGCTGCAAGGGATGAACGCCGGGCCCCCGTGGTTTCGGAAGCGTCAGTCCAGTGTTTGGGTCGGTAGCGTTGGCTGACGAGCGTTCAGCAGCTTGGTAGACGTTTCGACGAACATGCTCCGGTGGCCTGCGCTCGTCTCTCTTCTTGCCTGGCCTGTTCTCCAAGCCAGCAGAGAGATGCTTCTCACCGCCAGAGAACGTTGCCCTTCGCTTCATAATGTCGTTGAGAACAAGCAATCCGGGTGCCTTGTGAACCTCGTGCTTCCAGCGTTGCTTGTGTGATGGAAAGCGCCCTGGAAGTTGCAGCACCGCATCGGCTTCGTCCAACACCAGCGTCTTCAACGTATCAAGGCCGAGCAGCGTCGAGCCCGCAGACATGTCCAGAATGTCCTTGATGCGTCCAGGCGTGCCGATGAGGATGTGTGGCGGGGTCTTCTTGAGTCGTTTCAGCTCTTCCTCTGGTGTGAGCGCTTCGTTTCCACGGACCAGGCACTGGATGACCGGATCCAGCGAGGGCAAAGTTGATGTCGGAAACAGAGAGCGGGCCCACCGCATGTACTGATGAGCGAGCTCGTTGCTCGGCACCATGATGATGGAGGCGATACCTGTCTGTGGCTTTCTCCGCCGGCTCTGCGAGGATTCGGTGTCTTGAGGTGTGGGCTCTCGAAACACAATGCGTGGCTTGCTGAGCAGCGCCAAGAGAATACCGAATGACTTTCCTGTGCCTGTATGAGCGCGGAGGATGACATCGGTCGGAGAGAGGATCGCCGGTATAAGCGCGGACTGTGCTGGCGTTGGTTGTCGGATGTTGGGATGTGTGGCGACGATCTGGCGACTAATGTTGGCGTTCAGACCCAGTCTTTGGAACTTGTCCTGCACGCCTTTGGCATTTGGAGCCGTCTCCGACGTTGTGTCTAATGCCGGATCTTCGAGCTCCGTCGAGTCTGCCTCCGTTATCGATGCACCCCCGGTTGTCGAATAGCATCGATGCCTGTCCGTGCGTCGAATCTCGATGGGCTCCCGTAGCCTGGCGGTAGAGCTGCTCTGGCCGGTGAGCGACGATCCTTCGCGTGATGAGAAAGATTGTGAATATGATCTGTGAGAGCAGCCAGGGATCGAGTGCGTCAAGGATCGACGGCTCGAGGAGGCAGCAAGGTGACCATGAGGGGTCGCTGTACGCTTGCAGACCTGTACCTCGACATGCCTCGAGGCACTGCCTACGGCACGCAGCATCTTGAGCCCGGACCGGATCGAGTGCTATGAGTCGCTTTGCGTCCTTCGATCGAGCAGCGACAGCACTGAGTCGATGTCGTCAATGATGGTAGGATGAATGTGAGGACCAAAGAAGCTTGCAACTGAGCTTCATCAAGAAGGACCGGCAGCTGCACGAATTTTGAGAAAAAGCTTCTAGCTGGACCCTCGCAAAGAAAAAGTGGAGCTAGCTCGGATCTCGGCGCTGATCATATCGCGCCCCGATATACGTTTGTATGCTGCAGCCGACAGAGCTCTGGTGAGGCAAAGCTTCGGCACAATCACAGACACTCAGCTTTCTCTGCGAGTAGCGTGTCGGTAGCCGATCTCTAAGTGTGTCTATTGCAAGGGTATATGTGTGAGGTGCGAATCGTGTCGCGTTCTGCTATGCTTGGGAACCTTGATCAGGCATCCACTTTGGGAACCAAGGATGCTCGAAGACCCATTCTGTCAGCGCTTTGCCTTTTGAGCCTTTCAATGGGGCTCGGTCGTCACTTGCACCGTTCTTCAAGGATTCCGAGTCTGCCACTTGCTCCAGCACCTCTCGATTGTGGTGCGCTGTTGTGAAAAGAGATGCGACAAAGTCGTTGAAGCCCTGCTCTCCGAGATTGGAACCTTTCTCTTCGGTCAAGGTACCTGCAAGATGTTGCAGATGCAAAATGGCTTCATCCAGCCTTTCTTTCGCAACCATCAGCAGCTTCAGCGGGGCCGTGGCATGCAGCTCGGAGCTGAAACTGAGATAGTCTTGCCAGAGCGTTTCGCAGGGATCGTCCTGGTCCGAAGCCTCTCGATCGTTGGCTCGGGCAGCATTCGTGCGCATCCACTTGGTCCGACTCGCAAACACGGCTGCTGCGAGCTCGAGACCATCTGGGTCTTCCTTACGGCTTGATGACCATTGAACGGGCTGATCATTCTTCTTGCCGTTCGTGAGACCGCCCTGCTGGACGGAAAGTTGCATTAGGAAAGTCGTTCCAATGGACAGCTGCTCCAACGCCTGCGCGAGAAGGATCTGACGCGATAGATACAGAATCGTCGAGGAGGATCCTCGAGGTCTCTTGTCCGGTGCAGCCTGTTCGAGCCAGCTGGAGAGCTCGTCTCGAAGATCGGTGCAGACCATCTTCTGCTCGACTTGAATGCGACTGGCAAGCCACCACATGCTCTCGCTGTCCGTGCCGCTGCTGTATAGGTCGAGTTCAAAGCCGGAAAGCGTAATCTGCGTCATAATCTCGAGCGATACGTGCTGCGTGGCCGCAAAGAGCGAGTCGGGGATGTATCGCTCGCCTGGCGCGAGGCATTCCTCAAGACGACGTCCGATGTCGCTGGCTTCCTCCGAGATGTTGACCCACTCGCGATACAGCCTCGAGGCCAGCGTGCGCTTGCATCGCGATCGATTCTGTGAAAGTGTCGTCAGATACTGAACAAGCTGACCGGAGATCCTCTGTTGAAAGTAGTGGATACGCTGGCCAAGCGGAGGAGGCGCGTTCCACATGGTCTGCGAGCCGCCCTCGACACTGTTGCGACCGATCCTCGAGGCACGGCGTAGAAGGAGTGGATCGATGAGTGCAATCTCTTGAAAGAAGGCTTCGGCAATCCATTCGAGGGGAAGACGACTGGCAATCATGTTACGGTCGCAAATTGCAGTCTGCATCAACGACCGCACATAGGGAGTCGCAGACAGCGGCTGTGATGACTGGTAGTCGATGGCGCGGTGGGTGAAGAAGATCTTCCAAGAAAGGAAACCAGGACGCTGCAAGACACGGACGACGTCCTGGAGCTCGTCGAGGATGCCGTTGAGGATGCGCCAGGTGTGCTCGGCGCTAGGCAGTGATATCGGTCTCAATGCCTGGCACCAGGCGAGACGCCGATTGTAGGCCGGATCAAAAGCAGCTATGGCTGCACTCGACGGTGCCGCGTTCCGATTTGGAGGCTGCAGAGATATGAGTTTCGACTCTCTGCCGTTCATGTTGTCGTCCAAACAGGGCCTTGATGGAGAAGCATCGGTCGGAATGAGCGGTGTGTCCGATGCCGGATTCAAAAGTGACCAGCTGCGGCGAGCAAACTTGGTGTGCATCACGACATCGATAGGGGCTGCCTCGGCTGGACTTTGGAGTAGTCTCGCCGCGTAAAGCATCTGCTTCCGAAAGCTGAGTCTGGTCCTGAGCGATTCGATGTAATCCGAGGGCAAGACCGCTTGCTGCGACTGTACCCACTCCAAGGCATCGTCAAGTTCTGCGACGACGCAGCCGGTATCGGTGGTCTCAAGCAGACTGAGGCCATTCTTGTCCGACGAGTAGTCCTCGCCGTCGTGGAAATGCTGTTTCGACGTGAGCTCTGACCAGGCGACATCGATCGCCTTGACGGTGCCGAGGATAAACGCCCTCAGCACCTTGTAGACGAGCTGCGGAGGTGTTCGATCGGGCACAAAGGAGTTTGCAGACGAATTGCCGGCTTCGGGGTCGCTTGTTGTATTCATTTGCTCCGAGTTGTCATTTGGAGGCTGGAAGCGCGGATGCTTGTGCGAGAGGCTCTTGATGGCATGGAAATAGAGGCAGGTATAGAGCGTCTGTGATAACGCCGAGCCTTGATGCCAGGCTGCTTCGCATGCTAAAAGTCGGTCCATGATCCAGAGCGCATCAGGTACAGTGAGTGGCTTGAATGCGTCAAAGTCATCTGTCGAAGAAGTCACCATTGAGCCGTCCAAGCGGTCCGATTCCGGCAGCTCTGTGGCTGGCAATTGCATGCCCGAGTCCATCCTGGCGTCCATGATCTTGACGGCGGCCATCGAGTCCATCAGAGTGAAGTCAGGCACTGCGACCATCTGGCCATCTCGCAGCTGCGAGCACGCCGATAAGAGCTGCGCTGTAGCATCTCGGTAGCCTGGTCGAGGAGGCATCGCGACCATGCTCTGGGTCGATGACGTATTGTCCTCGGGGAGGTGCACCTGTCGCTGAACGTCTGGACCTTGCAGCCTTGACGCAGAGTGCGTATCATCGACCGGGCCGCTAGGCGTCAGCGGAGGCGGATTCGAAGTCATGCTATTGGCATAGCGTCGACAGGAAACCAACCAGCTAGGTCATCGAGCTGACTCGCATACAGCCAAGATGGTAGAGCTCGAGAAGAAGCTCTTCAGGGTCTCATGTGTTGGAAGATCTGAGCTGAGTCTCGTGGCCCTCGAAAGCCGAGTGCGGGTGGATGGTTTTTCCGGCTCCACGATGTGAGATTCAGGCTGTCTCACTGCCTGAAAATCAATTTTTCACTTCTGTTATGCCGACACGACAGACCTTCTCACATCGGTCCGTGGTGCCCTAGCTGGCCAACCAACGACGCATTGCTCAGCCGCTCCCCGTCCTTTGAGCAGCTCAGAGGCGTCTGTTCTGCAGAGCAGGCGTCGGCCGGCTGCACGCCTAGAGAAAAGAAGTCAGGGTCGACCAAGTTGCCGTGCTGCCTTTGGAGTGAGAGGTGCGAGTCGAGTTCGCCGGTCGCCTATGGCAGCCTCGGCTATGCACTCCGGCGCTGCACGGCAGACCTGTGAGTGATGATCGAAGCGAGGAGCCCCGCAAAACTCGTGGATCCATGCAAAGAGATTGCCGGAGCTGTACCGCCAGCATGTAATGCCGCTCAATGCTACGACAAGCCTGCTGACGCCCACCTGCGAGGCTGTACTGCGGTGTCGTCCATCGACGTCGTTCGTTCGTCTCTGAGCTGTCATCTCGCCTGACCGGTGGGTGGTGAAGAAAGAAGGACCCCCTTTGCCTTCGAGCGTTTTCCTGACGAAGCAATCAAGAAGGCGAAGGGAGATCTGCGAGGCCAACTGAAAGCAAGCGAGCTTCTTGCCTCGACGAAGCTCGCTTAGTGGTCGATTCTCGGTCAATACTTTTGGTGGTCTTCGTGCTATGGGGGGGAACACAAGCTCGAGCTCGAATCTTAGCTCGATTCTTCCTGCCTCGTTTTGAGATCACCGGTCGGTCTCCCTCCACGCTCTTCGCACCCACTTTGCTCGAGAAGAGAAGATCTCCGAATCCAGGCTGCTCCGAGACACCGCCCCTGCACACCCGACCAATCTCGAGGGTTCGCTGTGATGTGGCACAGAGCAAGCTCCTCGGACCCTGTCCCCCACCCTGGAGCTCGGCAGAAGCTTCCATCTCCTCGTTGAGCCTCAGTCGCCGGGCTGTGCGCAGCAGGTTCTTTCCTGCGTGTGAGATGTACGGATGCCAAGACTTCCATGTCGATTGCCGCTCCGTTGCGACTCCGCCTTGTCGCTGCCGCCTCCGCAGAGCTCGCCCGCCGGAGCGCCGCCGCTGTCAGGAAGAGTCCTTTCTCCAATGCCGCAGACGCCGTGAGACCACGTTCTGCTACTACAAAGCTTTGAGATTGCCGCTGCTTCCGTATGGTCAGCCCTGGGGGGACGCAGAAGCCTTAAGTACCCCTCCGCCCGACTACTTATCTGTCTTGGACTCCCTTTATGTTCTCCCAGGACCTTTCTCTCCCCGCACCACCTCCTGCCAACGAATCAAGATGAAGTCGCTCAGTCTGTCCTGGGTTACCATGGCCCTCGCCACGAGCATCTTCTCCATCTCTTCGGTCAGCGCGGCTCCCGCCGCCACCACCTCGAATGCCAATGCAGCCTCTACCTCGCCCGCAGTCACGTATAACGTCGCTGGCAAGCCTTCACGAGTCTCTCACTTCGGCCTCGGCGCTTTCATCGAGACCAACATCAACTCGGGCACCGATGGTGGTCTCTACGCCGAGATTATTCGCAATCGCGCTTTCCAGGACAATGTCAACAACCAGGCTAACCAGAACGACGCTCTTGGAAAAGGCTCTCTTCTCCACTGGTCCGGCACCAGCCAATCCACCAAGCTTTCGCTCTCGCCGGACAACGCCTTGTCCTCTGCGCTCCCTCAGTCGGCTGTTGTCAGCGGAGACCGGAACCAGTCGTGCGGGATCGCTAACCCTGGCTGGTACGGCATCAGTGTCACAACCCAGCCTCATCAGCTCAGCTTCTACGCTCGATCACCTACAGGCCAAGCCACGACAGTGCCCGTCAAGATCGGGCTCTACTCGAATGACTACTCCAAGACCTACACGGAACAGACCATGCCACTCAAGCTCACAGGTGAGTGGCAAAAATTCGAGACCACCTTGACGCCGTCTCAGGCCTCGAGCAACAACAACAACGTCTTTGCCATCAAGACCACGGGTGCCTGCCGAGACGGCTTCCAGGTCAATCTCGTCTCGCTTCTGCCTCCTACGTACGAGGGCACCGTTGCTCGTCAGGATCTCGCGCAGGCGCTCGCCGACATCAAGCCCGTCTACGTTCGTCTGCCCGGTGGCAATGATCTTGAGGGTAACAACATCCCCTCGTGGTTCAACTGGACCAACGCCGTCGGCGACCTCAAGAACCGACCTGGCCGTACTCCTACTTGGACGAGCGGCTGGAACACTGAGGGGCTTGGTCTCATGGAGCTGATGGATCTCGCTGAGAAGTGGGGTGCTCAAGCTGTCCTCGGCATCTATGCTGGCTACTCGCTCAACGGCGAGGCCGTACCCAAGAGCCAGCTCGGTCCGTACATCCAGTCGGCGCTCAACCAGCTCCACTTCCTCCTGGACACTTCCGGTAGCTGGGCTGAGCTGCGAAGCTCGTATGGCCGTTCCGAGCCCTACAAGTTCGACCAGATCGAGATCGGAAACGAGGACTGGCTCGGTGCTGCTATCAACACGTACGGTGCTTACCGATGGGCCGCCTTCCGTGATGCCATCGCCAAGGAGTTCCCCCAGCTCACTCTCATCGCTTCGACGCTCAAGAACGGAGTAGAGGGAGCCAAGGCGGTGGACGACCACATGTACTCTACGCCGAACCAGCTGTTCGAGTTCACCGAAGGCATGGACAGCACCTCCCGCGATGTTCCTATCTGGGAACTCGAGATTGCTGTCATCAACTCCGGTCTCACCAACGATACTGACATCTACAGCGGGCCTGGTCGCTTGCAACACCCCACTTTGATCGGTGCTCTGGCTGAAGCTGCGTTTCTGGCTGGCGCGGAGCGCAACGGTGACATCTTCTACAGCGCTGCTTACGCTCCCATCTTCCAGAATGAGGGACCGAACGCCACGCAGTGGACTCCAGACATGTTGAGCTTCAACGCAGGTCAGATGGTCAAGTCCACCTCGTACTACATCCAGTACGCCTGGGGCAACTACCCGATCAAGCAGATCCACGATGCAAGCCCTTCGACACCGACCAATTCGTCGCACATCTACCACTCGTTCGGCTCGAACAGTCAAGGTGCCTTGGTGGCTAAGCTGGTCAATGCCAACGCGGAACAGCGAACGGTTAAGGTGCAAGTTGGGAATGGAAGCAAGTTGTCCTCTAGTGGCGCCACGAGCTGGCAAATGCAGGGCAAGAACCCTCAGCAGGCCAACACGCTCAGCAACCCTAACGCTATTGTTCCGCAGTCCAGTAGTAGTGGCTTGCCAAAAGGTGCTTCGCTCGGCTCAGACGGTTCGTTGACGATGACGCTTCCCCCGTACTCGGCCACGGTCGTGACTCTGCCGCTTGCTTAGGCGTTGTACCTAGCAAAATATCATGTTCAGAATGGATACGTTCAATCACACCCTGAAGCAGCGTGCGAGAGCCGCTACGGTGTTACAGTATTTGTCCATGACTGATGCGTTCGCCTGATCAAGGTCAGACAAAGCGCATCAAAATGGAACGAGACGCCCGAAGGCTCGTTCGTCCAAGCCCACCTTGACCGATGGTCGATCTCGCTGAATATCTTTCGGATCGATACCAGGCTGAGATCAGATCAGCAGCCCGACGTACGAGAATGGACAGACTGATTCAAGTCGAGTTTCCGTAGGTTCTCGTCCAGCGGAAAGGAGCAGTGTATCCGATATGAAGACGGCAGCCCCTCGCCTGATCTCATGATGACCTCTCTGTCCGCCTCTTCCATAATTTGACGGCTGACGTGCCTACGACCCTCGATTTCATGCACGTCAAACAAGGGCGAAAGGGAAAAGGGTGAAATACGAGAGATCCAAGCCGCCTTCCTTCTTTTCGTTTGCAAAGTGGTTCGATTTTGTCCGTGGGTCGATTCTGTCGAGCTTCGACCGATATGGTGTGTACGACTCTCTCCGAGACTGCAGATAGCAGCTCGAGCAGTAAGCGAGCTCGTTGAAGAGATCGGTCAAGTCGGATCTCCGTAACGAGTCCGAACAGCAATGGGCGGAATGCGCTCTGGTGGAGCGAGTGCGAGCGGCGCTTCGATGGTGAGAGTATGCGCATGGACGGGCGCCACAGAGCTGACCCGCGAGACTCAGGCTGTCATTCAAGCTCATTCAAGCTGAGACAGGGAGTGCATGCTCGCTGTCTGCCTGTTGCACGGACCGGATGCCAAAGCGGCCAGCGGCAAGTACATGTTGTTAGTGCATGCGCAGCCGTACAAGGCCTTCATGGCCAAGCGACTCGAATGCCCTTAGAAGGGTCGCCTTGAGGCGTGCTTCCGGTAGTCGACCGTCCGTCTGTCAACCGCTATCCTGGCTCAGGCGATCTCGACCGCCTTCTCGGTCTCTCGACGTGGACGCGCCAGCAAACAAAGTCATGCATCAGCCATGCAAGCTCGCTCAGGTTTCTGTATGGCTTGCGCCTCGGATGAGATCCTTGCCGAGCCCGTGCTCGAACTCGCTCTGGCGCTCGGTCCCATGTGCAGGCTGTCCCTTGTGGCTGGACCGTCGACAGCGATTCGAAGGCGGGATCTTCTATTTAATCGGCCCCTTTTTTTTCTTATGTTTTATTCGTTTCGTTTGACAGGCCACAAAACGTCGTCTGTTTCAGGACCAACAATGGGCCCATCCTCCTTCCACTTCATCGGCCCTTACTCACCACCCGACGTCGTTCCATGCGTCTTAGCGATCGCTTTTTCGCGACTTCATCGCGACTTCGAGATGCGGCACGACCGTTCGTTGCCGGAATGAGATCAAGCTCTGTGCGCACATGCAAGGAACCCGGTTTGGGGACCGTCCTCAGCCGCAAAATACAGGTGAACACAAAAGCACGGATCTGTTCCATTGCTCTGGAGTAGATACATATGGCTGCGGCTCGCTTGCAGTCACATGTCGAAGCTCGCCTGCAAGCGAGATTGCGACTCTGGTACATGACCCCCGTCCTTGCCGAGATTGCTCGACCACTCTCCAGACCTCCTCGTGGGCGCATACACTCTGCCACGGTGGATCGGAGCTCCTTCTTACGTTTGTTGAGCCGCATCTTGCCTTCCTGCACGTCTGAAGGGATGCTGTCGCCTCATAGATAAGCGAGGACTTCCTCGTATCCTCTTTCCGAACCGGTGCCTCACACCTTGACAACCATACCAGCTTGCTCCTCAACCGTCTTTTCCGACTTGCCTCTCTACACTCCTTGATAGACTCCTCGTCACTGTCGTTAGCACTAGCAGTGGCTCACCCCGCTCTTTTGGCATCCTGGAGTACGTTGTCTTACGACTTACGCCTGCGCAAAGCATTCAGAATCGCAGGAAGGATCACCACTACCTAGCCACGTCGACACTCCACATTGGCCAGGACTTACCAGCGCTTGACACCATCGCAGTAGCATCTGCAAACAGCACCCGCGCATACACAGACAAGGAGGATGATCACGCCTCCATGGAAGCTGGACGACTTTGCATGGGAGCATATCGCGCGTCTACCCGACGATGAAAAGGAATACGGCTTGGCGACATTTCAGCATTACTACTACAACTCGTACAAAGTTCCATGCGTCGCTACGTGAGTCCGAGTCGACCCACCCAGGATTTGGCGGGGCGAATTTGACAATGGCCGCTGACTTGCCATGTACTCGTCAACCTTTCCGGCCTTCACAGATTTCTCATATGGGCATGCTTCCTTACACTCGGCCTAGCCTCGGGGTTGAGCGCATTCATCCAGCACTTCTTCCCTCATCAACATCATGTGATAACACGAAGGGCAGGTTGGTGGAGGGTCAACGTCTCAGAGCATCCGCTCGTCTCTGAAAAGCATTCACAAGCCGTCGCTTGCGGCAAAGGGAGCTTTGCCTGGTTGACCGTTCACCTCCCGCTTCGCCTCGAAGCCGCACTTTTGGTCGTCATGCTGGCCCTCAATGTCGTCCCGCTCTGCACATTCTACTCGCTCTACGTCGGACACAATACCTACTTTGTCGGCACAGACTCGGTCAGTCGCCGTTCGCAGGTCCTTCGCCATGTCGCCAACAGATGCGCCACGCTGGGGATAGGGCAGCTGCCCATGTTGATCTTGCTGGCGAGTAAGAGGACACCCGTGGCGCTGCTCAGCCAGCTATCGATGAGCGCGATGATGCTGTTCCATAGGTGGATCGCCCGGATGTGCTATCTGCACATCATCATTCACATTCTATGCAACGCGCTCATCTTTCACTTCAGCATCGGCTTTGCCGAGAGTCTGAAGCAGCCGCCAGTGCAAGTGGGGACTGTCGCCACCGTGATGCTTTTTGGACTGGTGTTCCTGTCACTCAGGACACTCCGCAAGAATCACTACGAGGTATTCGTGTTCCTCCATATCAGCATGGCCCTGACTATGCTGGTCTGCATCTATCTTCACATCAAGCTCCTGCACCAAGGCAGAGTAGGTACACGAATGGCGGACCCGGGCTGTGCTTGAACCTCACTCGGGCACGTCGCTGACCTGACAGTGTTGTTTTTGCTTCCCTTCATTTTGCAGCTCGGACTGCAGATGTTCGTCATCGAGCTGACCGCCGGCTTTTGGGCTTTCGACCGGGCGATCCGACTCGTGGGTCGAGTCGTCATGTCAATCTCCTGGCGATACGCCGATGGAGCGGGCACCACTCGCAAAGCCGAGTTGACATCGTATGGCGATGGTGCGTACATTCGTGTGAGAATCCAAGTTCCGCTCTCGCGACTTCGTCTTCCTCCCAGCGCGACGACCTCTCTGACCGGGTCTTGGATCGACCTCGAAGACGAGAGCAAGGGGCGCGGCGGTCGCAGAGTGAACTCTCCATCCAATGCCTCACTGCTGGACTTCGCTCGGATCGGTGCCGGTGATGATATCCGCATCTCTGTACCCCGTCTGCAGTGGGTGGGCGACCATCCGTTCTCGGTCTTTGCCGTGGGACGGTGCAAGAACGGACGGCGGGGAATGGGCTTCGTCGACCTCATTGTTCAGCGTCAGTCGGGTCTGACGCAGAAACTATCTGACCTGGCGGAAGAGCTCGGCACACCTGCGGCCCACTTTGACGGAAGTGCACGCGATGCGTATGCGCAATCTGCGACACATCAGAAGGGCAAGCGTGTCAGGGTGGTGGTCGACGGCCCGTTTGGTCGAAGCCCGTCCCTCGAGGGTGCACAACACGCCGTGTTGGTCGCGGGCGGTATCGCTATCACCTTTTGCTACCCGCTACTGGTCAAAGCGGCCAGAGGTGACTTCGGCAGCCTCGAGACGTGCAAGCTCGTTTGGATCGTGCGCAACGAAGCCATTCTGGATGTGCTCCGCGATAGTCTGCCCGAGCTGCTGGAGGAGATCAGCCTCCAAGGCAATCGTCGCTGCCAACTCTCGATCGACATCTACGTGACTTACAAAGCGAAACCTTCAAGCAACGAGTCATCGACAACTTTGGTGGGGTCAGCCAAGCAGAAGCTGCCCTCCAAACTCGCTCCGACCTGGCACTTGCCCATCTTCTTGCCACGGTCCCAGTCTTCGTCCTCTACCGACACGTTCGTGTGTGTGGAGCGCTCTCCGAGTACGAGATCTGTCGGTCAATCTCCATCCGAGGTCAAGCTGTGGCCTGGTATCAAGTACAAGCAAGAGAAGGAGCTCGATCTGGTGCCTGTCTTGACGAGAAGCCGCTCCCCTTCCAGACCCTCTCCAATTCAGCACAGTAAGGCTGTCGCTGCCGGTACGGGGATCGATGTAACGTTCTCGTTCGACAACAGGTACTCGCCAGTGGAGTCCAGCGAAGGAGGATCCGCCGCTCACAGGGACTCAACACATTGGTCCTGTAGCTTCTCTCCGTCGCGGAGGTCGTCGACAAGATCAGCGGACTCGGGTGACACGCCTTCGCAGACGGATTTGTCCACCCTGGTAGCACCCGAGCCGTCCTTCAGCTGGCGCGCAGGGCTCGCTGGTTCTGATCGAAGCAAGGAGAGTCTGGATCAGGCCCTCGTCTGCAAGCTCACACGAAGCGAGTTTCTGGATGCCAGCCCGGCCCCGCATTCTTGCGAGGTGACTTCGGATACTAGTGATCAGTTCGCAGAAGATCGCAGACGAGGCGGCCTATCCTGCCCGAGATCCGGTCAGCTGAGCGCGCATCCGCTCTGGACGCCTCAGAGTGCGACTCATCACCGATTCCACTCGCCTCAAGACGTTCTTGCGGAAACGGACGCAGCCGCTCTGATCGAGATTCGACGCTTCAGTGGTAGACCACGCTCAATGGCACTCGTCCATCAGCATATCACCGACCATGCAGACGGACAGTTCGCGGGAAGGACCGTCTTCGCGACATGTGGACCCGCTGCCATGTGCGACTCGGTCCGTGCCGAGGTCGTGTCGCTGCTGAAGCAAGGAAGGGATGTGTCACTGGTCGAGGACTGCTTCAACTGGTGACCGCGTATCGGATCGATCCCTTCCATACAAGTATATACAAGCTATTCATCCTCTATATGCTCATCGCAAAAGTTCCAGAATAGAGTTTCTTTCAAGCATTGCAGGCAGCAGCACCCATTGTCTGCTGCCGCTCCGTTGACTCCCGAAAGCCGGCTTGCGGGCAGCTTGATGTTGGCTTAGTTATCACGAGGTGACGGATCCGCCCACTACTGCCCTGAGGCCAAGGACGATGAGCCGATCGGCCAACTACGGCCCGACGAGTTCATATGGCCGTTCGCTAAGCGACCACTGTCTGCAGCCCGCACATGAAGTCGTGCCGTGCCAGCCAGGCGTTGCTGCGTGCGAAAGTTTTATCAACGCGCAAAGTGAAACCCTGTCCGCTTATCTGATTCGATCGTGCAGAGCAGCATGCATGTCGGCTTTGAAGCTCCGGCGGCCTTGGCATCCCTGATTGGCAGGTGGATGCTTGGTCGTGGTCCCGACTTGAACCGAAAGCATGGGCACCAGACAGCGAGAGAAAATTTTCGCTTTTTGACAGTTTGGCACGAGGGCACATGGCGAGCTAAGATCTTCTGAACCCTGCTCTCGGCTCGATCTTATCTGATTGAATGCAATCCTGCGCGGGACCCACCACGAAGCTGCCCGTGGACAGTGCAGAGCTTCTCATTTTGCGCGAAGGAATAGGCTTGCAACAGATCTGTACAGCTGCGTCGCACAACCCATCTCATTTGCTTGCTTCCTGCGCAGCCTCGCCGCCCACAGCGGAAGACGTTTATATAGTAGCAATGAGAGCCTGCCCACCCCCGCTCCGTCCAGCCCATCCTATCCCTTCCCCTGACGCTTCCTTTACCGCGGCCGTCTCATTCAGAGCTACTCTTGCTTAAGCTCGCCCGCTATGACGAAGCCTGAGAGCCAGTTGCCCGTCGTCAAGGCGGCTGCTGACGACGCTATCAGTCCAGCCTCTGAGGCTGCTCCCAACGTTGTCGATGTCGACAGCAAGTCGTCGTTGTCCTCTGACGGGGCCAAGGACGCCAAGCTGGCTGATCAGACTGCTCCTATCAATGTTGTACCGCACCTTGTTGGCACTTCTGACGGTGACGATGTGACCCTCGTCGACGCTCAGTCTGGTGCTGTCGGAGCTACCTGGAAGCACCGCGTGCCAGCTCTTCTCATGATCCTGTTCTTCACCCGTAAGTCGCCCCTCGTTCCTCATCTTCGACGACATCGTTCATCCATCTGACTTTTGTTTCACATTACGGATGTCGCTTCTTCCCAGTCGGAAGCAACTTCGCCCAGTCCTCCCTGTCCCCCCTCAAGTCAACGATCAAGAAGCAGATGCCCGAGGTGACCAACGCGCGCTACGGCGCGCTCGCTTCAGCCGAGCAGCTCGTCAACGGCGTCCTCCCACTCTTCTCGGGCATCATGATCGACTACTATGGCCCTAGCATCACCTCTCTCCTCTCTTCCTCAGCGATCCTGCTCGGTACCATCGTTCGCGCCATCGGTGGTCATCGTGAAAGCTTCCCAACCATCCTCGCGGGCCAGATCATCTTCGGACTCGGCAGCACGACCATCGAGACGAGTCAGTCGAAGCTCTACACGCACTGGTGTCGCGATGGCACCTCCCTTACCCTGGACGCAGAAGACAAGGAACAGGCACCCAAGTCGAGGCGCTTCGCTGCACTGTCGTCCGCCGGGTGGCTCGGTTTCGTCTACGGCCTCGACATCGCCATGGGCCGCGTGTTCAACGTGATGGGCAAGATGAGTTCCATTCCCGTGGCCGAGTCGACGGGCAAGTGGTACTGGACCTTCTGGCTGTCTGCAATCCTGTGCGCGGTGACGCTGGGCTTCAACACGGTGTATGTGATCTACGAGCGGTCGCTACCCAAACGCATGCGCGTGGTGACGGGTCGTCAGCTCGCTGCTCAAGCTGATGCACAGGCCATCGATTCCGACAGCAGCCTCGAAAAGAAGACGACCAAGCCGTGGACGCAACGTCATCTGCGCCTGCTGACGCTCAGCGTGGGTGCGATCCCCGCCTCCTTCTGGCTCATCACCATGACTCAGATCCTGCAAGCAGGTTCGGTGAACGCGTACAACGCCAACCTGCCGGAGGTCGTCCAGATCACACGGGGAAAGTCGAAGCTCATGGCTGGCTACGCGTCGTCCGTCGGCCAAGTGCCACCTATCGTTTTGACTCCGCTGCTGGGGTTGATGTTCGACCTCTTCGGACGACGCATGTACTACGTCTCTGGCTGCGCCGCATTGTGGGTGGTCGTGTTCGCCCTGCTTGCTTATACGCAGGTCAACGCATACGTCCCCGTCGTCCTGGGAAGCATCGCGCTCTCGTTCAACGCCCTTCCCTTCCTGGCCTCCATTCCGCTGCTCGTCCCCAATCAAGCCTCGATCGGTACCGCCTTCGGCATCTGGAAGTGCTTCAACTCGGCCGGCAGCGTCACCATGGACGTCGCCTTCGGCGCGATCCAGGACCGAACGCCTACCGGCAAGAACCAGTTCAACAACGCCTTCGCCTTCCTCATCGCCCTCAAGGCCATCGACGTGCTCTACGGTCTGAGCTACCACTTTATCGACAAGAGATACTTTGGCGGCGTGCTCAAGCTCAACGAGCGCCAGCTGCTGCAGAAGATGAGGAGCGAGTCGGAGGAGGAGAGGAGCCAGGCGCTCAGGAAGCCGGTCAAGAAGTGGACTACGGCAGGTTGCGTGCTCCTCGCTGCGTTCGTCACCACGGGGTATGTACTCTACATTACTTACTCGATCGGCACTTGAGCGCGTCGTTCGTCGGTATCGAATGTTATACAAAAGGTCCGGGTTCACCGTCATGCAATGTAAGAAGGGTATATCAAACGCAGAATCCCGTGGGCTAGAGAGAAGGTATGAAATCGGCCGAAGACGTCATATCCGCAGGCGTGCCCCAGCTCTGATGCACCCACCCGCTCCAATCCAGATCGATGCTAGATTGCAGCAGCGAGTTGAGATTGAGCATGTCGTCCACCGTCGCCGACGATGTTGCGAGCGATGGATCGAGGAAAGCCATGAAAGCGGTTGGATCTGCTGCGCCCCCTTGCCACTGTGTGTCCGGCTGCGCCGCTGCAAAGCTGGCGAGGTCGTAGGCCGCTTGTTGGTCGGCCGAATTCCCCTGCGTCGCTGTCTCGTGCGCACCCGTCGCAGTGGCGTAGTCGTGGTGCTTGATTGCAGCGGACCGCATGGCAGCCACGATCGCCGGCTCATCCGGCACACGTCCCGTCGGCGACTCACTCGCCACCGCCTGCGCACGCTTCTCCCACGCCGCCACCAGCAGCGCTGCGAGCATCGTCCCTCGAATCTGCAGCTTGCGCGAATCGTTCTGATCCGTCCAGTTGGCGTAGATGTTCGGCGTCGCACCCTCTCCTCCTGTGCCTCCACTCTGCGACGTGCTCGGCGTCGCTCGACTGCGGTCCTTCACCACGCTATTCCCCTTGTCGGGACGCCAGATGACCGCGCTGCCCTCTATCGCCTTCCACGCCTGATCCACCAGCCCGCCCCTCGTATGCCGTCGCAGCAGATCCAACAGGATCACAAACGAGAAGAACGGCAGCTGCTGGTACGTATACCACTGGTAGCGCACAAACTCCTTGGTCTCGATCAGCTTGGCCGCCAGCTCGATCTGTACGGTGCAGATGCGGATCACCTCGGCATCGTTTTCGACGGATCGCTGGTTGAGGTGCACAAAGAGGCGGATTTTGGAGATCCACGTGCGCGCGTGATGCTGCGCATACCGGACCAACGTGCTGCTGGCCGTCTCGGGGCGGGAGAAGTAGCGCGTGGCGATGTACGTGTCAAAGGCGTCGACGGCGGCGAGACGACATGCGAGGGTGGAGGTTTGGCACGAGGCGCGGGAGAAGAGTTGCTTGCACAGCTGGGTGGAGCGGAAGGGATGGTTGGCGAGGTGGTGGTCGGGATGCTGTTGCGACCACGGCGGGTGGAGCTGGAACTGGGCGATCTCGGCTCGGAGCAGGATGAAGAGGCATTCTGTGTTTGGGACATGCAGCATAGCGTTTGGAGCAGGTGCAGTCGAGGCAGCAGCGATCTGGTCCAAGTCGGCATCGGAAGCATTGCGGGGCAGGGGCGTGGTCGCCGTTGCCAACGAGGCGCTGATGGAGATGCCCGACTTTTCGCACGCGCGCATGTCGCAGAAGAGGACCTCCCACCACAGCCTCACGGCCATCTCCTGATGAACGGGCGTGACGTTGCTAGCAGCCGGCCACAGGGTAAGCCGGCTCGATTGTCGAAACACCATCAAGCGCTGCACCATCCGCGTCGCGCTGCCAGTGAAGATGCCGTAGGAGCGTGGATCGACGTCTTTGCACAAAGTCAGCAGATACAGCATAAAGGCTTGGACGGGTCCTAGGCTGGAGGACCTCATCAGGTCGGCCCGGCAGAGCGCAGTCTGCGTGTTGCGGCGGTGTCGTTCCCAGATGACCTTTCTCTCTTCGCGTCCGAAGAGGCGTTCCGACTCGTCTTCGGTCAGCGTGCCGATGGTGACGGTATACATGGCGAAGAAGATGGCATGGTCTTGAGCGTTGGCGGCTGCAGGATCGGCGGTGATGTCGCAGAGCCGCTCGCGGACGCTCGGCATGTGAACGACCCGGACGAGAGGGTGGATGTTCTGCTCGTAAAGGTGGAGCAGGCGGAACATGAGGCTTGTTTCGGGATGCTGGAGAGGCTGGCCGGGACAGTGGTCGTCAAAGTGGAAGTAGCTCGATCCGTCGTCTTTGAACATGAGATCGAGGTGCTTGTGGATCACGAGCGTCGACGAGACCGTGTGATCGGGTGCGGAAGCGGCAGAAACTACGTCAGTCGCAGGCGCATTTCTCGAGTGGCATACTACAGGAGACGAGTGCGGAGGCGGGACGCCATGAGCAGAGCTCGCAGGCGTGTAGATCGAGGGCGCCTTGAGCGGGGTGACGGTCTCGAGGATCGATTCGAGGTGGTTAATGTCAGGATCGATGCTAGACGTGTGCGGTGGGGAAGGGGGTGCATCGGCTTCTGACACCCTCGGTCGACCCGTGAGACTGTTGAAACGCAGACCCGGCGAAGACGTCACCTCCGAAGACGAGCGCCTCGTGCGTTTTCTTGGAACGGACCCCGCAGACGATAGATCAATCGCAGAGACATCTTGATCCTTGTCAACGCCAGCAGAGGTGAGAAGAGCCTCGTACTTCTGAATGCGGTCGAGGAGTTCTCTCTCCGCGAAGCGCTTCTTCCTTTGCTTGTGGGGATCGTGATAAGCGGGAGTACAAGCGATACCACGTTGCTTGCACACAGAGCAAGGAAGTTGCTTGTCGCACTTGCTCTTGCGCTTCTGACACTCCTCGCATGACAGACGTTGAGCTGAAAGAGCTTCCGTGCTGTCTCGAGACGAGGAGCTTACTCGCCGGGCGGAGGACGATCCCATCGAGGCTGGAGAGCTGGCAACCATCGTGAGGGCGGCGATTGCTGTGGATGTGAGCCCGTTTTGGTATGCTGGTGGAAGGGGGAAAAGGAGGATGAGTCGGCGATGTCCAGAGATGGTGTCAGGTGCTCGACAGCTTCATAGTACAGTGTGCATGGAGTAACGCGGGGCCGCGGCGAGGCAAGATCGATACCGGCGGCGCTACGGAGAGCAAGACAAGGATAGAAATGGAGAGGCGCACGGATCTAGAAGCGTCCGAATTCAGGGTCCAAAGCATTTTCCACTGCAGAGGCTGAGAAGTTCGGAAAGATCAAGCCTCCGACTTAATCGCATGCCTCGTCTATCAACGGCACGTGCACTTCACCGCCTGCCATCATGACTTTCAAGTGCTGTCATTGCCCTGAATGCACATTTGCAAGGATTGGCCGGGCCCTGAGCACTTTACGCGGCGATGCTCGTCGTTGCAGAGACTCTGTTGATCCTCTGGCAGACATCCTCCAATGCACCGGTGACTTGAGCAATCTGTTGGTCCCATCTTCGGGTCCATTTGGTATCGATGTCCCCAGAACTTGCTCCGGCGCCGGCGCCCTCCTCACCTACACCGCCTGCGCCTCCACCGCTGCCATCGCCTCCGCTGTTCTCCATCTTGGTGGCCTCCAATCCTCCTGCCGTTGTCTCGCCTTCGCCGCGTCGATCTTGGTCGATGAAGAACAGCACGCCACTTCCCTGCGATCCCGTCTGTGTCGTGCTGAGGCTGCCCACCTGGTCAATCCACCCCTTGAGTCTGCCCTGCATGATCATCTTGCGAGCAATGTCTTCCGCTCCCTCTGGACTCAGGTCCACGAGTGCACCGAGCCCTGCAAGCGTGATATTGTCGTACAGCCTCGACGCGCTCAGAACGTTGTGCTCGATCATCGCTCGATCCAGGACCGTCGATGGTGCGTGTCGCATGGCTTTGCCGTCGGCCGTTGCGCTCGACGAGCTGGCTGGGCCTGGCGCAGATGACGGCGCAAGCCTAGCGATCTGATGCGGTGACAAGAGCTTTTCGAAGCTCGCGATCTCGTCCGGACGGATGACGCGGTCCAGGAAGACCTTGGACAGGATTGTGTATTGAGGCAAGGATGGCGTGCGCTCGTCACGCATCAGCGTTGCCAATGTCCGTGCTCGTTGTGGTCCCGCGGGTGAGAGAATGGAAGCAGTGACGGCAGCCGACAGCATCATGGCACGGTCGTCCTCGTCAATCTCTGCCACGTAACTCAGCTCGTGATATCGGATAGCTGCCTCGGAGAATCGTCGTTGCGAGTCATATACGCGCGCTTGAGAAAGGCGGTACTGTAGACCCAGCACTTTGGGATCTTCGAGCTTCTGCTTGGAGCTGCTGGCGACAGAAGCTGACGAAGCCTCCGCGACATCGTCTGAACCGGCAGCTGAAGATGCTGCGGCTTGTTCTTGTTCTTGCTGCTGCTGCTGCTGTTGGTACTGCGAGGGAAGCGCACCTGGTACGTTGTGAATGATCATGCTGGCGCGCTTCAGATACATGTCTGCTGCCACTGGATCGTCTCCCTCGAGCAACAGGCGAGCGATGCGGACGTAGATCGAAAGCTTGAAGTGATCCGAGACATTGCGATGTCCCGAGTCGAGAGGTATTGCCAACAGGACCCGAGCCGCTTCGTTCCAGTCTTCTTCGGACTCGAGCAGGCTGGCCAATTGCATCCGTAGGCTCGACGCTTGCTCTTCGAAGCTGATCGCCTTGGGTTGCAATTGCTCCAAGGCGTCTTCAAGCAGCTGTCGTCGCGTGTCTCTGTCTGCGATGGCTGGTGTGCTGTCGTCGTCGTCATCCTGCATTCGGTCTTTGTCACGTCGCTGCAGCTCGTGCTCTTCGGCTATCCGGCTTGCATGGTACTCTAGCGCAGTGAGTGCTTGCCTGCCGATGACGAGACCACCGCCTGTCGAGTTCTGGTCGCTAAAGACCGCGTGACGCAGGAATGCCGAGCTCGCTTTCAGCAGATCCATGCGGTTGAGCTTGCTCGAGGACTGCTGCAGCAAGTCCGAGATGAGAGAGTCATAGGCGGCCAAGCGCGCATTGTTGGGCTGCGTGGCCACATGCTGCAGCTGCGATGTGAATGAGTCCAAGGCGGAAGGCATGGTGTGCCGGCAGCTTCTGGACGGCGAAGCGGGAGCCGATGCCTTGGTTTTCGGTCCTATCTGAGCTTCGGAACTGCTATCAGCTGAGTTTGGGTAGGCTTGAAGCCCTTTTGCGAAGCTGGTGTTGAGTGGGTGGGGTGCTTGACGTGATTTGGTGGGGAGGAAGGAGGTTTCGCAAGTGTGGAGGAAAAGAATGCGCAGCAACTGCACCGTGCGCTACCAAAAAGAAAGACCAATACAAATTTGTTGTAGGCCGATGGCCTAACAGCTTTCCTCGATCTTCGGGGCCTATCTCGATTTCATGCCCGATAGGTTCATGCCGAGACCAGCCCTCCTGTCTGAAGGGTGCCAACCTCATGCCATGGCGCTGAGAAAGCCAAGTTTTGTGATGAAGATCGCAGAGGGCTTTCGGCAAAGCAGAGCTTTTGAGTGGGTTGCTGAGAACGTAAGCACGGCCGTCATTCAACTCGATATGGCTTCCCCGTCATGACACCTTCACGCTCAGGAAAGGAGGGGAGGAGGACGATCAAGGCGACAGGCAAACATGGGTGTGATGGTGCAAATCAGGCCACTTCGTACCCTTGGACACAGTTGCTGAGTGGCTGTGACATGCAAAAAGCAACTGTAGGCGCGGTTGATGGAAGGTAGGCTGGAGCTGTCAGCCTGGTCGGGGTTTGGAAGCGTGATCGCTGAGACAAACAACATGGCGATGCGCCGCGTGGAGAAGGCAACGGCCAACCTTGATTGCAGAGTGGTCATACACCTCGCTTCGGAGGGACAAGGGAGGACGTTGGAGGTTGTCAAGTGCGAAATTGGTACTCCGATGGCAAGCAGATATGGGGATTCGGGGGGCGACAAGCAGAACCCCCAAAAGCCGTCTCGTTGGAAAGGGTCGGCGCACCAGGGAAAGCCCGCCAGTCACGAGTGGTTCTCATCTGAGTTGGAACGACGCCGCTTCGTGGACAACTGTTATGTCCCAAGTTGCTGGCAGCCATGCTTCTGAGACCGTCTACCCCGACCACACTAGCCTTCGAGAGTGCCTACGCTTTGGGATGCGACACGCACGCAATGACGTCGTTCCTGGAGTCGCGAGTACGACCCGAGGTGAGATCTCAGGGCGAGAAGGAGCTTTCTTGAGCAGGCGAGCGTGAGCCGAAGTGTCGAATTCGACGCATGGCGCAAGCGAGTTTGGGTGAAATCCACCAGCAACCAGGTCGCGCGCTGTTGGCGATTGGAGGACAAGGCTCGGGGAAGCGATTTATACCAGACGAGGTTAAGCGAGGTGCAGAGACCCTAGTGGTGGGGCCTCGACTCGAATCTATGTACGAGCAGAGCGGACCGCGTATTGCAGCTTGCCGACATTCGGAGCTGCAATATGCCACGGTGAGCTCGCATCGCAGACATTTGGCCCGTTGGCTTTGCAATGGCAATGTGTCGTCGATTTGCATTGCCAGCTTCAATTCTGACGCCCTGGAAGAACTGCAAAGATACTGGTGTGAACGGCAGCGGCGTGCCGATCATGTTCGGTTGTTTGCTCTGCCCGCTGCTGTTCCTCCTGCGATCTCAAGCAGGCACGCGCTGTGCCTTGAAACGGAAGCGAGAATAAGCCACAAAAAGGCGCCGTCGTGACAAGATTCTGAGCATGAATCAACTTGGTTGTCTCGCAGCGAATCCGGACGCCGACAAGCCACACCGGGAGAGGGAGAAGCGAGTGAGCATGAACAAGCGTACCAGCACCTTGCATTCGAGCAGCAACGCGAACGACTGGTATCCGAGCTTGATTCGCTTTGACCAACGAGAGGGCTTTCCGAGATCGTGATCATGACACGGTAGTAGCGAGACCGCGGCTCGTGGAACTGGCGCGCCCTGTTGGGCATATTGCTTTGAGCTTGGTCCGTCTCAGCTAGTAGTTGTACCAGACCACCTGCTGTGCTCTTGATCATCAGGAGTTTCGGTGTTGCTTTGAGCAAACATCGCCAGTAGAGAGCAAGGTCGACGGGCAGCAACATGACGCTACCTTTTCCAACGCTGCCAAGAGAGGAGGTCGAAAGCCAGGCTCGGTTGTTGCAACGTGGCAGCAACGCGAGGTGGGTCTGGAATCCCCCTTGCTCATTGCGTCGAATGGCCCCGGCAAAGGTTGAGTGAATCGCGCATCTACTGTATGTTTGCTGGTGGATTTGGAAGGTCAGACTCGGCTAGACGACGTAGAGAAGCGAAAAGAGGAGGCGCAAGCGAGACTTCGGCGGTGGACCGTTGAAGATACGAATTTCGAATAAGAGCACTTGAGGGCGGTCGAGAATCGTATGATGTTGGTCTGGACAAGACCTCGGTATGAGGTCGAGTTTGCGTGTGCGATGGACCATCAGAGCAGGCACCCGTCTGGCCCGTGATGAAGGAGTGGCTGTTGGAAAGACGTGCCAACAGAACATAGCAAGGAAATCGCGGGCGATGCCTTTGCGTGGCGTAGGTACAGGTGTCGAGGGGACGGCATGGCTTTGCCGCCGCACTGTTTGCTAAGCTTGCCAGGAGGGTCGAGCGAAGTCGGAAAACGATGTGGAAAGGCGAGCCGAGGTGCAGGATCTCGCGACTTTGAGCAGCTGCGGCTGTGCGGATGCTTATGGCTCGCTTAGGCTAAAGTGTCAATCTGGTCCAAGATGATTTGCAGGCCTAGCTCATTGCTGTTTGCCGACCATGACTCTGTCTCGCGCTTTCGCGACACATCTGGATGCCGATCCTACACGGTCAAGTCTGACAAAGCATCTTTCAGCGCGTTGAGAAAGCGCCTAGTAAGGACGAGAAAAGCCGTGACCAATGTTGCGGCGAAGCTGAAGCTTGAGCGCTCTGGCCCTTGCGAGCAGCAATCGACATCTCTATGCGATGACAGATGATTTGTGGCTACGACTGCGGTGCTGTGCCATTGAATGGCGCCAAAGAGGCTAGTGCGGCGCTGTATATCGATTTGCGCCAACCAGAGCCTCGGGTCAGCCGAGGCGGACTGTGTGACTTGAGTGAGCTTGGTCGGAAAAACGCGCTGGAATTGCATCGGAGTCTCAACCTGACGGCTGTCACTCGTTCGGCCTCGCCGTCTTTGCACGCCTTGAGCAAAGTCAGCACTCGACGGTGGCATGTCTTGCTCGTGCTTGATCTGTCGGACGAGCATAAGCCTGAGGTGACACCACACTGTCTGTAAGCGACACCTTTGTCTGTGCAACGCCATGCCCACCCACCGGGTCTTCCTATCTTGCGACGCCAACACGTGTGCACTCAACACGACAGCTATCAATGCATCCGGTGGCGACATTGCGTGCGGTATAGCTTCCGTTTCCCATGCGACATCCTTTCTTCCCTGTCTTGCCCAGCTGAAACTATGTCTCCGCGCCATCGCCATCTGCAAGGGGGGCGACAGCCTTGATGGCGATCCAGACTGTAATTTGTTTTATATTTAGGTCCAAAAAAAGCGCTTAACCTGACCATCCTCACCCAGATTTGACAGCTCGGCCAAGTGCCATGATCGCCTCTTCGCCTCAACTTCGTTGATGTTATTAACACCTTGAACAAGATATCAACATCGTGCCTGGCCGTCATCGGCCGTTGAACAGCCAGTCACACTAGGATGTGCATGCTACTGGCATTCGAAAGAGACAGTCCGCAGTGAGCGCAACCAGATCCAACAAACGAGGCGTCTTTCGGCTATGCGCGTATCTACATCTGTTGTGGTTCCTGGGTGAAGCAAGAGATCTTGCTCTTCCGCCCTGCCAAATGGTGAGACATGACACAGATCACATGCAGAGACGCTCTGCCCATCTCTTTTCGGCGCTTCGTCTTGTCAAGCTGCCCACTTTGTCGAGCGAAAGAGCGTGCCACACCTGGATGGAGGATTACCTTCTCGAAGCCGCCCGTCTTACCCTCTTCGAATGGCAATTGGGTTCCGCTTTGGCTTTCTTCCTTCTCTTCGCCCCCCTTAGCCGAGTCTGGGATGAGGCTGTTTCGCTTAAGCTCGAGCTGCAGTGCGGCTTGGTGGCATGCGATACCTGTCAGCGCTGCCCTTTTTTTGAGTGACCTTTCTGTGCTTCATCCTCCCCTTGCTGTACGCCTCTGCATCACCATCATCACCACCGCCACCATCACACCGGCGTCCGGCTTAGCGCCTCTCTGCTTTCATCTTCCTTTTAGACGCTTTCAGCTTGCCTTGCCGTGCGCCGCCTGCAGATCCTAGGTCTCGCTTCCCTTTTCCCTTCATACGCTGCTTACGCTTTTCGCCGCTGCATCCCATCTCGCTTGAACTTGCCGCTGCATGGCTGCATTCGCTTCACCATCTCTCCTCTTCGACACAAACTCCCGAAACGAATAGCCAAAACAAGGTTGTCCAAGCCGTCCTCCTTCGTTGCTTCCAACTCAATCGCACCAGGCTGTTCTCTCTCCACCAACACTCTGTCCCTCATACACGAACCGGAGGCATCCCCTACATCTCCTTCTCCTCGCCAATTCGTTCGCCTATCGCCTCAAACAGCGACCGCAGAATACACAGACGCGCAACACTACTCTGCAGCAACTGCGTCTTGGCTTAAGTCGTCATTCCGCTTGATCAGCTTCGGTCCGCCTCTGGTCTGTGCAGCCTTCCTCGACAGCGGCTCAACAATACCATCACTTACTGCGATACTTCAACTTCATTTCGACCCATTGTCTGCGCCCACCCACTGCCACGCTTCTACGCCAGGACCCTCTCTTCTCGCCGCGTGGCAGCTAGCCAAAGGCGTTCGATATCAAGCCTCATCATACCTCTCCCGCGCTGCAAACGTCCAGCACCTTCATACCTTGAACGCACGCCTTCTCAGCCAGCGCCCCCGCTGCCACGAATAGTGACAAGGCTCTGCCCACCTATCGGTTGACACTTGCTCGCTGCACCTGAGGCTGTGCCTCAGACGTTGCCCACCTTTCCTGCATTCAGTCAACTCGACAACTCGACTTTCGGTCTTCATTGCACGCAAACTGCACGCCCTTCTGCAGCCAGCCCCTCTTGGACCTCATATTCGAGCCGCACGCAGAATCGACCTTGACTTTGACTTCTCGGGTCAACCTTCCAAGCCATCAGCGGCGTCCAACTCGTCATTGCGCCACCTTCATTTGACCACAAGGAGCCCTCCGACCCTTGGCGCTTGTCCGCAATATCGACATCGTCCTCGGCGACTTTATCATCACAGGCGTTACTCGACCCCGGCTTCCGTCTCGAGCCCATTGTGTCGCCAGAGAGCTTGTCGTGCGCCACTTTATCCCTCGTCCATCCCCTTTGCAGCTCAACCCTCACCGGCATACTGCAACCGCGGTGGGCGCAAAAGCTCTGTACCTTTCGTGGGAGAGTCTTTCGGCCACGCGCCAATCGAGTGCTTGAGGTGCTGTTCACTTCCGATTGGCCTCTGTCAGCCCAGAAAGCCTGTTACGCCCTGACTCGACGTTGCGGATCACCATCATCGATTCACGTTCCCAGGCCCACCCCTCCCTCTTCTCTCTTTCCTTACGGAACCGCCAGGCCTCTTTCGCTCGCTTGCAGTCGCATCTTTCAATCTTTTCTCAGCTCTCTCCAGCCCTAGTCGTCCAAGACTTTGTCGCTCGTCTCTCATCCATCGAACCGGAAGAAGCGCCTCGGCACCGCTCAGGGCTTTCAGCACCACCCCTGGAACTTTCAGTGGCCACTAATCACGAACGCGATCCATCTTCGATCTTCGCAGCGCTGCAAGCCAAGCTCACGACTCGGCAGCTCTTCGTTGAGAGGACAACTCGCAACCAATTTCGTCTGCTGACGATCTTCATGCGGCGTCACCAAACGACTGACATAAGGAGTTTGCCAGAGACGTGCCAGCAGCGTCACTCCACTGCTTGCCCGCGACTATGTCTCGCACGCCCGGTAATCTCACCAGCGAGAGCAGCAGGTCACAGTATTCTCTGTCGCAGAGCGTCAACAACCAGAACACTCGCTTACAGCAAGGAGCTGTCTCCTCGTCCAAGTCAGCAGATCGTACACAACCCAGGTCACCTCCGCAGAAATCTTGGCACGCTCCTTCGCAGCAGGCCAGCATGCTTGCTGATGACGTCTCTCAAGAAGAAGACGAGCTTAGCGAGGAGCTCCCGCTGCATCTGAGAAGCAGTCGCAGCCCTCGCTCACAGCGAGCCTTCTTGGCCAAACGCAAAAGTGGCAAAGATGTGGCTCACGGCTCGAGTTCGAAACGGACCAAACGAGCTGACGATGAGCTCTCCGCATCTGAAAAGGTAAAACCCAACCATCTCAACACAGTCTCTGTCTTTCGTCGCCACCAAAGCCACGTCGCTGACTAGCATTCGCCGCCTTCCCCCTCTTGCACCTCTCCAGAGTGTCGAGGCATTGTACCCTACCAAAGCGCCGAACCGGGGCCCATCGCCGCGAGCACTCGATGATACGAGATCGACAACAGCCGACAGTCGCTCCGGTGAGCCAGGCGGAGAGCTCGCCGACTCCGCCTCGGAACGAGTGCTATCGCTTGACGAGATCGACACTTTTCTGGACCTGATCTACAAGCATCACCCCGATCCTATGACCGCAGAGACCATGCGACAGAGCGTCGACGCACTCTACCACGACTGGGAACAGTACTGCGCCCGCCGTCGAGTCCCGGTTCGACTCACCAAGAAGCCCCTTATGGATGAGTACGGCAAGATTTTCAATGGCGTCTATGGCTCCGACTTTCAGGCCAAGGCTAAATCTATAGCGGAAGCCGTGTTCCAAAGGTCAGCAAGCGAACAAGACGATGAACGCCGCGACAACGGCGATCGAAACAGTGCAGCAAAGTCAATGACGGATGGCGACACTGATGACGACGACGAGGAAGACAAAGGCGACGGTAATGATTCCACATTCAGTACGGAAAAGAGCACGGCAGCGGGGAAGTCAGGTCAATCGCAAGTGCCACCGTCCGGGAAAGGAAAGGTGGGCAAAGGTCAAGTCGCAGCTGGGGCCGACGAGCCAGGCACACCGTCCAAGAGTTCCATTGCTCAAAAAGGTCGCAACGGTCTTGCCGTCCTCCCCCCGGGCTTGTTCGACATTCTGCGCACGCATCTTCGCGACGACATCTTGGCGAGCATCATGCCCTCGGTGCGCAACGAGCTCACCGAACAAACTCGCGAGCTTTTCTTGCAGAATCAGGATCTGTTCGGCCGACTGAAAGAGATGGAAGATCGCATCCGCAACCAAGACCTGTGGATCCGACATTTGCTCTCCCGCGACCCGCTCGAACCGGGTGCATCCCCCGTTGGACCGCCCGCGACATTTGCTGGGATGCCTCGTGCCGATCCTGCCTCTGCCTCAGCTGCGAGACCAAGACCTCTCACCGGAGGAGCGAGAGAGTCCAGCAGCTTTGGCCGACCACCTCCTCAACATGGATTCCGTCGTTCAGACGGCGATTCCGGGGATGGCGTCCCCATAGGCGACTATAACAGTGGAGGTAGACCGATGTCGCCGCGACAGCATTCCCGCGATGGTCCGCGGCACTTCCCTGAGCAAGGCATGACGGGCCCGCATCCTCTCGAAGGGGGAGCTTCCTCTGCAATGACGGTACCTCCATCCGGCTCGGGTCAAGGTCTTGGTCCTGGGCCTGTGGTTGCCTTTGAGTCTGTTCGATGGCAAGGGACACATCGTGCAGGTCCACCCCGCGATCGCGCACCCACGGATGGGCGGCCTTCGTACGTCGGCGAATCGCCTCATCGCAGGCCGGGCTCCGGACCAGCTGAAACACAGCAGTTCCACCCATACACGAACGAGCCGCACGATCCATATCAAATGCGGTACGAGCCTCATCCTGACGCCGTCCAGTACATGCCTCTGCATCGACACTCTATCGCTGATCCTCGACGTCTGAGCACTGTAAGCGGGGGCAGCGTGGTCCCTGCAGGGCAACGCGGCTCGGCGCCGGGACCATCTCAACCCTCCATGGGGCCAGCAGCTGCAATCGGCGCGCACGACGACTTTCGACGATCTGGCCCACCGACCGTCCAGCGTGAGCCTGTCCCTCCGCCTTCTGAGCCAAGCTACGACATTCGACGACCATCGCATCCGAATCTGCCTGCCAGCCATTCGGAACCGTACTTTTCCAGCGGTCATGAGACGATCCGGACGCCTCAAGCGCCCAGATCGATGGCGGTGGGATCGTCACCCGTGCAGATCCCAAAGAACAAGCGCGGGCGACCGAGCAAGGCCGAGATGGCCAACAACAGGGTCGGCGAGCTTGGCGGCGGTGGTGGCGCTCAGCCTCGGCCTTACATGTCGTAGCGCTCTTGGCTTTCAGGTATCTTCCAAAAGTACGAGACTTCGCCGTTTCGTGCCCTTGCACCACAGACATCTCGTCCATCGACAGAGTCAGCACGCTGTAGAACCTCGCTATCCTAGGCCTCTCTAATCAGGTCGAATCTAATTTGTACACTTTCTAACCATTATACGCAAAGAGTGATGTTCTTTTCTACAGGAGCGTGGAGGCTGTCCGATGCAAAAGCGGAAACGAAGCATTAAGGAGTAGGCTAGCCGGAGCAGACGGGCAGAGTGGTGTTGTTCTCCCTGGTAAACGCCAGAATATGATCGTTGATCACCCTGTGGGTGAAGCCCACCTCGCAGTAAACAAAGTAGTAGATCCATTTTCGGCGGAACACATCGACTTCCTTCTGCTTCTGCGCCTCGGGGAGACGGCTGATCTCGTCGTGATCCCGGAGCAGGGCGGGGCGGATGACGTCGTCAAATTGGGCCTCGAAGCGGTTCTTCCACTCTCGGAGGGTGCGTGCGTAGTGCGGACCGATGGAGACGAGCGTGTCGAGGATGAGGTTGCCGTTGCTTCCGTCGGTCGCGCCGTTGACCAAAGAGGTGACGCTGGGAAGAACGCCACCTGGGAAGATCCACTTGCGGATGAAGTCGACGCCCTTGTAGTATGCCTCTGCGCGAGATTCGGGCATGGTGATGCATTGGAAAACCGCAACTCCCCCATTGCGCTTCAGCACGCGATCGACACACCCAAAGTACGTGGGCAGGAACTCGATCCCAACCGCTTCGAGCATCTCGATCGAGCAGACGCGGTCGAAGCTGTCGTTCCAGCTGCTGGGGAAATCGCGGTAGTCCATCAGGTGGACGCGGATCTTGCCCTCCATCCCCGCCGCGGCGATGCGCTGTTCCGCCAGCGCCTTCTGTTCGACCGAGAGGGTGACACTGTCGACCGTGCAACCGGTAGTTCGCACCGCTTCCATCGCAAACGATCCCCAGCCGGTGCCGATCTCGAGCACGCGATCGCCCCGACGGATGTTGGCGCGCTTGATGATGAGACGCAGCTTGGTCTTCTGCGCCTCCTCCAGCTCGTCGTACTCTTTGCCCGGGATGGCCTCAATCTCTGACGGCGGCGTCGGCAGATCGCCCGTGAAACGCAGTGGTTCAAACACTCCTTCCGCCTCCTTGCTGTGTCCGTTGGTAGCCGTCCCCCGCTCTCCGCGAACCGTCTTGTTCAACCCTTCCAGCAGCAACCCGTTCGTATCCGCATCCAACGTGTCGAACACCGCACACGAATACGTCATGTCGGCACTCAAAAACGCCTGATACATGGCATTGGAAATGTCGTAGTGGGCGCCGATGTTGCGGAGACTGCCGACCTTTGTGTTTGCATAGCGTTTGTTGAGCATCCCTTGGGTGGCGCTGACGAGCTTGCTTGCGACACTGACGGATTCCAGGTTGGACAGCGAGGAACGGTTGAGGATGAACAGATCGAATACCGCAGCGAGGTCGGGTGTCGAGACGTCACCGATCATGTAGGCTTCGGCGAAACCTAGGTCGGCCCCGAAGAACATGCGCGTCCAGAAGGCGTCGGATTTGACTTCCAAAACGGCATGGGGGATGGATGAAGACGTCGGGGTGGTGGACGAAGCGGAGTGCTGCTTGCTCTTGACCAGTGTGGGATCGCCAAAGCGTTGCGTGGTGCCATCGAGATGACGGATCTCGAGCGAGCCGACGGTGAGCTTGGAGAAGAGCGAGAGAATGGTGCTGCGCGCCAGGGCCGCGGTGGGCCTGGCAAGGGGGGCGAGCAGCATCGACGGGACAGGGATCGAGGGGAATAATCCGGTCATCGTGGCGGATTCCGTCTAGGGTAAGGGAGACTTCGGTATGTCTATGGTATATCGAGCGTGTCTTGGATGGAAACCTTCGTGTATCGAGCACGTCTGACGCGAAACGATTGCTGACTGGGGGCTCGGATCGTGGATGGAAGGAGAGAGGGGGCCACGTTGAGGCGGCTTGCAATCCTAAAATGGAGCGAGATGAATCGAGGACAAGGTTCTATAGGAGGATGGAGGATGATGATGAAGCAGGGAGGATAGGATGGATGGGAGGTTGCCAAATGGAACGGATACGCGGCCAGAAGCAAGATTAGGTGAGGGTGTCCACTGTTGCGGAACGGGGCACAAGTAGGGACCGCAAATGCCGCGGATCAAGGCATTCTGACAGACACGGACATATCTCAGCTGACGGAATCGCAGACACTCGCACGGACGTGGAAGGACCCAGAGCCCCAAGCGAGCGACAGACTGAGATGCCCAGCTCCGATAGCCGAAGCAGACCAAGCGAGGAGGAGGATGCAAAGCGAGCGGCAACTGAAAGTGTCGAACGGAGCGAGGCGGAGAGGAGGGTGAAGGAAGATCAGGCGATTTCCCACGTTCCGAAAAGGGTCGAGGAATGCAAGGATCCGCGGACTGCTTGTTGGACAGGCCGCGCCATTCATAGTCACCTTCTGGATGATTCTACCGGGTATCGTGGCAGAGAGATCTGCCTGTGTGAGGTCCAGACGCCAAAGTGGGGCTTTGAACGTAGAGGACGGACGTGGGATCGGGAAGGAGAGCAAGCAGAGAGAGAGAGAGAGAGACAAAGTGCCTTGCTCAAAGAATGAGATGGCTTGCTGCACCCTGCATAAATGAGACGCTGTCGCGGCCGCTCTGACTTGGTCCATGTTGTTTCTTCGATAGACCACAAAGCTTTCATTCTTTGTCCGTGCCTAGCATTGCCCTTAGAATCTCAAATGAGCACATACCATGGGAGCAAAATGAAGCGCAGACCGATGACGATGCTCATGCTTTGTGTACCAGGTGGGATAAGGTTGGGTGACAGCCGAAGGTCGAAGTGTGACTGACGGGATGCATGCTTACCTTTGCAGCCTGGGCGGACTTGCCGCGATCGCCGGGCGCGTCGCATCTGCATCCAGCTGCAGTGGCGCGGTCTAACAAAAACAAACGATCTTGCAGTAGCAATGTTACATCCTTCCTGCATAGTCCCTTGGGAAAGAAAAGGTGTATCGGCGATCTATAATTTCATCTGCCGATGTCACATGGCCTGGTGTATTTTTAGCCCGAACCGACAGGCACAGCTTGTGGAAAGCGGAGTGCGCGAGCGGCACCTCGTGCGAATGCGCACGTTCCAATTGCGCCCAACCTCTGCTGTTCCTGCTGACGAATGGAGTGCATCTCCCTCTTCGGGTTCTAGAACGCACGCACACTTGCGAATGGGACGCGCATACTTAAGCTTCAAGGAACCATCACCATTGTCTCGAGCTGCGACGGGGGTCCTGAGGGGAGACTGAGCAAGCGACCGCGAATCAAACGTGTCGGCGCAAGGGTGACGATGGGGTGGTACAGCGATCAAAATGGCCAACGATGCACGCCGGCTGCCGTCGGCATCCCCCTGCCTGCTGCTGCTGACGATGCTGCCGGTCAATGAGTCGTCGGTGTCGCTGTGAGCATACGATGCCGAAAGCTTAGTGCGAAACGCGGCGGAGTGTTGGTTAATTAATGCACCGCCCGGCCAACTTTGAGGCATTTCAAAAAAGAGCCAAAATTTCATCATTGTTCGGCGCTGTTTGGATTCATGCAAGTCGAGCAATAGCGCATCGGCAGTGTCTGATGGACGGCAGTCGCTGTACAGTACAAAGTGTTGTTGTTTCCATGCACACGGTCATAGTCTCGGCCAAGATTCTTGCGTCGTGCCGAACCCAAAGAAGGCGTGTGTGTCTCTTTTCCTTCTCCGCTGTCTCGATGAAGTCACACGTTGTCCAACGTTGAAGCCTGCACTCCCTTTCAAGCGAACCAAGTGAGCAAGGGTACACCGGCGTAATGGCGTCAGACGCAGAATAGGACGCACAACCGACAGCAGCGCCTCATGCCTGTCAGCTTGAAGCCTGCACTTGAGACTCCCTTCGCTTGATGTGTCCTGCGAACAGACCCTTGAACGCTGTCTGCTCACCACCACCGCCACCATCTGCGTCCCTGTCTGTCCTACCATCACCATCCTGGAGCATACAAAGCCCTGCCTCTCTCCAAAGCAATGCTCTCCGCCGCTCTATAGACGCACAGCTAGCACGGACGCCCGCAGCGGTCTCCACACGCAATGCAGCTCTGCCCTCGCGCTGCAGCGCAGGCGCTTCACTCGCCCCCGGAGCTCCATCAGCGCGAGTACAAGGACAATGTAGCCTACTTCGATCAAGACGACGACGTCCCCCAGTATGCGCTACATTCCTCCAAACGATTCGGACCCGACCAAGAGCCACTGTTGGAGTCACAGCTGCCGTCCACCGAAGGCGCCCAGGCATCCCCCAGCCAGTCCCCCGCAGCCTCCTGCTTTCCTCGCTTCTTGGCAAGGCTCGTCAGCACGACCTTGCCTCGCTCTCGATCGGCGGGTCATACGAACAGCGCATCCACTCGACCACGCAGGGCCTGGCTGCCCGTTCTGCTCATTGCCAATCTCGCCATCACTGTGACCGCATTCATCGCCGCCTGCGTCCACTACAACACTTTCTCAGCCCTGTTCCTCTACCTCGCGCTGCTCATCGTAGCTTTCCCCATTCTCTCGCTCTCGCTGCTTGCATCCAACCGTGATTCGGACAACTACGTCCTTCGGCTCCCCGACTTCTCCCCTTCTCTTGGTCCACACCGCGATCAGTCGCAATCATCGTCCTCGAGCGGCCTCTTCAGCCGATCAGCCAGTCCTCCGCTGCCAACCGCAGCCAACGTTGCCTCAACAAGACGGCTCAGATCGTGCCGCCTTGGTCACCTCCAGTCCTTCGCTCGAGCTGCACAGTACGTCATGGCTGTCCTCTGGTTCCTCGCCATCGTAGAATGGGTTTTCTTCCAACCTCTTCGTCCTCAGACCAATGCACCAACCGGAGATGAGATGATGTCATGGATCAATGCATCGCCTACGGCCGGTTCCGCACCCGCACAACCGATAAGAGTCTTCATTGTTTCCAATCTGTACAACAGCGAGGAGATCTTGCCAACGTACACCTCGTCGCTCAAGAGCCTTATCAACGAGCTCGGTGCCGACAATGTCTTCGTGTCCATCTACGAGTCGCACTCGACCGACAACACCAAGCCCATGCTTGTTGAGCTCGATCGGGATCTTGCGCACATGAACGTCAGCCGTCGCGTCCTCACCGACGACAAGGCGATTCGTAAGGGCAAGCACTCGCTGGTGTCAGATCGTGTCGACTTCCTCGCCAATGTCCGCAACACGGCAATGCAGCCTCTCGCCGATACCACTGAGAAGTACACCCACGTGCTCTGGATTAACGACGTCGTCTTCACGCCCCAAGATGCACTCAACCTCCTGCGTACCAACAATGCGCGGTACGACCAGGCGTGTGCAATGGACTTTATCGGCAACGGCTTCTACGACACCTGGGTCACGCGAGACGCCGAGGGAGACACGCTCAAGCGACAGTGGCCCTACTTCAAGCGAGTCGAAGACGTACAGGCGATGCGAGAGGGGCGGCCCTTCGAGGTCAATTCGTGCTGGAACGGCATCAGCGCCTTTGACGCAAAGTGGTTCTACCCTGCCAACTCCTCCTCCCTCCCACCAGCCGGCGAGGGCGCAGACGAGGACGGACCGGTCATACTTCCGCTCCAGTTCCGAGCCTCCTCCACGTGCCTCTCATCCGAGTGTCAGTTGATCTCCTACGATATCCACCGCGCAGTCTACCCGGCACGCCCCACCATCCTCATCAACCCAGCCGTCAAGGTGGCCTACAACACCAAGCACTATTTCATGTACAACAAGCTCATCCCTTCGCCGATACTGCGACCCTGGAGGATCATCTGGCGCGACTGGTTCGCGTACAGACTCTTTGGCTGGGTCACAGAGGGTATGCGGTGGGCTAACGAGTGCAAGGCCAAGCAACACTACTGGGCTGCGCCCACACCTCTGACTGCCGCTGCTGCATAGATGCATTTTCATTCATTGCTAATGGACAATCACTCTCATTTTTGTTCTGAGGCATAGTCACTGGGAAAGGAAGCTGTCTCGGCGAGCCTGCTTGTGTCGAGCGGTCAGCTCGGGGTGATCATGTCCGCTCATCACGTTCCTATTTTGCGAGGTCAAGTCGGGACGTCAGATGTTGGATGCGCGGATGGTATTTCAAATTGGATCTGCCGTTCAACACGCAGACTCCATGCGCGCACCATATGCAGCCCCAGCAAGGACACAGAGCTTTAGCTGAATGGTTCATACCAGACAAACGCCTCGGAGCGACGCCTTCGGTGCCTGGTCAAAACGTGCCCTCGCCTAACTCGGTGTGCATTTATGGCGGGACCAGCTCTAATTGCCGCCTTCTGCCGTGACTGAATTTTTTGACAGCTGAAAAAGGGTCCGTCCGAAGATCTTCTGCCGGCGGCTCTTTGGCGGGCTGGGTGGCATTGCAAGATTTGAGTTCGGCTAGGGTGTATATGCACCGGATGGAACGTGGGTGGCGGACTTCATTCCGCACTGAGTGACGGCAGCGGTGCGGTTTGTGGACTGACTTGCCGTCGGCTCGGGATTGCCAGCCGCTGATCGAGAAGAGTATGAACGGCGGTGGCTTGGAGAGGCTGAGAAGTCAACTCGAGTCTCCAGTCGAGATGGTATGGATCTATAAAGGGCCAGCAACGCATGAATGTACATTCTGACCTGCCGCTCACACATCATACTTCCGTCTTTCAAAGATGTTGACCAACTTCAGGACTCTCTACGCAGCGCTCGCGCTCGCGTTCGCGCTGGGTGGCACCGTCCAGGCGCTCGCGCCTGGCTTCAAGCCCTCCTTGCCCTTCTCGCTCCCACCGATTCCATCGAACCTCCCTTCGTCGCCTACCGGCAGCACTCCTGCCTTTCCCGGTGGCCTACCGGTGCTGCCTTCTCCAGCACAATGGGCCGACGCTCGTTTGAACGACTATCGCCCGTCCAAGGCGCGTCTTGCCTACCGCGGCGACCAGGGGATGGCGGTCTCGTGGTCGACACCCAAGCAGCTGCCTCTCCCTGCGGTGCTCTTTGGTAAGACGCCTTCTCTCCTCGATCGCATCGCCACGAGCACCACTTCGATCACCTACAATACCTCGACGTACTACTCGAACCACGTGATTCTCGACGGTCTCGAGCCGAACAGCAAGTACTACTACCTCCCCATCCTCGGTGATCCCGTCAAAGATGTGCGTTCGTTCACCACGGCCTACACACCCGGTGACACCACACCGTACACCATTGCCGTCGTCGCCGATCTAGGGACGATGGGATCGCTCGGTCTGTCGGATCACGTCCCCCCCGGCGCCGCCAACCCGCTCACCACCGGCGAGATCACCACCATCCAGCGCCTTACCATGACCCAAACCACCTACGACCACATCATGCACGTTGGCGACATCGCCTACGCTGACTACTGGCTCAAAGAAGTGGTTCTTGGCTACATCAACGGGTCCATCGCCGCAGGTCCGCAGCTGTACGAGCAGATCAACGAGGAGTTCTACGACGAGATGGAACCTCTCACCTCCTCCCTCCCCTATCATGTTCTGCCCGGAAATCACGATAGCAACTGCGACAATTCCGGGTACAAGAACTATACCGAGTCCATCTGCCCTCCCGCCCTGACCCACTTTACAGGGTACAACCAGCACTGGAACATGCCGAGCGATCTCAGTGGGGGGTTCAAGAACATGTTTCACAGCTACGATGTGGGGATGGTGCACTATGTGGTGTATGATACGGAGACGGATCTGGGTGGTGGTCTTGTTGGGCCTGAGGATGCTGGTGGGTCGAGTGGTGCCAATGATGGTCCTTTGACGAGTGGCTCTGCGCAGATGGATTTCTTGCGAAAAGACCTGGCCAGTGTGGATCGAACAAAGACGCCTTGGGTCATCGCCGCCGGTCACCGACCATGGTACATGGCAGCAAAGAGCTCCAGCTTGTGCACCGTGTGCCAGACGGCCTTCGAGCAACTGTTCAACGATCACGGTGTGGATCTCGTGCTCAACGGTCACCAGCACAATATGCAGCGTCAAACACCCCTCCTCCCCGGTGGGGTCATCGATCCGAATGGTCTGAACAACCCCAAGGGACCAATGTATATCTTGACGGGCGCCGCCGGCCACTTTGATGGTCTTGACGCTGCCAAGACGCCCTTCCCGGCCTACACCCAGTTCGTCAACGATACCCTCTATGGGTTTAGCAGGCTCACCTTCCACAACCGCACACACCTGACGCACGAATTTGTAAGCTCAAAGACGGGTAGCGTGCTGGACAGCGCTACGCTGTACAAGCAGCACTAGGCTGCCCTTTTCTCCCGAAGCAAGAGGCTCAAATTGCAATGCGACTTTGTTTCTTCAGAGTTGCGTTTGATTGTGTGAGTGGGTCGAAGGGATGTGCGAGAGCCGAGGCGGCGGGCGTGTGGCTCGTGTGAGCACCCGTCTGTTCGAGCTGCCTCGCGACCCGACTCGATTCGCGTATGGCAGCTGGCGGCGGAAATGCTGAACAAAGCGCACGTGTGCAAGCGGGCAAGTACTAAGATGCTCGTCGGCGTACAGGCAACGTCGTCTTGCCGACGCGCAAGCTCGCTCACGAAGCCCACATTTCACCGCCTCGGGTCACAAGCTGAGCAGTCCTAGGTGAGCAAGGAAGACGAGCAGGAACGAACCACGCAGCGTGCGCTCGAGTTCCACAGACCGCCAGACGATCCGTAACAAGACGACACGAACATCACAGACACGCTATCGTAGAATGCAAAAATGACTGGAATTGAGAAACGACGAACAAACGCTTACGACGAAGCCATGATGGGGCGGTCGGCGGCCTTGGGTGCACCCACAGCCATGTCCTTCTTGATCTGCGAGATGGCCTTGCCGGGGTTGAGGTTCTTGGGGCAGGTCCTGGAGCAGTTCATGATGGTGTGGCAGCGGTAGAGCGAAAAGGTGTTTTCGAGCTTCTGTCTCCGCTCCTCGCCAAAGTCGTCACGGGAGTCGGCCATCCAGCGGTAAGCCTGCATGAGGACGGCAGGTCCGAGGTATTCGTCCTGGTTCCACCAGTAGGAAGGGCAGGAGGTGGAGCAGCAAGCACAGAGAATGCACTCGTAGAGACCGTCGAGACGACGACGCTCCTCGGGCGACTGCAGGTGCTCGCCCTCAGCAGGGGTGTTGTTCGACTTGAGGAAGGGCTCGATCGAGCGGTACTGCTTGTAGAACTGCGTCAGATCCGGAACGAGGTCCTTGACGACGTACATGTGCGGCAAGGGGTAGATCTTGGTGTCGTTGGCCTTGTCGATCCTGCAAAGGCAGGCGAGGGTGTTGACACCGTCGATGTTCATGGCGCACGAACCGCAGATGCCCTCACGGCACGAGCGACGGAAGGTGAGCGAAGGGTCGATCTCATTCTTGATCTTGATGAGCGCGTCGAGCACCATGGGGCCCGTCTGGTTGAGGTCGAGGGTGTACGACTGCAGGCGGGGCTTCTCAGAGGGCTTGTCAGGGTTCCAGCGGTAGATCTTGAACTGCTTCAAGTGCTGGGGCTTGCCCGAGCTGGAGGGGGCATCGCTGGTGGGCGTGGCGAGACGCGCAGCGGCGGTTGTGGTGAAGGCGGCCGCGCGCGAGGTGCTGGCGATGGAGGGTCGGAGGGCGGCGCGAAGGCCGCTGCTGACGGTGAACAGTGACATGGCGTGTATGTGTTGTCGGTGTAGGGTAGGATGATGGTGGTGAGCGAGAAGCGTCGTGATGGCGTCGAGAGCAACTCACTGCACTGGCGGCTGGCTGACTGACTTGCGCGCACAACCTTCGCCCCCCGCACACCCGGAGGATTTGCTAGGAGAGTGCGACGAGGGCAAGAGACTGACGAGCAGTGCCCAAATTTAGACTGCTTCTCACACGGCGCTGTGCTGTACTGATTTTGGTGTGGCTCTGATTAGCAAAACACGTTGGCGGCTTGTAGCGGCTTTTCTGGTGTCTGACTGAAATTGGCTTTGAAATCGACTCGACTCTGATTGGATCCGTCAAGCCGAGTCGAGCGCAATTGCCAGGCTGCAAGCGCCTTTTGGAGTCTGAAAACAGATGAAAGCGAGCGAGGCAGCAGAGCGCTTCCTTGCCACCCTCTTCACCGAGGCGAAATTATTCTTCCACCTGCCTCTGCTGGGCTGACATAATTCCCCTCAAGCGTGTTGCCCTCGTCGCATTTCCCCGCCGTTTCCTGCCGAAGCTTGAATTTCAGGGAACTGTTAGACCTTGCAGAAAGAAAGTCTCCGCGATGACCCGACTCTTGAGCTGTGTTTGTGCTATACAAACGATCCAACATCTCGAGGCGGAAAATCGGGACCCGCTCCACACGTCCTGTTTGACATCTTTGCAATGTTTGTGCTCAGCTTCAACTAACATCTCTATCACGACGACGCAATGGCGGACTCGGGGGCTGAGGCAAGCCGCCCCAGAGACGACCGCAAGGGCCGAGAAGCGGAAGGTCAATCGCCGAGACACGAGTCCAGCTCAAGGCATGCAAGCCGACACGAGAGGGAACATCGTCGCGAGGAACCCCGAGAGAGGCGTTCGCGTCCGCATCGAGACAGTCGGGACAAGGACAGACACGAGAGGTCTTTCCATCGCGAGAAAGATGGCAGAAGCAGACATCGGGACGGGGTAGAGGACGAGGGACGGGCAAGCTCAAGCTCCAAAAGACACGGAGATGGCGAGGACAGGGACCGAAAGAGTAGTAGGAGCCGTCGCGACGATGACGACCGCTACCGCTCTTCAAGAGGGAGCTCGAGACGTGAACAAGAACACCATCGCTCGGGTCTACAGCACTCTTCATCAAGTCGCCGACATCGAGACTCGGTCGATCCTTCTTCTCGCGACCGAAAGGACGCTGTCCGCAAGCGCTCTCGGTCGCGCTCGCCGAACAATCATGCATCAACCTCCAGCAGCCGCCCCCCAGCACCTCGATCTCCGCCACCCCAAGCATACATAGATGGACCGATAGAAGAGGACATCGACGAAGACGCACCCAACTTCGCTCCTTCAGGCTTGCTCGCCGCCGAGTCCAACACGGTCAATGGCGTGGCGCTCAAGTACCACGAGCCGCCCGAAGCGCGCAAGCCCAAATCCACCTGGCGCATGTACTGCTTCAAAGACGGCAAGGAGCAAGAAGTCCTCCACCTCGGCGCACAATCCGCCTATCTCCTCGGCCGCGATCGCACAGTCGTCGACATTCCACTCGACCACGAATCGTGCTCCAAACAGCACGCCGTATTGCAGTTCCAACAGACGATCACGACGAATGAGTTTGGAGATAGGAAGAAGCGCATCGGGCCGTTCCTCATCGATCTCGAGTCGAGCAATGGGAGCTACGTCAACGAGAACGAGATCCCGACTTCGAGGTACTATCAGTTGCGCACGGGAGACACGTTGACGTTTGGCGCGAGCACGAGGGAGTATGTACTCTTGGACGAATCTGCAGCTTAAGGGCAGCCACGCACAAAGCCTGGACGGCATGTTTTGATGCTCTGTTGTTACAATGTTGCAATGTTGCAATGCTAGTATCGTTCATTGATGGTCTCACAACTCCTCTACGTAGTTGGAAGGGACGATGGCTGTGCGACCGTCCTTGATCACCTCGCACCAACCGTCTGCATAGCTCATTCCTGTTGCGGTCAGCTCGAGCCGCTCGCCTTCCGACAGCGAGTGTTCGTCCATGCCCTGCGCCGCGTAATCGTAGAGCGCCTTGACGAACAGGCCACAGCCTTGTGTCGCTGGCATAGCTTTTGCGCCGTTGTATCCTGTGTCTTGTGTTGTCGCTGTTGGTGCCGCCGTATGATTGCTGAAGTCGCAATAGGATGTCGGAACGAGACCTTCTCTACCCGCGCCTGCGCGAACCTTGATCCAGCCACTACCGTCGACGTCTTCTTCCAGCATCTCCACCGACTCGCCCTCGACAACGTTCAGCTCGTGGGGACTGGATGCTTCGAAGGCAAATAAGACCCTACCCGTGGGACCTTTGTCGCCGCTGTTCGGGGCCGCCTGACTCGCTGTGCTCCGTGTCTTTCCACTTGCAAAGATACCACTGGAGCGATTCGACCGACTGATACTGCTCGAGGCCCGTGGAGAGCCCGTGCTGGCAGCCACTCCACCCCCCGGCGCAGCCTTGCATTCCGCAGGCACCTTCATCTCGCACTTCTGATGCACCGTGTACCCACACGGCTTGCACACCGACCCCTTGCTGGCCAGTCCCCAGATCTTGTCGCCGCACAAATCGCACTTGGTCGGGATGCCGAACGAAGCGGGCTTGAATCGATGCGGTCTTGCCTGGCTCTGATCGCCGCCGATATTGGCGGTGATGGTCTCTACCTCTGCCTCGAGGTCGTGCAGCTCGATCTCGAAGCCGAACAGCGTGCGGACACTTTCAAAGAGATTGTCTATTACTTCGTCGGGATTACCGAGGTCGGACTGCTTCTCGTAAGCGTCGCGTAGGTTGCGCAGGCCTTCGACTTCCTTGAGCTTGGCCTCTGCGAGGGGCTCGAGCTCAGCGATGCGGGTTCGACAGCGGATCAGCCGGTTCTGGAGGAAGGTAACGGCGGAGGGCTCAGTCGACATCTCGCCTGTATCGAAGAAGCCAGAGCACGGCTCGAAGGTCCAGCCGCCCGGTTCCTGCCACCGCTGCTGATTGTGTTGGGCGAAGAGGTTCTGGTCCTGCACCGGATCGACTTGGGACGCCTTGAATTCGAGATCGCGATGCTTCTTGGCGACGAGCTCGTGATGCGCTGCGAAGACCGACTGTGCTTTTGCCGTAGATGTGGCAAATCGATTGGTCGACAGCGTCCACAACGACTGTAGGCTGTTCTGCACCACAGGCAGGTCGTTGCGATAGAAGCGCTGCTTGGCGCTATTGGAGACAGAGATCTGAATGAGGTAGCTGTTCTTGCCGTTCCACATGTCCATTTCTGCCGACTGGAAGGCTTTCGCTGCACGATCCGCATGCTTATCTCCTGAAGCTGCCTTCTCTCGCTTCTGTCGCTGCGAGTCGAGCTCGTGGCATAGCTCATCGTACTTGGCCTTGGCCTTGTCCTTAGCCGAGTAGGTCGTTTCGCGATCCGAGAGAAGCTTATTGGCGTAGGAAGTGTGCTTCTTCCGCAGATCCTCGCGCGCCTTCGTGCTAACATTCATCTTATTCGAAATGTCATCGAGCGTAGAAGCGAGGCTGCCGTGGTCGGCAGCGGTCGCATCGTGTGTCGAGTAGAGATCTGTGATGTGCGTGCCCAGGGTGGACTGAGCATGCTTCCATTCGATCGTGGGCGTTGGGCCAACGGAGATGTCCTGGTCACGTTTCGCTATCTTGTCACGATACTTGCGCACAAGCGATTGTAGCTTGGCGGCATAGTCCCGTTCGATGGCAGCTCGTTCGGCGAGGAAGGCAGCGACGTCGGTCTCAAGCGAGAGCTGCGCCGAGAGTGCGGCTGCGATGGTCGGCAACTGATCTGGGAGCTCATGACCAAAGTCGATCGCCGTCGCGCTCATGCTGAATCGCCTTGCCTTCCGCTCTTGCAGGTTGTCGTCGACGATATGGGGATGATGGAAGAAGCAAAGGGTCAAAGCGAACAATGCCAAGCCTCGACCATCACCTGTTGAGAGTCACAGGTGGAGGCTGGGCTGTGCTTTTGCATGCGCTCGAGCGACATCACGCAGCTCAGTTCAGGGTCCGAACTTTTTAGGAGCCGTTTCGTGACCTGCATTTCATCACCGCTTTTCAGCAGACTCAGCACGCTTGTGCCTGAAGAATGTCGAGCGATGCATGACCGCTCGTCGCATACACACTCTGCGAAGGCTATCTGGTCCTGACTAGGTATATTGGAGCGATATCGGACAGGAAAGACATTGAGTATCATGAAGCCGTGGAGCAACGACTGATTAGACTGCGTGCGCCGCCTCCTTGTCTTGCATGGTGGCCGAATCGTTGTTGAGCTCGTGCAACCTCGCGTTGCCTCTAGACTCGGAGCGGGCGGCGAAAACACTCTTGACCAGTCGGACGACTTCGACGATCCAAAAGACAGCGTAGAGACCCACTTGGACTCCCACGTCGATCATCTCGTCGCTAAGCAGGTATTCGGTGCCAAGGCGGTCCTCGACGCCGACGAGCTTGCTGAACCCGCCGAGGGAGACCGAGGTGAAGGTGAGCAACATGGACCAGAAGGCGACGATGGTCAAGCTGACTGCGATGGGGCTCGAAGTGCGCAAGTGCATGAGAACGAGCACGATGAGAATGCCAGCGAGGTTGAAGGGCAGAAGACCAACGCCTCGATTGGCCAGCGCTAGCCTTACGATTTGCAGGATGTCTGTGGGTTTATAGCGAACACGTTTGTCGAGTTGAACGTCAGTGAGCTTGCCAGCTTGTCAGTCTGCCGGAAAGGCGGCGGTCACTTACTCATCAGAAGCGCTGCAACGACCAGCAGCATGTAGAGCACGTCGAGGCCGGTGCGCCACTTGGTGTGTCTGCCACTGAACTTGCTCTCGTTGCGGTAGGCAGCGGAGCGATAGTGAATCAGGCCTGAAGTGGTGCTGGAGCTCGATCGCCTGCGCTTTAGCGTCACGGCCAGCAAGGGCAGCAGCACCAACAGCAACACCCATGTTGCCAGCGGTTCGAGCACCACATCGTTGAAGCAGGTGGTGGTCAGACCCTCGGGCTTGGACGAAGCGAATGCGAATTGGTTGTCGTATCGCAGCCCGCAAAGGGTGCGGTGCACTTTGGGTGGGTCGCGGTTGACCATGGCAGAAGGCATGTTTCCCATCGTTGCGAGTTTGCGGGGAGCGAAGGTGGACAAAAGGGCAGTGTCGAACTCGGATGGTGGTGGTCGATCGTGAACAGATAGCTGCCGTTCATCGAGGGCGATACAATCGGCAGGAGGAGCTCGCATGCGTCACTGACCGCCGGCGAGCAACGTCAGCTGCATTGAGCTTGCTAACCACCGCCCTGTGGCCAAACAAGGCTGAGATGTCGGAGCCTCAAACATATGGAAACGGCGTATTGAAGATCTCTGGCTGCCGGTGTTTGGGCTGCTGCCGCTGCAATTTCGGAGCGAGGACCCTCCATCCATCCGTTGATTCGGAAGTGTAAGCTTGTGAAATAGAGTTGAACTTTCGCTGCTAGGCGGCAAGAGCAACACCTCCTGAGGCTCGTGACTGCAGTCTACCGTTGCAAAACATGGGCGCAAGTGGCATGATTTGCGATTCAAAGACAGCAGAGCCAACCTCGCCTCGCCTCGCCTCGCCTAGCCATGCCGCCGCCTGACTCGCTTGCAGGAGGTGGCCGCTCTGACTGCCGCCGGTCTTTGGTTCAAAACAGCAGCGAGAGGTTTTTGGTATTGCAACAAAAACAAAGGGGCTCTAACAATTCTCCGAGAATTGAAGTGGAGTCGACTGCCCTTCGGATGTCGGTTGTCAGCGTGGCGAGAAGAACCGACAAAGACATGCTGCCGACTGTGTTGTTCTCTCACCACCTTCTCCTAGCTCAGCTCTCCGCCTGGCGTCATCCTCCAGAATGCTCGGCACGCTTTCCAGAACGGCTCGTGCCGACCTCAAGTCGAGCCAACTCACCCTCGAGCACTTTCTCATGCGCTCGCGCACGCTCTCGCTCTATCGCAAGTATCTCAGGGCGACAAGAGACATTCCCAACCCACTCGCACGCTGGGAGACGATCCAGTTCTTTCGCGATGACGTACATCGATTCCGCCACGAGACCGACCTCGAAAGGATAAGGGACCTTCTCATGCAGGGTCACCGCTTCCTCAAGCAGATGCAGGGCCAGATGACGTTGGCGGGCGCGGCCTCAGACGGCAACGACAACAAGCTTCGAGGCACACGGCAGTTGTAAACTAGCGAATCAGGATCGACATATATACGGCATCATAGTATTGCTATGGATCTAAGTGGGAACGGTGCGCGACGTCTATCGTCTGTCTATCGAGGACGCTGATCAAGCCTCTTCGACCTCCTTCTTGACTTCCTTAGTCGGTCCCTTCAAAGCCGCGGCCTGGTCGGCGTGCTGCTTGGCGACAGTTTTAAGATTCAGCCATTCGATCAGCAGGAACGGAAGGATCGTAGCGACGGTCAGAGCAAGGGCAAGGTACCAGACGTGACGCAACGCAACGTTGAAGGCATTGATCACCTCGTCCAGCACCTCGGCCCCCAAACCATCGACTGCGTGTCGCAGCTCCGAAGCACCGGCCAGAGCAAGCTGCGCGCCACGGCCGTGGAGCTGCGGGATCTGCTCGAGCCCTTTGACGAGCCGACTCGACAGCAGATTCTCCCCCGCTGCGACAAAGATAGCGCTGCCCATCTCGCGCGCAAACATCAAAGCGGCAATGCCCAACGCTGCCTCGAGCGGTGGCAGCGCCGCCTGTACAGCGAGCGAGGAGCTGGTCATGCCGAAGCCCATGCCAATGCCGTACAGCACCTGGTATCCCACCCACTTGGCTTCGGATGTCGACGCTGAAAAAGTGGTGATCAGTCCTGCACCCACCGCACCGACGACGGGTGGGATCAGCATCTGCGGAGCATAGTGGCCCGTCTTCTTGGCGATCACGCCGCCAACGATGCTCGACACCACAAAAGGCGTGATGGATGCCAGAGTGCGATAGCTGCTCTCGATCGGGGTCGTTCCCCGCACTACTTGAAACCAGAGCGGCAGGTAGTAGAAGATGATGGTCATCGACGCGGCGAAGAACCACATGTACCAGAACGCACCCAGCACCGATCGCTGGGTGAACACCTTGGGCGGCAGCAAAGCACGATCCTGCATGTACATCTGCCATGCCACAAAGGCGAGCAAAGTGATGCCGAACACCACAAACAGCGCAATGACGCGCGGCTCTCCCCACGAAGTCGATGTCGAGCTGGACGAAGCCGCGCCGCCGAACTGCAACGCCAGGATCAAGCTGACGACGCTGCCGAGCACCAGAACGGCACCGATGGGGTCGAGCTGGCGGATCTGTTGCTTGAACGGCAGCATCGTCTTGTGTTTGTCCGCCGTCTTCTTGCCATCGAGGAAGAAGATGACCGGTACGACTGCGACGACGGCAAAGGGCAGATTGATGTAGAAACACCAACGCCACGAGACGTTCTGCGTGAAAGCACCGCCAAGCAACGGTCCCATGGCGGACGCAACACCAAAGATGGCGCCGACGCTAGCCATCGCGTTTGCGCGCTTGTCGAGCGGGACGATGGCCATGATGATGGAGATGAGGCCGTTGGTGATGCCTGCGCCTCCGGCACCCGCGATGGCCCGGCCAACGATAAAGGCGTTCGAGTTGGGCGCAGCACCGCAGACGGCCGAGCCGATCTCGAAGATGAGGACGGCGGTAAGGAAGACAGGCTTGACCGGGTTGCAGCGATAGATGCGTCCCCACACGAGCTGCAGAGCCGCGGTGGTCATCATGTAGGCCGAACCGTACCAGCCAATGTCACCCAGAGACTGGAACTCGCTCGAGATCGAGGGCAATGCTACGCCGATGATGGTCTTGTCAAGCGCCACCAAGAACATCTGCATGATGGACATGGTGAGGATCAGCGCGGTCCTGAATTTGGACAGGCCCTCTTCCTCGCCTTTGGGTTCGGCAGCAGGAGCGACCATGGGCTCCTTGGTAGTCTCGTGGCTCGAAGTCAAAGAAATCCGGCCAACGGGAGTCGTCTGTTGAGTTGCGTCGGTCATGGCGGATGCGGCACTTAGCGAGTCGACGATGCTTTGAGGAGGGGAACAGAGGAGGTGTAGCGCCTGTGTATGAGATCGCAAGGTGGGTAGGCGGATGTTGATGTCTCAATCTGGCAATCTGGACGACGAGATGTGCTCATCTTATACCTTTGGAGTCCCTCATACAAAGTCGTGGAGGCGTCAGCGAGACTCAGCAGCGCGGACGATAGTTGTAGCCGTCATACGAAGGAGTCACATCAACACCAACGGAACGCAGCATTCGAATTGATCTTGATCGGACTGTCGGACGTGTTGATCTCGCGTCCGGGACGGGTTCGGACGCTTCTAGCATCCGCTGTCAGGCTCGTGACAGCGCTCAAATTTGTGCTCCGTCGGAAACCACTTTCGCACTAAATTTGTGTCCGTGGAGCAAGTGTCGATCGGGGGCCGATCTCGGATCTCACCGTCGAAGTGTCCGCCCGCGCTCGCAGACAGCTGCTTGGTTATGCCCTTGCCTTCTGCAGCCGTTCGGTAAGCTCCTATGGTGACGGCGACAGTAGACCTCGGCTACGAATCCCAAATCGGAAGCGTGATATGCCTGTCTTAGCTGCGCGCCCCCCCTACCATGTGAACACAGACGAAAGAAACGCGCCGAGGCCACGCCAAGAAATTCCCTTTTTGAGGCTAAATTTCGTGCGAACGCTTTGGGTTAGGCTTCAGGCTGAAAGCATGGACGCCCTGCATTCGCAGATGGATCTGAAGTGTCGCGGGTACCCAAGGTTGAGCTATATATTGAGCTTCACTTGCTATCCGCTAACATTGGTGAGTGCTTGTGTAGGTGCTGGGCCACGCCGATCAAGGAGGGTCTGAGCTGCTGGCGTCGCGAAGGGAAAATCATGCCGAACACACGCGAGCGCAAAGGCCAGCCAGCCAGGCCGAAGGGCTCAGTCAAAAAATCCAATTGCAGCTCCGCGTGGAAACTTGAGTGAGCAGGAAAGGGTTTGGCGGGTCCGGCTTGGCTCTCTCCACACTTGGGCGTACGTTGTGCAATCGCTGCCATCATCTCCCCTCTCGTCCTCACCCTCTCGCTCCCACCAATCTTACTCAGCACCTCCGACACGTCAACTGGCTTGTTGCGTGGCTCTCCATCGCGACGGTCCCGGCTCTGCTTGCCAACTGAGCCCTCTTAGATCCCATCGGTCAGCTTCCGACGCTCCTTTACAAGCTCCTACGCAATCGGCTCTGTCCGATCGCTCTTGCTCCCCGCTGACTATCGCAGCACCCCAGCACCGGCGACGAACTCGATTCTCTGCGCAGGAAGTGCAGAAGCAGACCCAATCCTTGCTTCTCATCGGACGACTTCCGACCCTCGATCGTGCCTACACACTCATGTCTGCGTTGCTGACAACGCGCCCTTAGGCTTGGACTCAAGAAGACACTCAAATCAGCTCAGGCCAATCGCGTCCGCCGCATAGATTCGAGCAGTATCACAGTGGCACTCTCTCTGTCGAACAGGACGGAGCGTTTCACAATGTGGCAGCGGTACTCGACTTTGATAGCGTTGCTGGCTTGCCTCGCTCTGTCCACCTCGACGGCTGCCTTTCCAATCACCGTCTCTGTCTCGCAGCAGTGCGCGCCGCTCAACGTCACCTGGAAAGCCGAACCGCAAGCTTTCCCATACACGGTCTGGATCGCAGCCAATCACGGCTTTGTGCAAACCTACCGCATCAACAGCGACTATCAACCTGGCTCGGATCACATCACTTTCCAATATGTCGTTCCTCCCCCCACCGGCGGCTTCACCTCGTATACTGTCACCGTTGCAGACTCGCTGGGCGATGGCAACACCACTCAGGCTCTCGGTATCAACACTCCCTCCGGCTCCACATCCAACTGCCCTGCCTACACCGGCAGCGCCGCCTTTACCTACGCAGCAGATTCCTCCAACGGCACCAGCATGATCCAATGCGGTCAGGTCAGGTTCTACAATGTCGGCGATCGAGGCACCCGACCCTTCACCATCAGCTTCATCCCTCTAGGAGGCACGCCCGTCTCAGTCCAGGTCCCCGATAGTGCGACGCTCAACATCTCCAACTTCATCTACACCACCCTCGTTCCTTTCGCGCAGGGCACACAATTTCAGACGGTTCTCGGCGATGCATCAGGTCCGGGCAGTGGCGGTGCCAGCCAAATCTTTACCGTCGGACCCTCGACCTTTAGCCCGGCGTGTCTAGCCGGAAACTACCAATTGCCCAACAAGATCACCACCGCCCTGCCCATTGCCAATAATGTCGCCACCTACAACAATTTGCCAGGCGCCATCTCGACATCGCAAAGCAGTTCTGGTTCCAAATCGACCGGTGCCATTGCAGGAGGCGCCATTGGTGGAGCGATCGCGCTCGGAGTCGCCATCGGGTGCTTGATAGCCTTCCTGTTGTATCGAAGGAGGCAAAGGGCCAAACGCGATCTGGCACGGCGCGAGGAGGTGCGCTTTGTCGATCTTGATGGCGACGATGACGACAACGAATGGGCCAATCTCCGACCCAGCCGCCCACTCCGACCCTTCCGCAGCAGTCCAGCAGAAGACAATACGTCCTCTGGCCATGCGCAGTCCTACAGCGTCTCGCCTTTCGTGTACGATCCACGGCACCACGCCCTATCCTCGGAGGGCGGAGACGGCCAGAGCCTCGAGATGACCTCGCCTGTATCGGCCAATGCGAGCTACGGCGACCTGCTCACCGCCGCCGGTCTCAACAGCTCACCCGGCGTGTCGCCGAGCGACGACTACCCGCCTCGCCCGAGCAACACCTCGGCGCACTCAAACCCATTCTCCTCCCGCAATGCCATCGCAGACTACACATCCGACTCACACACAGGCGCATCTCTCCACACCGCCTCGCGCTCCCCATCCAAAGCTCAACAGGCAGCCGCTCAGCAGAGGCGCGACAACAGGGCACCGAGACGGGTCGTCCAGCACACCGACGGCGGCGCTCTGCCCCAGCCCGAGAGCGATGAGGAGGAGGAGGAGGTCGTCGACGAGCTGCCGCCAGAGTACGGCGGGTGGCTGCAGAGCGGCGCCGGCAGGCAGGCCCCACCAGCACCGGCTCCGGGACGAGGGCAGGTCGGAGGCGCTTTTTAGGTGCGGACGTTAGAGGCACCGTGGACCACATGTACTCTTTGCTTTTAATCTGGACAATCATATTCATGTTCGTGGCCGACTGCGATGCCCCTGTCTGATGCGAGAAATGTTCATTGCGTAAGCGCCCGGAAAGCCTCGAGCGAGACATGAGGGCGAAGCTCCGCACGATGGTATCATTGCCTGAACTCATACACCTGTTTCCACGAGCCGAATCAAATATACGCCATTTGTCAGTAAGTAGTGCCCGAACCGCCTTGCTTGTCTAGACTCCTTGAACCACGTACCTTTTTGCCGTAGTACCCGAGCGCGAGTGCCGCGGTGATTGACAAGCCCATGGGCACCGGGCCCTTCCTGAATCTTGGCGCCGAGCTCGCGAACAGCAAGGCGCTGGCGCCTGAAGCGATCTCGTAGCCGTAGTCGCCGCCGTTCTTGATGCGAGTTGCGGCGAGAGCGTAGAGGGCACCCACACCGACTCCGGCGACGAGGGAGGGAAGCGAGCGCGTCTTGGCGAATCCGATGATGCCGCCTACGGCGCAGAGGCCGGCCATGGTGAATGCTGGGTGTTCCGACATCGTAATTCTGCTGCTGCAAGTGAAGTTGTGATGAGAGCAAAGTGGTGGTATGAGAAGGAGTGACTGCGTCGTAAAAAAGAGGATCCTTGACGAGCGAGGTTGGCTTGAGCGTCGGTCGGATCAGTGATGGCGTGGTTGAGGTCTAACATGCTCACATTGAAAATTCGGCTTCTTCCAACGTCGAGAAGCTTGCGAGGTTGAGCTCAGAGTCAGATGAGATCTAGACTTTGTGGGCTTTGGAGGGTTGGGTCGAGCTCGTGTGCCGCCCTTTCTTCTAGCCTCTCTCAAAGCGGGCAGCCAAGACAGAGCTCTGTGTCTGGGCATCCCCACGCCCGCATTCGCAACCCTTCCACGCAAGCACACAACATCCTCCCCCTTCTTCCCGTCTTCCTCTCCTCATCATCCTTCTGTGTCCTCCTTGTTTCTCCTACCTAGTTCATAATGGCAGACACCACCGCTGCCCCGGCCGCAGCCGCCGCCACCACCAACGGCAGCAACGGCGAGAAGAAGCAGCACGACCGACCCGCGGGCAACCCTGATGCCGTCGAGATCGCCAAGCTCGCCGGCGGCAAGCCCGACGCTGCTGCCAACACCGCCGAGCTCGACAAGCTGTCCAAGCAGATCGAATCTGTCCAGAAGAAGCTCAATCAGGTCCGTTCGCTTCTGTCCGGTGCTGGGCCGTCCAAGGACTCCCCCGCCGGCATTCGTCGTGCCGAACTGCGATCCCAGCTGGACGAGCTGCGCAACCAGCAGGCCGGCTCCAAGGGTGCCCGCGGCAAGACGCTCGAAGATCTCCGAACCCTCCAGGAATCCATCGGCAAAAAGATCAAGGATCTCCAGCAGGCCAAGAGCAAGACGCCGTACAAATCCACCGCCGACGTCGACTCGCGTATCCAGCGACTCGAGGCGCAGGTCGAATCGGGATCCATGAAGCTGGTCGAGGAGAAGAAGGCATTGTCGGAAATCTCGCAGCTCAAGAAGAACCGCAAGGTCGTGGAGAACTTCGACACGTTGCAGTCGTCGATCGATGCGGACCGGGCCAAGGTGGACAGCCTCAAGGCGACGCTCGACAGTCCCGAGGCCAAGGCGCTCAACAAGCGGTACGACGAGATCAAGTCGGAGCTGGACAGCATCCAGGCCGAACAGGATAAGCAGGCTGGATCGCGCGGCAAGCTGCTCGACCAACGCACCGCTCTCTCGAGCCAACTCGATGCGCTGTACCAGACCAGACGCGATCGTCAAGCCGCTTTCCGCGCCGCTAACGACACGTTCTACGCCAAGCTCAACCAGGAACGTGAGAAGCGCGTCGCCAAACAACGCGAGGAACGCGCCGCACACGAAGCGGAGAAGAGGAAGGAACACGAGACGCAGATGCGCGAGGACGCCGCTCTGCCCGCCTTCGCCAAGGAGATCGAGGACTGCGACGTGCTGATCAACTACTTCTCCAAGGGCGGCGCTTCGGCGGAAGAGGCCAAGACGGAGGAGACCAAGTCGGTGGGCGGGAAAGCGCTCAACCTGCGCCAGGTCAACGAGGGCGCTATGGTTCCCAAAGGTGCCGTGCTCAAGCAGAAGAACGTGGAGGAGGAGACGTACTTTGCGGGTAACGCCAAGAACCGTAAGCCCAAAGGACGGGGTAAGCGCGGTACTCCTCTCGACCTCAACGCCGCAGATGCAGATGAGAACATCGCGACGGAAGGTGGCAAGCTCAACGTGCCGCTGGGAACCCTCTCGGCGCTGCTCGCGCTCAGCATCCCCCCTCCCGCAAACGCCGCCGACGTCGGTCGCGTCGTAGAGAACCTCAAGCTCAAGAAGCACTACTTTGTCAGCAACCAGGCCCGAGTCACCAAGGAGAACGTCGACAAGGTCGAGAAGCTGCTCGCAAAGTCGAGCCTCGAGGCGACCGAGGACAAGGTCGAGGCCTGATCCCAAAGATCATTTTCTATTATACAGCTCTGTAAGAAAAATACATACTTGCATCACGTTTGCATGCGTCGTGATGTGTTCTGATACACAGCAATGCGTTGAGCTTTAGATGGCGTCGAGGATGGCCTTGATCTGCTCGGGCGGGATCTTGAATTGTCGATCTTTGGTGACGAGCCCGTTGACCTCCTGTTCGACATCGGCGAACTGCGTCCAACAGAAGCCTTGGACGATCCGGTTGCCATCGGCAGATCTCGCCTTCGTGAGAGCTTTGACTTGAGCCTCAAAGATGCGCAGGAAGTCTTGCGAGTCGGAGGCATTGGCGTAGCCCCAGTTGACGCCGTTGGCGGTGGTTTGGACGTTGTCGACACGCAACGCTAGACCGCCAAATTCGGTGCAGAGGATGGGGAGCCCGTCGCGTCGCGGGCTGGAGATCAGCGGTGGAAGGAGGATCGGATAGCCAGTCACCCGTTCCTGCAAGGTGGCAGCACGACTCGAGAAGCCTGCTTCGAGTTCCGGCGCGGTTCGATAGTCGTGCACTGTGATCATGTCCGTTTCGACGTGCTGCCACCCGTCGTTGTCGATGACGGGTCGGGTCGGGTCGATCGCTTTGGTGAGGTAATAGAGCGATTGCAGGTGCGCCCTTTGCTGAGCAGACGTGTTGAGGTGGGGCACACCCCACGACTCGTTGACAGGCACCCAGGCTACAATGCATGGATGCGACATGTCACGACGCACCACGTCGATCCACTCCTTAGTGAAGCGCTCGACGTAGCTCGTGCTGAACTCGTACGCGTTGGCCATCTCGCCCCATACAAGCAAGCCTAGGCGGTCGGCTTCGTAGACAAAACGTGGCGATTCCACCTTCTGGTGCATGCGCACGCCGTTGAACCCCATCTGCTTGATCTGTTGTATGTCTTTGGCGTAGTCGGCATCGTCCAGCGGAGTCATGCCGCTCTCCGGCCAGTAGCCTTGGTTGAGGATGAGCTTTTGAAAGTAGACGCGATTGTTGAGGCAGAAGCGGCCCTGATCGTCGATCGACACCTTGCGCATGCCAAAGTAGCTGCAGACGACATCGACGTCCTTGTTCATCGTGTTGCTGAGGGCGAGCTCCACTGTGTAGAGGGTGGGGCTTTCTGGCGACCAAAGTGCCAATCCGTTATCCCACCGATCGCGATTGACCTCCGGTGGCAGTACGCCGGGCGTCGTCATCCGAGTGCGCATAGATCCGTGCGGCTGCGTTCCTGCTTGTCTAACGTTGATGACGGTGGAGCAGCTGTTTGTTTCGTGGCTGACCATAGTTTTGCATGTGGTGATGATCTTGCCGTCTAGTTTGACGGTGAATGTCATCCAATTCTCGGGCTTGGTGAGCAATTGGACGTGCGAGACGGTCTCGATCAGATCCACCACAACATCGGCGCGCACCGTGCCAGCATCGATATCACTGGCAAAGTGCGCGCTCTTGATGTGTTTCAACGGCCGATACTCCAGATAGACGTCCTGCCAGATGCCCGTGGTCGGCGTGTAGAAGATGCTCTCCGGCTTTGAGAATCCCTGCGCATTCTGCTTCCAGTACTGTTTGCCTCGAGGTTGCGACATGTCGTTCAGCGAGTCTTGGGCGCGTACTACGATGGTGAGCTTGTCATCCGCCTTGTCGCTGTACAGCACGTCTTTCACTTGGTTGGTGATCTCGAAAGAGAAGGGCGTGTGACCGCCGACGTGGGTGCCCACCATGGAGCCTTCCACCCAGACGGTACATTGGTAGTCGACGGCACCAAAGTGGATGAAGCATCGCGCCATTGCGTCCTTGCCGGAAGGGAGCTGATGAGACAATTTGAGCCTGTTCCTGCCTATGTCGCGTCGATACCATACGATCTTGTGTGGGCGCGGCTCTTCCAGTCCGGAAGCCGCGGTATCGCAAGACCATGGTACGTCAATGTAACAGCCATTCTCCAAAAGGTCGGCTTTTCGATACCATCGCTGCTGCAGACCAAAGTCGTCGTCGTCGGGCGCAAAGTCCCAGTATCCTAGAAGCGGCAGTTTCTCTCCAAGCCGCGAGAAGGATGGGTCGAAGTCTTCTGAGACATCTTTTGAGGGCATGGCTTGTGCATTTGTTGGCTGGCTTCGACTTTGTCTAGGCCGCTTTGCTTTGCTTGACGAGCTATTGTTGCTCCTAGGCGCTGGCATCGGAAGGTAGGCTGCTTGGCTCAGGACACTGATGGTCAGTGGACGTAGGGAGCTATTCGCGGCTGTGGATGGCCCAATCGCGTTGATGCAGGGCTTCTAACCGCGAGCGGAGTGAACTGCGGGGTCGTTCGGCAATCTCGAAGCTCGGTGAATTCGGCGTTGACAAGATCGGATCAACATCGCCCGATCTGGTCGCAGATCCTGTTGTTGCCAGCCGTCGTCGCGACGCTACAACTAAGTTTACGCACCAGACTGCGCTCTACTGCGCCAGCTACAGCGCCTTTCAGGACTCGAGTCGAAAGCAGAGCCGTGATGTGAAGAAGCCACGTGCCTACGGAGGACGGGTCCCTTAGGCGGAGGCCGAAGTTGCAAGCGAGCGGCGATGCTTGCATGTGAAGCGAGGTGTGGCGTGAACTGGAAGCATTCCTCTGATTGGCTGACCAGGAATGACAGCGAGGACTGATGCAGAAGAAGGTCCTGAAGACCAGAACCTGGCTCGCCGGTCCCTACGTCCGGACTGATTGGCCGCGGGCCAGTGAGAAGAGCTAAGGTTTCAAAGGGTTCCGCGTCGTGCCGGAGGGGGGAGAAAAGGATGCAGGGCTAAAACGCTTGTATGCGCGTGGTTGGCCAGCCATTCGGACAGCGTCCGGGGAAGACAGACAGGGAGGCAAGAGAGTTGCTCCTTCGACAGAGCTCGATGCCAGACCCCAGGGTCCCGTCAACGCACGGCGAGGAGGCGAGGAGGCGAGGAGGTCGCCACGCTTTCCAAGATGAGGACCGGCTTTGACTTGGAACGGTAGCCGGACCGTAGGCTGACCGCTCTTCGTTGTACGACAGAATAAGCTGATCACGACAAAGCACCCGGTTCAGGAACAGACGCTAGATGGACAAGGACGTCTGGAGCGATAGAAAGGAAGAGGTCACACAGGGGCGACACTGCAAAGGGGAAGCGGGTCGGGGTCTGGAATTTGTTTCTTCGAGGTCGATCCTGTCTCGGGCGCCAAGTCGCACCACCTCTTCGTTGGCGTGGCCATCTCCGTGCGTGGTCGTTTAGCGTCGAAACTTTGCTAGCAGGCCAAACCCAGAAAGGGTCTCGACGCGAAGAACGCCGTTTGGGTGGTAGCGAGCCAACAACGCGCGGTGGTGAAAATCGCGGTCTCTTTTCTTGGTACAGACAGGCTGGCGCATGGATTCCTCCGTCGGTGACTTTTCTCTCCGATTAAAGACGTAGCTAGCGTCGTCGCTACGCCTCTTAGCTGCGCCTATGTTATGCCGAGAATGAGGTGTGACAACCTTGAAGATTCGCCAACCCTTTAGGCTTTGCTCCCGGACTGAAAGGTTGTATCTTTGCTGAGGTAGTTACGTCAAAGCCAGAGCTTGTGTGACAAGGCTCGATCTCGCTCGGACAAATTCAATTGGCAAAAGATAATGTCTCGAGGTTGAGCTTGCGTAGCGTATCGATGCTGTGCGAGGTATGACAAAGGTGAATGAGACGGAAGTGTTCTCAACCTGTCGTAGGAAATGTGACAGCTCTCGGTGCATGCGATGCTGACGTGAAGAGTCCACGCACTCAGTCATCGTTCAACGGCTCATCCGAAGCGTTTCATGCAGGCACGCCCTGACCCCGGACTTAGCCGTCTGACTGAGCCCGAAAGCGACGCAGCGCATTGATGACTCACCGATGCTGTGCTGTACACCCCACACGAGCTTTGATCGCCTGGAAGTGTGACTTCCTTTCCTGACCAATGCAGGGCGTCGCGCAAGGGACTAGTTGTGCCGGATCGACAGGGCAGAGGAGTGCTTCGGTGGCTTGACTCATCGCGTTGCAGCGCCACTGTTGTCGCTTCTTGGGCTTCCGCGACGATCAGAACAACAGTAGCGTGTTGATACTATGATCTAGACAATCCCTTGACCAGACACTTCCTCGCAATGCTCGTCACGGCCCGTGTCGAGGATGTACAGCTCGCAAGGGCAAGAACAACACCAAGCGTACACGAGATGATTTCCTGGATATCGATCAGGTACGGCGAATTACTGGCTCGGTGAACTGCCAAATTCTGAGATCTGGTCTTCTGGTCTTGAAAATTTCAAATTAGGTGAATTCGCCGGAGTCCATCTATACTGCCTCTGAGCCTCTCTCTCCGCATTTTTCTTGGCCAACTGCAGGCGCTATGATTGTGGGAGCCAATCAGCTACCGCTTTCACCCGCATCTCGTCCGACGCACCCTTGTTGCTGCAGTCGCCATCTGCGAACGTGCTTGCATCTTTGACCGGCAGGTGTTGCCACCTCCCTTCACCTCAATGGCACTTGGTCGACCGTTGCCCACCTGCTGTTCCTGGCGCCACTCTTTGGCTGATTTCCGGACGAAGCTGACGGGCAGTAGGTATGCTCGAAATGATAAAAGCGAGCAGGTTATGCCGAATGAGCGGAATGGACCAGCCACAACCCAAAAGCTAGGTTCTGACGGGCGGGACCGAGTGTTTGTCTCAAAGTTGTATCGAGTAAGCCTGGTGCAGCAAAGAGGCTCAGTAAGAGATGCGCAGTTGGAAGAAGAAAACTCTAAAATGCACGCGCCAAGTGGCTCGGCCCGTCTCGCTTGTTGGCCTCGACCTTTGAACCAATGATTTCGCTCCTCCCCGCGCTGCACGCCTGTCTGAGAACAAAAAAAAGGAAGAGGCCGTCGGTGTGAGTGGCCACCCGCCCAGCAATCTGACCTTCGGCTTCTCGCCTACCTGTGCTTGCGTGCGCACTCGCCTTATCCAGTCTCGCTAGCTTGACCGGCCGTCCAATCGCAAACCGACAGTCGGTCGGCTTCCACGCTCGCGCATGCATGCGACTCTCTGTCTCTGCCAGTTCAGCCGTGGCTAGAAATCCCGCACACTTTGCCAAGTCACTGACCAAATTTGCCTTTTGTCGACCTTCGGCATCTTTCGCTCCTGGCGAGGGCGCAAAACATGAAATTTACTAGCGCAGACGCTGTGATGCGGCTTGGGGCCCCCGCGCTGCTCCGAGTTTGTGTGTGGGTTGGCTAGCGTCCCGCCCACGCTCTTGCTGCTTGAACGCGCTTTGTGTGTCCAATCGAATTGTTTCTTCGCATACTCGCTTGCTGACTGAATGAAAGCAAACAGCGCCACCCAATTTCTCACTGTGTGGCCCTTGCCGGTTGAGCCGTTCACCCGGTCACTGCCACTCACGCTCACAAGCTTCAGGCATCTCGCTCCGTGTCCAATCGCCTATTCTTGAATCTTCCTCCGCTCTTGCGCCTCGGCTCGACCTTTTGTTCTCGGACTTCAGACGTGGCCCCATCGACGCTGACCCTCTCAGACCCCTCATAAGCAACTCTGTGTTCTCGACAGCTTCCCTCCTTCCCACCACCACCGACCCCTGTCTCTTGTCCGACTCTGTTCCCTTTCTCATACATACCCTCTCGGACATCTCCATCACCTTCTCGTATCTCTAATTGTCCTTCGTCACAAGTCACAATGGCTGCTTTCAACTCTGCTCTTCGCTCCGGCGCTATCCGCGGCCTTTCGGCTCGCGTCGCCCAACGTAAGTCTCACGATCTCGTCCTGTTTCTCTTTCATGTACTTGACGGCGGAGATGGTTCGCGCCAATTTCGCTGTCAGGTGTCTTGCGATACGATCTCTGATCGCGCTCCCCTCTTTTCGCTCAGCGGGAAAGGTGGTTAGCCAGCATCGGTCTCGTGCTCGCAATGCCGCATGCGATTTGCAGCAGCTAGCGTGCGTCGACTTGCGACCCTTGTGGCATCAATCTATCATCTGCGAATTTTCGCTGACCTCGCTTTGTCTCTGCATCTTTGCCACGAACAGCCTCGATGCTCTCGCGAGCCGCTCGTGTTCCCGCTGCTTCGGCTGCCAAGAACTTCTCCGTGTGGGCCCCTTCCCGCATGATCCCCACCAGCGCCAACGCTGCTGACACCGTCCAGGCCAACCCTGGTCCCCCTCCCCCTGTCGAGAACATTGGTGTCGACGCCGTTCTGCGCGAGAACCCCAACTCGCAGGAGAACCACACCACCACCATCTTCCAGGAGTTCTCGCTCGAGGGCAAGACTGCCGTCATCACTGGTGGTAACGGTGGTCTCGGTCTCGAGATGGCGCTTGCCTATGTCGAGGCCGGTGCTCACGTTTACGCCATTGACCTGCCCAAGGAGCCCTCGGAGGAGTTCAAGATTGTCGCCGACCACTGCCGCATCATGGGCAAGCACCTCAAGTACGTTTCCGCCACCGTCACTGACGTTGAGGACATCAACGCCTGCATGGACTTTGTCATGAAGGACTCGGGAACCGACTCGCTCGACGTCTGCGTTGCTGCTGCCGGTATCCTCCAGACCTACGATGCGCTCTCGTACCCTGCCGACGAGTTCCGCAAGGTGTTCGAGGTCAACACCACTGGTGTCTTCCTCACTGCCCAGGCCGCCGCCCGCAAGATGCACGAGCAAAAGCACGTTTCGGGCTCGATCATCCTCATCGCCTCGATGTCCGGTTCCATCGTCAACCGTGACCACCACTGGGTTGCTTACAACGCCTCCAAGTCGGCCGTGCTCCAGATGGGCCGTAACCTTGCCGCCGAGTGGGGTCCCAAGGACATTCGCGTCAACTGCATTTCGCCCGGTCACATCCGAACCCGCATGACTGCTGCCTACCTCGACACCAACCCTCACCTGCTCGCCAAGTGGTCCGGCTCCAACCCCCTCGGCCGTCTCGGTCGCGCCCACGAGATCCGTGGTGTCGCCGTCTGGCTCGCCTCCAGCGCTTCGAGCTTCTGCAACGGTTCCGACATCATCGTTTCGGGTGGTCACAACATTTGGTAATCTGTTCCGCCAGAGATCGAAAGATCCACAACGGACAATACCAAGCTCACAACCTCAAGAATAGACTCCGCCACATCATACCTCGTCTCCCATAGCATTCACTCTCGCTTCGTTGTACATACTTAGGGCATACCAGCATCCTTTTGCATTCTCCTCCGCTCGCATTCTCCTCCGCTCGTCTGATTGCATCACCTTACTCCTCTGAACGACTGCAAGACTGGCAGCAATCATTCGGACTGAGCAGCCCGAAGATCCGGGCCCCCCGGGCCACGCTATGACGTTCACCACTACGCGTATGGCCCGAGCGTCGAGATAAGAGATCCCCAGTTGAGCAATTCAATGACGATGGCGATGATGAGATCTGGCCCTTAGCCGAAGCGGAGTGCAAGGCGCCGCGTTCGTAGAAGATGTGATCGGCGGCATGAACGCATTGCTAGAGGTCTTATCGCAGATGCAGAGGTGCACGGCCCCCGGCGAGGATTAGACGCCGTGATCTTCCATTTCGTCCGACTTTCCGTGCCGCCAAAATTTTAGACAGTGTTTGATCGACGCTGGATGACAAAAGTGAGGAAAGCCTCGGTGATCCGAAAGCCGAGCTGATGGAGCGTTTTTCGAGGTTTGTAAGCCGAGCTGCGCCAACGCTGTTCTTCTCGTCCTCATCCCCGCTTCGCCGTCACCCTCCCTGCACACATCTCGGCCCGGACCAGCTGAACGTCATGGTAGCATCTCTCACACGGACTGCGCTTTTGGCAGCGACTCGGGCGCTGCGTCGACCTACAGCGCTTCCCGGACCGCTCCCACGCTTTACACCGCTTCGAACATTCACCACGACCCTTCCCCGCCCTCATGGAGGCATCACCCGCCCTCCTGCCGGCGAAGGCATTACGATCAACTTCGTCGACCCCAAGGGTGCCCCACTCAAGACTGTCACCGCCAACGAAGGCGATGACCTGCTCAGCATAGCCCACGAGTACGATATCGACCTCGAGGGCGCCTGCGAAGGCTCGATAGCGTGCTCCACCTGCCACGTCATTCTCGAACCCGACGTCTATGATTCTCTCGAGGAGCCGTGCGATGATGAGAACGACATGTTGGATCTCGCCTTTGGACTGACGGACACAAGTAGGCTGGGCTGCCAGGTCAAGGTCACCAAGGAACAGGATGGGATGAAGGTCCAGCTCCCAGCCGCCACAAGGAATATGTACGTCGACGGTAAGTAGCGATGACAGCCCATGACTCGACAAGAAGCAAGAGGACTGACCAAGAGATCTCGTTGTGCGCATCGCAGGTCATAAAGCAGGTCACCATTGAATGGACGCCTCGAACGTCGTTCAGAATCAATGATCGAACCTCCCACCCGGCTCATTCGCCTCACTGTACTCTATCTCAGCTCAATTACACCACCTCATGCCAGCACGCTCTCCGCTCCATCGTCAGACCACTCACTCACATCAACGCTCGCGCGCATCATCTGCGTGACAATCTCCGTATGAAATCGCAGTCGTACAGCCTATCCTCTCGCTGTCTACCATCTAGTACGAACGACCGAACATCGTCCATCGCTTCGCATCCTTTCCGCACTGGGGGCACTTCTTGCCCTTGACCTCGCCGAACTGCTTCTGATCGAACGGAATGCAGAGCGACTTGGCGCCCATGCTCGGGGCCTTCTCGTCCTCCGCTTCGCCCGCGGTAGCCTGTCGGGCGCTGCGCTTCTTGATCTCGTCCTCGCACGCCTCGACCTCGCACCACGGGATCACCACGTGGCACTTGTCGTTGAGGATCGACGTAAAGTCGTCCCACTGCTCGCACACCTTGCGGCGCGAACGGTACTCCGCATCGGCCTTGGCGAACATATCGTCGTGGATCGTGTCGAGGAGCTTGGCGATGGATTCCGAGAGACCTTCCACCGACAAGGGGGCCTTGGCCTTGTTGTCGCGACGAACAGAGACGACCGACTTCTTCTCGAGGTCTTTGGGTCCGATCTCGAGTCGAATGGGCACACCTCGCATCTCCCAGTCGTTGAACTTGAATCCAGGACTGTAGTTGTCTCGCAGATCCGCCTTGGCTCGGATCCCGGCGGCTTTGAGGTCCTTTGCCGTTTGATCGCACGCATCCATGATGGCTTCCTTCTCCGCGGGAGTAGTCTTGACACCGATTCCACAGGGAATGATGACCACCTGCACCTGGGCGACGCGGGGAGGCATCACCAGTCCATCGTCGTCACCGTGCACCATGACCATCACACCGATCGTACGCGTCGAGAGACCCCATGAGTTCTGCCACACGTGCAGCTTGCCCTCGTCCTTACCGCGGTGCTCCTCGGCCGCCTTGGGGTCTTCCACGGTGATGTTGAACATCTTGGAAAAGTTCTGACCCAAGCAATGCGAGGTTCCACCCTGAATACCGCGACCCGTGGTGGGGACGAAACCCTCGACGGTGGTGGTGTAGTAGCCACCGGCAAACTTTTCCTTCTCCGACTTGACACCGGGCACGACGGGGACGGCGAGGAGCTTCTCGTACACCTGGCGGTAGAGGTCGAGGATGTGCATCACCTCCTCGTCGGCCTGTTCGAGCGTCATGTGCGCCGTGTGGCCTTCCTGCCAGAGGAACTCGCGCGTGCGGAGGAACGGCTGCGGGTGCTTGAACTCCCATCGCACGACGGAGTTCCACTGGTTGAGCTTGAGCGGCAGATCGCGGTGCGACTGAATCCACTTGGCGTAGTACGGGTACATGACCGTCTCCGAGGTGGGACGGATGGCGACGGGACGTTCCAGATCGCTGTTGCCCGCCTTGGTCACCCAGGCGACTTCCGGGGCGAAGCCTTCGATGTGGTCCTTCTCGCGCTCGAGCACGTCGGCGGAAACAAACATGGGGAAGTAGCAGTTCTCCACACCAATCTTCTTGATCTCGGCATCGAAGAAGTTCTGGATCGATTGCCAGACGAAGTAGGACCAGGGCTTGAGGATGTAGCAGCCCGAGACGTCGTAGTAGTCGAGCATGTCGCCCTTGCGGAGGACTTGGGAGTACCATTCAGAGAAATCGCCGGCCTTGCGAACGGTGATGCCGATCTGCTCTGCGTCGGGGATCTTGGCGGCCTCGGCAGCCTTGGCCTTGCTGGAAGCGGGTATGGGACCCTGTGTGGAGCCAGGAGCGGAAGCGGAGCTGGACGAGGGAGCCGAAGCCTTGGCGACGGGAGTAGCAGCCTCGGCCTTGAGCTTGGCGAAGTCGACCACCTCGAGCTTGACACCGGTGCTCTGGAGGTACTTTGTGATCTCTGCGCCGCTCATGAAGAGCGTCTCCTCGGAGCTGGCGGCGTGGACGGCGAAGTGCTCTGTGCTAGTGGCGAGACTTGCGTCGAGGACTGCGATGAGCTGTGATGCGTTGTCCTTGGTGATGCTGAGCGCAGAGACGTCGTCCTTGGTAGCATTCAGGAACTCCTTGAGCACCTCGGGGGCTGCGAGACGCATCTCCTTCTGGCCGATGTGCTTGGCCACGGCACCGGTGTTGTATTCGGAGTCATCCTTTGCGATAAGCACGACAGGAGTTGGAGTGGCAGTCTTGGCCGTCTTGGGCTTGAAGACGACCGTCTTCGTGTAGTTGGAGGTGGGGAAACCGAGCGTAGAGGCGACATCAGACACGGCGGACCTCCAGCTCTCGGGGCTGTTGGCAGCAGCGTGCTTGACCACCTTTTCGGTCTGAATGGAGAGCGCAGAAAGCGCCGAAGAGATGGCTTCCATGTTTGCTATGGAAGGCTGACTTCAGCGTTGAAGCGTTGTGGTGATATGTAGAGGGTGGAAGGATAAGAAGGTGAAAAAGGGTCCGACTCTGTGCGCCGTGCTGGAAGAGTCACTCGAATAGAGTTCTTCTGTCGAGTGTCACTTTGCCTTGGCCTGACTCGTGCGATTTGATTAGTGATGCTGACTCAGCGCGATGTTGCGAAAATGGTCGGCACACGACACTCAGATGCGCGTTTAGACAGGAAATTCACGAAGACTGATCTGCAGCCGCCAAAATCTGCACACACGACATCAAACATGGACGAGAAGAAAGCCTGGACCGCGGCGCACACTTTGGCCCGCTTTAGCCACACTCTGCTTTTCTTCTTTGCAGGGTCCTTTTCTGCGCAAGCTGAGTTCTGGTTGAGGGAGAGACCCTTCTCGCGGCGCTCGCCTCCCGTTCGTTCTTCGACTCCACCATACCAATCTCTCATCTCGATTCAATTCCGTTCACGATGTCTTACAACCGTACTTGCTTCAAGTGAGTACCAGAGCTAGACTGCTCGTTACCCGTCTACGTCAATGACCAATCGCTGACCTTCGTTCCGCTTTGTCTTCCCCCGCCAACAGCTGCGGCCAGCGTTAGTATTGATTCCCACACGACACCGCATCTCCACTCGCAATGGAATCGCATCAATTCGACGAGCTCGGCGCTTGCCAGCTCAGGCTCCCGAGCGTCTTCTCCCTCGATTCATCCTGCATAGCGACCACTGGTCCTTTCTCGATCCACATTCGCCCGCAGCGTGCGAGGCATCCTCGCTTCACCTCGGGCTTTCGCATCTTGGTCGAGCGAAGTCGAGCGCCCTTCATAGCTGGCTGTCGGCCATGCTTACACATCCAGACCTCTACATTCGAGACGAGGTGCGAGACAGATGGGAACGAGAGACGAGGAGAGAGAGCTGACGACGAGAAGACGACGTCTTTGTCATATACCCTTCATCTTTGATACCCTGATTCTTCGAATCGATCCATTGCATCCTTCATTGCCATCTCGACACTCTCGTCGGACGCTTTGCTTGCCAACGCTTGACTCTACGCGGTTACGATGGATGCTGCTCCGTTACTCTTTGGCTTCCCTGGCTATTCTCTCGCTCCGCATTGAATTGAATCCAACAGCCGGCCACAACGCCGCTGCCTGCCCCACCGCCGGCAACCCCTCTTGCTACAGTAAGTGCTCGAAACGAGTGGACAACAATCTCTGAATCTTGGTGATCTCGTACTCACCGCTCATTGCTGCTTCATCGGCTTGCTTTCTCTCCGCAGACTGTGGCCAGCAGGGTCACATCTCCTCCCAGTGCGGCATGGAGGCCCAGCCCAAGACTTGCTACAAGTGCAACGAGACCGGCCACATTGTACGTTTTGACATCAGCTCTTCACTCTTTTGCTCCCCCTCGACGTGTTGCTAACCTCGACTTACTTGTCTCTCCGTCCTCCTCTACAGAGCCGTGACTGCCCCTCCAACCCTGCCCCCGCTGCTGGTGGCCCCGGTGGCGAGTGCTACAAGTGCGGCCAGCACGGCCACATCGCCCGTGCCTGCCCCACTGCCGGCGGCAGCACCCGTGGCGGTTTCGGCGGTGCCGCTCGTGGCGGCCGAAGCTGCTACAACTGCGGCGGTGTCGGTCACCTTTCCCGCGACTGCACCTCGGCCCCCGGCGCTGGTGCCGGCGCTGGCGGTCAGCGCTGCTACAACTGCAACGAGTCCGGCCACATCAGCCGCGAGTGCCCCAAGCCTCAGACCAAGAGCTGTTACCGCTGCGGTGAGGAGGGCCACATCTCGTCGGCCTGCCCCCAGGTTGCTGCTTAAGCCAAGTTCGACTGGTGATGCTCTCGTCTCCCCTGGTGTAGCGCATGTTCAGGTTCGCTCAGGTCTACTTTGATGTTGGCGTTGATCTGACTCGACATTCTCTGTCGATCGAAAATCAAAATCGTTTCTCTGCCGTGGCACACATCTCTACCTGGTTGTGATGTTTGAATCGTTGTGGATGGACTTTGTGAGACGCTGACGTGTACACGAGGTTTCACGAGTGGGTGGCTAAGGCGGGAAGAGCGGTAAGGGCTCTAAGCTGACGCGTGGTGATGGGACAACATCGAACAGCCGTGAGAGAAAGCGTTCGAGCCTGCTGCAATTCGAACGACGAATAGCGAGCGCCTTGCAGCACGTATGAACATGGAAGCGATTCGACTGGGCAGCTGCGTTCGGCAGACGAGCCAAAGGCGTCAATCAGATAGCGCAATGCTGATACGTTCAGGATCAATCAAGGAGAGGTCTGTGGCGCCGACCGGCACTGATGAGCTTTTGCCTCCACACCGCTTCGTACACAGTAGTCTAGGGGCCAGCCGAGGCGGAACCGGCGATCCAAAGAGGACGGCAAGAGTAGTTCGTAGACGATCTTTGAGACGAGTGGGCCAACGAGCAGAAGGCCAATCATCACACAGATCGCCTTGAAGCCCAACCAGCAACCAGTCTCGCACAGCACGGCGCCTGGGAGACAGAGGATCACTGCCGTCTCACCATTGTAGAGCGCGGCTGAGCTCGCTTGACCTCTGAAGGTACACCGGGTCTTCTTTTGGTCTTGCCCCGTTGAAAAGATCGCAGAATTCCCCGGTTTCGAAGAGACTTCCCATCTTGTCGTAGAAGCCTCGAACGAAAGCAAGCCTCGCAATAAGGAGAAGGACGAATGTGGCGATTGCGGCGTAGAACGCGAGACGGTTGTCGTAGTTCGGCGGTGCAGGCAGCTGCTCGAGCAGCCAGATGACGAGAGAGGTGATGGGCGTGTCGAACATGACAGGCCTGTAGGCGTTGATCCGTAGCATTTCAGCGGGATCGGTCGCTGAGAAGAGCTAGAAAGCGGAGCGAGGAAGGTAGAGGCGAAAGGCGCGCGGAGAAAGTGATCAGGAGTGGGTGGGACAGTAGTGGTATGAATTCACAACAAGATGGACTTAGGTAGCCACCACACAAAGTCGATCTTCAGGGTGCTCGACTGCGCACAACGTTCAGTCCCTTGCGCTTACGAGTCACAAGAAGAAGGACATGAACGTGGACTGTGCAAGTACATGTGACTGTAAGCAGACAAGGTTTCGTACAAATGAAGTGGATTCACAAAGCTTTTTTCGCTTCTTTGTGTCTCGCCTAGACTCACAAAATGGCACACGCATGTACTTGCGCTGAGCAAGCCTGTGTGATCGTCGACGGCAGACGTGTCGTATGAAGTGGACCACCAGACTACGCAGTAAAGCCGCTCAAATGCTTCGTGGCAAGCGACATCAATTCTTCAGCGGAAGGTTGACGCAGAAGGCGGCTAAGCGCGCCATGCTTTCATCAAACCAAGGCTGTCAGAACTTTGGCTCAGCTTCATTGCTCCTCATGCAGAGTCCGCATTAAGGCGACCACCGAAAGTCATTGAGCGTTCTCCGCGGCATATAGCACAGCTTCGATACACGCGTCACACGGGAGGCATGATCTCGTCAACATGAGGTACGAAACTTGTTACAATGGTGTTTCATGAGATCGGGAAGAACAAAGTCGACAAGTGGCGTGGTTCGGATCAGAATCTCGCATGGTGACAGTTTGCATCATCATCAGACACAAGTCGGCGCTTCACCAAATTGTGAAGATCGTCTTGATCTCGAGGGGCGCTGTGACTCCCGCAGTGATCTCCTTCCACATGTGCCACCGAATAGCGTCGGCAGCCTCCTGCTCGAAAGGCCAATCCTCTTGGCTCATTCTGGACGGCAGTCTGTTCGACTGAAGCAGGTATCGGATCGCCTGTGCTGCAAAGATGCCGCTGTCCCAGGCATTCGTAAGCTCCGGGAGTAGCACGTCGTCTCGCTCCTTCCATGAGGAAAGCTCCAGATCGCGTTTTCTGACTTTCTCCTCTTTCTGCAACAACTTCCTGCCGGTCTCGAAAGCCAGTCGGGATCCTTCTTGCGTTCGCGTCGAGTCGAAATGATGGAAGCGCTTGCGCTTGAGATCGATAACGAGTACACTCCAGTGTTCGCCGACCAGTTGCGCCGGCACAAAAATCAGATCCAGCTGGTCGATGTTGGCTACAATGACCGACTTTCCCTCTGGTAGGTAAAACTTGCGAATAGCTTGCTCGTAGTCCATGTCCTTGAGAAGATTGGCAAATTCCGACTCGACGACCTCAACGCGCGGCGTGTCGAAGCTGTGCGAGACGAGGGCAAGATAGGCGTCGATGAGTTTGGCAGAGACGATCGCTTCTTTGCCAAGACTCAGGACTTCGTTGATCGTAACGTCGTGCTCGCAGATCGTGTAAATACCATCCCACCAACGTTCTGCGCTTTCCCTGATGACCTGAGCGTGGAAATCGTCCATGACGAAATGTGCATGCGTTTCGTCCTGCATTTTGCCGTACTGCTGGAGCTAGACGCTTCAGCTAAAGGCGAGGGGTCTGCGTCCTGAATGTGGCACAGTTTAGTTGTGGCGCGGTCGACTGCTGAATTCGGCGGAGAGGCGATGATGAGTGGTGGGGCTGACGACTGTGAAGTAGATGATGATCGTCGGCTAAGACTATAGAGGAAAGGAGCAGAAGCATGGTAGGAATCAATAAGAGAACAACGCAGCAGACGAATTATATACGGGAGTTCCCTTGACGTGGGCCAGCACGAGCGCATCCGCTTCCACGCGTTCACAAAGCTTTGTGCTTCCCAGTCTGTGTGTCTGGATTCAAGGTTCAGTTGAGGGGAATGCGCTTGCACTGCGGACGTGTGTGACTGTCAAAGAATAAGGTTCTGCGCGAATGATGTGGGCTGGGCTCGTTGCGCAGCTGGGTTCGTCAGAAGGTTGCCACCGTATTGCATCACTTCATCAGAAGCGGCAAGGCGAAGCATCGAGCGGACTGCTTCGCACTGTATCAAAAAGTTCATCGTGTCAGCCTCAGCCCTCTTCGCACGCAGCCCAGTGACGGCACTTACCGAACATCATCCAGGTTTCTTCTGAGCAAGGGAGCGTTCAGAAAGACCAGGAGTCTGTTTCGCGCGTCGTCAGAAAGGTCTTTGACCGCTGGCACAATCCGCAAAGCGTGCCTGCAGACCATAGCGATCACTACAACCTGGAGCGTTGTGGACCCGATCGCCTCCATGCAGAGCCCGAGGCCACACCACAAGATCAACCTCTTGCCGGTCACCCTGACCGTTTGAAACCGCTGCGTCCCGTCCTGTCGTCGGCAGAAGCATTCAAGCAGATGTAGCAATATGTCTTGCGCTATGGACAGAGTCATCGCTAACATGCCTGGATCGGTCGACCGCGGCAGGCAAGCATCGAGGAGGAGACAGATGACGACATCGTGAACTGGCTCAGCAAGCTCCTGGCGGAGAGGCTCGCAGAAATAGCGCAACATCTTGCGGGATGCGGTCCGAATTGAGACAGGCTGAGAGAGTGAAGGCGTTGTTGGGCAAGAGGGGACAACAGATCAACGCGCGAAGACTACCACTCGACAGGGTGCACCTTCCATGAGCTCGCGCAAGTTTCTGCTGCGCTACAAACAACGCAAGCCAGTGCGCCTGGCGCATGGAAGCTCGAACACATGAAGCTGTCCCCCTCGCAACTCAATGTAGATGTCCTCGTTCAACACGTCACACATCTTCGAAGCTCGCAGCGGTACTCTCTCTTTGCGCTCGCAACCCGCTCCAGGCGCCTGGAATGAAAGTCTATGAATTGCAAATGAGTGTGTATGAGAAGTCACATCACCTCCTAGTCCACTAACACTGACCCAACATCGAATTGCCCGGAAACTTCTGTCCATACCCACCTCGCTCCCTCGTCTCGGTATACGTCGTCTGTTAATACGCAAAGTCAGGGTGTCAGTTTCTATATTCGTTCCTCGTCTCGTCTCGAAAACCACCACACTTACCAAATTCGCATTGTAATACGCCTCCTTGTGCTTCTCGATATACGCCGCGGTCGGCGCATTCTCGGGATCGCATCCAACGTTCTCTTCACCCTCGACCTGCCAGACCCTTACATAGTCGACGAGCATCTGCGCGGGCCAATTGAGGTGTCGCCAATCGACGGTGGTGAAGCTGGCGCTGATGCCGAGGTTCAACAGGATATACATGGGTTCGTAAGGGATGGGTCGTTGACCGATCTGCGTTCCTGCGTCGGGACCAAGTGCCGCGCTGTTGAGCTTCCACATCGGTTGACCATCGCGCGTCCAGAGGATGTACGAATCGGGATCGGAACCGGGGTTGTATTCGAAGCCGTAGGACGAGAATTGGGCGAGGGTGTCTTGGTACGCGTAGCGGTCGGTGTATACTAGACCTGAGGCGGCTTGTTGGTACGGTGAGCCCGTGTAGCTGTTGAGCTCTGCGTCGGGGGAGAAGAACTCGGTCGTTCCAGCACCTTCAGAGAGGTTGTAGCCAGTGTTGAAAGGTGCGATCTGAGCAGACATGGATGCGAATCCACGTTGACCACGCGTGTGCGCAGCAGCAGCTTCGATGATGTCGATCTCCGGGGCGGAGCGGCCGACCCAGGTGCCATCGGCGTGCTTGGGTCCCGGATGATCGTCCGAATCGGCACACGTGCATCGACTCAATCGCTGACCGGGAAGGTACGAAAGGTACGGACCGTACTTCTCGACGTACACACCCGTCGTCTGGGCCGCAATGGGACCCGTACCATTGGCATACGTCTGATTGGGCAGCGTGCCCACATCGCACGTGTCGTAGGTGTACGGCCACATACCGTCCGTCGTCGCGCCGTACCCTGCTCGACCCAGGTTGCCCATTGTCCAAGCAGCAGGCCACAGACCTGGCACATCCGGAGCACCGGGTAGCACCATCGAAACCTCGATATAACCTCCCGTAAAACACATCTGGTTCCACGACTGCAGCATGCCGCCGCGGAAGTTGAGGTTGTGCGTCGGAATCTGGTCGAGCGTGATGACCAACGATCCATTCGCCGTCGTCACCGAGGACGGATCGTACCATTCGTAGTTCTCTGTGCCCCAGTAGTGCAGGTCGACGGCGGTCCAGAACGGATCGTCGCCAGGGTAGAAGCTTCGACCATCGCGATTGAACTCGTCGCTAAAGACGAGGTTCATCTGTCTGTTGGTGCCGTCGAGCGTGCGTCGCGTCTTGACGTTGTCCGGCGTGTCTGGATCGACGAGGTCCCTGCCAATGTGCAGATCGGCCACCTGACCGGTCGCGTTGATACCACCCAAGTTGAACCCGCCCTTGGTGGTCGCGTGTGACCTTGAGAGCCAGGAGAACACGGGATAGCCGCCGAACAGCGCGATCAGCGACAATCCGATGATCGCCAGCGTGCCGATGTTGAGAAGCCCGCGTGGCGAGAGCATCCCTCTATTAGGCGCAGCCTTGGCGTCCTTCTCGGCATCCGGCTCGTGCAGGTAATCGTCAGGCTCCGATTCGGCATCGTAGTCGCCCCACATCTTGATGTCCTGCGAGCCGGCAAAGATCGATGGCGCAGGCGAATCGTTGCCGAGCTTCTTCTCGTCGAAGAAGAAGGAGGAGCCGTTGGGGGAGGCGGTGGCGGACAGAGGCGTGCGTGGGCCGTTGGTGAAGCTGCCCGGTGCATACGGTCGACGCGGGCTGGAGGAAGAGTAGATGGAGCTGGAGGAGTCATCGATGTTGAGCACGGGTACGAGGCCGTTGGAGAAGGCGTCGGATTGGGTGGATGGGTACTTTTCATGCGACATGATGCTGGAGGACGAAGAGAGGCCTTGGGGATGGCTGATACCGAGGCCGCCAAGGAGGTGGTGTGCGGTGGGAGCCTTGTATGTGTGGCCAGGGGATGGGAGCGGACTGACTCCAGCCGGGCGTGGTTTTGAAGATGACCCGAGGCCGCCGCCATGATGACTACCGCTGCTCGAGCTCGCGTCGTCGGCCTCTTCAATGAGGGGATCCTCCATGGGGATCGAGGTATCAACGCGAAGACCCATGCTGTTGCGCGTGTTGGAGCTAGACGAAGTGCCGCTTCTTGCGAGTTGGTTCTTGCGCTTAGAGCCGGCACCAAACAGCCCGAGACCGTTTAGAACCTTGGAGTAGCGCTTCGAGGAGGTGGACGTGTTATCCGTGTGGCGGTGCTCGGAGGTGTAGTTGGAAGCGAGGACGAATAGGTTCTTCTTTTCCTGTTCTTGTGTGAATGCGGTGCTGCCTGGAACGGTGATGGTGATGTCCGGGCTGTTGTAAGGCGATGCTGATCGGATGGCGCCTCTGTCGATGGTCGGGGAGTTGAGACTTGTATCCTTGGGTGATGCTGTTGCGGTCGAGTCGAACGACGATCTTGACGAGCTCAGATGCGCGAGCGATGGCGAATCGAAGGCTGCTGGTGCTAGTCGAGGCGAGACTGCTGCTGCTGGCGGCAAAACGTTGGACTCGCGCTTATCCTGGGCCTGCGTCCGAGTGCTTGGGACTACGCTTTTGCGTTGCGGCGCGATGCTATCCCTTTGTGGTGCGAGAGAAGGCAGCGAGTCGAGATAGGGTAGCCCTGAGTTTCCGCCCGGTGCGTGGTAATCCAAATCGAGGGTCTCGCTTGATGGAAGAGATGACGAGAAGGACAGCGAGATGGGAACAGCCACTGAGCTTGCTTCTGAGGTACGACGTTCCGGTTGTGGCTGGTCGCAGGAGCTGCGGTGCGGCTGCGAAGAGGAAGCCATGGCAGCGCAAGAGATGCTGGATGCTGCAGCGAGATGCAAGCAGGCACAGTGGATCGTTCTTGGCGACGAGATGCGAAGGAGACGGGAGAGAAAGGGGGTGACAATGAAGGAAGGAAAGGTTCGATGGCTCGCATATATGCTACGTGACAGGATCGAGGGCAACAGAATGCAGCCAAGCAAATGGCTTGTTCATTTCCAGTGTACAGGCTCGCCAAAAAGGATCTGCAGAGCATGAGCGTACCACGAGGCTTGCAGAAGCGTTTGCTATCTCGGTGTCCACAGCGAGCGGCTCCTGGGTTCGAAAGGCCGCCAGACGACGGTCAACTTGGGACTGGCAACGGAGCGCAGTGCGTCCGACGTGCTGCACGATCGTCAAACCCGCTCACAGTGGCGGACGACAGGCGTGGCAAGAGCAAAGCGGAAGCGCATAAGCTTGCATAGGGGACAAAATATGGTCCGCGACAAGGACGGACGGTCTCGGTGTACCAAAGTGACTGTGAGCGATCGCAAGCCATGGAATTGATCTGCATGGTTGCTGCTTGGTTGCATCTTGCACTGTATCGATTGCATTGCAAATGCCAGCTGGACTCCGAGTGAAAGAGATGGCGGACGACAATAGAAGAGAGGCGAGAGACAGCGGAATGCTGGCGGCTGCTGGCTGCACATCAAACTGTTCGCGGGGTCGGAGTATGAACGGCTGCAGTGACTGAGCCTGCAAGGGCTTTTTTTGTTTGTGATTCGCGCTGTGTTGGATAGGTAAGGGTGAGACAGACACGCAGAGTGCTGCAAAGCCTCGCGACGTGTCTGTTCCGTCTCGCTTCGGTGGAAAAAGGATCGTCGAGCTGCTGCACCTTTTCTCATGTTGTCAAGCAAGGCGCGTTGAAAGCGTGGCAGCGGCTGCTTCGGACAACAACAGCATGCAAGCTCAATGTCAGGGGGAAGGGAGGAATCGAATCTGCCTCGCGTGGCGACCAAATCCTGACCGGCGGGCTCCACCGAGCGAGAAGAAGCGATGGACAGCCCGGGTGAGGATGCTACTGATTGCTATTTGCAGCGATCTCAACCCAGCGGGCGTTCAGACCGTCGGTCGCATACAATACATGTCAGTATGGACCGCATCCTCAGGCAGATTGCCAAGCCCGTTGGCACGAAGAGCCGCCAGTCTAGCGTCGGTCGCCTTCTGTCTTGAACGCGCCTCGGACTTGATGAGCTCCTAAAATCTGTTGTTCTGCTGCTCTTCCGAGATTTATACGCCGAGCTGCATGCGCGCTCGCTGCCGTCTCCGGCTCTTCTATTTCCGCAATCACAGGTCTCGACCCGCTCTCCTGGCCACGCTCGGACGTGGTCTCTGTGTTTCAGTCTCCCTCCTTCCGAGCTTCCAAGCTTGAAGTGCAATCGGGATGAGAACATCAAGTCGATTCGTGCGTTCTGCCAGCTAGCCACGTGGGCGAGACGTTCCCGAGCAAAATTTCCCGCCAGGTGATTTTTCGGAGGTCTAACACACCAAAGAAATCGCATACCATATTTTTGCTGCCTCGATTTGAGGCCCGACTTTCTTGTCCAGCTTTAGGTACAATGGAACGACTTCTACCCCTCGTGCTGCGTGGTTGTGATGGAGTTGGATCGCCGGCAACGAGTAATGTCCTCTGATCGACTCTGTCTCCGATCTGGCTTCTCTCATGACAGTGCGACGGGTTATGTGTGTAGCGCAGTCTGAAGAAACAAATAGCATCCCCTCTTGGCGTATGATTGCACAAGTGATTTAGAGCACTTCACCGCTGGCGCCTGGCACCTGGACGCCCCCTCACAATCCTCTCCGATGGCGCGGGCACAGCAGACGGCTGAATACTTCCCTCTTCCTCCTCGCTCCCCACCTCCCCTTCTTCCGTCCTCTGCCTCTTCCTCGGCGTATTGCTGTTCGACCCCGCTCCATCTCCCACTTCGCCCTCCTCGTCCGAGCCCGTGACTGCCGTAGAATCGCGTTTCCTCCTCGCCGAGCCCGTACTGCTCGGCGCTGCTGGCTTAAACGTCGCCGCAGCAGGGTTCAGCGCCGGTGTCTCGTCATCGACCCTGATCGGTCTCCTCGGTGTCGAGCTTCCACTGCGGCTGTCGGCGGCACCCTCCTCCTCCTCGTCTTCAGAAACCTTCCTCGTCCTCTTCCCACCTTCCTCTTCGTCCACAACCGCTTCGACCTCTGCATCACCATCCGCGCGCGCCACCTCGCGCCTCTCGCGCTCGCCCACCTCAAACCCTACATCGTTCCGTAGCTCATCGAGCATGCTGATGACCGTTCCCATGCGCCCATCTCCGTTCGTCGAGAGGTCTGCGTACTTGCCCTTCTCGGCGCGCACGCTCTCCAATTGCTCGCGCAGTCTCTCCAGCGACTCACCGAGCTCCTTCCGCGTCGGAAGCTTGACAATCTCCCCAGCAACGACATCGTACTCCAACTTGTTCTTTCTTTCGCGTCGCACGTCTTCCAGTCGTCGCTTCAGCGCGTGGATCCGCTCCTGGGTCTGCTGCTGTTGCGTCTCGATCTCGCCGAGCTCCGACGTGTAGCTGGCGATTTCGGCCTCGGACGTGCCCCGTGCGATCGAGATCAGCCGCACCGACTGGAGCCGGAACGCTTCGAGTTCGGCTTGGAAGGACAGGCGCGCGGACGATACGGATTCGGCATCCCTGCTGGCGAGAAGGAGAGTGAGCTTCTTGACCAGACGCCGAAGTGAGCGCTCGTCGACCAGCATGCGTTGCTTGATGATGTGTTCCTGTTGCTCGCTTGTGAGCGGCTGGAGGGGGGTGCGGGATGACGAGGCCATGGCTGCTGGTCGAGCGGGTCGGCACTGCTCTGTTGGATTGTTTGCGGGCGGGCTTTAGACCGAGGCGGGGTTATAGCGTCTGACGCAAGTCACAAAGCGTTCGAGTTGCTGTGCGTGGGAGCAAGAGGTGGGGAGCGAATGAAAGCGTCTTGGTGGAGAAGAAGATGCTTTCAAACATCGCCCTGTGCACATCCGACTTCCGCACTGCCTGCGAAAAAGCGAAATTGTTAGACTCGTACTTTTGGTGCTTCGAAAAACTCGCCCCTTTGTCCTCGCTCCCCCTTTGTCCCACGCTCAGCTGTCCGACAGCGCCGCCCACCTCATCTTGTGACGGTGGAGCAGTAGTGGCACAAGGCTTGCGCTCGACGATATCCCTTTGTCCTTCTTCTCAAAGCTTGTTCTGAGCTCCTTCCTTTGTCCGCTTCGTCGTTGTCTACGTGCTGCTGCTGCGCCGAAGAATGGGAGCTGCGACCCTTGTCGACGCACAAAGGAGGCACTGCAGCCGGCGGTCGACTCGGCGACTTGAGGTGTCTTTGTGCGATTCGTAGCTCATCAGAGAGCTTGTTGTATCCTCTTCGTCCTTTCCATCATTATCTCTGTGTCACCATCCTTTACTCGCTGTGGTTTGTTCTCATCGTACTTCACCATCTCGCTTTCGAAGCTTCCTGGCAGGACCGGCGCTCTCGGACGCAGCCACGACAACGATCTCGTTTCCTCCTCAAGGTGCGCTGATTGGATCAGCGACCGCGATACCAGCTTTGGCAACCTCGCCGTTCGACTAGCTCGGCCCATCTATCTTCTTCCCCGTTCAGATCATGTTCCTGCCACCATACCTGCAGCGCTGGCTGCTCCTCAACGCCATCCGTCTCCTGACCATCGTGTCATGCACCCTTTCCATCACCGCGACATCTCTCACTCTCAAGCGCAACTTTTCCCACTACTCGGCACCACTTCTCTCGCCAAGCTCACCCTACTACCCATCAACAGACATCCCCACCACCTTCCTCGGAGTCTTCTGGTCGACCCTGCACCATCTCTCCCTCTGCGTCGTGCTGTTCGTTGTCGTCCTTTCAGAGCTCTCCTTGCCGATACCGCTACTCCACCGACTCTTCAAGAACACCCTGCCTTTCCTAGGACCCAATTGGGGTACCGGCTTTCTCGGCGTGCTTCTCGTGCTGGTTGCGGCGGACGGACTGTCTCGGGCGGAAACAGGGCGCTTTGCACAGGTGGCAGGGTGGGTGCTCGCCAGCGCCGGAGTGGCCAATGTCGCAATCGGCGTCGTGTGGAGAGCCAAAGTCAAGGTGGTGCGGAGCCCGATGGGGTGGAAGAAAGATGTTGCGCAGAAGCTCGAGGGGCTGGCAGAGGCGAAGAGGGATGCGGAACGGGTGGTGGACGCGCTGCCGTTGCCGCAGGGGTTGAAGCAGGGCGAGAAGGGGGCTGGATTGAAGAGTGTCGTGGGATCGGCGGGAAGGCTGATCGCGAGTGGACTGGAGAAGCGGGCAGAGAAGAAGGAGGCGAGGGAGGCAGAGAAGGCGAAGAAGGAGGCGGAGAAGGATGTCGAGAAGGCTACTCAGGAGGCGACCCCACCAATGGCCATTTTTACCCCGCCGCTGCCGTCCGCCATCGTCAGCTCGAGGGGCACACCTCTGGCCGCAACAGCACCGCCTGTCAGCTCGACGACCGTGCCACCAGCGGTCATCCCGCCACCGCTCATCGTCCCACCTCCCGCTGCGGCTGCCCACTTGCGCCCGCGCACGCCTTCCACCTACTCCCAATCCACCCTCTCCTCTTCCTACACCCTCGACATGCCCCCACCACCGCTCGCCGTCCGCTCCGCCACACCACCCCTCAAAACAGTCCGATTCAACCCAACGCCCTCCCCCATACCTCCGGCTACAACAATCGACTCGCTAGCCGCGCATGCCTCCCTCTTACCTCCCTCACCCCTACCTTCATCTCCTCTACCTCCATCGTCTTCACCAAAGACGGTCGGCGTGGGCGGCAGCAAGTTCCTGCTCCTTCCTCCGCCGCTCACGCATATTCCAGCGAAGGGAAGCGTCGTGGAAGGCGAACGGTCGCCCTCCGTCCTCGCCAGTCTCAAGGCGGCCATGCTCGAGGCTCAGGCGAAAGCCAATGCCCAACAGGCAAAGAAGAGCATCTATCTCGGCAGTCGACGGTGGAAGGCCGAGTACGAGGGGTTGGCGGACGGCGAGCAGGGGCATCGGGAGCGGCGGGAGAAGGACGAAAAGAGCGAGAAGCGGGACAAGGAGGAGTCGACAGACAAGAGTGGGAGAGGAGAGAAAGAGCGGCCGTACAACTTCCTCTGATCACATTCCACAACAGTTCACGAGCTCGTCACACTTTTTTCACACAACACCTCATCTGTATCACACTCGTTTGTCACACCTGTAACATAGCATCGGCTCGCGCAGTAGAAGAGGACTCCAATTGCAGCACTATCACAGCCGCTCGTAGAACAGCATGTACGCTTTGGCCTTGAGCACCTCGTCGATGGTCGCGGCGCGGACGATCGTGTCCGAGGTGTAGACCCACCTGCGTCCATCATCTCGCTTTCTAGGATCGACATCGTCGTCCGCATCACCGTCTTTGGCAGCGTGGTCCTCGACGTGACGGTGAGCGTTGCTGTTGTGACTCGCCACGGTGGGCACTGCAGGTGTCGGTTCGAGGGGTTTGGAACCGATCGCAGCAGGTGTAGGAGTAGAGCTGCCGTTCGGTGCTGGTGCGCCGTTCTCGGCATGCAACTGCTCGAGCTCGTCGAGACTGTCCCAGCTCGCCATAGGCTTGAGCTGCGGTTGTGGACGGATCAGCTTAGGTCCTTGAGAGGCGACGGAATCGCTGCCGCTTCCGGCGGAGCGTTGACTATTGTCCGTCTCGAGCGAGGATATGGATGTTTGAGGTGCAATGTCGTGCGAAGACGAGCCAGAGACGCTGCTGTTCGACGGAGCACTCGTCATGGCCACCGACGACGAGGCTGGCGCTGCGGAGGCAGGTCGGACCACGACGGGCGCAGGAGAAGGTGCGTTGGAACGCGACGGTTTGCCTCCGAGGAAGAAGGATCCGAACCCACCAGCGATGCCACCACCTTCTTTCCCATTGGTTGCGACTGGATTGGCACTCAGCGGCGCAGGCGTGTTGGTACGACTTGTCGGTGCAGAACGAGCCACCATCTCCTTGTGGCCGTCCTTGAGCTTGATCCTGTCAGACAGCACGTAGGCCGTGTAGTGACCAGCTGACAGCGAGCCCTGGTGCACAATGATGGCGTACAGCCTGTACTCGGTCTTGGGCCTGCGAATGACCGACGGCACGATCTCAAGTCCGTTCGAGCCATGCACCTTCGGACCCTCGTCCAAGTCTCCGCCGCCGTTCGCTGCAGCTCGACCGCTGTGGGCGGATCGAGTATCGCTGAGATGCCAAGACCACATGCCGTGTTTCCTACCCTTTCCGTCTCCATGATGACCCCAGCGGTGTCTTCCGTGGGCCTTGGACATCTCCACCTTCACATGACGCGCATCGATGCCGGCGTGGGTCGCCTCCTCCTCTGCACGTCTGCGAATGGCGATCGGATCGCTCGATGCCTTGAGTCGTCCGCGTCGGTCGTACTCCTCTCTCGGCGGTGCCAGCCAAGGAGTTATGTCAAGGTACTCTGGGAAGGTGATCATGTCGTCGATCTTCTTGAAGCCTGCCAGGCCGGACACGAATCCACGTCCTGTGGCCTGGAATCGCTTCAGGTGGAAGATGAGCACTGGCGGCGCAGACGCAATGAGATATCGCTTGAGCGCACGTCGAGGGAGACTTTGTGCGGATCGCTTCGGTCCGCTTCGCTCGGCAGCTGAAAGCCTAATTGCACCTGCACCTACTGCGCCTTTGCGATCCGCTTCCGTGTCCGTGCCCTCGCCGGTCGAAGCATTCGACTCTTCCATTCCGGTCGAGAAGCCAGACATGTCCGTCTCGGTGCCGGTCTCGTAGCCTTTGCCCGGGGCGAGACGATCGCGGTGATGCGTCGGCTCATCGGCACTGTCAAGACTCGATCTAGATCCGCTGGTCGGCACCTTCGGCACCTTCTCGTTGCTGCCATTCGACGACGCTGAGCCAACCGTGCCCTCGTAGTCCCTCGCCACGATGCTGCTGCCCTGTGAGCTCGGGATGGTGAGCTCAGTTCTGACGGTGTTGGTGTCAGCCGACGTCATCGAAATGGTCGGAATGTCGGATCGTGGATGCGAGGGAAGCGAGGCGCTCGAGCCGGTCATGATCGAGTCGATACTGCTGCTGGCGTGCATACTGTGGCTGGTCGAAGCGGAAGTCGACATGCTGTTGGCCATGTTGGAGCTGGTCAACGTTTCGTCGCCCACGGTAGCAGGATTTTGCCTCGGCTTCGACTCGACTCGGCTAGCTTCACCGTCGGAGCTGCTCGGCTCGCTTCCTTCTTCGTCGTCCACATCTGCAGCAGCAACCCCTTTGCGCCTCCGTCGTCTTCGGATCTGCTCTCGTTCCTGCGCGTTGGGTGGGTTCGCCAGGCGCCAACACTTCTTGCAGGCAAAGCTGTTTTCGCCGTCGAGCACTTCGACGCTGGTGAATTGGCGGAGCGCTGAGATCAAGCCCGTCGTCGACTGCTCCTCGCGCGTCTTGTGGCGTCGTTTTGCGCCTTGCGATTTGGGGTTGGGCTCGAAGTCGGCACAGGGGTCTTGGACGCGAGCTCCTGCACCGACGGAGCGGAAGTAACCGTGCAAGGGCTTGCCTTGCGCAGCTGCGGCTGCCGTGACAGCATCAAAGAGCTGCGGAGGCGCGCCCGCTTTCTGCGAGGCGGTCGCAGTAGCCTTGGCGGTGGTCGGATCGTCGGCCATGATGCGAGCGATGTACGCGGATTGATGCGACGACGACTTGGCGGGACGAAGCGGCGGACGCATATCGCCAGAGAAGGGCGTCGCAGCGGACCGACTGCCTGTGGGAGGCTTGGGACTGGTTTCGCGACTGCTGGCATTGGCTGCGCCATCGGTGCTGCCGAGCATCCGAGCCACACGCGTGTTGGTGCGAGTGTCTCCATTGTCTTCGCCTGCCGACGCAGGCGCCGACTCGTTGTAGGGTCGAGGGGCAGAGGTGGGTGCCAACGAGAGGGACGCCATGTCCGGGAAGTCGGGTTCCATTTCGCTACCTGATGTAGCGCCCAGCTTCTCGTGGCGCCCGCTGCTCTTCCTCAGACTCCGTGTTCGCAGCTGGAAGCGTCCACGCCCTCCTTCGTCCGAGGGCGAGAGCAGGCCGGCCGACTTCTTAGGTTTGAGCGCGTTGGAGTCTGCATCGCTGGCTTCCGTCTCGCTGTAGCGCGGAGTGCCGACAGGAGTGATCGAGTCTGAGCCAGCGGCAGTGGCTGCGGCCGCCGATTTGCGATCCATGATGGTGCGTCCCTGCGTCGCGCGCCTCCATCGGTCGGCCATGCTGCGCAGACGGTGTCGTTTGCGCGAGTTGGGGTTGCTGGCATCGTCGCGCAGACTGAGGCTGATGTCGTAGAAGTCCTCATAGGTGTGTGAGACGGTTCTGCATCCCTCGCAGACAACCATGCTCGCCAGCTTTCCGCAAAAGAGTAGATCGAGAAATGGGAGCAATTCCTCGTCGGACGGCCCTGGTGCAGCCTCATCCGCTCGTACAGCAGCCGACTGTGTCTGGGGCGGCAGAAGTTGACCGTTTTCCACATCAGCCGGGGTGAGTTGATTCAGCGGCAATCCTGAAGCTTCTTTGTCGGGCGTCACTGTTGCCGAGGTCGAAGTTCTATCCATTTTGGCGCGTTTGCTGGGTGGTGGTGGGCGCATCTTCTTGATGACATCCAGCTCTTCCATGCGACAAGCGTCGAGGAGGTGGCGCATGAGCTCATGACCATCCTGCTGACCATATTCGAGGTACTGGTCGTACTTTTTGCCAATCTGGTTGAGAAGGCGCTTCGGGTTGACATTGGCCGAGGCGCGGGACTTGTGGCCGTCGGCCCAGAACTTTTCGAGAACATGGCGGAAGGCTGTGTTGAGTGGCAGATCGAGCACATCCGGCTCGTATGCTGAGTGAGACGAGGAAGCAGAAGAAATGTTCCGTTGTGGTGAGGCAGGGGTCACTGGAGGTAGTGGCAGCTTGGTGGGTCGGATGGTGGCGATGGGGTCATGGGCAGGGAGGGTGTTGAGAGAGGCCAAGGACGAATCCAAGCTGTCACTCTGACTTGGTTGATGATGGATGCGGCGTCCATGCTCATTGTCGCTCACGCGTAGGGCGGGGCTTTGAGCTCGATTGGGCCATTGGTTGTGTCTGGCAGCAGCCTGAGTCGCTGTTGGCGTTGGCGGCTCCTCTGAGTATGCAACCGAGACCGGGGGACCCTCAATGAGCAGCCGAAAGTCTTTTGTGTTGCCGATTGCCTGGATGACTGAGTTGAGGAAGCACGTGTTTCCGAGGTTGAGGATGCCAGGGTGAAACGAGGGGTCGTATTCGTTGCCGGGCTTGGAGCTCCTGGAGCTAGGTGTGGAGAAGGAGCCACCGCGCAGGCCGGGCGCGAAGGACGAGGATGAGGACAAGGTCGACGAGGATGGAGCTGTGAACCGAGAGCCGTTGCCAGGGTACAGTGGATTGCCCATCTCGATCTCTGTCTACTCGCGTGCGAATCGAGGCGTCGGCGATCTTATCCAGTTCTGCAACGATGATGGCGATGCTTAGCAAGCCATGCTGAGTCAGAGGTGGATGCCGAGCGGGAGGCCAGAATGAAAGGAAGAGAGGAAAAGGAAGCTCAAGATGCAAGCCGGGAGGACGATGTTGCCTGTCGTGCTTCCGGGCGGTCTATCTGATAAGGGAGCTGATACGATTAAGTTTCCGAGTCGAATTAAGCTCCCGAATGGTGTCTGAGGGGTAAGTTGGTGGTAGATAAGAAGGCAATGCGAATGCTGAAGATCAAGAAGGCGCGAAGTGATGGGACGAGACAGTCTATGGGAGATGCAAATGGTCGTGGAGAAACGCGATTGGACCCACAAAGGCGCGGCGTCGAAGGGCTGCCGAGGAAGAGTGCTAGCTGGCGTTTGCGGGCTGTGCCAAAGCTGAAAGAACGAACGAAAGCAGAGCGGGGAGAAGAAGAGGGGTGGGATGAGGGGCCCGAAGACGAGATGATGGCGAAGGAGGATGATGTGGCATCAAGCGGAGGTCCAACTGCGCCGTCGTCGTCGAAATCAGCAACGCAAGCAAGCCAGGCACGGTCAGCAGGCCACCCAAAAAAGAAAGCGCTGTTCAACGTGACTTTAGAGTTTGGGCCTTGAGCTCTCCCCCTCTCTCTCTCTCTCTCCCTCTCTCTCTCGTCTCACTCATTCAGGGCCTCGTCCGTTCTGATGCTCGGGGGTCGGCCACCTGAATTAAGCCGAAAATCTAAATAAAAAAACATTGAGACCCTGAGATAGGGCTTCTACGGCTAGAATCAGTCGCAAATGTAGGATGGCAGCGCACGAGGCTGGTGAGCTAGCCTCGCTTGGCCATGAACCACTCTCATTCATTTCCAACATTGCGGTCCGGCAGTCTGCAACCGGGCAAAGGGGCCAGGCTCCGTGCGCACTTGATCCTCCGTCATTATTGATTGGTGGCCAGACATTGCCGAGGATGCACTCGTGGACACGTAGGCTTGATCGTCGCATCGTCGCAACGTCATCAACCTCTATCTTGACTTTCGACGCAATCTGATCCCTCTTTGTTTGTGAGCTCGTTGTTCGACCTTGAGCTCCTGCCGTCGTCGCTGTGCTACTCGACAAAGACGTGGTGACAGTGAAGCTGCTTGATGGATGGTAGCGGTATCCCTAGCGGATCAGATCAGGCAGAGGACGAAAATGAAGCAGCGAGAATGCCCACGTCTCTCGTATGTAGCACAGCAGCCGTCAACAGCACTCACACTCATCTGGCACGAGGTGGTGTTCACACATTGACTCTCGCGAAGCGGGTCTGGAACGGAAGCCACAGGCATGAACTGTAGAGAAGATGTCGTGTTGATTTTTGGGTTCCCCCTCGTTCTGGAAGGAGCGCAAAAGGAATGCATAATACAAGATGGGTGTGGATGATGAAGAGTGACGATGACGGGCGAGGACCTTCTTCGTTGTGGTGTGACTTGTCTGCTTGGTATCAACGACTGCCAGGCGTGGCACGACCGATCTATTGGAAGAGAAAGACACTCGGACTGCCCAGAGACGAGGGGGAGAACGAGACAGTCGCGAGTGGTCGTCGATCGTGATCAGCTAGCCAGCTGGAGTTGCAGAGGGAGTCGAACGAAGGAGCCTCGCCAGAACACCGTGTGAATGAATGCTGCAAAGGAACCGGACCGAATCAAGAAGGATGCTCAAACACGAAAAGTGCTTAAGCGGAGGCCTTCTTGGTGGCGGGCGAGAGCACGTTGCGGCGCTGCTTCTTGAGAAGCATCACGTTGAATCGGTCAAAGTCCGAGAGCGATCGGCGCGTCTTGACGGCAGCACGCTTCTTGGCCCAACCAGACTGCGACCACTTCTCGGCAACCTCGGCCTTGTCGAAGAACTTCTTGACGGCGGTCGAGCCGGCACCACGGGGCAGACCGGGCACAGTGAGCTTGGTGAGGGTGAGGTGCTTGAAGGGGAACACCTGGCGGGCAACGCCGGTCGAGGGCGAGTCAATGATGGCCTGTGAGTTGATCAAGGGGATCAGAGATGGTAAAGTCAGTGTTTTGACTCGGAAGAATCCAAAGCGATCAAGTGCAACGACCTGCCATGGTTGGCTCTTCCAGTGGCATTGGTCTGCCGCATCCTCCATCGTCACATCCTTCCATGTGTCCTGCGTTGTGATGTCTTGCATGTCAGACGACAGCAATGAGACCGTCGCGAGCTGGATCGTGTTCAGCAACGCACGAAATCGTGCGTGTCCCAATGCTTGAATACGTGCACGAGGATCTTCGTCTGACCCATGTCCAATCGGATCGAATCCTCTCCGTGCCATCCGCCCTCCGAAATTCGACCAGTATCCAGGTCTGATCCCTTTTGTTGTCATCTGAGAGTGACTTGCTCTGCCTAGTCGCGTCTGCTGCTTTGGATGATTTGTTCAACCTTTTGCGTTCTCTGCCGGTGTTCCAGGTCGTTGCACTGATTGATGTCGAGTGAGACTTACCCTGTTGTGGTCGATGATCTCGACAATGACGGCGAGCTGGCCGGCGGAAACGCCCTCCTCAACGAGGACGACACGGCCAACCTCAACGAATCGCTTGAAAGAAGCAGGCATTGTGTATGATCTGAAGGAAGTCACAAGATATGTCGAATTGTGGTCAGCCAAATTGTTCGTGGCGTTGGTGGTGGTGAAAGCGGCAACATCATCATCATCGTGTCGTCTCCATATCGGCGTCGGAGGTAGCAGTCGATGCGAGCGGGTCTGAGTTGTTGGGACTGCAATGCGATCCACACGGTGTCCATCCTTGCCGAAGCAGATGCTTCTCGACCGCATCACAAGGAAGCCGCCGCTGGGAGCCCATGTTTGGCCTCAAAGCACAGCGACTTCGATAGTAGACAGTCCAGGCTGGCCCGCTGGCAAATGTTTGCGTCCTAGCACTTTCCACCTTGCCATCGTCTACTTTCCACAGGGATGCATTTGTGCGATGGGATCATTTCCATCGCCAGAGAGAGCTGACTTTGGCCGTGATGACGATACGGGCGATGCGTGGATTGTACAGGCACCGTCAGAGTGTTCCTGGCGGACACCAACCTTCTGCTGTATGCTCGTTGGTGTTTGTTGGGGGAATGTCCGTAGGTGGATGCTGTGCTGAGTGAAGTTGGCCTTTACGATGGTCACGAATGCTAGTGACAATGCCGATGAGGACGATGATGATGCTGCTGCTGCCGCTCAAAAAGTCGGCATCTACTTACGTTCTTGAGATGATGGTGATGGACGTGGTAGAGATCGACAAGCAATTGACAACAAGATTCAGGCAGCCTCGCTCAACAGTCACGCAACTGACTGACAACTTCGAGACTTGGTTCAAACTTGCTTCTGTGTCGAGCTGCTGTTCAGTGGCTCAGCCCGGCCAAGCTTCCAACTGGCCTTGCCGTCTGGCCCACGAAGCCTCATGCGAGTCTTTGCCTGACAGCCACGGTCTGGTAGGGAGCTCAAGTCTCAGGCCAGCAGGCGGCAGTCCCGAAATTCAGACTCTGATGTTTGATGGGGAGATCATCGGCCGAGCTACGCACGTGATCTGAGGAAGTCGACTGGATTATCAAAATTCAAACTCGCCGTGTGAGACTGCAGGCTGGACCCGGTCTTGCAGCTTTTCAAAACTCAAGGCAGCAGAGCGCTTCATTGAGACCCAAAGCTGAGTCCAGATTTCAGCAACAGCGCAGCGCGTCCTGACCAAGCTGAGGGCGAGAGCCAGCTCGAGCCGTAACTGTGAGCTCGCGGGTTGGCAGCAGCGTCGAGGCAGCAGCTGTGCTCGCCATCACCCGGAACGTACGGACGCTGCCATTCACTTGACCTTTCCCCACCAATCCTCAAGTCATCACTGAATAGCGTAAGTATTCTACACCATATAATCAACTCTGTGCAACACAGACGACCCCGACGCCATCACGACTTGTCACGCCGTTACAAACGCAGCAGAAAGCCCTTGGATCCGCAGTACTTTGCGCATTTCGAGGAAATCCGGCAGTCTCGTCAGCATACACGTTCGGCACCCATCACGCACCATCATCGAACCCGTCCTAATCTCTCTTCCACCCCATCACTTCCGCCTGTCCTCTTTTCATCAACTCGTAGAAAAATGGTCAACGTTCCCAAGACGCGCAGGACTTACTGCAAGGGCAAGCCCTGCAAGAAGCACACGTGAGTATCACTCGACCATCAGCATCAGCATCCAACGACACTTGGCCCAGAAGCAAGAGGGGAGAACGCGAAAGCAATCGAGGAGCAAACAGCAGCAGACCGAATATTTGTTCGTCGGAGGATCAGAATGGTACGGACATGGAAGCAAGGGGTGGGTCATGGCTGCACTCGGGACTGGACATCAGCTCCAAGGTACTGGGCAAAAGCGAAGCAGTCTGCAGCATCGAGCTCGAGAAGACAGCACAGGCACGGGGCTGGGATTGACAGACGGAGCTTTGCAATTGCAAGCCGGCAACAAACAGAAATGCACCTCAGGGCACTTTCGACATCGTCCTTTGATTCGACGAACGTCAAAGGAGGAACTTCGACACAATGCAACAGACGTTTCCGGAGTGGGCATCAGAGTAATGGCCACGGCATCATGATTTGAAGATGGACAGGAACGTTGGTGGAACAGGCATAACGCAGGCGAAGCAAGCTGCTCTCGGATCTCAATGCTCTGCATCTGCCGCCAAAGTCGCCATTGGAATGCTGCATGGCCTTTCTCCCAATCAACAAGTGACTGACCTTATTCCCTTCATCAATACCAACTCGACAGCCCCCACAAGATCACCCAGTACAAGACTGGTAAGGCTTCGCTGTACGCTCAGGGTAAGCGTCGTTACGACAGGAAGCAGAAGGGTTACGGTGGTCAGACCAAGCCCGTCTTCCACAAGAAGGCCAAGACTACCAAGAAGGTCGTTCTCCGTCTCGAGTGCACCCAGTGCAAGTACCGATCGCACGTTGCCCTCAAGCGATGCAAGCACTTCGAGCTCGGTGGTGACAAGAAGCAGAAGAACGCCGCTCTGGTCTTCTAAGCGTGTCGTTGCTTCTCCGACTTTCCGTTTCTGTTTCCTTGGCTGGATTGGGTACGCGGACGCTGCCGACTTGGGACAATGCATTCGTCATGGATCCAAGGCGACGGCGTATTCTTGCTCGATTCACCATCTTTTATCATACGAGAGCGTCTTCTACACTCTCGCAAAATCGTCGTACCACTCGTCGACGCTGTACTTTTTCACACCTTGATGCTGCTTCATAGGCGCATCATCACCACCACATAGGAGTCGGCGGATCAGTCTGTAGCCCCTTCTCTCATACACACACGCAAAACAAGCATCTTCTCTCGATCTCGCAGTGTGACTTGTCGGTCACTGAGTATTCACGTTGAGACGGTGCGCAGATTGATCCCACAAGGCAAGGTATTGAAAGCAAAGGTGGAGATCTATGAATTGCAGAACTGCATGAGAGCATCTATGACAACCGGATCGTCGGCATCGATCAATCAAGCGAAGGCAGAAGTCTCGATCCCGGCGGCCATGGCAGCACCGACGAACTCGGCCTTGACAGCATCAGCGCCGCTAGCAGCCTCGGCCTTCTTCCTGTACTCTCCGAGCTTAGCCGCCTCGAGCTTGTCGCAAAGCGCATCGAGCTCGTTCAACTGGGCCTCGATGACCTGGGGAGTAGGAGCGGCGGACTGGAAGTAGTTGTTGTCTGTAATCAACTTGTTCAGGGCCTTCTTCTCCTTCTTGATAGCCTTCCTAGCAGCTTCCTTGGCCTTCTTGGCATCGGCCTTGTTGGCCTTCTCCGCTTCGGCGGCTTTGGCCTCCTCCTCGGCTTTGCGCTTGGCCTCTTCTTCGGCCTTCTTCTTGTCCTCGGCGGCCTTGCGCGGGTCGACGGCGGCAGCACCGTTGGGGCGACCCTTGTTCTTCTTGGCCTCACGAGCAGCCTTGTCGTCCGCCTTGAATTGCTTGATTCGCGGGTCGACGGAAAGGGCCTTGTCGACCAGGTTGCGAAGACGGGCGTTGTCCTCCTTCTTTCTGCGAGCACGCTCGTTGCGGTTCTTCTTCTCGGTGTATCGCTTGTCGTCACGGTTATCCGAGCCCTCGTTGATCTCCTTGTCGAGGTACTCGAACGAGCGCCACGAGTCAAAGTTGTACCAGAAGTCGTAGAACTCGTTGACCTCGTCGCGGGTCGAGTTGGCATCGCCGAGTTGGGGGACGGCGCCCTTCTTGGGCTCCGAGAAGCGGGACTCGCGCTCGAACACGGGACCCCAGAGAGCGTAGAACTTGTCAGCGGGCTCCTTGCCAGAAGGAACAGCCTCGTCATCGATGGACTCGTCGACCGAGTCGAACTGACGACGACGCTCAGGGTGGCTCAGCACCTCGTGCGCCTTGGCAATGCACTTGAAGAACGAGTCGTCCGAGGTGAGACCGGAGGAGCCGGCCTTCTTGTCCGGGTGGTGCTTGAGCACCTTCTTGCGGTGAGCGATCTTGATCTGCTCCTGAGTGGCCTTCCAGCGAAGGGCGGAGAGACCGAGGACGGCGTAGTGGTCCTGGGTCTTCCACTCCTTGGGGTCGCGAGCGAGGAGCTCGTCAGACTCGTCCTCGTCACCGACACCGGCATCGTCGTCACCGTTGGCAGCAGCAGCGGCGGCAGCGGCAGCGAGCGAGTCGCCAATGATCTTGTCGTCCTCGGCGAAGGTGAGGTTGTTGAGCTGACGACGCTTGTAGGCGAGGAAAGCGGGACCGACGGGCTGAAGAACGTGGGTCTTGGGGGCCGAGAGGACCGAGGCGGACGACTGGCCGGGCTTGAAGCCGGAAGCCGGAGCCGAGAGCTCGTGGGGAAGGTCGATGAAGACAGACATGTTGGATGACGATGACTGTCGACTAGGTGATGGTGGTGAGCTTAGAATGAGAGAAACTGGTGATCACCATGAGTTGGGCCACAGTTCCACAGCAGGCTCGCGCGTTGTGCTGCTGGTCAGCCTCGAACTTTCAGTTGAGATTTTTCTTCCAAAGTGGCACAAATTTCCTTGAAAATATCCAGAGGTGTTAGAGTTAGAGCTGTCAGAATGGCCTGCCTCGCGAGTTGGGCAAGAAGAACTTTAGAGCTGCGCTTGGACACCTGAGAAAGCGAATCAGTCAACCCTGCTGCGCTCACCCTACTCAGATTTTGACTTTCGAGAGAGAAACCAACACTTCCCTCTTCGACGACCACACCATCACCGCTCCTCCTCTATACAACATGATCGATCTCCTCCTCCTACAGCCCGACAAGGGCGGCAACCCGCAGCTCGTCAAGGACTCCCAAAAGAAGCGCAATGCCCCCGAAGAGCTCGTCGACGAGGTGCTCGCTCTCTACAAGAACTGGGTCTCGTTGCAGAAGGACCTCGATGTGGCCCGTCGAGATGTCAACGCCGTCCAGGCCGAGATCACAAAACTGCGCAAGGCCAAGGAGAACGCTGACGAGCAGATGGCCAAGAAGAAGGAGCTCGACGCCAAGGTCAACGACCTCAAGCCCACCGTCGTGGCCGCGGAGCAGGAGATGAAGACCAAGGCGATGCAGATCGGCAACATTGTGGGCGACAAGGTGCCCATCAGCAACACGGAGGATGACAATGCTGAGCTGCGCAAGTGGCACCCGGACGGACCCAACGCGCAGGTCGAGAAGAAGGAGGGCATCCTCAGCCACCACGAAGTCATGTACCGTCTGGAGCTGTTCGACACTGAGCGCGGCACCAAGATCTCCGGCCACCGCGGCTTCTTCCTCACCGGAGACGGCGTGGATCTCAACCAGGCGCTCATCAACTACGGTCTCGACTTCCTGCGCAAGAAGAACTACAAGAAGATCATGACCCCTTTCATGATGCGCAAGGAGGTCATGGCCAAGACGGCGCAGCTGGACCAGTTCGACGAGGAGCTCTACAAGGTCACCGGCGACGAAGACGACAAGTACCTCATTGCCACTTCGGAGCAGCCCATCTCTGCGCTGCACTCTGACGAAGTCTTCACCGAGCCTGCCAAGCAGTTGCCCATCCGCTACGCCGGCTACTCGACCTGCTTCCGCAAAGAGGCCGGCTCGCACGGCAAGGACACCTGGGGCATCTTCCGCGTCCACCAATTCGAAAAAGTTGAACAGTTCTGCATCACCGACCCGGCCTCGTCCTGGGAGATGCTCGACCAGATGCTCGCCAACTCGGAAGAGTTCTACCAGTCGCTCCAGCTGCCCTACCACGTCGTGGCCATCGTCTCGGGCGCCCTCAACAACGCCGCCGCGGCCAAGTACGATTTGGAAGCATGGTTCCCCTTCCAGGGCGAGTACAAGGAGCTCGTTTCCTGCTCCAACTGCACCGACTATCAGTCGAGACGCCTGGATGTCAGGTGCGGATTCAAGAAGCCTGGCGACACCAAGCAGACTTTCGTGCACATGTTGAACGGAACGCTGTGTGCCACCGAGAGGGCGCTCTGCTGTGTCGTGGAGAACTGGCAGACCGAGGACGGGTTGAAGATCCCTCCTGTGCTCCAGCCGTACATGCAAGGAAGGGATTTCTTGCCCTACGTCAGGGAGTTGCCGAAGAACACCACCAGCCAGAAGAAGAAGTAGACATCTGTCCGTTCTTTCTACAGTCTTTGCAATCTCATCATTGGGCCTTGTAGGCATCACATCGCAGATTCAGAGCCAGGTTCATTGATGTGCGTTAGAAATGCGATGATGAGAAGAAAGGGATTGATGCGGAAGCTGGTCATGGCCCTGAGAACCACTCGTGCGCATGACTCGCCTGTTCAGCGATGAGCAGATCGATCGTATCCCCAAAATAACCCTCCGCTTCATCCTCGAGCGCCCTGACGCACTGCATCTGGCCCTCCGCGTCGCGCAAAACATAGCATAAGTACCCCACGGGCGCGATGAACGCCTTATCCGAGTAGTCCTCCAATGCCTTGACGTGTCCGTGGATTTGTACGCCTGCTGGGATGTTTGGGAATTTGAACGCCTTCTCCGACCTAACTGTGTGATGGGCGTGCTGGAGCATGGGAAGGATGGTCGTGTCGCCTGTGACGGCGAGGTAGTGAGCGAGGCGCCACGGTGTACGGCAGGCGTTCCAGTTGAGCGCGCCGTCCCTGTCTGACTCGAGGAGCTTCTTTTTTGTTGAACACCACTTTGCGCCATCCCACTGGAGGAAGTCAGGGAGAAACCCTGTCGGACCAGCACAGGAGAGGGCGACGTGCTTTGTCCTCTCCAGCACCCACTCCCATCGTTGGCGTTCGGCAGGATCCCGATGGTAGCGGGCGAAGAGTGCGAAGGCGGACAGAATGAAGTCAGAGGTTCGGGTCGCGTCGTAGAGCTTGATTCCGTCGGACGAATCGCGATTGGCCCAATCGCCCAACAAGGGCGTCCCAAGCTCCGGATGAATGGTATACCTCAGTATCGCGCTGGTCAACGCATCCGCTTCGGCACGATACCGTCCATCCTCCTCGCCAAACACCCGAGTGGCAAGATAGAGCGACGAGGCAATATCGATATCACCGTCGGTAGCAGAGGTCGAGCCGTCCTCGTCGACGTATAGCTGCGTCACGGCGGTGGGCGGATCCGGAGATCGAATCTGCCACTTCATCAACCCGTTCCCGTTGCGAAAGGCAAGGAAGAACGAAAAGAGACCATCAAAGTCCGCGCGATTGCGATGGAGGACCGCGATGAGCATCGCATACCCGTGCGCCTCGGAGCAGGTCAGCGCGTCCCCATGCTCCCCTTTGCCGTTGTAGAAGCAGAACAGGCCGGCGGGCGAGCTGCGCAGGTATGTTGCGCGCCACTGGACGTACTTGGCCTCCATATTGGGGAGAGGGCTCCGATGAGGCTGGCGAGATGGGAAAGAGGCGCGAGGGAGGGCGTAAGGGTGGTCTCTCCTGAAAGTGTTGCTCTCGGCAAAGAGTTCATAAAGTGTTGGTTCCACACGCTGTCCAAGAGTAAGCTTTGTTTGACGCACAGCCACGCTCCCGCCGGCTCCGCTTTCCCGGTCCCTCTCATGCATGGACTGCATGCCGATCCTGCATGCCGATTCTAGCCTCAAATGCGTTGCCCGCTGTCACCTTCACACTGAGAGAGTTGATGTGGTTTGAATGCCATTTGATATGATGCATGAGGTAGGAAGATCGACAGTATTGTACAATGACGGTCGGGGCGATATGTGTGAAGACCAGCGCCGTTTCCTGGATCCCTTACGAGCGACCGCTGTCTATTGGACAAGGCCCTCGTTCCCGCTTCGGGATGGGGGAGTACGACGCTGGGGCTGAACAGAAGCTCAGCACAGGGGGAGGATAAAATGGTGACGGTTCTCTTCGTGTCTCAACCCAAGCATGGGTGGGACACGGAATCTTTTTTGGTTTGGAGAGGAGGGTGAGACGCTTAGTAGAAGAAGCCGAGGATCTTGCCGGCAACGTGCTTGCGACGGGCCTCCTCGTGGTCCATGATACCGGCCGAGGTGGTGAGCACGACGTAACCGAACGAACGGGCGGGCAGGAGCTGCTGCACCCAGTTCTCGATCTGACCGAGCTGCACGTTGAAGCGGGGCGAGATGACACCGCACTTGTTGATACGGCCGTTGAGCTGGATGACAACCTTGCCGGATCGGTGGTCGTCGACCTCCTCGAACTCGCCGATGTAGCCTATTGCGTTGGAACAAATGCAACGTAAACAGTCAGTGCTCTTGCTCCGAGATCATGGTGCGACATCGCGGCACAGCAAAGCAAGCATCGTGAAGGTGGGGAAGAGAAGGGGAGAAATGGGAGGATGTAGCACGCTGAAAATTTGCGCAGATGAGGTCGAATGGTTGCCCTTCCACGCGGTAAGCATAGCAATTGCAGCTTTGCTCTTCCGGAGCCTTAAAGATGAACGCTGGTATGTGCAGCTCGAGAGCTACAAGCCAGTTGCCCATTAGTTATAACTCCGGGGTGTTGTCCTTTACACGTCCTGTCGTCCAAGCACTTGTCCAATCTGCACCGTCCCGAACTGATGTCGTCCAGATTGCTACAACCTAGGCGATGTTGTGTGTGATGTTCTTTGTGTTGCCACGGTGACCTTTGGTGTACGGCGTGGATGATGCGAATGGATGCTGTGCTTTGCTGTGCCGGTGATGATAAGAAACTTACCGTGCTTCTGCATGACCGAGAGGAACTTGATGACGACCTTGGACGAAGGTCGGACAAGCACCTGGCGCTTACCCTTGCGCTCGGCGTTGACAATGCTGTTGAGGGCGTCGTTCTGTGGACGGAATCGAAAGATGAACAAAACGTCAGCGAGAGTTCTTGCAGGAATGCTAATGACGAGTGAATTGCGAAGAGAAACTTACGAGAACGGAAATGCGAACCATGATGGGCGATTATGTGATCTACTGGGCAGGTACAGGTGAGAGTGTCGACAGAGATGTGGTTGTTAGTTGGACCTGTTCTGCGCCAGTCGTGACTACTGATGACGTTCCCGGGACGAGCCGACCGACAAAGGGACACGATGGGTTGCCAAAAGACGGATCTGGCGAGGTACAAGTCGACGACAGAGGGTGCACTAGCCGATGCACTGAAGTGTCGTTGTCAAAGCTGAGTATGTTGCTGAGCTGCGGAGCATGCTGTTCGACATTCCGTGGTCTTCACCGAGAGCTTTCAGGGCGTTGTCGGCTGCTTTCAAACCAGCCAAATACAGGTCCATGCTCGTGTGGTGCAGAGGTGCCAAGGGTCGAGTGTAGGCTGATGAAGGATGCAATTCAATATAGAGAGCGCCGATGATTGGTGCTCATCCTGTGTCAAGACAGCATGTCGAGGCTGCCATTGCTGTCCTTGCTGCTGTAGTCGAGGTCATGCTGTGTAGAACGGTGGTATGTCGGGGCCACGAAGACTGCTGATGTAGATCCCAGGGTGTGTCGGTCGGTCGTGTCGTCGTTGGAACGCCTGTGGTTACTGTTACTAACCTTGAAGAGGTGCTGGATAGAGGACCGATTGATGGAAGACAAGAGTAAAGAAGAAGCGGATAGCGACAACGACAAGCACCACCCTCGAACCTCAAACGCGCAGCCGAGCACATGCCTTCAATGTCACCATCGTCCAAGGTTCCCAGACTGCCAGCCTGCTGCCTTGAGTTCTGCGTGGCCTTGGCTGGCAGGACGTTGACTTGCAATCTTCTCAAGTCGCCGTCTCGTCGGAACCCCATCGCTGTCTGCTGCCTGTTCTTTGTCTTCTCAGCGAAAGAGCCAAAAACAAGGCAGCAACGCAGCACAGATTCAAAATTGTCCACGTCAGATTTCAGGCCAATTTCGAATATGGACGAGGCAATTCGATTCAACTCGACAGAGTCACGTTGCTGCCTCGGCCGAGCTTTTTAAATATCAGAAAGGGCAGAAAGACTCGTGCCTGGCTCTGGTGCCTCACACCTCAGCCGTTGACAGCGTCTCGCCCTCGAAGCCAGGTCAAGGCGAGACTGAGCAGCAGCCGGCGAGACCTCGACACGTTCAGACAGACTGTGCTTCCAGCCTGTGAGCCAGTGAGTGTGCCAAAGCGACTCTGCTCGTCATCGTCTTCCTCTCCCTCACGATCACACTTTACCGTCACCTTACTCTAACGTCAAGAATCATCCAACATGGTAAGCATCAACACCAAAGCAGCAGCACACGACACATACGACGCATGGAACGATAGCAGCAGCAGTAGAAACACAGGAGATGCAATATCGCAGATTACACACCAGCACAAACAGATCGACACAGACACAGACACGTATGCATTGCGAACACCAGTAGAAGGCGGAGAACAGCATCGCAGGAAGAGACGTTCGAAGACGCACCAGCAATAATAGGTGGGACCACAGCATTTGGTAGAAGGATGATGATGGAAAGTTAGGGCAAGGAGGTGCACCGACTTGTCGAATGTGGTCTCGATTGGCATGGTCTTCACCAAGGTCAGGGACCAGGTCTACGCGAAACGTCGTAACGATCGGCATCCTTGACGATGGCCGTCACGAGATGGTATCAGCACATCCGCACACCACGCCGACGGAAGCGACACCATCGACCTTCGGCTGCTCGACCCATACTTCTGTCCTCCAATATCGACAAATGCGTCGATCGTGTAGGCTTACGTATCAATCCCGCAGCCCGATGCTATTCAGAGCATGGCTCAAGACCTACGATCCTAGAAAGCATTCTAGGCCGACAACAAGCAGAGTCCGACCATCTGCCAGCTGCTCATCTTTCAACTCAACCAAACTTCCACCACATCATTGCGCTGCTGTTATCGCGCCCGTCGTCGTCATTCCACCAGTCATGCTGCTGCTCGTATGCGTGGTACTCCGTCCAACAGATTGCTGACTTGTTTCTTCTCGCTTGATCGCACCTTGACACCACTTTCCAACATCGTAGGGTCGTGTTCGCACCAAGACTACCAAGCGTGCCTCGCGCGTGCTCATCGAGAAGTACTACCCCCGTCTCTCGAACGTCGACTTCCACCAGAACAAGCGCGTCATCGATGAGGTCGCCATCATCCCCTCCAAGCGTCTGCGCAACAAGATCGCTGGTTTCACCACCCACCTCATGAAGCGTATCCAGCGTGGTCCCGTCCGCGGCATTTCGTTCAAGCTGCAGGAGGAGGAGCGTGAGCGCAAGGACCAGTACGTTCCCGAGGTCTCTGCTCTCGACACCTCGGCTCCCGGCAGCCTCGAGGTTGACCCCGACACCAAGGACATGCTCCGCTCGTTCGGTTTCGACAGCCTCCCCGTCACCGTCACCGCCCCCGTCACTGCCTACCAGGCTCCCGAGCGACGTGGCCGTCACGTCCCCGGTGCCGGCCGCCGATAAGCGTCTCGCCCGCTCGTCGTCATCCCTGGCTCCGATGTCCTCGATTCTGTTCCGGTCCGCCATTCGACTGTTGATCACAGCAGCAAGTCTGGGTAGAGCAGCATCGACGGATATGTACTATCATCATCACCATCTTTTCGCATCATTGACCATCGCGTAGACCTTCTGCTCGCTTTGGTCTTTCATACTTGCACACGCACACACATACACGTGCATCGTTCCACCTGTTGTACTGCAACTTCTCATCCCGCTCTCGGGAACGCACACCCCAAAATCAAACGGGATCTCTCGCAGAAGAGGGGTTCTTTTAGGCTCTAATCATGCGCGTTGACGTGAAGCTTGTGGTTTTGTTTGGAGCCTGTGCCAAGGGTCGCTTGCAGCTGCGTTCCACCCCTGATACTGAGAATGAGTCGACGTTGTTGACGACCTGAAGCAACTTGGTCGACAAGGAAAGCTGTAGGTTGCCTTCTGAGGCAAGAGTCTAACAGTTTGAATAAATCGATCGCGCGTGCGAGTCGGAGTGCGAATCGCGACGGCGTGGACCCTGTCGACGAAAGTTTACGCCTGCAAAGGTCACACGCACTTCATGCTGCTTTGGCTCACCATCTCCTCGCGGCTAGCCATCGGTATGGGGCTAACGTCGCATTGCTAAGGATCGAAGAAAGTGGATTGTCGACGCGAGCAATGAAGCTAGCGGCATGCCTGCTCTCACGCTCTTCGATACCTACCCGTCAGCATGCCGTCCTCAACTTGAACCTTGTTCATTCTAGCACTCGCCTTTCGACACATCGATCCTACAAGACACATACCACCGCGAACGAATACAAGTGGGGCTCAGAGGTTCTGGACGAGATGCGATCCGGAACAAAGGCAGGCGCTCGCAAGCTGCCCAAGACGTGGCAGTCGACGCACGGCGCCAAGTGGGACGACAGCATACCAACCCCCGCCGCTGCAAAAGGCAAATGGCGGTCGAAACCGGGCAAGGTGTTTCAACCGAAGCTGACGCCTGCGCAAGCAGCCAAGGAGGCCGAGCGCCAGGAGCTCGAGCGCCATCTCGAAGTGTACACTCACAAGTTGCCGGCCGGGCCGCCACACTCCGCCGGGTCCAGCTTCCTAAGCCCGCTCAGCAAGCCTTCGTCTTCGTCCTACACGCTCGATCAGCCGCTCTTACCCAACGGCACCACCTCTCGAGGCACGACACCGCGACTCAAGACGCCAATGATTGCGTACACCGCAGACTACGAAGAAGCGTCTGAGCTTCTCGCCTGTCTTGGCCCGGGGCCGATGGGTCTCGACCTCGAGTGGAACTTCAACCACTACACGGGCCCAAATCGCACTGCCCTCCTCCAGATCTGCTCACCCTCGCTCATTCTCATCATCCACCTTTCAGCCATGTCGCATCGCGTGCCGCCTCTGCTCAAGAGCATCCTGGAGGATCCAAATGTCATCAAGACGGGCGTAGCGATCAAGAATGACGCGCTCAAGCTGCAACGCGATTACGCCATCGATACACGCAACGTCCTCGAGCTCGGCAACCTCGTCAAGCTAGCCCAGCCCGAGAGATGGGCCAGCGTGAAGCACCTGATCAGCCTGCGAGACCTTACGCGCATCTACCTCGGGCGGAAGCTCCGGAAGGACAGCGTGCGGGTGAGCGACTGGGAGAAGTACCCGTTGGACCCGGAGCAGATCGAGTATGCAGCGAGCGACACGTTTGCCAGTCTAGAAGTGTTGCGAGCCGTGGCCGAGTACTTCAAACCGAGCGCGTCGGAGGGTGGGACGGACAAGTGGCTGCTAGAACAGTTGGACAGAATCGATTCTGCCAGAGCAAACCCAGCCATGGAGCTCGAGCAAGCCTTGAAAGCGAGCGCTTACGACTTGCTCGAGGAGAAGATGCAGCAGGAGGCTTTCGAGAGGCAGAAGCAGAACTGGAGGCCAGCGTTACGGACGATCCAACCAGAGGCTCCAGCACCTCCTGCGCCGCCCAGTCGGGCGCCAGTCAAGCCGGTCCAGGCCAAGCCTCCCGCGATCACCCCCACCAAACCTCGTGCCAATCCAAAGATCGAAAGCGACGACGACTTTGTCACGGTCTCGCGGGTCAACCTGGCCCACGACCGCGCCATGAGTAGATGGCTATACTCGCAGCAGACGCTCGACCAGATCGCCGCCTCGAGCAAGATCAAAATCACGACTGCGGCCATGTACCTCAACAAAGCGCTCAGCGAGGCCAAGCGGGCTGCTTCCGGTAAAGGGGCAGGCGAGAGAGGCATCTTGGACGACTTTACCATGGCAGACAAGAGGAGACTCGAACACGAGATGAAGGGAGCCGGACCGGCTTGCAAGGTTTCGTTGAGCCAATATAGAGGGCTCGCGAGAGCTCTGGGATGGCGCGACGCTGTCAGCAGTCCCAGCGGGAGTGAAGACGAAGGAGGGTCGTTGTTGTCCAGCCCGAAAACGCAAAAGAGGCCAGCACCGGTTCAAAAGACCAGCGCCAAGGGGGCTGCAGCGCTGAAATGGAGCTCCCCATGGCAGGTCGTCGAGGTGAGCGATGATGAGGTCGAGGTGGTCGACACATCTCGATGAAGTCGCTCTCACGGGAGTTGTGCGCGGAGGCCGCCTTTGCATGCGTCTTCGGAAGGAATCGCTCGTTTTTGCATAGATTCATCGTTGTACAGTATCAAGGACATGCTAGCATCGTATTCGAGCCTTGTGAGAAATGCGTTCAGGCTGAGATTGCTGGTGCTCCTTGTGACGATGCTGATCCTGCGGCTTGCTGCTGCGCTTTTGTTTGGAGTGCGACGATCTGTTTGGCGTCCAATCATGTCGGCGGGTCAGAGGTCAGCATACGTTCCAACGCAGGCTCCTTTATGCGCGTGATGAGCGCACTTACCTCGACCTTCTTCTTCTCTGTCTTCTCGGTCAGATCCTTGATCTGTGTCTCGACTCGTTCGCTGTCATCGTGTCGCAAACAGAACAGAAGTCAGCGTCAGCCCACTGTCGTTCCTGCTCATCTTCGTCGCCCCTTGGGTGTTGATAACTCACATCTCGCCCTTGATGAATTCGATGCGCTTCTCGACATTCGTCTTGGCCTCGACCTGGTCCTGCTTCACCAGCACAGGTCCGATGAGCTTGTACACTTGATTGTCGTCTTTGAGCTTGCCGAATTCTTTGGCCACCTGTTCGTTCTCGCGCAGCTGCGAGTCGAGCTGCTGCCTCGCCTCCACGGCTGTCTGGAAGGCTGTTCGTCGTGCAAAGCGGCATTCAGATCGTCAGCAACAGGATCGCTCCGACAGTGTTACACGCGGCGACAGATAAGCGATGCTTACAAGCTTGCAACTTCTGATACTCTGTCACTGCCGCCTCCATTGTGTCTTGTGTGTGATGCGGAGATGGACGTAGCGAAGAAGCGAACGACGGTGGTCATGGCGCGAGACCAACACCTCTCTCTCTCCAACCTAACAAGAAGCGATTTTCGGCGTGCGCTGCGCAGCTGCTGAACCCTGACTTTGTCGTCGGAGAAATAAAGTTTCTCTCGCTTCACCTCGCCTCTTTTCCTCCACTTTCTTCCTGACTCCCTTCAACATCATACACGCTCGCTAACCATGTCGGCGGCAGACCAGGCCAGCATGCCTATAAGCAGCAATGGAGCGACCGAGGAAGCGAGACTTTCAGCGGCGGATAAGGTGCCCAACAGCCCCTCGTCCGCCTTTGCAGCCCTCTCGCTGTCCGACGACCCCTCCTCCTCCTCCTCCGTCCTCACACCGACTCATCTCGCAGAGCTGGACTCCGCGACCGCCCTCGTGCACGCCCTCGACGCCGCCCGCTCTCGTCCCAAACCCCTCATCCGATCCACCGGCCACCTCGTCGCCTCGCACCACCTCCTCTCCTGGAAAGTGTCCGAATTCGCCTATCGCAAGTCCACCTCCACAGGCTCTGAGCTCCCCACCCTCGCTCGCGGCCTCTTCACCGAGCGCATCGACTCCCCCTCCTCCTCCTCTTCGCACCGCATCGTCGTTCGAGGGTACGACAAGTTCTTTAACCTCTCCGAACTGCCCTGGGTCAAACCTGCGTCCATCGCTGCATACACAACACCGCCGTACGTCATGACGTTCAAGGAGAACGGGTGCATCATCTTCATCGCCGCTCTCTCCCCCACACAACTTGTCGTTACATCCAAACACTCGCTTGGTCGCAACGAGAATGCCGAGATCAGCCACGCGCAGAAGGGAGAGGAGTGGTTGCGCCGCCACCTGGCCTCGGTGGGGCGGACGGAAGAGGAGCTGGCGGCCGAGCTGTGGAGGAGAAACGAGACAGCAGCGTTCGAGCTGTGCGACGATTCGTTCGAAGAACACGTTCTGGCGTACAGTGAAGCGCGATCGGGCCTGCATCTGCACGGGTTGAACTCGAACTCGGTCGACTTTCGAACCCGGGGGATGCGCGAGGTGGACGACTTTGCAAAGGAATGGGGGTTCATACCGACACGATGGCTCGAGCTGGGCTCGCTCAAGGAGGTGGAGAGGGTGACGTCCGAGATCGAGCAGACGGGCGCATGGGAGGGCGAGGCTATTGAAGGCTTCGTTATCCGTACGCACATGCCCGGTGAGGAGGAGATGGAGAGGTTGAAGGGGGAGAAAGGCGTAGTGTCTCCGCCGTACAAGGCCGGACAGGCGTGGTTCTACAAGGTCAAGTTCGACGAGCCGTACCTGATGTATCGGGATTGGAGGGAGTTGGCGCGCAAGATGGTGAAGGAGAAGGCCGAGTGGGAGGCCAAGGTTGCCACCCTTCCTTCCTCATCCTCGGAATCTACCTCAGACGCACCGACACCACAGCCCACCGAACCTGAACCCGAAGAAAACGGGGAACCGACTTCCAAAGCAGCCCTCAAGCGCCAGCGCAAACAACAGGCCAAGCAGCACGCCGCTGTCGCTGCTGCCTCACGAACCGCCGCCATCGCCTCCGGCCTTCTCCCACCCCCACCTCCCAACCCTCGCTCCTCCCGCCCCGAAACAGCTCAGTTCATCCAATGGTGCTACGACCGACTCTACGGGACTCCCACCGTCCCCGCTCAACCCTCTCTCTTCGCAGGTCTTACGCAGAACAAAGGCATCATCGCCATGCGTACCGCTTTCCTCTCGCACCTCTCCACCCTCCCAACCACCTCTTCCCCACCAGAGTCGGCAGAGGACACGCGGGAGTTCACCAAAACCCTTCTTGTGCCAATCGCTGTCCCCGGATGCGGCAAGACGATCCTCGCTCTTGCCCTGTCGCACCTGTTTAGCGTGGGACATGTGCAGTCGGACGAGTTCAAAAAACGTACCGGCTTTCTCTCCGCGCTCGAGAAGGATCTGCGAACGCACGCGGCAGACAAGGGGTATGTGTTGTTTGCGGATAAGAACAACCATCTGTTCCAGCATCGGGATGAACTTTTGTCGCTCGCTTCGACTTTGTCCACCCCGACTGCCGGGGGGGTGGGGAAGGGGAAGGCAAAACCGGATGTGGGAAGGGTAAGGACGATTGCTCTGGCATGGGAGTTGGACAGTCTACCGTTGAACACGTTGCATCGCATCTGTGCGGCTCGCATCGAGCGCAGGGGGGACAACCATCAGACCCTGATCGCCGACCCGGACGCGAGCACGCTGAGTGGCATGCGATCGCACGAGGTGGTGCTGTGGCGATTCTTGGAGGCGCTGCAACCGTTTGGCACGGGTGGACGGGGCGAAGGCGGGGAAGGGTGGGGTGATGCACGGTTCGATCAGGTGGTGCGGTTGAAGGTGGGGGATAGTGCGGGGGAGAATTTGCGTAGTGTGATCGAGGCGCTAGGGTGGGCGATGCCGGACGAGGGGCGGCTGCGAGAGGCGATCGAGAGGGCGGAGGGGTGGAAGGTGACCAAGAAGGCGAGTGTGGTGGAAGCGAGGAAGGAGCCGAGGTACTTTGGGTTGGCTGTCGAACTGGATGTTCGCGGGCTGCTCGACTCGCTCCTCTCCACCACGACCACCACCTCCTCCGACGAGGACTTGGAGAACTTCTACACCGACATGCGAGAGCAAGGTCGACTCAATCAACGACCGCACATCACCCTCGTGCACAACTCGTCCCTCTCCACCCCCGAAGGCGACGCCAAATGGGCCTTCTACACGTCCCTCCTCTCCACCCCCACCGCGAAGGAGGCGTTCAGCGTCACCTTGAGCACGCTCCTCTACGAGCGCGGCAAGGTGCTGACCTTCCCGATCGACGCGGTGACCGCACCCCAAGGCATCGCGGAGAGCTTTCAGGAGATGCATTACCCCCAGGAAGGCGAGAGGTGGGTACCGCATATCACGCTGGCGACGCACGAGGAGGTCAGGCCGTACGAGGCGAATCGCGTGGTGAGCGAGTGGAAGACTGGCCAAGCGGCAGAGCGGGGGATCCAGGTGGTGAGGCTCAAGCAGAGTGTCACTGTGCCAGCGAGGGTGTTTGGCATGTCGTAGAGTGTGCAATACAGCACGCGAGAAGATCAAGAGACGAAGGACAGAAGACCCGATGACACGGTGTGATCGACAAAGACTGAGATGTCAGGCTCATTCGCAGCACTCAGGGGAATGAGCGCGACAAGAGCGATGGTTCGACCTCATGACGCGTGGTGACAGAGACAAGCTTCTCACGACGTTGAAAGAAGATTGCGAGCAGAGAGAAAAGGATGAATTGATCCCATGACGACGGTTGCAACTAGAGACTGTATAAGAATGCGAGGGGAAATGCGTGCGAATGAGAAGCGACGAAGAAAAGAAGAACGACGTGGTGGCGTCGGGATAGTCCATGGAAGAAGAGGTCAAGCATCAAAGTAGAAGAGCTTCTTTCTGTGCGGTTGGAAGCCCATCTGGGTGTTTCGGGCGTCGGTGGCCTCGTCGGCGCGATGCTCATGGCCGGCGTCGGTGCTGCCCTGTCGCATACGCGGCGTGCGCGCGTCCTGGCCGAGATGCTTTGCCAGGCCACCCGCGTCGAGACCCCACGCGGCGTCGTACACGTCGTGCGTCTCGCGGTCGGGGAGCTGCAGGATCGGATACGTCTTGAGCCCCGACAGGTGATCGTAGCTCCATGTGCGTGGAGGTTCCGGATGCTGTGCGCCGTCTTCTGCGACGACGTCCTCGGACGCAGGGGTCAGCGCAAGCGAGGCATCGGATCGGTGCGGGTGCATCCCGACCGAAGAGCGCGAGCGAGGAGGGGGCATCAGCGAGGTGCGGTGGTGACGTCGGCCGTTGCCCATGGCAGAGTTGGGCCGGCTGACAAAGTCACCCGATGTCAGATCTTGGGAGGACATTTCGCCGCCGTCTTCGGGCACGCTGGGTGTCGGGCTACGATGCGAGGTGACTGGCATGGTCGAGTGACGGCCGAGAACGGGCTGGCCTGTGCTGTTTGGCAGCACGCCGAGATTCATCACATGACCGAGGGGAGCAAGCTCGTCGCCCTGACCAGACCCCTGCTGTTGTCCTGATGAGTGCACACGCTGGCCGTGATGGTGATGATGGTGGTGGTGCTGATGATGGTGGCCGTGGTGATGGTGCTGATGCTGGTGACTGTGGTGATGCTGGTGATGCGGCCTCTGCGCCTGGTTGACGCATTGTCGGCTGGCGACGGCAGCAGCGTGGCCGTAGCTGATGCTCTGACGATGAGTGGCGTGATGAGGAAAGGCGGCCGACGCCGACGAATTGGGAGGCGAAGCGATCGAGGTCATGGCGCCCCATCCGAGACCCTTGGCACGTGGCGAAGTTCCGGCGCTGTACGGCACCGAGTGATAGCCTGCGGCACTCTTCGGTCTCGCAGGCGACATCGCAGCACGTGAAGCGTCCTGCGTCAAGGCGAGACTGCTGTGGTAAGGACTGCGCATCAGCGTCGGCGAGTGAGCCATCTGAGCGTTGGGACCAGGTCCGGCCTGCTGGTGAGCCGAACCAGCACTGCCAACAAACATCTGAGGTGTGTTGGCGGCGGTCCAGGCTCGGCCGGTCGAGTAAGCTCGTGCGCTCCTGGGCATCTGCGCGTACAGGTTGTTGCTGCTGCCGGAGCGGCTGATGGGAGCCAGCAAGGGGGGAAGCACCGAAATGTCACGGCTCCTGCGCTTGCTGGCCTTCTTCTGCGCTGCATCGGCGTCTGCGATCCGAGTGAAGCTGTCCACGCGAGCGCGTGCCAATCGCTGTGCTGGGTCTGCCATGCTGCTGTCCTCCGCCTTAGCTTCGGCTGACGTGGCATCGCCGGGGATGCCGCCTTCTTGCCCGATCTCGCTAACATACGCAGGGACATGACCGCGACGAATCGTGGGTCTGGCTACCAAACTCTGCGTTGGCGTCACACCTGCACTACGATCCTCCGAGGGCTGGCGTGATACGTCTGTCGGACGCAGCATGTTGTTTTGCTGACCCAGAGAGCTGGCGGTGCTGATGTCTCTTGTAGAGGAGGCTCGCTTCTGAGCGTAGGGGGGCTTGTGGCCACTGCCACGCGATGCACCGCTCTCGCGCCGAGAAGTGTGAACAGAGCCGTGGGGCGGCCATTCGTCGCTGTCATCTGTGGTGTGGAAGACATCTGACTCGTTCGGCATCGGTGCCGGCGAGGCGGTTGATCGCCAGTTGAGCCAAGCGGAGGACAGCGAGCGAAGCCAGCCGCTGCTATTCGAACCCGAGTTGGAGCTCGAGATGGACATGGCAGTCGAGTCGCGGCGCGAGGGAGCGCCTGCCACGCCGAACAGCGATCGACGTCGCACGTCGGTGGGTCGAGAATCGGATGCATCCGTGCCGCGCCGCGTACCAGGCGCATGAGGGCCTGAGGTACGGGACTGGGCAAGCTTTAGACTGCCGACAGCCATGCTGAGACCGTCCTGGTCGTCTGTGCGCTGCGAGTTCTGATCCATCTCGGAGGGCTCTGCAAAGGTGCGAGAAGAGAAGCTTTGCGACAAGGCAGAAGGACGTCGACCAACGGGTGCGTCTTGAGGCATTTGTGATTGGGACCGTGACGCATCGAGATTGGCATGTTCTTGCGAAGACGAAAGGAGCGATGTTTGTTGGTTCCTCAGGGTGATCCCGCTGGCGCCTATGAGCGTGTGCTCGCTGGCAAGACTGCGGGAGAGCAGCGAGCCTCGAGCGCCTGGACTGCCGACATGGTCGCTGAAGAGGTCCACCGAGGGAGCAGCGTGGTGCTGACTTGCCTTGTCAAGCAGCTTCAGGGGGCTCGTGCCGAGGAGGAGAGAGCTTCGCTTTTGGCGAGATTCAGGTCGGCGCGGCAGGGTGGCTGCAGGCGAGGTGGCGCGCTTCCCCTCCTCGCTAGCTTCCGGATCAGGAGCGAAGCCAGGTACGGAAAGGCGATGTGCGGATTTTGCAGTATTGTGCGAGTCCGAGTCTGGGGGCACGATCATGGATTGCCTGGGCGTGATGGCGGGCGTGGCAGTGTTGGTGGACAGGCCCGACGCGGAGCTACTTGGGTTGCCTTCGACGGTGTAGCCATCAGGCGTGGTGCCGTGGTAGACGTTGGCGTTGCCGTTTCGAGCGCCTGAGTTGGTGCGTGGCTTGAGTCGTGGCTCCCACATGCTGCTGCCACTCTCTGAGCTGGTGCCAGCTGTGCTTGTCCTTCCTCCGCTAGCTGCTGAGGATGAGCGAGCGGGGATCGACGAACCGCGGCCGGTATTCGCGAGTTGACTCATGTCGAGATTGCGAATCCTTGGGCTGTTCTGACTGGCGGGTGTCATGGCATAGTTGGGCGCGTACTGCGGGAAGTAGCCTTCGACGCCGCCATTTTCGAGACCTAGCGGCGTGATGAGTCTTCCACTGGCAGTGCGTGGCTTTTGAACGGTTCCGCGAGCGTACATGTACCCGTTCGAGCTTTCGGTAGCTGTGTCGCTGGCGCCACTCGGGATAGCTGCACCGTTGGCGCTCCCAGAGTCGACGTACTTGTCCATGCATTCAGGGCAGAGGCAGTCGCTCCCCGGTGTTTCCGCAGTGGCGGCCATCGGAATGGAAGAGACACTAGCGGTTCGTGTCCAGTGTGGAGCGGGTGGGCCTGTCCATGCTGCGGTGACAGGGGGCGCAAGTGGCTGCGAAAGGTACTGAGTGAGCTCGCCAAGACCGGAGGAACGTCGCTCGTCGATGAGGCGGCAGCGCTCGGAACAGTAAAGCGGAGTAGGAGCTTTGCGCTTGGCAGCGAGCTCGGCTTCCTGTTGCTTGAGAGCGGCGGGAGTCAAGCCAAGACCACCGAGGAAGCCACGCTTCTTTACGCGAGCCTGACCGTCGGAGGTGGTGTTGGCGTTGGATGAAGCGGCGGCATCGTTGGACTTGAAGGAGGAAGGGCCGCTGCTGTTGCTGTGGGAACGATTGCTGGCAGCTGAGCCGGGTCGTGAGTTGGATCGAGAGGCGGCAGGGCTCTTTGTGGAAGCCTTTGCTTTTCCCTTGTCATCGTGAAGCTTGGTGGTGGGACGAAGCTCGCTGAGAGCGTGAAGACGACTGCCAGCGCTGCCTGTGCGCTTGTGTGGACCGAGTGGACCTGCGCCAGCTTTGGCATGAAGACGACCGGCCGAATTGGTTCTCTTGAGGTCACCAGAGCCTGCTAATTTGGTAGCGGTGGGCGAGTGCTTGGAGCCATTGGTAGCTTTGGTCTCGTCCACAGCGGGCGGGTTGGTGTCGGACGCATTGGAAGATCCACGAGCCTTAATAGTGCCCGAGCGACTTTTGAGTGTGGTGTGTGTGGCAGGAGAGGATGTGCCTGCTGCTGTGGCTGCGTTGGCCTTGGAAATGCCCTCGCCAGGCTCGATGAGGCAATCACAGGTGAGGCAGTAGGTCTGAGTCCATAGCTCCTGACCGTCCATTTCCAAGGCAGCTTCCTCGTCGCTGCTGTCGTCTGTTGTGGTCTCTTCGTCGTCGCTGCTTTCGTCGTCATTGTTGGCAGCGGCCTGCTCTCGCAACGCCTTGAGATCTGGTTTGGATGGACCTGGGACGGCGCCAGTGCCATTCTTGGACTTGGCGATCGTCCCCGGAGGACAGATGCCCCCGAGACCAGCGGCGGGTGGCATTGTGTTGGGGCAAGCAATGGTGCGAGCCAAGTGGCAGGATTATGACAGCATGTGTAGAAGCGACCGAGTTGTCGAGCGACTGCGTGACAGAAAGGAGATTGCGGTAGGAGTGGCGGTGAGATGGTGCAGCGTCGGGATTCCAGGAGGTGATGAAGATCAAGCGTTGATGGTTGGCGCAGTCAAGGCACAAGTCATGCTGAAAAGCCGGTGTTCTAGGGTGGGTTCGGCCTGCGCAGGAGAATGACGGCAGCAATGACGGTGTGGTATGGGCGGTGGGTATCTGCGAATGCTCGTCCTTGAAGTTGTTGTGACGATGGTGGGAAAGAACAAGCGATGGATCGAATCCGTGGGAGCGGGTGTGTGTGAAGCAAGAAGGGAGCAAGAGGCGGATGGGGTTGAGGGGAAGAGGCAAACGGAGCGGTTCGAGGCTGCGAGGTTGAGAGGGAGGTCGCGTCAGATTAGGTGTGGGCTTAGCGAAGATACACACACACAGCCGCGTTGAACTCCTATCTGGTTTGTCTGTCACTCTTGTCGCTTGTCCCTATCTTGGCTCAAAGTTGCCTGCAACCGCTCGTTGTGTCCAGACTCTTCTCGGCAAGGTTACAGCCAAATGCAAAAGGCTTAGCCGATCAACACGTTTAGCAGAAAGCGCGCGGGCGTAAGAGCAAAGTGAAGAGACAGCACGCCAACGGGATAAGCGGTGCAGCTCATTGCCAAAAAAAAGAAGAGGCCGCAAACGAGAGAGAGAGAGAGAGAGAGAGAGAGGCGCAGCCCACAGGGAAAGTGACATGATTTTGTCGACGCGTTGTGTGTGGGTGTGTGGGTGTGTGTGTGTGCAGCTTCGAGTCAGGTCAGTCCAGGGCTAAGGGCCAAGCCTCTTGAACCGGCCTTCACTCGGTGCGAATGCAGCACGGAAGCGGTCCGCCATTGCGGAGAAGGCAAAAAGGCAGACAAAAGGAGCAATTTCGGTTTGGCCGAATCCATCGCCTCGCCGGCTTCTCTGTTGGTCTTGAGCTGAATTTGCCGCAAAGAAGGGTCAGGCGACAGCGCGGCAAGACCAAAGAAGGGAACACCCGAAAGCGTGTGTATGTATTGAGTGACCGCTGCGGATCACCCGGTGTCTTGCCGTGCGAGCTCATACACCCGGTAGAAGCAAGTCTCACCCGCCGATCTCGCTCAAGCCTATCGTCCCTTAGCGCCTTTCTGCGTCGATCTTGGACACGGCTTCTGAAACAGGAACAAGTCGTGCTGTCAGCGGCCCACAAGCCGAGCTGACAGATGGACAGGCTACCATGACACACAGCACAGCCGACTTTCGACGGACGAACCTCTGCTTCTCGATCCCGGCGTTCATCAGCATCCTTGTCCCGCCTCTGTGCGATGAAGATCGTCCGCTATTTCACGACAATCGGCATCCAAGGCAAGGCCCTGGTCGGCGTGGTGCGAGCGACGACATCACTCACACTGCAGCAGCATTCATTTCAAGCATCAACACCTGCGATCATGCGGCCGAGCGTGGTTTCTTAATTTGGACAGAGGGGCGCTTGCTCCATTGTGCTCGGGAGCTCAGCTCCTGGTTGCTTGCTGTGCGGAGTGGCTTGTCCGCTTGCTCGATCAGCATCGACAATGGGCTCCGATCCGAGTCTGCTTCATCCACGTTGCATCCGTGCATCCATCAATCAGCGCTAACCCGGACGAACTCTCAAATGGGCGTACAGCCTACACTGCAGCTTGATCGATAGCATCCCATGCCATGCCGTGCTGTGCATGATTTTTGATGCGACTAGCCTGCCGATTTCAAAGGAAAGAAAGAAGCCGGCGCGTCCAGGTGCCTGCTCGACATTTGACGTAAAGATCGTGAGTGCTGTCATTTGGGCCCTGAACAGATTGCCGACGCGCTAGCACACAGGCTTCTTCGAGGCCCGACAATCAGGACCATGCGTTCGACTCAGTTAGTCGCCGCACACTTCTTGCGATGGTCGACTTCCACCTCGGCCAAAGCTAACTCGGCCATCGACGTCATGTCTGACCATCCACCCACATCCTCAACCTCGAGGGTCGGCTAGCTCTGCATTGATCCGTCAAACAGCAGTCAACCAGATTTCGGCAACTTGAGCAAAATCGTCAGGCTTGACACCGGCGATCAAACCGCTGTTGCCACGAGTGTGCCGGCCCGGGATACGCAATTTGCAAGCGAGCCTCTAAGCGGCCTGTCGAAACGTATGTGCTCTCCTCGCTCGCTAAGATCACATCCGTACGCACTCGCCTTTGCGAAGGCCCCTTGCTTACTGTAAGGGCGCGCTTAGACCTTATGCATCTGCCGGCCTTCCATTCTTGCTTCTCGCCAAGAGGGCTTCCAATTAAGCTCGCGCGCACCTCTGCCTGCACCCACGTAGGCGCTCGTTCTTTTTATCCGTCATGGATCCAAGCTCTCGATCGTCTTGGCTGCTGCCTGCTGGTCCTCGAAATCGAGCATGGTCGTGCATTTGCTAGAGACACAAGAGTGTGGCCTCATTGAGTGACGTCTATGGCCGCGAAGGACGGCTTGAGCTTCGGAGACCCGAGGAAGTGTCCAAGCCCAAGCGCTCGCTCAGAAGTTGTCCATCGCAAGCATGTCTTCAAACATCCTCAAGCTCAACGGCTTGCGAAGCTCGAGGATGTGAAAGCACCCAAGCATCGGCATCCGGCACTAGCACGGATCTTCTTCCCTTGTGACAGGATGTGAATGTGAATGCTCATCAGGCTTGGTCCGCAGGCATTCACATGGGAACACAAGGGGCCCCGGATAAGCTGCACCTGCAGCCCACTATCAATGTCCACAGCCGAGCTTCATTCAGCCCAAGGGTGCTTCCGGGTTCTGGCGACCCTCGGAATGATTGTCGATTTTGGCTTACGTGTTAGATTCGAAGCATGCTCGACTTTCTTTTTCGAAGGTCATCGCAGATCTGTTGGCTCAAGTCCGATTGGTCCGAGATGCGCGACCCCACTTTGAGAAGATCTTATCGAGGCCGAAGAAATGGCAGATGGCTGTTAGCTCTTTACTCTGCCCGTCAAGGCGGGATTTTTCAGCTTTGATTGGTCGGTGATTTGGGCGTGGCTAAATGACGCCTTTTCTTCCTGCAGCTGCGAGTCACATTCGGATTAGGTCTGCAGCCTCGCCGTCTGTCTACTTGGCTTCTACTTGTCCTATATTGCTCGCTACCCCCATCTTCCTGTAGAAGCCCCTACCGCCTCGCTCGATCACAGCCATGCCACCTAGCACACATCTCAGAGGACCGCCCGATGATCCGAACGCAGAATGGATCATCCAAAAGTACGGCGGCACGAGCGTTGGCAAGTTTCTCGATACCATCGCGCAACAGATCGTCCCCTCCTACCTCGCAGGCAACAAGGTCGCCATCGTCTGCTCTGCGCGCTCTGGTCAGACGAAAGCGCTAGGAACTACGAATCTTCTTCTTCAAGCCGCTAGCGAGGCGCTCGACGAGGCCTTGACCCCCGCAGTCTCCCTCTCCAACTCCGTTGCATCACTCACAAACGGTGCCCAGACACCCGTTCACCGTCCTGGCTCTGCCTTCTCCCGCAAGTCGAGCTCGAAAGGCACCCCGCTCGGTCGTATCGAGCCTCTTAGCAGCAATGTGCTCGATAAGAAGCTTGAGCAGCTCAACCTCATTGGCGGCACCGACTCGGCCGCCAAGCAGACCAAGTCCGCCAAGAGCGACGCCGGCTCCGACTCGGAGCCCGAGATCGCCGTAGGATTCAATGCTACTGTCGACCGTATCCTCTCCGATCATCTCGCCTCGGCAAGAAAGGCCGTCACAAAGGACAGGCAGCTGCTCGAGCAGATTGAAAACGACATCACACAGGACTGCGATCGACTGCGCGACTTCCTTCTCGCGGCCAAGATCATCGAGGAGATTTCACCCAAGTCGAAGGACATCATCATCGGAGTCGGCGAGCGACTTTCTTGTCGCATTGCTGTCGGTGCGCTGCGCGATGCTGGCGTCGAAGCAGAGCTCGTAACCCTCGAGAGCATCGTCGACCCTTCCTTCTCGGCGCATGCAGTGCAGGATTCGCAAGGAGAGTTCACGCTCGACCAGGCTTTCTACGACTCGCTCAGCGAGGCATTGGGAGAGCGTCTCAAGGCATGCACCGGTGTCCCAGTCGTGACGGGCTACTTTGGCAACGTTCCAGGTTCGTTGCTTTCGCAGATCGGTCGTGGCTACACCGACCTTTGCGCCGCATTGTGCGCTGTTGGTGTCGCCGCAAAGGAGCTCCAGATCTGGAAAGAGGTCGATGGCGTGTTCACGGCAGACCCCCGCAAGGTGCCCACCGCACGCCTCATCCCGTCCATTACACCCGAGGAGGCAGCCGAGCTGACCTACTACGGCAGCGAAGTCATCCACCCCTTCACCATGGAGCAGGCTATCAAGAAAGCCATCCCCATCCGCATCAAGAATGTCGAGAATCCCACTGGGCAGGGTACCGTCATCTTCCCGGACGTCCCCGAGGGGCACGATGGGTCCGAAGACAAGCTCGTCGATGGCCATGTCGACCAGCCTCGCCCGCCCCTCACGCCTTCGGTCAGCAAGTCCAACTTTTCCGCCTGGGGCTCCTCGTCCAAAAGCGAAGCGGCACGACCCGTCATGGGCGAGCGCAAGCTGCCCACCGCCGTCACCATCAAGGACAATGTTCTGGTTCTCAACGTACACTCAAATCGCAAGACGGTCTCGCACGGCTTCTTCGCAAAGATTTTCGGCACGCTCGACAAGTACGGCGTCGTTGTCGACCTCATCTCGACGTCGGAGGTGCACGTCTCGATGGCCATGGCGGCGGGATTGAGACCACGAACGCTCGAAAAGGTCAAAGCGGACCTGCAAAAGGTGGGCACGGTCAGCGTGTTGCGCGACATGGCGATTCTGAGCCTTGTCGGCAAGCACATGAGGAACATGGTCGGTGTGGCGGGGCGGATGTTCACCGTGCTCGCCGAGGGCAACGTCAACATCGAGATGATCAGCCAAGGCGCCAGCGAGATCAACATCTCGTGTGTGTTGCACGAAAAGCTGGCCATCAAAGCGCTCAATTTGATTCATTACTCGGTGTTGGAGGTGAGCCCCAAGCCGAGCAATTCAGAAGCTGGTGCTTTCGGACGGTCGTTCTTCTAACGCTCAGAGAAGGTGACGGGACGCTCCAACAGCGTTCGGTCCCCCTCAGACGGCGCAACTCGGCAGGCATTGCACCCGACATGACGCCAAACTCGAACAATCTCGCAACTTGGTCCAACCCAAAAGAAAAAGCATCTCACGTCACTTTCCCTGCAATCTTCTCTTCTTGTACTTGTATCTGATTTATTCAACGCAAATGGCTCTACGCTGGACTCTTTGCCATCGTTCTTGCTGTAGTGGAAGTTGAGCGCACTAGTTTCCGGTTGCAGTGTGGACATGCGAGGGACAAACGCCACTCGGAAAATCGTCCGCTGCAAGGGACATGTCATTTATCGCGACGGTCACTGCTGCAAGGGGTTAACCTCTGCAGCGGGTTCACACCAGCCACCAGCCATTGTAGGGAGCAGGCGATGATCCGTCTCGCTGTTGCGCGAACTCTCTCGGCTCCCTCGTCGCGACGTCCTGGCACCGTGGGTAAAGGAGGCGACGAGACTTTGATCCTGCCCTTCGTCATCTTTCCTCTCGTCATCCATCAAGCACCAACGACGTCCCCTTCGCATCCTTATCGAGAGCAGGCACTCCCATACCGTTCCAGTCTTCAGCAGGTTCTGAACACGTACTGTCCTTTCCCCACCATCGCTCGAGCCAAGTTCACGACCGTCGTCACGAGTGCGACCATATCAGAACTCGAAACAAGCTGGCCTTGTTGTTCTCCCCCACTGCTCCTTCTTGCCACTTAGCCGTCAAGATGCGTCGCCCTCACGTCGTCACGAGCTTCCTGGTCGCACTGCTCTTCCTCAACCTGTTCGTGGGTGCCGTGCAAGGAGGCAGCGTCGGTCGATCCGTCGCTTCTCCTCCGCGCGATAGGCCGCCCGGCCTGGTCTATCGGCTGATTCACTCACTCGCGGACAATCCGCTGGTCGGATCACCCGCAGACGGTCGCAAGCGACAGCTTGACTGGCCTTCTCTGCTGGGCGTTTCTGTACCGTCAGCTGGTATGACAGATGCTACGGCGGGTAGACCGGGCCATGTCATCCCAGCGTCGGTGCTCGCCGCTGCCGCTTCGAAGAACACGGCTGGTCCGACTGCGACGGCTGGTTACGTTGTCAGCAGCCCTTCTCCCCTACCTCCTCCCTCCTCTACCGCTTCTCCCACTTCCTCTCCTCTGCCTACCTCCTCGACGGTAGCCACGCCTTCTGCGCCCCTAACGAGCATCCTCACCCCTCCAGCCACAACCGACACACCTACCTCGCTCCCAACCTCGACAACAACCCCCATCTCCCCGACCCATCACAGCCTCCTCTCACCCAAAAACCGCCTCTTCCCGCTAACCGTCGCCGCTCTAGCCGCAGCAGCGCTGATCTTTCTCATGCTTCTCATCTCGATCGCGCGCAGCATCGCCCGTGCGCTGTACAAGGATCATCTTACGCGCAGTTACGCCTTTGAAGATCCCCTCCCGCCGTTTGCGCCGCTTCCTGGGCAAGAGGACAAGTTCACCACCCCGGCTTGTGGACTGGGTGCTGCACGCTCGGTGCGACGTGCGATGCGACGGAGCAGCGCTGCGATTGGCGATGAGCTGGTCCAGGGGTGGAGGGAGAAGATGGGAGTGTGGCGCGAACTCAACCGGCAAAATCTAAGCGAGGTTTCTGAGGCCTCGAGCGATGGTGGTGCGGCAAAGCGGTTGAGCCGGCTTGGGTCTCATTTGCGGAAGCTTACGACGACGCCCCTCTACGAGCCGTCTCAGCCGCGACAGAGCGATGTTGCCAGTTGCACCGCCACCATCACTGCCGATGGCGAGGGGTGGACGATCGAACCTTCCCGTGCGGGCGACGGTGCCGTTCACCTGGGGGTTCCTGCACCTCCGCCGGTAGTGCGAAAGCCCGTGCCGCAACTCGAACCCGCGCTGCTCTCTGCAAAGCTGGCCGATCTCGAACGTCAATGTTCCAGCCGCCGCGAGAGGAAGTGCTTGTCCACCGACGCAACGGGTGCACCCATCACAGAGCGCACCAAGTCCCATCAGGAACCGAACAACACGTTGGGCAGGTATCGTCGTCAAGGCGAACGAAAAGAGGTGGACAGCGTACCCCTCGCCTCGCCCACCCGATGGGAGCGCGTGCCCAGCATCGTCGTTCATCCTGAGCGGCCCCCAATTGCGGTTGAAAGACCCCTGCCCACACCACCCATCCTGCCCCAATAGCACCTGTACTCACCACACACTGCTTGTATCTAGTCGACCCCACGCTTTTGCAATCATACACATCCCCCTGTTGAATCGTTTGCTATTGCGCATGGCTACGAGTACATCTACGCCAGACTACCAAAGTCGAAACTGCTCCCCTTACTCGCCCCACTGGGATAGCGATGCTGGCTAGCAGCCGAAGCATTGAACCCGCGTGGAGGGGGGAAGTTGCTACTTGGACTGAAGCTGAGCGACCCCGATGTGAGGGGTGGGGATGGGACGCGGGTGATCTGCGACCCGCCGTTGGGGCGTGCGAAGGTGGAGCTGGCGGTTCGAATGGGTGGTGCTGCGACGGGGGGTGGGACGCGCGATGGCGGAGCGGCGGGAGCGGCGGCGCGAATAGGTGGGGCCGCTCGACCAGGAGGTGGGGGTGGGGCGGCGGCGGAGGACGAGCGAGAATGACCGCTTGAAGGAGGGGGTGGCGGAGGAGGGGCCGCGGAGCGACGTGGTGGTGTTGGTGCACCGGAGGATGGCGCGGCTGGAGGGACGGGGACGGTACGGGAGGGTGCTGCGCTGGAGGGGGGCGGAGGAGGGGGTGGTGGGGCGCCAGCAGACGGTCGAGTAGGCGTTGATGGCGCTGCCGCTGCTGGGCTTGGTCTCGAAGGAGGGGGAGGCGGTGGTGGAGCAGCAGCACTAGGACGGCCAGGAGGGGGCGGTGGTGGGGCAGCAGCGCTCGGTCGACCGGGTGGAGGAGGAGGTGGGGGTGCACTTGGCGCACCGCTCGTCGGTCTGCCGGGCGGAGGAGGCGGGGGCGGTGCGGCAGGAGCTACGGCGCTCGGACGACCAGGTGGCGGGGGAGGAGGCGGTGCACTTGGCGTACTGCTTGTAGGTCGTCCAGGCGGCGGAGGGGGTGGAGGTGCGATGGGCGTGCTGCTGATCGGTCGACCGGGTGGCGGAGGCGGAGGAGGCGCGCTTGGTGTGCTGCTCGTAGGTCGCCCGGGAGGAGGCGGCGGCGGCGGTGGAGGAGCTCCACTTGGAGCTGCTGCGGCTGGTCTGCTCGGTGGTGGAGGTACCCCTCGACCTGGCAAAGATGGAGCAGCTGCTGTAGGAGGCGGAGGCGGTCCTCGAGGGGGAGCTGGACGGCCTCCTGCAGAAGGAGGAGGAGGCGGCGGTGGTGCAGCGGATGAGGGTGCTGCTGGACGAGAGGGCGGGGCGCTGGCGCCAGGTCGAGTTGGCGGTTTTCCAAGGCTCGTGTTGATGGCTGGACTCCCACCACCGCTGGGTTTAAGCTTGGGCATGCCACCTGCAAACAGTCCACCTAGACCAGGCGGTCCTCCCATTGCAGATCCACCTCCTCCAGAGGTTGCGATGCTGGAGCCTCCGCCTCCGCCCCCGCCTCCTCCACCGCCGCTCTTGGGTTCGACTTGAGGAGCTGATCGATCATTTGTGACAGCCTCTGTTGACGTGTGAAGGCATTCGAAGCGCAAAGACTAAGTCAGTGACGTTGGCGCTATGAGGTCTCACTCAACAAGGGTGATGCTTACTTTTAAGGCCCTTGCCTTTCTGAATCGAGGAGAGAAGATCTGCGTTCATCGTGTTGTGGCGTCCGCAGAGCCGGGTCTGCTATCGACGATGAACGGAGGGAAATAGTGTATTTCCACCGTATCCGGACAAGCGTGAACGAACAGCCGCCGGGTTGGATTGCTTGAGCGGGTTCCTGGATGATGGATGGTGAGAAGATGGTCTGCAAATCACACGACGTGGGCGCCGGAAAGCGTGTGGAGGGAAACGCAGGCAGGGGCTGTGCTTGTAAGAAATGGTGCCTGCAGCTGGCTCTCTTTCTCCCTCTTGGTCCGTGACACGCCAGGAACGGTTCCGATCTCACTCACCCGAGACCATCGGCATGATGGATTATTCTTTTAGGTTGTGCTTTGCGTGCCCTAACACGTTTGGAAACTTTTAACCTTTTCAAGTTCGGCCTCCTCGCCATCTGTAGGCTTGGAACGCAACACCTTCGCCAGCCACCAGGTTTCCATACAGCAGCGCCCGTCGCAAAAGCAGCAACTGCTAGTATCACAGACAATGCTGTATGAATGTTGGATGATCAGAGCCATGTTGAGCACTCTAGCGTGATCGATCGGTGGGAAGGATCGGTTGAAGCCAGGAGAAGGTGCAAAGGTTGTCCGTCGTATCACACGGGTATATTGTCTACTGTAGTATGGTGCAGAATATCTGCGGCCATAGAACCTTGAAAGCACCGCATCCCGTCCGATCTGCGAAGTTAAGCAAGGTATCGCCTAGTCAGTACTGCGGTGGGGGACCACGCGGGAATCCTAGGTGCTGCAGTTCTTTTCTTTTTTCATTTCAAATTCTTTTGTCATTGGACGAGCTCAGCGTCGCTACTTAGCGTTGACGATGAGAGTGGACGCAAGCTAGATTGCCGAGACAAGTGGTGTGTGACCAGAAAAGGTGATGACGAGACTCACAAGAGTGTGACGAGGGAACGGCCGGAACTAGATGGCCGGCTGCGAAACAGATTGCGGTGACTTGCAAGATCGTAAGGTGTTCCGAGAACATTGCCAACCGGGACTCGCCTCGGAGGTAGACCGTCCTGCTCAACACTGACCGACTCGAGGCCAGGCACGCTGTCCCGAAGAGCACAGACACGCAGAGACAGCGAAATCCACACAATACAGGCTGTAAGAAGGCCGCACGATCGATTCTCGGTCGGATCGGTTGCCAACGATTCTCGGTGCTCGACTCGTGATCGCATCGCCGTACATGTGGTCAATGCGCTCTTGTACCTGCTTCCCGCATCTGAGCCAAAGACGATGATGATGAAGCCACATGGACAAAAGGACGAATCAAGATGAAGGAAAGGCCGTGGAGCTCCAAGGTGCATGAATGCCATGTCCAACATCTACCGCACGGCGACACGAGATGACGTCCAGAAATCTTAAACTGAGCGGGGAGCGCCGAATTCCTTTGTGGGAATTAAGCGGTAAATGGCTTAGAGCGCCACTGAGGCCGTCAAATTTGAATGATTTAGATGGTGCCTGAACTATGCATCCAGCGCTGCCTCAAGGTCTTGCTCCAATTACGATGAGATCAAGACGTCCAGGGAGGATTGCAGTGAGATGTGCAGCTGTCTGAAGGCGACAAGAAGACTTCAAGTGTATGGTTGAAACATAGCACGAAGCGAAACCTGTATGCAGGGGGAAGAAGCAAAGGAGAGGCCAAGGTGGGGTAGCGCAATCTAGCCGACAGAAAAGCGGCAGCACAGGGCGACATCGGCTCAGATCGATCGACGGCCGAAGCGCCCTTTAAGCGAGACCAACACCTGCCAATTTCCGCCTGCCAACTCGTAGATTCGCCGTCCAACGTTTGCAAAGCAGTCTCCGCATGCACCTTTGCTGCAGCTGACTGTCACAGATGAGACCCTCTCTTGACCTTCTCATGTCTCACTAGTTGGGAATCTCGGCGAGTACGATCAAGCTGAGCTAGTCCCGGCATCCTTGTCCAAGGAAAGCCGGCGTTGGTTTGTTCATTGATGCAATCATCGGAACCGGGAAGCACGTCCCACGTCGAGATCCTCTCCGCTCTTCATTTGTTTGCCAATGTAGAGACTCGCTGCTTATCAATGAAGCTCAAGCCACTTTGAAGCAAGGCGCGTATCTCGGATCAGACGGCGTGCAGGGAGAGGAGTCGATGGACGGCAACGATGATACAGGGGCTCGAGGCAGAAAAGCCACGCCGGATATTAGCGACGTTATTCATGCAATGCGCACGTCAAGGTTCGAAGACTATCCACCGCCCAACTGATTCTTAGACGCCGCATCGCCTCAGGACCCTTGCCTCGTTCATCTCGTCCTCCTTGCCCCTTCAAGCGCCGGCATCTCTGTCCATCTTCGGGTCTAGAGCGAGCGTCGCTTCCTGCTGCTCCTGACGATGAATGCAACCCCGATCGTTACCTGTCGCTGCCAAGTCAACCACACGGGCTGCCATTCGCCAAGCGCCTCGGCATCAGTACAGTGGCTGCTCTACCAACCGTCGACCCTGCACCCTCCTTCCTTCCTAATGCCGGTCTCTGACATCTCTGCTCCCTCTCATCTACGCAGTCTCAGCTGCATCATCCCATGCGCGCAGCCTCCTTGTCCTAGATGCCAAGCTCAACCCTGCCAAACTCCATTCCGTCTCATTCTGCGAGCACACACTGCTCCATGGGCCTCACCTCTGAGTCGCCGATTAGCTTGGCTCAAAGTCGGTGACCATAGGAGTCACGATCCCTAGCAAACAATTAGCTCGGCATGCATGAGTTCTCATTCAGGGACCGACAATGTGCTCTCTGTCCGACTCACACAGCTCTCCTTGGCATCAACTTCTCCTCTCTGCTCCAGTGACGGTAGAGCTTGAGTGCACATTGCTCGCCTCCTTACCTCTGGTGCACTTGCCCCTGAATGTTGGAACGCCCCCTTCTTATCCGCTTGACCGGTGCTGTCACATTGTCCGCTACCGACGTCCCGGCTAGCGATGAGGCCCGCTGGCCTCGAATCGTCCCAACTCCGCCGCTCTTCGCTTGCCCGTGCCTGCCTCGCTTGCTTCCAAGAGCGTACCTTCCTACAGCAGAATGTCACTCGATCTTCTACTCAAACAGACTATCGTATAAAGACTAGTCGCATTTTCACCTCCGTCTCCAGCTTCTTCTTCCTCCCTCCCCTCATCACTTGCAGCTTTCGTTGCATCTATCTCCTCCTCTCTCTCCACTCCACTCCTACTCATACACACGCTATCTCCCCTTCCACCACCTCGCCGTCCCCTTTGATACCACCACCACCCAACCACACGTACACCGCTTCGCCACTTTCTTTTCCAATTCAAGCTTACCACACACCGCAGCCGGCAATCTAGAGCCACTCTCACAGGCACACCGCAGAGCAGCGACTAGATACCAATATGAAGATCACTTCGTTTGGTCTGGCGGCCATCGCCATGGCCCTGATGGCTGACAATGCCGAAGCCATGCCCGCTGTTCGCAACTACAAGGGTGTCTCGCCCTACAAGGCGCGCTACACTGTCAACCCGCCCGTGCCTGTCATGAAGGACCCTCGTTCCATGTCCGGCGCTCGTCGCATGCGTCTCGAGTCCAACGAGCGTCTCGAAGAGACCTACCTCGACGAGCTGCACTACATCCCCTCCGAGGGCCAGGCCGACTCTTCCAGCCAGTTCTGGAGCAACGTGCAGCAGCGTCTCGAGTCGGCCATCGACAGGCTCGACAAGGCGAGCTCCATGCTAGGCATGGGCAACGCCATGTCGCCCTACCGCGCTGCTAGTGCCGTCAAGAGCGCCGCCAAGTCGCTCGGCTTCTCGTTCAGCGTCAACACCAACAGCGCCCACGGTGCTTCGCCCGATTTCACCTTCAACTTCAACGTCTCGGAGCCCATGTCGTGGGGTGAGGAGGCGCACCTGTCCGCCGAGGCACGTGAGGATGGCATGCTTGACGGCAAGGCGCTGCCCAACCTGCCCGCCGACTCCGGCTTCGACTACAAGAACGAAAAGGTGCGCGGTGTCAACCTGGGTAACTGGCTTCTGTTCGAGGGCTGGATGGACAGCTCGCTGATGCAGGCGCTCAACGACCACGCCATCAACGCACCCTGGCCTAACCCGATCATCGACGAGTGGACCGCGGGTCTCTACTCGGACAAGGGCTGGGCTTCGTATGTGCTGCAGAAGCACTTTGACGAGTGGATGACCGACGACGACTGGCAGCAGATCAAGGCGGCTGGTCTCAACCACGTCCGTATCCCTGTCCCCTACTTCATGTTTGCCGAGGCCGTGGGACCCAACGCACCTTACCTCACGCTCAACCGCTTCGCCAAGCTCAAGGAGGGTGTCATGAAGGCCAAGAAGCTCGGCCTCAAGGTGTGGATCGACCTGCACAGTGTGCCCGGCTCGCAGAACGGGTTCGACAACTCCGGACGCAGTGGACCGATCAATTGGGCCAACAACCCGGCGTACTTCACTCAGACGCAGTACGCCTTCAACCGACTGGTCAAGGAGTTCACGCTCGACGACTACGCCGGAACGGTGACGGCGATCGAGGCGGTCAACGAGCCCAAGGCCAACGTGGTTCCGGCTGTGCAGGATCTGCTGAACAAGTACTACCCGTGGGCTCGCAACCGCGTGGCGATCCCCGAGGGATGGAACAAGTACTCGAACATGCTCCTCGCGATTCACGACGGATTCCAGGGCCTGCAGTACTGGCAGAACTTCTGGACGGGCCGTGCGCGTCATCGTGTTCTGCTCGACACGCACCCGTACTTTGTCTACTCGGACTGGCAGCACCAGGCCAAGGATACGCAGCGACTCCAGCAGGCCTGCCAGCTGGTCGACTCGTTCGCCAAGTCGCAGCAGTACTACCCGTCGATCGCGGGTGAGTGGAACGTCAACGGACCCAACGGCGACCGTATGGCCGACCGCGATCTGCCCGTGGGCCCCATCAAGTTCCCCAGCTTGCCCGGCGTCACCTACCCGTACTCGGTCAAGTACATGGCGTTCATGGCGCGCAACTTCAAGACGCAGCAGTTCATCTACGAGCAGGGCGGCGGATGGATCCAGTGGAGCTGGAGGAACGACAACAACCCAGACTGGTCGTACAAGACGGGTCTGCAGTATGGATGGATCCCGATGGATCTTGACCAGCAGCCGTACGGTGCCAACCCGTGCTCGTGCATCCCTGGTCTGATCCAGGCTGCTGAGAACGGTACCGCCGCCGAGAGCTGGGTCAAGGCCGAGCTCGCTGGTCACCTCTAAAGCACGAGTTGCGATGGTGGTGGTGGCCACACAGGCGATCGCTCTTCGTTTGCTAGGTGAGAGATCGCAGATACCCCCGTATTGGCTGCCGCTGTTGTCTCGCCCGCTCGCTTCCTCTCGCATCACTCGTCATGATCGATGGCCGTCCTTAGTCTGCTCGCCTCTCATGCCCCGACCTCTGCTTTCCGTTCCCTGGATGGATCTTTGGAAGGACCCGTCCCGTCTCTCTTGCATCGTTTTCTTCAGCATTTCAACACCGACCCATCAACACCTCAACGCCATGATTCTGTTTCTCTGTTACGCATCCGCAACGACCTGTTCATGTCTTTTCTCTTCTGACGACCTTGATAGTACGACTCGCTTGCCGATCAATATCAATTGCATTCTTTTCACGAATCTTTCCCGGGTGTGTGCGCGCGTTGAGTTGAGACCCCCTCGCCGCGTATGAGCATCAAGGGCGCGGACCTCGTTCTGTGAGCGTTTCGACGAGATGAGCTGCTCTTCTTCAGTTGGCTGACTAACCGAATGCCTGCTGCCAGCGCCTATCATTTCCCTTCGGCAAGCTTCCGATAGCTGCGGCAGTGTCCGTGGGAACGCTGACGAGCGTGCGACACGCGAGAAGAAGGGTATGAAGGATGCGATCCGATCGGTGGTGGGAGCGTGGGAAGCGGTGCTCGCCTCGGAGCCTTTTTTTTGGATTTGAATCACTCAGCGACTCTCGGCTACTCCGCGGCTTCCACTTTCACTCACTCAGACCCTGTCTCGCTCATCTCTCAACCATCACGTCCTCCCGCAGCGACCCTCTGTCTTGTCTGCAACCTCTTACCGTCCATCTAAAGCGTCTCGCCAATCTTACTCGCGCTACAAAGGCTGCCGTCGACAAGTCAAATCGGCTCTCGAGATGGCTTGTCCAGTCAACCACCCCGCTTTCCACGCCTTTGTCTTTCTCATCGGCGTGCTCATCATGTTTGGCAAGTACATCAAGACATGATCGGTCAAGCTGCGCCACTACTGCCTGGCTGCTACAGCAACCCATCACCGAGCAGTTTCAAGCTTCACATGAACGGGCAGAGGTGTCCTTTCGAATATGCAGCTTCGTCTACCACATCGGGCCCGGCCGAAAGCAACAGACCTTGACCTTCAGGGCGCAAGACAGCAACTGTTCAAGCCTCTCGATATCCACGTCGCTCGAACCAGGTACGATCATGCCTACACTCTGCCAAGATAGCTCTCTCTTTCGGACTCAAGGACACCGATACGGCCGAGCTTCAATCTCGACGTGCTTTACTCTTGCGCGCCATCAACCAAGCACCACTCGCGTCTCATCAGCACACTCTCATCCTCTCGCATCGCAATCAAGCATCTCGCATCTCGCATTCACACTCGCCAACTCTCGAACAATGCATAAGGTCTCAATGATGTAATTCTATACATTTCCTTTTCACGACCAGGAGTACGTCTGACGATCCAGCCGCCAGACAGCTTTCCTCGTGGTCGTGGGGCTATCCGACGCGGTACCGTCCGGGTTGAGCAGCCTGAGGTGGGCGGTCATGGTGTAACTCCTCTGGTCGTTGACCTTGCAGTGGACGCTACCGGCAATCTTCTGGTTTCGGTTGACGGCGAGGGGTTCGGGAAGGAGGAAGCGGACCTGCTGCCAGTGCGTCGGATCCGCGTAGGGACTGGTGGTCATAAAGTTGCCAGCTGTTGCCGAGGTGGTTGAGACGGTGGGGATGGTGGGTAGAATCGCATCTGTGCTATTCGAGGTGGGTGTGGAGGCCGAGGCGAGAGCGGAAGCCGTCTTGAGCGTGTCGAGCGCCGATTCGAGCGACATCCCATTTGCGTTGGTGGTCGCCTCGCCCATCGTCGTATCCGTATCGTTGTTCGAGGGCGATTGAGAGTTGAAGTGCAGATCAAACCATCCTCCCAGCCCATGCACTATCGCTGCGTTGGCGAACACCCACTCGACGGGAACGGTGAACTCCCTCAGCTCGGCCTGCGTGATACTGGCGAAATCGATCACGTAGTCGCTCGATACGCTCAGCAAACACTGCGGGGGGAAGACACCCACCACGGGGCTCGAGAAATTTTCCTCAAACGCGAGAGCCGCAAAGGGGGAGACGTCGACACCGTAAAAGTTGCTGTTGAGCCACCACTTGGCCTTGTTGGCGGTATCGTTCCACAGCTGCTTGTCCTCGAATGGGGCGAGGCAGATGGTGCCGGCCGAGGGGAAGACGGACCCTCCCGGGGCGAGGAACCGGTCTCTTGCATCCAGAAAACTTTCGCACATGCGCTCGTGCACCAGCAGCACTCCGAGACATTCCGAGACGATCGTGTCTACCTGTGTGTGGCCCTCGAGGTGTTTCGCCGTGACGTCTTCCACCTTTGAGTGCACGGGTACGAGTCTCCCCTGCAACCAGCCGTTCCTCTGTTCGGTCGGATTGGTCGTTCCAAAGCTCACACCGCCCAGTCCCGCATCGCCCGCACCCATCAGCTCCAGCGCCTCCTTCTCCCCCTTCACCACCTCCGGCTTCCGAGTCGCATGCGAAGCATCGACCACCTTCTGCAGGCACTCGACCATGTTGGACGCCTCGATGGCATACACCTTCTTCGCCCCCGCTTGCGCCGCAAAGAAGCTCAAGATGCCATTCCCCGCCCCGACGTCCATGACCACCTTGTCGACGAAATCGTGCTGCGCATTGTTGAGGATCGCCCGCTGGTAGGCTGCTGTTCGGACCGTGTCTTGGAGCATCTGAGCCTGGTGCGAGAGCATGGAGTAGTAGCCAAAGTAAGCTTCATCCTTTTGTTCGTAGATCTCGGCGGGCAGCGTGGTGGAGCTCGAGGCTCCTTTGTCGGCCGTCATGGTGAGGAAGGGAGTCAACAATCAGTGTTGAAAGGGTGGGTGAGATGAGGATGGTCGGTACATCTTCGTACCACGTCGGACCTGCTTTCGTTTCTTCTGAAAAATGGCCCGACCAAGCGAGACACACACCCATCGGCCGATTCGTGACGCGACACAGGCGAAGAAGTCGGTTTTCGAGGGCGAATCGGGGGACCGATATGGAGGCGCGTTGGCCGTCTCGCAATTCTAGAAATCATCGATCCGCTCCTTCGAGCTTGAACCTTCCATCTTCGTATCACCCGCTCTTCCATCAGAAGCGAGACGTCTCCACTCACCTCGTCAGCAGCATCGAGATACCGCACCGAGCTCAGGACTCTTTCACCACTTGCCTAGTGTTCTCCTCACGTTTCTTGCCCGCACAACGGCTGCATCGATCCATAACGACCTTAACGCCCAACTTTGACGGTCACCTCCGATCCTTCGCCTATGTCGATGCAGGCCACATCGCGCATCGCTCGCCCTCTCACACACTGAAGAAGTATAAGCACAACTCCCGCTTTTCTCCACCATGAATCCAATGATCCCCTCTCCACACGCACTCCAGCCATCGGCACTAGCCAAGCTCTCTCTCCGCGACAAGCTGCTCCTGGCGCAAGCCGTGCATGAGATCGGCACCTCGCCTCCTGACTGGGGTCGCGTTTCCTCCCTTCTCCTCGCGCACCCTCTTGTCCGTCAACAGTCGCGCCTCGAGCAAGCGGCCAATGCAGGTCTCACGCTGGGCCGCATCTTTGGCACGCGCGAGTGCGAGCGGGCATGGATCGCGCTCATGCGCCAACGCGGTCTCGTCCTTGGCAAAGACGAAGTCGTTCCTGAACCTGTCACGCCCACCACGCCCAAACCGAAAGAAGCGAGGGGTCTGCAGCCGCGGACGGATCGGCGGTCGCAGCTGGCCCTCGCTCAGTTGTTGTATGCGGAGAGGCTGGAGGAGCTCAAGGAACAGATCAAGGAGAAGGAGGAGCAGTTCAAGAGCTTGGTCAAGGAGATCGATGAGATCAAGTCGGGCAAAGCAGACGCAAGATTGGAGATGGAGCTCCGGATCGAGATGGAGAACCTGGCCAATGGACCACCGCTACCGCCAAGTACTCCGGGCAGCACCGCGGCGTCGATCGCAGGACCGACAACTCCGGCTTCGACGGCGAGCACGACGCCCAAGAGCGCGAAGAAGGGTCGAGCGAGGGGAGAGAGCTCGGCGACACTGCCACAGGGAGATCTGTCCAAGGGCTCACCGGCAAGCACGGGTACGGGATCTGCGCCCAATAGCGCCGGGAAGAAGAGCGAGCTGGTCAAGGGCAGGAAGCCAGGTGAGAGGAGGTCCAGTATCGACGAGTCGCCGACCAAACTTGTGCCTGGACCAACGACCTTACCGAGCACGCCATCGATCAATCTTCCGAGACCAGCGACGGAGGCAGTCGCGGCATCTTCGGCCGCCGTCAATGGCGACAGCAGCACGGCAAACAAGGCAGGTGATGCGATGACGACCGAGGAAGCGGAACAAGCCGTCGCAGACGCCGCGACGGAAGCAGCCGTCAAGGTGCTGCAGGACGAAAAGGCGGCGGGCAAGATCTTGCAGGCGGAAGTGGAGAAGGCGGCAGAACAGGTGATCGATCTCGAGACCAACATGGAGCTGTCAGCTCAAGCCGAGGGCAATGCGGATGCTGCTGTAGCGTCGACATCCACCGCCGAAGCGCAGAGTTCGACTACAGAAGCTGCGACTGCAGCGGCAGCAGCGGAAGCGCAGAAGGATGCGGCGACGCAGCCTCACGAGGCGCCGGCAGCAGATGTGGTGGTCAAGGAGAAGGAGCCGGTCCAGACAGCGTCCGTCACAGCCCAGCCCGCTTCAGAGACACCAGTCGCTGCTGCGAAGAGCGCAGAGTCCATCGCAGGAGCCAACAAGCGCAAACGCGAAGAATCGACAGAGTCACCGAAGAAGGACGCTCCGGCAGCTGGAGCAGGTACAGCTGCCAAATCGACCGCAGCAGACTCTGCGTCGCCAGTCAAGAAGTCGCGCACGGCGGAAGCCGAGAAGGTGCCCTCGTCGGATGTGGAGATGGACAGCGAGGACGAAGCCGAGGCCGCGGTCGGTGCGGACGAGGCCAAGGCTGTCGCGGGCGATGCGAGCAAGGCTGCTGCTCCGTCGAAGGACGTCGCGCCGGTCGCAGACCAGAAGGCGGATGCAGACAAGGAAGCAGTGATGGACGAAGACGCGGACGAGTCGAGCGACGAAGAAGAGACCGAGGAACAGGTCAAATCTGTCGAGTCGTCTCGCAAGCGCTCGCCTACGAAGGAGGATGTCACAGCGGCACCTTCATCCTCACCTGTTGAGCCGGAAGAAGTGGACGAGTCTGCCTCGGATGACGAGCAGAAACCTTCCTCCAGACGCAAACCTCTCCGTCCGCGTCTTTCCTCCACGCACTCCACTCGCCCACCCAAGCCCACGCCCCCAGGGGCCTCATCGGACCGTCAAACCGCCGCGGCCAAACGCAAGACCGCCCAAGTCCTCTCGATGCTCCTCACCGAAGTATCCAACCACACGCACGGCAACCTCTTTCACGCACCCATCAAGGAACAGGACGCTCCCGACTACTATACGCTCATCAAGCATCCGCTGGATATTAAGACGATCAAGGCCCGCATCAAGGAAGGCTCCATCGCGAGCGCCAAGCAGCTCCGAAGGAGTTTGGCCTTGATGTTTGCCAATAGCCTGATGTACAATCGACCGGGAACGGAGGTTCATAGGATGGCAAGCGAGATGTTTGCTGCCAGCGAAGAGATTTTCAAGCGCTACGAAGGCACGCAACGATTCTGAAGCGCTTTCTTGCTGCAATGTCATCCCATGGAACTGCACTTCGATGACTTCTGTGTGTGTAGGTTCATGAAGTGTCGGTCAGTCTAGAGGACGGGAGGAGCCAAAAGCCCTACACGTCCCGGCAAAATTGAATTGTGTGGGTTATGTTGGCTTCTTGTTTACTGCCGAACACAACGAGGGAATATGGTCTAGTGGTATGACGTCGCTTCCGCATACCTGTTGGATCCTCCAAGTTCGCGGTCCGGAAAAGCGAAGGTCCGGGGTTCGATCCCCTGTGTTTCCATTCCTGTCTTTATTTTTTGCCTTTTTTTTGGCATCGCTATTTTGAGCCATCTTTTTTGAGGTTTATCATATCTTATATGCTTTCAGTGACCCTTAGGATGTTCCTTTTGATAGTCTCGCACCTCTTCACAACAGGATCAGACTTGTAGCGAATAGCTTCATGCAGCTGAACTAAGGCTTGTTGCATGTACGTTCAGCCTGGGCCGCTGTCAGGGCGAAGTGACGCCGTGTTTGACGCAGATCGATGTGCTGAGAGGTAAGCGCTTACAAGTAAATCGGGAGCTCGTCCCGATCCCGGCATTATTAAGATACGGCGATAGCCGAGCGAGACCTCGAATTTTGAACAAGGCAGCAGCGAGCAGCTTCCAAAAATTTAGGGTTCGACGTGCTTGCATCTAAACTTCACACCTCAGCCATATCATTACACTTTCGCTTGACATAGACACCGCAGCTACTGGCGTCATCTCGGACTGACGACGGGAAGCAATCCGACTCGTGCTGCACCATATTCGCTCTTCGTACGCGCTCGTGGAGAGCTCTCGACGCTTCTCTGTTGTGTAGCATCTCGAGCACTAGCTTCGCCACCAGTCGACAAGTACGCCAAGTCACACGCTCGACAGCGTCCCACACCTTTACAACAATGCCGGAAGCCGTCGCTCCCACTGCGGTCGCCAGCGGCAGCACCAATGCCAAGCTCGCAGCTGCCACCACCACCACGACGTTCACCGAAGTCGGGCCGGTCGAGATTCCCGATCTCGACAGCTTCCCTCCCACCGGCACGCCCATTCACCCCAAGCTCGCGTCATGGGACTTCTACCGCTCGCTCCACTCGCCACAACGCATCGTCGCTCCTATGGTGGACCAATCCGAACTGCCCTGGCGCATCCTCTCCCGGCGCTACGGCTCCGACCTCGTCTACACACCCATGATCAACGCCAAACTGTTCGTCGACGACGCCTCGCGCAAAAAGAAGGTCAAGTATCAAGAGGTCAACTTCAACAAGGAATTTGGCGAGGAAGGAGCGGCACTGCTGTCGAGCGAAGGGGAGGGATGTTCAGCGGACAGCGATCGACCGCTCTTCGTGCAGTTCTGCAGCAATGATCCGTCTACCCTGCTCAAGGCCGCACAGGTGGTCGAGGACAGATGTGATGCGGTGGACCTCAACCTTGGTTGTCCGCAACACATCGCCCGTCGCGGCCATTACGGGAGTTACCTCATGGAAGACTGGCCTTTGATCTTTGCCTTGATCAACAATCTGCATCTCAACCTCAAGATCCCCGTGACGGCCAAGATGCGCGTGTACGAATCGACGGAGAAGACCGTAGCCTATGCGCGGCTGTTGGAGCGCGCCGGAGCACAGATTATCACCGTCCACGGTCGAACACGGGCGATGAAGGGTCACTTTACGGGGTTGGCGGATTGGGCCAAGATTCGGGCGGTCAAGCAGGCCGTCGGTGTTCCTGTGTTTGCCAATGGCAACGTTCTCTATCCGGGTGACTTTGATAAGGCATTGGCGGGTACGGGCGCGGACGGGGTGATGAGCGCAGAGGGAAACTTGTACAACCCGGCCATTTTCGCACGGACGATCGAGAGGGGGCCGATGTTCCCACACGCACCCGAGCTGCCGTTCCCAAGCATTACGGCGATGGCCAACGAGTACCTGGATATCGTTGCGAGTCTCAGAACCCCGACGCAGAGCAGCGCGATCAAGGCGCATCTGTTCCGGTTGTGCAGACCCGCGTTGGAGGTGCATAAGGAGTTGAGGGAGCACCTCGGCAAGTCGAGGTTCGATGGTGCGGCCAAGGGCGAGGGGCGCGTGGCGATGTATAGAGCGTTCGTAGCGGAGCTGGAGCAGAGGTTGGAGGCGGACAGGAAGAGTGGAAAATGGGATGAGAGACCGGAGACGATGCTGCCGGGTTCGGTGAGTTATCTGACGCAAGGGGAAGGGGTGTATGTGCCGCACTGGTTGGCGCAGCCGTACTTCCGACCGCCGTTGGTGCCCGGTGAGGAGGGAGGGAAGGCCAAGGAGGCGAAGAGTAGGGCGGAGCAGATGACGAGTGTTGAAGATGTCCAGACTAAGGGCGAGGAGAAGGTCGTTGCGGAAGAAAAGATGCGAAGGGCGAGGAGTGAGAGTGTCGAAACGAACCAAGCGGGGAAGAAGGTCAAGTTGGACGAGTAGAGTCGTGCAATTCATATCTCGCTGAAACACCCTCCCTCTGGCAGTGCTCAGTTGTGCCCGTGTTGAGTTGTCAGAATGCCTCGTGCCAAGTCGTCGTCATGCTGCAATGCTTGCTGAAAATGAATGTGTATTGACGCTCTGAGCGAACTGGTATCTGGGTTCACGCAATCACCTCGTCCTCCCTCACCAACCCATGCCGCACACACTGCGCCTCACACCACCTCCACACCTCCTCTCGTACCTTTTCGTCCTTGGCCAGCTTGCTTTCCTCTCCCACCCTTGCGTAGGGGACGAGGTATTTGCCGTGCACCTCGTCCTTCGGTGCGCCTGTTCCGCCCCACAGCTGGGTGACTGCGCCGAGTGTTGCCGGTACGAGAAAGAGGTTTTTAAAGCTGGTGAGGAGGCGGTTGCTCGATCCGAGTTGACTCTTGACCCCTCCTGGATGGACCGAGCATACTGTCAAACCCCATCCCTCCCGATCCGACAGACTTGCTAGATAGCTCGTGGTGTAGACATTCCCCAATTTCGACCGGCCGTAGAGATGGATGTGGCCGAGAGCGGGATTTGTCGCATCGTCGTTGAGCGTGAGGTGTTGTGGCTTGTCCACCCATCGATGTGTATCCGATGCTGTCAAGACCACTCTCGGTTGCGCCTCCGACCGACGTAGTGCCGGTAGCAAGAGTCGCAACAACGCATGATGACCGAGCACGTTTGTTCCCCACATCTGCTCGTACCCTTGCACGGTTTTGCCGCCCACCATAACGCCTGCGTTGCCAAAGATGAGATCGACCCGGTCTTGTTTCGTCAGAAACTCCTCCACCCCCCTCTTGACAGAGGCCAGATCGGATAGGTCGCACTGTATCAATGTCATCCTTCCCGGTGAGGCGCCGTGTCGAATCGATCCGGTCGGAATCGACGACAGAGCTGTGGCGCATTCGGTCGAAAGTGTATCGCGCGTGTGCGCTAATCGCTCGAGCGAGCGACCGAAGAGATAGACGTGCGCCCCGGAGAGGATGAGTTGTCGTAGCGTCTCGTAGCCGATTCCGGATGTTGGACCGGTTAGGATGACAATCCGGTCTGTGAGTAGGGGCATGGATGTGTTTGGATCCCACGGGGGTGATGAGGAGGATGGTGGGGAGCGCAGCATCGACCGTACGATGGAGGTGTAGGACGCCATGATGGAAGTTGCCCTTCGATGGCGGGCGTCTATGTGCGGGATGACGAGCGACGCGGTCCAGAAGCTGGTGTGATCCGTGATGCTAGTGAGAGTCGCGCTAGATACAAGCAGCTGACCACGACCAGGTACGATGTCTGTCCGAGACGAGCTAGGATGGAGCAGACGAAGACAAAGGTCGCGATGTCTCTCCGAATCGGCTTACGATGGGAGCCAGGTGAAGCAGTGGCGGGTATGATCGTCTTGGGTGATGCGCGTTCGTGCTTGGATGGTCTCGCTCCCGAGTGGAGCTGTTGCAGCGGCGGGTCGGCGTTGTGATTGTTGGTGCGTCAAGAAGAGCAGCCCATCCAAACTATGAGCCAAAGTATTCTGTTGTCGATATCCTCTCGATCGACCATCAAGACCCTGAAAAAAGAGGCCAACACGCTCGTGAATCGCATCAGCCCATTTCTGCCAGGGCATAAACCGACATGAAAAGGAGGCGCCAGGCCGGCGTTTGGAATCGCGAGTTTATTTTTAGGGAATTTGCATGCGTGTCGGTGAAGGCCCTGTCATACGATTCTGTGCTGGACCTAACAGATAGACTACTTTGGCCCGAACCATCATCTCCCCCGCGGCTCTCACCCACCCACACCCTCAGCACAACATAAGATTCAGCGAGTATATGAGCATTACATTACAGGACCCGAAGGCGGGCAGAGATCCTAGTAGAAGAGATGAGAGAGGGAGAGTTTGAGGCCCAAGTTTGCGATGCGGAATGCGAAAGACGTGTGCTCCGGAGACTGTGTATAAGAGTACAAGATTGGGTTTGGAGAGGTTGCGCTTGAACAACTAAGCCCGAGTATATGCTGAGAGTACAATGCTAGGTGACTGGAGAAAGAGAAAAGACTTGACTAAATGCGGTGCGGGTATTACTGCAAAGAGGTATGTCGGCAAGGTTGGCTGGGTAGTAGAAGGGGAGGGGAATATCTCTTCTTCCATCTTCTCTGCAGTGAGTAGCGAGAATGGATGGAGCGGATTTCTTCGCCTTTGGGGACCAACGGTATACGAGTATGGTGACCGGAGGATACACGCAAGGTGATGTGCATGTCAAATTTGGAGGTAGACGGGGGAGAAAAGGTTGCTGAAAGACCTTGTCGTTGGGTGGGAATCGCAGCGACACTGCGAGAATGATTGTCGCGGTGAATACGAGAAGCGCGGCTTTGCTTTGAGCGCGTCACTCGTCTTCATCGCTTGCGTTGCGTCCAGCAGATGACGGCGACGTATCTGCCACCTTGCTGCTGGCTTTGGTGCTGTCGACGAGAGCAGGAGCATGCAACCGATTCCACTCTTCAAGCAATTGACGCCCGACTCCAGGCTCCAATTCCGTGCCATCGCGCGAGACCTTGACCTGGCGATTGTCTCGCCATGGATTGCGCAGCCTTTTGACCCTCTGGAACGGCAGCGGATCGGTGCGAACCCATTCGACGCGGAACGGCTTGCCCCACGAATCCGAAGAGGATTGACGTGGTGGCGATCGAGGCTCGTCGCCTTGACTTGGAGGCGCCTCCTCGCCTTTGCCCGTAGTGTCGTCATCAGTGTGGCCGGGAGTAGACCGAAGCTTACTCTCGAGCCTTTCCGCTTGACCACGCGATTCCATTTCGTCGAGACGCAGGTTGTGGATCACCGCGCGCAAGGCGATCTGCTCAGCCACGCGTGGATCGGCCGACGACCATGAAGCTGAGTCGCTCGGCGCCAGTGACGGTTGGTCATTGAGGCTCGAACTGGTCTGCGATGAGTCCGGCTCCATGTCCATACGGCGTACGCCATGCTCGTCCGACTCTGCAGCGACGCGAGCAGATGAGCGATCTGCAGAGAGTGCCGAGCCGAGTTTGGGTCGCTCCGTCTTGTCGGACTCGGAGGTGTTGTTACCGCTGATGGTGCTCTTCGTCGAGGTGTAGGGCCAGGTGCTGGATTGGACGTACGCGTCGGCGTTTTGAGGAGTGATCGTGTCGTCACGCTGAGGTGACATGGACAAGCTCTTCTCAAATGCACCTTCTTCCGGATTCGGCGTGATGGGCAGAGGAGATGTCATGGGCTGACCGCGAGCGTCCAAGACACCGTCGACGACGAGCGCTCCGAACAAGCCCCTAGCCGCCTCGATGTCGCGCTTGTCCAATGTCGGATGAGATCGCGCTTCGGCATCCAAGGGAGAGGCGACAATGTGAGACTCGCCGACCTTCTCGTCGACCGAATCGGGAACGGCGGTCGCCGAGAGATTGCCCGTCACGACCGACAGCGTCGAGGCCTGACTGGCGCGGCGCACCTGTTCTTCCTTCTCCTTGCTGTCATTGGTCGAAGTGTGGATGGGTCCGGCCATCTTGGCGTAGCCATGGAACTGGCCGGTCTGATTGACACCAAAGATGAGAAAGACCGTCTCGCTGTTGCGATAAGCCTGGTCCAGCACATTCTCGTTGTGTGGCTGTGTGGCCCAGTAGCCGGTCTCGACGGATCGATCCAGATCATCGGCGCGAAGGCTCTTGAGGATGAAGAAGCGATGGCGAAAGGCAGGATGACGGAAGAGGGACGAGTTGGTGGATGCATACGACGCGGAACCGCTCGAGCTGTACGAAGCAGCCGATGTGAGTCCTGCGGCCACCGCCTGCGTGTCTTTGAGCGGCGACGTCAGAACATCACTGGAAGGCTGAGAAGACGTCTCGGACGGATTTCGATCGGCAGTAGATGCGTTTTGCGCTCGCTCGAGCTCTCTCTGCTGCTTGAGCCAGGCGACATGAATGCCTCGACCACGTTGACCGGCGACACCAGCCTGAGCTTCGTCGTCCTTCTTGCGAACACGGCAGACAAGCTTAGGGCATCGAGTGTCGCGAGGTCGCACCTGCTTACCCTGGAAGTATTTGACCGCTCGATCGAGATGGGTCGAGGTGGCGTAGTTGACAAAGGCGCAATTGCTACGCGAGATGATGAAGATGGACAGAACGCCGTGATCATCCACGTCGTCGTCGATCGCAGACGTCTCACTTGCGTGCTCTTGTCCTTCCACTGTGGCAAGCCAGCGTCGGTATTCGTCAGGACTGAGACGTGAGAAGACTTCCCAGAGTTCCTCGACGGTAGCATCCTGCGGCACATTGCCACACCACAAAACCCAATCGGATCGTGGACCTTGCTGCGGGTGGTAGTGTGGCCTCAGGCCACTCCCAGGGACGCGCTCGGCTCCTCTCGCGTCGATGGACGCATCAGCATCGAAATCTGCGTCAACCTCCGAGGCGAGTCCAGAGACACTGCTGGCGACAGCTGATTCGGAATAGACGTCCTCCTCGATCGGTCCGGAAGGCTGCGACGAAGGGGTCCGAGCGTCACGCGAAGGTCGGTGAGGCAGCGGCGTGGACCCAGGGAGGGGCGAAGAGAGGTTGCCGGAAGAATTGGAGCTAGTGCGTCGTTGAGAGCTGTTGGATCGACTCGCCTGATTCGATGCTCTTCGGCTGCTAGGACCCGAACCACCCGGAGTCGGCATACCGGCGTGCTGCGATCCGGACCAAGAGCCTCTGCCTGACGGCGCAACGTGCGAGTGTGAGTTGTGTCCGTGAGTAAGAGGGGGCCCGTAGTGACTTGGGTGGAGATGGTAAGGGTACGAGGGCGCGTAGCCGGGAGGCGTGTTCTGCATACCATACGCAGGCGTACCTTGAACGGGATGCTCGGCGTACTGGTACGATTGATGCGAGGTGGTCGAAGCAGAGTGAGGAGCCGAGCCAGTTTGAGAAGGAAAGTAGGTCGTTGAATAGGGGCCGTACTGCTGCTGCATATGGGCAGCATCCTCAGGAAGGTGAGTCTGGGGTACTTCAATAGGAACCCACGCCCACCTCGTGCGCCCTGCGTGACCACCGGGAGGGGTTGAACTCACAGCAGGAAACGAGGAGGTGTAGTGTGGGGCATAATGCGAGCCACCGACAGATTCGTGAGCGGCGCCGCTGGAACCGGAACCTGAGCTGTGTGATTGGCTGTGAGTCGCACGGGGTCGTGAATATGGGTGCGACTCGTTGCCCTGACGCGCGGGATGATAGGCGGAACCGGCGTAGCCATAAGTGTCAGCGCTGGGTGGGGTAGCGTACGAGGTATAGGGGGCGGCGCCCTGGAGTGGTGGTGGTGGGTGCTGATGGTAGTGTGGATGCGTGCTCATCGCTGGTGGCGGATTATGGTATCCAGTCGAGTATGTTGGATATGAAGCAGGTGGCGGACTCGCCAAGTTGCGCGATGGAGCGGCAGTCGTTGAGCTTGAGATGCGACGATCTGGGTCGCCAAGGTCGGAAGGCTTGCGAGACTGGCCACCGCGCGATGGACGCTGAGAGTTAGCTGGATTGTGAGACATGGTCGTATCAATTGCTTGCTTCCGTTTATGCTAGAATTGATCGAACTTTAGAAGGTCGTGAGAGTGCCAAAAGATTGCGGTGATATCGGCGACAGGTGTCGGAGCAAATTGATCAGTTGCGAGGCAGCCAGGCAATCTGTTTCACGTCCTTGACCGAGGCGAGGGCTGCGTGTAGCTATGCATACAAGCTTTGAGCTGCTGAGAGCTAGCCTGCCAGTAGCTGAGAGGCTAGGCGAGCAGAGCTCGAGTCGGATCGGTCGATGAAGAAGCAGCGTCGGTGTCGTAGGGCTGCTATGGTCTCGAATGCGTCGACCGACTCTGCGTCAAAGTAATCATCGACTAGAGATGGTGCGAGAAGAGAAGCCGAGGCGACAACACGTCGTGGCAAAGAATGGTTTGCTGATGCTGGTCGCCTGGCGTAGGAATGATAAGCGGATTAGATGCTGCCCAAGATGGCACCTTTTGTGAGAGGCACCAGATGGGCGTCAGTATGCGCTTCCGGGAGCTCGGTGCTTGAGCTGATGCGCGTCAAAGATGGTTGACGTCAGTAACGAGTAGGTTGCCTGGGTTGATGAAGTCGATATGAGTTGAATCAGGTCGACCAGGAGAGGCGAAGAGCAGAGCGGGAAGCAGCTAGTGATACTGCGAGTGCGACTGCCTTTGCGAAGAAGTTTCCTATACCTTGAGATGTGAATCTGAAAGGCGGTCAGGAAAGAGAGGGCAGCGCTGCGTGTCTGTTATGGGAGAAGAGAGTAGGGACAGGTGGCAAGGTGCGAGGAAGAAGGAGGTCGCCCAAGTTGGAGGAGAGGGAGGGAGAGAGATTAGAGACTTGGCACGAGCGATCAATCACAAAGCAGTCTTTCCACGCCTAGCCAAACCTTCCAATTTCAGAACCTGGCTCAGCCTTTTGTGAACTGTGGCAAGTGGCAGCCAACCAACCAAGCAAACAAACAATTTCATTTTGAACAATAAAAACAAAAAGACGAAAGCTCGGTTGCGCAAGAAGTGTCTAGACACTCTCTTGTCACGCTTCGAGCCCTTTCGGAAGATCCTCAACGTGCTGATGCAGCCGACTCACGCCTCTTCAAGAAGAATTGAAATCCCACTCACCTCGCTATCCGATTGTTGATACACAGAGTCAGTTCATGCCCCTCAACTTTGACAGACGGTGCGCTTCGGACTCGCCGCTGCTTCATAACGGGCAGTCGTTCGGATAGATGACTCAGGATTGCGAACTCGAATCAAGATGGCAGCAAAGCGACAGAGCGTCTGGAGCAAACCCGAGAGCCGGTCCTGCCCGCTTTCATCGGTACCAGGCTGAGGACCGACACGCGTCGGTGTTTGCTCGTACCAAAGGAGGCGTCGCCACCCAACCGATGGTACGAGATGAGACTTGGCGCGGTACATGTCGATACATTTGAATGTCCGTCCGCTTAGACTACCTGCCCTTGGGACTTGGCTGGTCTCGAACGTCACTTTGTGATATTCCCACGCCGTCTGTTCGGCTAAGCCGAATCGTCTTTGGATCGGATCCTGGTCTGTCTGGGTTCTCACGACACGGCACCAAATTAAAATCTTATTTGGGAGTCCCAGTCGATCGGATGGGTTAACCCGCTTAGCGGCGAGAAGGAGCGCGATTGGCTGCCTCCGCTGCGCAGCTCCTTTTTTTTCTTTCTTGATTGAATATCAGAATTGACAGGCCTCCAATCCACCAAAGCTCACTCTTGGCTTGGCCGAGATGTTGACCGGCAGTGGTCGCTATCGAGGCAATCCTGGCTGATGATCGGTCACCTCGACGTGGGATGGCATGCCGCGCTCAGGACGGCGATAGCGGACCTAACCAGACCACCTCCTGCCGACGTTTCGAACCTTTATGCATGCAGCGCCCACAGTTTGCATTTGCCGCAGGAGAAGCAAGCCACATCTTGGCCAAGGGCCACGTCGCGCGGTCTTTCGGCCATCGTCTCGACTCCGGTCGCCATACACCACCTCCAACGCAATACCGTGCGCGTCATTGCGAAACACGTCGCACCAGAGTACACATCGATAGACGCAACTCATCTGCATCGTCGACCTCCTTCAGGACACTCACACGTCTGAATGAGGGACAGTAATTAGCAAGTCAGAAGCACAGTGGGACGGGCAGCCATGATAGGCGCGAACAGAAACAACACTAAGAGACATACGTCAACGCCCTACACCTTGCGCCTCCTCTCCATCCCCCTCTTGCCAGGCAGCGGGAGCCCAACGAAATCGACGATCTCCTTGACCGCGTTTTTCGCGCCCGGCCCTGTTCCCGGCAGCAGGCTGTATCCCGGCAAGAGGGTCTCCCTCTTGGTCTTGCCGTACAAGCTCTTGACAAACTCGCCCGCTGCGTTGTCGGTCGTGCTCTTGAGGTTGAGTACGGCATCTCGGACTTGATCGGAGGTGTCGAGGATCGTGTCGACCGCGGGGTCGCCTCTTTTTCCGATGGCACCAGCGGGAAGTGGTGAGGCCGGAAGCGCTCCCTGTACAGCGCCTCGGACCAGTCTCTCGCAACCGAAGGCGGTGCACACCTGATTCACCGTCTTGATCGCCTGCACCGCGGGGCTCGCCGCCTGCTTCACCTGGCCCAGCGCGAGGGGCATCACGCTCTCCTTGCCCTGACCAGCGGCGGAGGTGGCGAGCGATTGAAGACTGCCCAGATCGACGTTGTCAGGAGAGATGCTGTCGCGCTTCACTGGGAGGAGGCTGCCAAGCAGGCTCTGCGCGCGATCCGCATCCTGCGCGTTGCCCGTCTTCAACCCCAGATCGACGGGTTGAACAGGAACATCACGTTTGATGGGGAGCAGCCCGCTCAGAAGCGACTTGACGTCCACCGGATTGCCAGTCTTCAATCCCAGATCGACGGGCTTGACCTCTCGTCTGACAGGAAGCAGACCGCTGAGCAGCGACTCAGCTGCATCCACATCCTGCGGATTACCCGTCTTGAGACCCAGATCAACCGGCTCGTCACGTCTGGCGATACCACCCTTACCAAGCTTGTTCAAAGGCAGAGCATCAAGCGGCACAGCATCAACCGGAATCTCGTTACCAAACACGTTCAGGCCAGAGGGCGTGGCACGACGGTCGAGTGGATGCACGCTGCCCAACTGCTGCTGATTCGGCTGGAGGTACTGCGTGTCCTCTGACGGCGCGAGCGATGAGAGCGGTCCAAGGAGCCGTTTTTGTGCGGCAACGTTGGTGTAGTCACCCTCGTGGTCGAATTGCCCAACCAGAGGGAGGCCGGAGAGAAGGCTTCCGTCGAGAGCTCGGAGCGAGAGACCCTCGCTGCTGAGTTTCGAGACGAAGGGCTGCGACTCGGTTGGCAGCAGACGCTTGCGGTGTGGCGTGGCTGCAGAGGCGATCTGCTGCGCGGCAGGCTCGAGGTTCAGGTAGGAAAGAGGCGTCGTTGGTTTGCCCTGGTCTCCCACTTCTGTGAGAGCCAGAGGTGCTGTGACCGAATCAGCCTGCGCTTGCTCGAGGCAGATGGCCAGGAAGAGGACGCTGAAGAGCGCCGTGAATGTGGGAGTGAACTTCATCGTGTCGCTATGAGTGTTCCAGATGAAAAAGGACGTGTTCAGGTCGAGAAGAGGAGCTGATACGGAGGTGGGTGAGGACGGCTGAGGGAAGAAGGAGAAGGAGAGTGGAGAGGGGAATCTTATGAAGGGGAGATTACGATGAAGAGGAGGGAACGGGAAAGATCTTCTCCAGATGACAGCTTCAAGTAGTCTCCAGCCCGTCAGGGGAGTAAGGATCAAAACAACAAACAGTCCGTGCCAAAGGTGGACCATGGCGGGTCACGGTCAACGGTCTACCATCGAGCCGCTTCTTCTGATAGCTGTAGGCTGGGGAAAACAGCTCATGCCCACGATGCTTCGATCGACAGCCTGCAGGAATGGAACGAGCATGGCGTTATCAGTCATAATCCGCGCGTTCCACAGCCTGACAGCTGTCCACTTTAAAATCCATCACCTTTCCGAAAATCTGCCTTGCAGGTGGGAGGAATGTTGTCTGCACCTTGTTTCTTCCCACCATTCTTGACGCTCACATCCGTCGCAGCAGCATCAACAGCAGAGCTGACGATGTCTCAGGCGAGCGCGTAACCTTCAAAGATGGGCCGAGGGCTGGACCGTCGAGCTTGACGATGTCCCGATTTGACGATGTCCCGATCGCGAATCACGTGTGTGTGCCTTAGCCAATTTTGAGAGCGGAAACCTCCACCCTGCCAACAGGCTCTTCTGAACCTTCTCAACGATCTTCTTCCCATTCACGAATCATCGTTGCTCATCATGAGGACGACTGCGCAGCTCCAACGAGCGCTACCGCTCTTGTCAAGCAGCGCTTTTGCGGCTGGACCATCCTACGCCGTCGCTCGCACTTTCCCTGCGCTCCGCTCTCCTCTGCCGACCACATCGCATCGACCCGCCTTCGTCGCCGCACCAAAGCTGACACCCTTCGCCCCACGTCCCTTTTCATCCACCTCGTCGCGCAACGAAATCTACACCGACACCCCCGACTCCTACTCGCGTCCATCCTCCTCCAAATCCTCTGCACCCTGGTATCGCTCTCCCACGACACTCGTACTCGGCTTCATCCCCATCTTCACCTTCGCCCTGGGCTACTGGCAGATCCGACGTCTCAAATGGAAAGTCTCGCTCATTGAGGAGTTGGAGGACAAACTGTCGCGGGCGCCCCTCACGCTGCCGAGGAATATCAATACGGAGGTGTTGCCGCAGTTTGATTTTCGACTGGTGACGTTGAAGGGGGAGTTTGATTGGGAGAGGACGATGTTTGTGGGACCGAGAGTGAGGGATGGGGTGATGGGGTATCATGTGGTTGTCCCGCTCAGGAGGACGGGTGGAGGAGGAGCGGTGTTGGTCAATAGGGGGTTTGTCGACGAGAAGCAGATCGTGGAGAGTGGGGAAGGGAGGAGGTTGAAGGAGGGTGCCATGGAGACGGGGAGTGTGCAGATGACGGCGTTGTTGCCGAGGATCTACCCTGCGAATGCGTTCACGCCGGATAACGTGCCGGAAAAGGGAAGTTGGTTCCACGTCAATCCGAACGAGATGGCCGCTTGGGCGAGTGGGAGGGCGGGAGTGCAGGCTCTGCCCCTCGCCGAGGAAGATGGGTATACGCCCAGTGCGGGCGTCGCAGAGAGTGTCAAGGCTATGCTCGGCAAGGGTGAAGGAGAGCGGGTACTACCGGTGTATCTCGAGGAGGTGTTTGACGGGAACGTGGGTGAGGCAGCAACACGGGTTGCACAGGGAATCCCCGTGGGAAGGGCAGCAACGATCGAGTTGAGGAACCAACACGCCGTGTACGCCGCGACGTGGTTCTCACTCAGCGCGTGCACCGCGGTCATGTTTGGTCTGCTCGTTCGTCGAAGACGCTCTTAACGCACACACAATGTCACACCGCTCTGGCTTGAATGTCCATTACATCTAACCTCCCGTTTGTGACGATCTACAGTTGAATCTATTGCGCCTTGTCTCGCTTCTCTTTCGGCCTCACTTTCGCATTACCGGACAAGCTATACCCGACGGTCCCGACCAACACAGCGCCCGCGCCGACCCACAACCCCGTACTCCCACCATCTCCCTGCACGAGCATCACGCTGACCATGAGGCTCACCGCCTTGCGGAGCACCAGCACGAGCGTGACGCTCAGCGAGCTCACCTTGGACGTGAGGCGGTTGACGCCGTTGATGCACAACAGCTGGGTGGCGACGTTGAGCAGGAGGGGTGGGTAGAAGGATGGGATCCACACGCCTCCGCTTGGCAGGTGGGGGCGTAGCGATGGAGGGAGGGTGAAGATCTTTGTCGGTGTGGTATCTTTCCTAAGGCCGCGGGTGAGGATGGAGAAGATGGATTTGGGTGCGGAGTCGAGCGGAGGGTCAAAGCCGAACCACCACGGCGTAGTGGAGTTGGCTAGACGAATGTCAGCGAGAAGGTTGTTCCGCCGCAGCCCAAACATGGGCAATGAGAGGAGGTGGGAATAGAACATGCTCTCCCTCCAGTTCTGATTGCCATACTCCCGGAACGTCGCTTCCTGCCAAAGACCCATGAAGCCTGTCAACACCAGTGCCGCGAAGAGGAGCAGAACACCTGTGGCGTACTCCCCTGCGTCCGCTTGTGACTTGCTCGCCGGATGGGCGGTGTACATTGTGCTGCTCACCACTCCCGCTGTGACCAATGCCACACTGAAGATCTGTAATGGGGAGTAGCGTCGACGCTGCACGAGCCAGCCGAGGATCATGTTGACCACCAATCCTCCGGATCGAAAGACAATGTGAACCGGCATAGGTACGTCGTACGCAAACGCCATGTTGTTGAGCAGGCTCGTCGTCAGATAGAATGCCACCTGCACCACCCATCTATACAGCGGAACCGCTCTCGGCCTCAATCCGATCCAAGGGAACGACGAAGAGAAGCGGAGGAAATACGGCAAGCCCGAAAGAGTGGTGACGAGGAACTGGGCGAATGTGATCAGCGTGCCCGCCGACGGCAGCTGGCGCGTGGCAAGCTCGAGGGTGAACGCGTTCGAACAGCAGCCGCCGAAGATGAGGCTGAGGATCAGAATCCACTCTGGAGCGGTGGTGGCGAGGATTGCGCCCGCTGTTGATGTGGCATCTTTCGGAGCGGCACCGTTGGACGTGGATGTGGGAGACTTGCGCTGCCGTATTGACGGAGCGGTGGACGACATGGCGGCCGGCGATGGTGGTGGAAAGGGGATGAGAAGCAAGTGTTGGTTTGACGATTTCACAAGCCGCACCTTTTTTTCAGAAGAACCAACACTTTGCCGCACGATCGTCGCGTAGAGTGACCCTCCACCTCGACTCACCAAACCTTCCTTCACCCCTTCCACACCCTCATCATGGCCGCATCACACCTACTGTCACCACCAGGTCCACCCTGACCCCATCGCACCGACTTCCGCTCAGCATGTCCTCGCAACCATGTCACGAATGACCGGTACCGCCCACATCCTACCCATCAGCGACCTGGTCCACTCGCGCGATGTAGGGTCCAAGCTGCGACTCGCCGGCATCGTCACCGCGGTCAACCCCACCAATGCCTCTTTAATCGTCCTCAGCGACCCCTTCCCATCTCCCAACTCCGATCCAGGCTCTCTGTTGGTCGACCTCTCCCTATGCACCGACCAGTCCGGCACCACAGGTGCGGGATGGCACAAGTCCCACCCCCAGCTCGTACCGCCTCCACTCAAGGGTATGATCATGGTCATCGGCCATCTCATCCGGCGCGAGGTTGCCATCGACATCGACTTTCTTCACAACCAAACGCAACGCGGGTGGGACGGCGTGCAAACGAATGATGCGCTGCCGCACTTTGAAAACGACGAATGGGACCTACCAAACCGATTCTTCGTCCTGGAAGCCATCCTGATCAAACCGCTCGATCACACATTCGATCTCCGACTCTGGAACCACACTGCCCGACTCCGCTCACAGCACGAATGGCAGATGCACCATCTCGACGCTCCTAGCACCGACAAAAAGGGCAAGCGTAAAGCCCTTGACTGAACCACACACAATCTGTACTCACAACATCGTCCATTCTACGCATCTACCTCGGCGCGCGCACATCTACTGTTACACAGCGGCCTGTTTCTTCAAGGCGTCCATCCGCACTCGGAGTAAATCCGCCTCTTGTACCGCTTCCACAGTTTTTTGTCGACCATCAACTTGCGGGCTAGATCCATCATCTCGCCGACCGTCGCGGAGCCGAGCTGGTAGTCGGTAAACTTGCGGAGCGGTTTGGCGAGGCGCGTGTGCTTCTTCTTTTTGGTAGAAAAGGGTTCCTTGAGGCCTGCTTTGGCAAGTTCCTTATCGAGCAACGCTTTTGGCACTGGACCCGGGCGACTGGCGAGCGTGGCAGAAGGGTTGAATTCCGACCACAGCACGTCCGACGGGTAGGTCGCGTATTCGAGTCGATACTCGACCGTCTGCTTCTCCGCCTCCTTTTGACGTCGCTTGTGCTCCTCATCCTGCTTACTGTGCTTGTGCTTCTTCTCGTCCTTGTCGGCCAAAAACGAGGAAGAGAAGTGCTTCTTCGGATGAAGGATCTCTTCGATGGCGGCGTTCTGCGCATCAATGTCCATCACCCACTGGCTGTACCCGAGCAGGCTGAGGTAGGTGTTGGTGCGAGAGGGAGACGAGGGCGAGGCGTGACGGGGTAGTTGACGACGCTTCTTCTTGTGTTTCTTGCCCTTGCGCTTTTTGGGTGGCGTAGGACGGTGGTGGTGTCGCGAGAGCGACTGCACGGGTGGGTCGGAGTCCTCTTCGTCTTCGTCCTCATCCTCATCCTCGTCCTCGTCATGCTCGGCGTCGTCTGCTGGTTCCGGGCTTGACGTCGAAGACGCAGTGGCAACGTACCTACTCTCCTCGGTCGTGTTGTACGTCCACAGCCGGATCGACGGATAGTACGTCGGCACGATACTCGGCGCAATATAAAACACCGAGTACATATCCTCGTTCGTCCTGCCCTTCCCTGGCAGTGTCGAATAGTCCTGCTTCAAATCCCCTGGCAGTCCTTCCTCCTCGATATGCACCTCGCCCTCACCCATCTCCTCCACCAGCGCAGACGCCTCCTCCTCGTCCTCCTGGATGAAAAACGCATCCGTATTCATATGTCCAAAGTGTTGCCCCACCACCGTATCCTGAAACCTGAGCACAATGTCCGTATACCTCCTGTAGCACCTATCAAAGTAATTCCCCGCCGTCGGGGGTACATGACCCATCAGGTGCACCTGCATGCCTCTCTCCCGAAACAGCTTGAGTTGCACCTCCAACCAGTCCAACTGCGCCGTGCCCGGATCCACATCCTTCCCCTTTCCGCGCTTGGTCTTGACGCAGCCATCAACGGCCTTGTTATTGTCGTAAAAGTAGAGCGTGTTGAGACTCATCGCAGCAAGTCGGTTGGGGAGGATCTCTTTGACGTAGTAGCCGCCCTGTTCGAACGTGTGGAACTCGTATTCGGGGATGTGGTCCTGCCAGATCTGCACGTATTCCTTGGTGATCGCGTTCGGACCGGGGAAGAGGATGTTGTGCGGGAAGATGTCGTTGTTGCCGACGGTAGGGATGAGGGGTACGCCGGGGAAGGCGGTTTCCAGTTGTTCGAGCGTCCACTTGTTGAGCTCAAATATCTCTTTGCTCGAGCGGGGGATGCGATTGTCGTTGTCGTGCCGAGCAGAGTCTCCGGTCCAGACGATGAAGTCAAGTCCGAGGTTGCTGCCCTTCGCTGATGATGTAGACGTAGAGGAGTTCGCAACTGCATCGTCGTCAAAGGAGGGCTGGAAGAGGTTGCGAGAGGCCCAGGCGAGACTCGACTCGACCAGGCGCGGTGGGGAGTCGCAGTCGCTCAACCCAGTACCCCACCATCCTGCTCGTAGCTTCCCATCGGGCTTCTTCTTCTTCGGCTTGTTGTGATGGCATGCACTGTTGACCGCCGAGCCGTGCTTGTAGTGTGTATCGGGATGAAGGTCGGTGACGTGAAGGAATCGACCGAAAGGCTTCCTCGCGGTGGTGACGGGCTGAAAAGATGTGGCAGGCTGCTGCTGCTCTACGTGAAAGACTGCTTGTGATGACGATGCTGCGACTGCGATGGCAGCTTGTGACAACAACAGCGTTGCCGCTGCCGAGGCCGTGACGGTAGACGACCTCATCGTTCTATCTTGTCGATATCAGGAGCCGGTTACGATGGCAACGGATGGCAACGGATGATGCTGCGTGTCTAATCGAGTCTGAGGCTGTATCGGGCGGGGTTGAGCTTCTATGCGGTCATCTCGTCGTTGCGGTGGGCCTCTGTGTGTGTGAGTCGGAAGAGATGATGGATGGGAGCAAGTGAGCATGCATGACTTTGCCTTGTCTTCTCCACACTCGAAAACCGCTTTCGCCAAAATTCTCACGTGTCGCCGATCCGTGCTGTCCGCTTTCGTCACACGTTTCATCAAGCCACATTTTCGCTCGCTCCGGGCGATAGCTTCGATCTCACACTTTGGCAAAAATTCGCTTTCCCCTTGCCCATCGACCTTTGTCGAGCACCACTGCAATCCTGCGATCATGGCGATCGTAAGCAGCACTCGGAAGTAGATATCGCTCCTTTAGGATAGCATCGTATTGTCACACCCAAGTATGGAATTAGAATGCTTAGCATTCACTGTCAATAGTAAGGGACATTCGCCTTTTCTCACGTCGACACGTACCCATCGAGCCCGTGCGGGCCAGTCCCAAAGATCTCGTCAAACACCTCACCTCCTGGCACCTGCAGATCGCCCAGATCGCCAAGGAACGACCCATCTTCGTCCGTCGTCGTCGTCTTCTCCTCGCGCACCTTTCGTCGACGTTTGCGCTCCGTCTCCCAGATCTTCTCAAAGCTGGCCGCCAGATTCCTGAGCCCAAAAAGGTAGCCGCTGTCCGGACCGTCGATGAGGTTCGGTGGGAAGCGGGCGAGGGGCAGCCTGTGCATCGCATCCTGGTCACCGTCCGGGCTGGAGCCAAAGTCGTAGTCGTGCCCCGTGGTGCAGTGGGCAAAGTCGATGATGCGGATGTTGATCTCGCCCTTTCGGCGACGACGGCGAACAGCGGCCGGTTCCGACGAATTACCGTTGCCGCCAAGAGGACCGAGCAAGGGGCTCGAGCCGATGCTGTAGCTCGCTCCACCGTCCACCAGGTCCGCTTCTCGATGGAGCGACGACGACGAAGCGGGTTGTGCGTTGGGGCCGGCCTCCAGGATCATCTGACTCGGAGCCACCGTGCCACCAAGACCCCTCGAGCAACGTCGATCAAACTCATCCTCCAGCTTCCGCTGCGTCTCGCAATCGCCGTCATAGATGAACAGCAGACTGCTCGCGTAGAATCGATACCCTCGCAAACCCCAGATGATCCGAGCCAGGTGGTAGATCTTTTGCAGGATCAGCGGCACGTGGTGCATCAGGATCTTGCTGCCGTCAAAGAAGAAGCGTGCCAGCGCGTCCGGGAACTCGGCAGGCAGCACCTTGCGTCCAAAGTACTTGTCTTGGAAGATGAACGAGTCGTGCGTGCAATCGTACACCTGCATGCCGCAAATGCGGACTCCGTGACTACGTGAAGTGGTCTTGTCACACTTCTTCGTCTGACTCTTCTTCTTGGCATCGGTGGCGTCGAGACCGTACTGGCGCGTGCCCATCTTGAGGTCCAGTACGCAGGGTGACTTGAGACGTCCCGTCAGATCCTCCATCAAAAGGAATTGCTCCTGGCGCGTTTGGCAGGCGCTGTCTGCTGACGCACGGGCTTCGGCATTGTCCGCGTCGTCTGATTGCGCTGAAGCGGCTGGGACCGTCTCCGCTGCTCCTTGTGCGGTCGTCTGTTTGTCGTTGGTTTGACCAATGGACTCTGGCTCTTCGGAAAGCTTGAGCGTCTGCATCTCCCCGTCGAGATCTGTCGACGGCAGCGCTGCCTCTTCTGCACTGACATGCGACAGTCCGAGATTGCTGGGAACCGAGATCGATGTCTTCGGTTTCAACGACAACGCAACATCGCTGAGGGTGCGTCGCGGGTGTTGCATCAAGACCTCTTCATTGGAGGCACCGGACAGCGCGGCACTTGGCAAGTTTTCCTTAATGGTCGTCGCGGGCTTGCTCGATGTCACCGAGGAGGGGAGTGTGATGCTGCTCGGTCCGAATGGCGGCGTGCGAGGTGGCGTGGATGGATGTCGTGCTTGACCTCGATAATGGACCGGCGAAGACGAGGCTGTAGGTACGAACTCGCTGGCGGCGCTCAGCCTTCCGCTGACGATCGGGTCAGGCGTATGCAGACCTCCTCGAATCGCTGCCACTGCCAGCGTGTCCCGAGACCGAGGTTCCGAAGGGCCAAGATTGCGTGTGATGCGGAGTCGCTCACCCTCTTCGCTTTCCTCCCATGCCTTGGCCAAGCGTCGTCGGTTCTTACGGGCATTCCGCTTGGCGCTCGACTCGTAGCGCGAGTCCAGGCCGTCTTTGAGCATCGGACTGCTGAACACCTCGCGCAATACCTGCTCTTGCAGCCTGCGATTGACGGTGGTGATGCCACGACCGTGAATGCCGTTCAACGTCTGCTGAGTCTGGTACGCGCTGTTGACGACTGGTTGCGACACTTGCGATGCTTGCGAGGGCGTGCGACTAGTCATGCTGAGAGCACTGATGGCCGGGCTGCGCGAACGCGACAGAGGACCTAGACCAGAGGTCGTACGACCGAAGCTGGACGAGAGCAATCGACCGGAGTCACGATCAGAGTCGCGACCGCCCCATTCTGCTCCGTGGACAAGCGAGCGGGAGGACCTAGGCGATGCATCAGGAGAGACGGCAGGCGTCAACGGACTAGAACTGAGTACTCCCTCGGCGTCTTGTACAGGGCTTGCTGCGTCCTCTTCCAGGTGTTGTGCTGTCCCCTCGATGGAAGCTAGCCGGGAGCGATTTCTGCGGCTAGGGCTGGTGTCGCTGTGCAGCTGCGCATCTGCGTTGTGGACTGCACGCTGCATGCGCTCTAGGGAAGAGGCAGCGCGACGCGGCCGCAAAGGACTGGAGCCCCGACTCCTTGAATGACTTCGGCTGCGAGATCCTTTGTCCAGAGAAGCATTGACGGGCTCTGGGGTTCGTGGCGCAAGGTTGCATCGACGCAGAATCCATTCTGGGACGATATGCCTGTTCAGGTCCAGCGAGACTTCTGGGATTTCCTTGCCCCAATCCTCCTGACCTTCGAACACTTTGCGGCGAACACGACCGCCTCCCTGTGAATCCGTTCTCTGTCGCTCCGGACGATCGTTCTCCGTTGAAGCGCAGTCGACCTGCTCTGCTCCAGTGTCTCGTGCGAGGCTTCCTTCGTTGTTCTGCCCAGACGTTGTCTGTGACAGAGCTGCGTTCGCAACATCATCGATGGTCACCGATTGACCCTCGGCATCGTGCTGCGCCGAGTCGACGTGTCGATAAGTCACGTTGAGGACTCCCAAGTATTGCGGAATAAACGACAGAAGGACGGGATGTTCCTTTTCGACGGCCTCGTAGAACTCGTTCTCTCTGCCCACCAGGGGCTTGCAGACGGCGCGTTTGGAGAATTGGAAGATCGAGTTGTGACCGCCTACCTGATTGTGATACGGTTGAAGTTGGACGACGGCGGGCAGTTCGTTCGACGATGCCGTTCGTGATCGAGACGTCAAGCGAGAACGTCGCACAGCCGAGTCGGAATCGAGCTTGATCCCGGCGCGACGCTTGGCTGGCAGGCCAGCGCTGGCTCCAGCTTCCCACTCGGAGCCGCTCATCTGCAAATCGTCTTCGTCTGCAGCATCGTGATCAAAGTCGGGCCTGCCTGCTTCGTCTTCGGAGCTGGTCATGTCGATGTACGCATCCGTGCCGTCATCACCCATCATCTCATCGCCTGTCTCGACCATCTCGAACGAGTCGTCGAGCTGATCCTCGCCATCCTCCTCGTAGTCGGAAGAGCTCTGCGCTCTCTCATCGAGACTGCGCCTACGTGTCATTCCCAGCTTGCCTGGCCACCCTGCTCCTGTCCATTCGGTCTCTGGGACGGAAGAATGACGCTGCAGGTTGGACATCGCCGAGTCCGCTTTGGCATTTTCTGTTGCGCCAGAGGTGTCCTGACGACCAGCCGAAGGCCGGTTCGGACTCGGAGGCACCTTCCTGGGCGAGGCTGGAGACTTTGGCAGTGTTCGAGGCCGCGAGATGGGTATAGGGCGCGAGTCTAAAGGTTCGAGGGATGAGGGATCGAGAAGATATCGCGCGTCGATGTCAGCAGCGACTTTTCCGGGCGACGAGATGGTTTGCGAGCGGCGCGGCAGGCGCTCGCGTGAGGATGCTTCGTTCGAGGTCGTGGTGAGCAGAGGCGCGCTAGCGTTCGATGCTGTGTCCATGTCTGCTTGTGAGATGGCCTCACCGCCTTGCGAAAGGAAAAGAGAAGGCGTTGCTGGACGCAGAGGATCCAAGACAGCCTCTTTGCTGGACAAGAAGGATGACGAGGATGCAGGCGCAAAAGCAGCGTCGGTTCTTTGCCGGCTGCCGGAGGAAGGCGTCTTGTGTGTGCGTTGCGAGGGCGCGAACATGGTACTCGAGCGCACAGGCTTGCGAGTGACGGCTGGATCGTCCCCCTCGTTCTCTTCGATGACTGGACGCTCTCGACTGGATGAGATAGCAGAATTGGATGATTTGGACGAGGTCTCCTTGAAGAGATGCATGCTGACACTGGCCTTGCGACCGGAGCTGATCATGGCTGGAGGGAGGTTGAGCTCGAAATCATTGCGAGAAGCGTCGGCAAACTCGCGCCCGAGGACATCGTCTTGATGCAAAGTCAAGGACCGACCCGGCGTGCTCCTTGCGCTCATTGTGCCTGGGCTCTCGCGTTTGATGGGTGCGCGACTATACGTGTACGTTTCTGGCGGAGAAAAGGGCGCATTTGGGTTCAGCGATGCGGATGGCAAGGGTATTGTCGCTGCTACCGGCGATCGGGAACCGAGAGTTTTGGTGGGGGAAGCGCCAACGCTGTTGGATGCTGCAGCCGAGGCTGACGAGGAAGGACCTGCAAGGTAGGTTGAAGAAAATGTGCTTGTGTGGTTGCTTTGCGGTGGTAGTGGTGGCGAGAGCAACTGCGCTATAGAAGGACTGGTGAAAGGGTTGACGATGGTGGCGTTGGAGACGTTGCGGCTCGCAGGCGGGGAGAAGGAGGTCTGCACTGGTTGAGGAAAGTTGGGCGGAAGACAGACATGCAGAGAGGTTCCTGGTTGTGCCTGCATCGACGGCGAGAGTACAGCGGAGTCTTGTGCGATCATGTTGCCGCCATGAGTCTGAGAAGACGATGCTATTGGCAGGGGCTGGTCGATTGAGGGCCGGCGTGCGCTGTTGGAAGGGGCTCCGCTCGACATTGACTGGGCTGACAGCAAGCTTCTGGGAGAAGGACGCGAAGTCCTCGAGGGCGCAGCCGAAGCGGACGCTGCCTCTGTGTGATGAGAGTCCGTCATGATGGCTACGCTTGTAAACCAACGGTATCGATGTCGATGGATCGAAGCAATGCCCACCGGAAGACCGGGTGGGCACGCGTTAAATTGCTACCTGCACCCGAATGGCGTTACGTCGAGGTCATCATAGGTGGGAGAGGTGATGGGCGCTTCCCCTTATCACTTTCGAGACAGTACAGGCGCTGTCGAGGCGTGGACGTGGAGCAGAACTAAGCCCAAATTCGAGTGATGCTGATGCTGGAGGCGGGGCTGACCAGTCACTATGTGATGCGAGATGACGGCGAGCTGTGCAAGGCCGTAGGTGGTGACGTCTGTAGAATCGTTCCCTGCGCGCGTGAGATTCAGAACCGTTTGCCGTGTTTGGTGCAGTTCCCGCGCTGGTCGAAAGGGTGGTGGTGAGGGGGAGGATGGTGGAGGTGCGGAGCAAAGATAGCGCGCCGTCCACCATCAGCCAAAGTCAAAATCAAAATCGCAATCAATTGGCTGAGCTGTGCTTTGGCGCTCTGAGATGATGGCCCGCTCCTTGACCCTTGACAACCGCCTTGCCTAATCTCAGCCTCGAGACAGAAAATCAATCTTAATTATTAATAAATGTGATAAAGAATGAAATGGCTGCATGGCTCTTGCGAGTTCGGCGGGGCGGCCTCGACAAGGGGTCTGATGGTGGTCGATGGCGCAAGCAGCACCTTACAGGACAGTAGAAGTGAAGCGCAAGCATCATCAGTCCAATCGTAGCTGTCAATTTGCTCGGAAAGAGACAGTCAGGTGCCTTTGGGCGAGGTTAGGGGCGAGAGCAGGCTGCCATGACCGCTGCGATATCCGCGCTCGACCTCCGATCGCAGATGGTAGAGCCCTGCTTCACGTCTTGATGGGAAGCCACGCTCACTACAGCTCGCTTCATGGTTTCATTGTGCCGAGAAGATCCGTGGTGACAGCGGCTGATCTTTCGGCGTTGTGATGCTGTCAGCGCGGAGAAATGCAAGAGACCCCCCACGTTCCTTCCCTCCACCACCTTTGGCAGGCGAGTCGGCCAATTTCTTTGTGTCTCCGAACCCTGGCGCCTAACGTGCCCCACCAGGACTAAGAACGTGGACGTCTCGGATGGGCTATTGTTTCGAGCTTTACCGCTGGTCGCCGTGGTCACGCAGGCCAATGTACCGCTGTTGAGCCATCTCGCTTCTGCACTCGTTCACTCCGTGCCCATCCTGCCGAAGACCACCGATTCGGCAATGCAATCGCACAGTCACTGCCCGGATGCACGGTCGATCCTCATCAGTCAAACAAGGCAGGCGAGGAGGCTGTGTTCATACGCTCGGGTTCGTATAATTGCAGTGCAGCGAACTCTTTTGCATGTCTACGAAGTCAATCGCGTTTTAGTCGAGCTTCGTCCGCTCAGCGAGTTCGAGCTGCGGTTGCCCTTCGATACCGCTCTCAGACCAGCTGGTGCTACTATGAACGGCGGAGGCGCGCTAAACCAAGGTCCGCCGCCCGTCGCGGTCGTCACGGCCCACTCGCCCCGCTTGACAGGCGCAGGGGGGACCGGATGCCGCGGGCTGCACGCCGTCTTCAGACTGCTGCCCGTTCGTGGGCTCGCCGTGCTGGTGCCCGAGCGCGCATCTGAAGATCGACGCGACGGCGATCCCCTCGCGCCCTGATCGCTCGCGCTCGCCTGCGTGCCGGCGGTGTACTCGGCAAAGTCGCTGCTTGTCGGCGCAGGCGTCGGGCCCGAGCTTCCCTTGGGCCCAAACACGGCTTCCGCCGCAAGCCGCTTGTACTCGGCCTTTTCCGCCTTCTTCCGCTCCTTCTCCTCCTTCTCCATGCGTTTGCGCTCCTCCTTTTCCAACTTGGCAATCTCTTTGGGCGAAAGATGCGATACGTCCTTCGAGATCACGATCCCTGCCAACGGCGTCGAGACATGGGACTCGGGGACGCCTGACTCGATTCGGTCCAGACTGTTGGCAGCCGGACTGGTGTCTGTAGACAGACTGTGCTGGGACCCCGAACGCGATACCTGCTCTCGCTCGGATCGAGCTCCGTACGAGTTGACGGGGAACTGCTCGCTGGCAGGCGAGGAAGCCGTCGAAGCCTGCAAATGCGATCGGCTCGGATCCATCGTAAGTGCGGGCGAACTGAGCGCCGGCGAAGCTGTTCCGTGCGAAGCGATCGAGTGACGAGGAAGGTGGAATCGCTTCGACCAGTCATCACTCGAAAGAAGCTGGCTCGAGCTGGCTTTGCCATTAGTGCTCTCGCTGGCGCGGCGATCGAGCAGAGTCGTGCCTCTTGGCACTTCTTTTGTTGCTCGGACGGTCTCGTCGACAACGTCGATGGGATCGGACGAGCTCCCAGCCTGTGCGATCTCCGACACTGTCCCTGCTGACAGGCTCGACGTCCGATCGAGCAGACCGTATCGCTTGCGAATGGAGGGCGGGATTGAAGCGTCCATGGCATCGAGATTCAGCACCATTGTACCTGGAGCCATGCCGTTGATCCGACTTGAAAGGTCCGGCGTCATCGCGGCAAAGGAGAACTTCTCCATGCGGCTGCTGGGGAAGCCCTGAGTAGGCGGCAATGTGCGCAACTCAGGCCGAGACGTCTCATCGAGCGAGTCACCATCGCTCGCAATTGCATGTGCGCTCCCGGTGTGAGAAGCATCGGTCGACGAGGAAAACGAATCTCCTCGACGGTGCAAGGAGCTCTGATAGACCGAGGTGGGTGTCAATGGACCGTGCGAGCTGGCGGTGTCGGATCCGGCGCGCGACATGGACGGCACGGGTGACGGCATCGGCAGCAGCGGCGATGGTCCAGCGGCGAAGATGCCGCCCATGACCGCGCGATAGCTGCTGATCGAGCCAGCGCGGTACTGAGAGGACGCCGAAGAAGCAGAGCCTGCACCGTTACTGCCGGGGCCGAAGTGAGAGGTGGAGCCTGATCGGTCTCGCGAAGAGCCGTCTCCTCGACCCTGACCCTGCCTTTCGGGTCCAGTCCCGCTTCCACCACCCGCGCCAGGAGCGGCGCCGTGCTTCTGCAGCCAACGCGCTATTGCCATGACGACTCGCAGGGCGCGAATTTGCAGTCCCTCGCAGCCACACAGCGAGGCAGCTTCGTACAGACACACCGCCAGGCGATGTCTCTCATCCGGATGAAGCCCGAGCGACTCTGCAGGGCGGAAGAGGTCTAGACCGCCGCTTTCGGAGGGATCGAAAGCATGAGGATTGGAAGACGAGGGAGAGAGCGGATCACCGTGACGTCCGGATGAAGAAGACGCCTTGGGGTTGAGGTCGTCGGCCAGAGCGACATGGGCAGCGTGACGCGCCCAAGAGGCAAGGTCGTCCATGTTGTAGGTTCTGGCAAGCACCATGAGCGCGCACACCACAGCGGGATGTCGCTGCAATGCGGTGCAGATGCGCAAGGTGTAGACGAACTGGAGCAGCGCAAGCACCACAGGAGACGGCTCGGAGATCTGCAGGTGACGAGGCTGGAAGCGCGGATCGCGAAGCTTTTGTTTGTCGGTTTGCGGGTCGTCTCGGGCGCTGGCTGGGACCATGAGGGGATCTACCGCCTCGTCGTCGTCGTCGTCCTCTTCGGCGAGGAATTCGGCAATGTCCTCTGGGATCACGCGCAGCCCGGTTTGGTGATCTTGTGCGGCAGGGTAGGCAGTTCGCAGTGTGCGTCTCGCCTTCTTGCGAAACTCGTCCATCTTGGACTTGAACCAGGGCCAACGCGCTTCGAGAATGGCACGGTCGCAGCCGATGCGGAGACCGTCCGAACAGACGATTTCAAAGTCACCGCGTCCGCCGAGATGGAGCTGATCCAAGCCTTGGTCGGGAGTGTTCTGTGCATCTGCCGAAGATGCTGTCAGCCCGTTACCACGTGCCAGCGCTTGTGCCGACGCCATGGCTGATGGTGCGGTCGCTGCTAACTTGTCCAATCCCAGTTGAACGGCCGCTTCAGAAAGGACGGATTGGGGCGGCTGGTAGATCCCCCAGGCTTCAAGTTCGAGCACAACGACGTGATCCCAGTTGGTCTGGCGATGGTTGTAGTCGCTGACGAGGTCCCTCTCCTTGTGGCCGACCACAACGAGCCTGTTCTTGCCCGGCCACAAGATGGCACGATTCCAGCTTCCGGTCGATAGAGCCGAGCCAGACTCGATTCTGGACCAAGCCATGGTGGGCAGATGCAGAGCCCAAATGGAGAAGCTCTGCGTCGCATTGGCGAGGTAGGTGCCCGAGATGAGCAGGTATGGACCGAGGAGTGCGCCAGTAGGAAAACGCAGACCAGGGGGCAAAGTGACGCCGCCCATGTGACTCGAGCGATCCTCCATCGAGACGAAGGGACCGGACAGAGACTGGGATGCGGCTTGCAAGGACGACAGAGGTCCGTCTGCATCGATGGCTGAGTCTTGGGACGCATTCGAGTGGCTGCGAGCGCGCTGTTGCGGTACGCCTGTCTCGGAACCGGTAGCCGTATCTCCCTCGCCTCGGACGGTGAGTACCTCGAGCTCCCTCTTGACATTGGTGAAGTTGAAGTTGGAGTAGAGATAGACGGGCAAGGGCTGATGTGGCTCCGCTTGACTGCTCATGGGCAGAGGATTTTGCTCGACCTTGTCTGAAGACTGTCCGATGTCTTGTGTTACAACGTCGGCATGTGGCATTGTTGTGTGGGCACTCGCGAGTGGCGTGCTGGCGGTGGCGTCTGTGCCGTTCAAGGGATCCTTTGCGCGAGGATAGCACTTTGCCTTTTGGCCATCCTTGTGAAGGTACTTGGAGCCGACAGCAAGAGAGCGGTAACTGCCGCACTGTTTTCGAAAGCGTTGTGCGCCAATCCACTTGTTCTCGGAGAGACTGAAGAGGTTGATGGATTCGACGTACTGATTGGCGAGGTTCTGACCCCCGATGATGGAGAGCGTGTCGCCAGACAAGGAAGAGAGATGCGCATAGCGAGGCGCAGGCTGAAGTGTTTCGGATTGGATGCTGGTGGAAGGGTCGTTGTCGGTGGCTGGCCGACGGGATGCGAAATCGAGGGTGTAGTCCCACTGCTGAGTGCTGAGGTCGAATGCGAGCAGCTCACCGAGAACGCAGAGCTCTTCGGCCGGTTCTCCTGTGTGGGGATCTGGCTGACCTTGCGAGTAGCCCATTCCTCCAAAGAAGACAATCTTGTCTTGCCAAAGGTCGGCCGAGTGAAAGTAGCGCGGTCGCGGCTGTTCCGAGGATGCTTCGGTCTGTCCGAGTGATGGCTTTGTGGTGGGAGTCAGCCTGGACCATCTCATCTCGTCCAGATCGAGGATGTAGAGCGTGTTGACCATGCGACGGCTCGTCACCAGTCGACCGCCGAAGAGGTACACCTTTGCACCGCCTTGCGCCGAGACATGGTGGGAGGGTTCGACGAGCGTTGCTGATGCACCCACGAGAGGTGGCGGCACTTGCCCCGAGCAGAGGTGCAGCCGCGAGGATAGGTTGGCAATCGAGGGATGCATTGTTGGCGATGGTGTTGCGGTGCCTGCTCCTTGCCGAGCAGGATCGCAGAGAGTCAGTCGATAGTAACTCTAGCCAACGTGAAGGCAGGAGGCCATGCCGTCGTCGAGGATGGACCAGCGCGGTTGCAGGCTCTGCTAGATGAAGCGAGACTGCGCTAGGTGGGGGAGATAAGGCGCCGAGATCGTCTTGCAACGTAATCAGGTGATGGCAGGGACGATAGTGGGCGATGAGACGAAAGATGATCCGACAAAATGAAAGCGACGACCAAGCCTAGCCACGCGGAGGCAAGACTAGAAGAGCAATGGTACGGCCATTGATGGAAGAGATGGCGAACAAAGGGTCGGCGGCTTGATCCGTCTTTGCTGCTCTTGCTCGTGCTCGTGCTGTGACAATGGAATCGAAGGTGCTGTGCGTGTGCAGATGATGCAGAAGGATGCAGTGACCAGAGCATCGCCCGGTTGCGATCCTCATCAGACGTGCATGCGAGCCTGTCTCAGACAGACAAACAGCCGAAAATCGAGTCTTAAAAAAAGGAAAAAGAAAAAGAGAGGGAAAAAGAGGCGTGACAGAGTCAGAAGGAAGAAAAAAGAATGAGGGTCCTCTGCCCACGCGCCTCGTCCTGGTGCACCGAGCTTTCTTTTGCGAAGAAAAACAAAAATCTTAATTTGCTTGTGAGACTGTGATTTTGGTGTGAGTCTCTCCGGTACGATGAGCCGATGGCCCACGAGCTGCTAAGTGAGCTGTCGTCGATGCAGCTCAGCGTTGGATTGCTTTGACTCGCTAGAGATGCTGTCAATCCATCAGTCGAGTCTTGGTACATGCTGCTTTCTCATGGCAACCGATGGTGCAACATCAGCCCAGATTGCGCTGTCTACAAGCAAGCACCGCTTTCAAGGTGTCACGCGTGTCGCATGCCATTGTCCTGCTTTTGTTGGCGATGTCTGCTTCGTCTGCAACCGCAACATTAAGCTACGATGCTTGCAGCTCGACGAATCAACGCTCATCCTCGATCCGACTCGTCGTGTTCGGCTGTTGCTCGAATTGGATCCCAGCTGCCATTGCATGCATGCTGCTTCTCGCTTGCAATAGATTGAATTTAATACCTTGCCGCTTCGGAAGGTCGATGACCAGGGTCAGGCGGTCGCTCGACCGTCGCCAGAGGTCGTGCGGGTCCATGCAGCGCCTCGTCGTCCACCTTTCAGCTCGCTGCCGGGCGGTGTCGCTGCTCCGGACGGTGCTCGGCCCATCTCTGAGATCCGAGACTACCGAAGGGTCGAACGCATTGGACACTCAAGCTCTTGTAAGCCCACCTTTCGTCTGACAACACAATTACAATTGCAATCGGTGAAGAACAATGTCATCGTCATTGCCGTCAAGGTCGAAGCAACTCATAGTGTCACAACTCGGCCTTCCTTCGGTCATGGTCTATGGTGAAGCTTCGAAAGAGTGCCGGAACGATTGGGTTTCCTCGGCGTACAGCATGGCGTCGTGTGGGGCCGGAACGCGCGAGTCATCGTAACATTAGCCATGATTCATGGCAAGACGCCTCCCTGCCTCTCCCTCCCTTGATGCTGTCAAACGCATGTTTCTCTGTCGTTGACGCCCGGTCAAACGAGTTCATGCTCGGTCGGCCGTGGTCGCCCGTCCGGCGGACGCCCTTATCAGCGCCGCCAGAGGGGATGCTTCGGCGCCATTAAGGGCCGACTACTCTCTTAGACCATCGCGAAGCCTAAGCGAGACAAGGCCCGGTGTTGATTCGGCCTTGTCCTTGCGGCTCCTCGATCGACCTTTTGTTTGCATCTCGATGTCTGCAGCTTGAATCAACAATCGCACCACCATGCGATCTTTGTTGCTTAGCCGAGATTTACACAACTGCACTTCCACTACTGTAGGCCCGAAGCAAGGTCGCGCATAAGCGAGCCGGTCGCGACCACTCCGTGCTTGAAGCGGCCTACCAGCCTTGAAGCATCAAACCAGTTCGACACGGCATCTCTCACTCGGCTATCTCGTGAATTTCGGCCATCTTTGCGCATGCAGCCTACCTGCACCCTTAGCGTGGGACCATTCGGCTCCTCGTCTTGCCCACTGCTTCCGATTGGCTTCGCCTCGTGCTCATGGGCCGGAGGAGGGCCGTGTCTATGAAGCGAGGCGATGGTTTGCCGTGACAGCTATGGAGATGCGCAGGCCCTCTTTCCCTCAAGCGAACATTCTTGAGACCAACAGAGCACACTAAGGCGGCCCATGTGTTCAATGCTATATAGATGCAATGCACTCTCGCTTTGTTATCTTCGCAGGGCCAATCGTATAGTGGCTTATTATGCTGTCTTAGGGCTTTCGCTTCTTCGGATGCTTGCACTAAGTTGACAGAGGTCCCCGGTTCGATTCCGGGTTGGCCCCCGTTCTTTTTTTGGCCCGCTTTTTAGGGCACTTTTTCTCACATCTCGCAACGCGAGGCCAGACGCTCGTGTTCGTCGAGATGAACTTGAATCTGCACCTTGGACAGACGATGCACGCGATTGAATGACTGCTGAACCAAGCTATGCAAACAGCTGCTTTGTTCTACCGAAGGCAAGACTTGTCAGGTTGACGAGAGCCAACGGTCTGCGGATCGTCGGCAGCAACAAGACGCGGAGGAACGCGTTGCGGCAAGCCGGAATTTTCGAGGAATGTCAAGTTGCGCGTGTCGGACGCTTCATCCGTACCGAATGACATGGATCTACCTGTGGACAGCGCCGACCTCAATGAACAACGTCGGCGTGCCATGCGGATTCGAGGCTTCCATACACACGAAACTCGCAGCCCGTCATTGAGAAGCACAACGTCTAAAGCTACTGGCTTGATGCACAGTCGACCATCATTCTCGACCTACATTCTACAGAGCAGCCACATCGGCGGATCTCGCGATGCCTTCGACTGTGCACAGTGGTGCAGCCCGTCCCGCATCGAGTCTCGTCCAAACGACCCCTCCTGCAACGAGCCGGTGCCTTTCGAACGCGGTTGTCTCTGCAGTGTCGAGAGGCAAGATGATGGCATTGAATACAAGAACAGATCCGGCTCGCATTGCCGTCGGTTGGCCAATTCCTTCCTCGCTACCTATCGGAGTCCTGCCTCTCCTTTTCCTCCTCCTCCTCCTCCTCCTCATCAGATCGCCCTCAACGCGAAAGAAATATCTGCCGTCCACCACCACCACTCGGTCAACGAAGGAAGGATGAAGACCGAGGCAGCCATCCTGGCAAGCTCAGTAATCGCATTGGTGGCCGTACTGGCAGCGTCGTCGACGATAGCCGCACCTATGGAGAAGCGACTGTAAGTGTGCTGAATCGGAGCCAAAGAAGGCTTTGGCGATCATCTCACTGACTTTGCTTTGTGTCGCTGTTCTCTTCAATCAGGATGATGGCATTGTCTCTGCAAGCATCGCCAACCGTCGCAGAGATCGACCTAGGCGGGCTCTTGCCGACACCCACTGTCCCGCCTATCGCCGGCGAGATCGCGAACATCTTTACCTCGGTCGCTGACGGCGTGACCGGTCTGATCCCGACGACGATCCCGTCGCCGACCCTGCCCGACCTGCTCCCTGATCTCACCGTGTCTGTCGCCATCGCAGCGCCGACCGCGCCTCCGGAAGCTCAAGTGCTCGGCCTTCTCGCCCAAAAAGCGCTCAACGCGGTCCCCACCCTGCTCATCCAAAACCTCGTGCAAATCCAGAGCGAGTTCAGTGCGGCTCTCGCATCCATTGCTACTGCTACTCCGACACCTCTTGTCTACGTCGCTACTGAGAACGGCGCCGAGGTCACTCGCACATCGACCCCAACGCTGCCCTCATTCGCCGCAAATGGCGTAATCAACCCTCTCTCAGTGCTTGCCAATGCCTTGCCTCGACCAACAGATTTCGTGCAGGAGGTGACGTCGGTGATCGGAGGTGTAACGAGTGTGCTCCAGCTGCCAGCGCTACCACTACCTACGGATCTGATACCGCTGCTCGGGACTATGCAGCTGCCCCAGCTCGACGTGCCCGGATTATTGGGCGACAAGCAGCACCTCTGTGTCAAGGATGGGAACGGTCATCAGCTCGGACTGTGCGAGAATGGACCCATCATCAACGATAGCGAGGTCATCGCCATCTGACGCTGGATCGAGACTGCGAGGCTCGCTACGCTCGAGCCTGCTTCAGCGCTTCCGATTGATCTGGAACTAACGCATGCACTCCTTACCCCACACTCTTTTGCTTCTTGTCTGGCCACTCTTTCCTCTTCCAAGTCGTGTCTTTGCTTCCTCGATTCATGATATTGTATCTAACTCCTGCGAGTTGCTATGTCGGTGTCAATGTCCGGTGGCAGCTTGTGCATGGTGAGGCTGTCAGCCCGGCTGACGAGTTGTTGTTCGGTCACTGCTTTTGCCGAAGAACCGGCGAATTGGCCACCCCGCATTTTCCCAAATTGGCGTGCCGTCTGAGCTCTTTTGCCTGGCTCGCTCATCCCCCCGCAAAGTAATCCACTCGCGCTCTGCTGCCCTGTGGCTGGCTCCTTGTTTTCCGCGGCAATCCAGCTTCCGGTTGCTCGCCTGTTCCTTTTGCCGCTCGTGGCCCCTCTGCGCTGAGCTGCAGACCTCGCATTCTGCCGGTACAGCGCTTGGATGGCCTCCCGCTGTCGACCGGTCTGCCGGCAAACATCCGCTCCTCTGCCTGTGCCGTCCAGTCTAGTCGTGTGCCCCCCGAATCGCTTGTCCGCTCGACTTAGCGTCGGACAGAAAAGGACACGGCCCCTCCTTCCATCCCATCACCGTCCGTCCACACTTCATCTCCACACTTCAACCCACTTCTCGTTCTTTGTGGCTGCTGTGAAGCTCGCAGCTGTCCCACACCACCACAGAGCAACGCGCACCAATCGACGGCCCGCTGCCACGTCAACTGTCCCCGCTTTCATCTTAACCCGCTCCAACCTTGAGCTTGGACGACAACAATGAGCTCCAACTCGAGCGCCTCCGGCTCTGGCCCCGCAGCCAAGCGGTCGATCCTCGAGGACTTCAAAGGCGACAGAGACCAACAGGGTCTCGTCCCGCTCGACAAGGTCGATCAGCTCCTCACTCAGAAGGGCAGTCTGCTCGAGACCGAGGTGCGCTTCATCCACGGCCGCCTCACCACTGTGTGGAAGCACCTGCCTGACTCCGTCCGCGATGCTTGGATGTTTGCTGCCAACGTAAGTTCAATCACCTGCCCCCCTTCTCTCCGTGACTTCTCGACTTACACCCTCTTCTGACTTGGACAGGAATACGCCTCGCGACCGTACATCGTGGCCGAGGGCGAGTCGCTGACCTACGCCGAGGTGCACAAGCGGGTCGTGCTAACCGCCACGTGGCTCTCGCACCACCTGTCTGTGCGTAAGGGTGACCGCGTCGCCCTCGTTGCGCGCAACCACGTCGAGTTCGTCATTGGCTTCTATGCCATCCATCTGCTTGGCGCGGTTCCGGCGCTCGTCAACGCCTTTTTGCCAGGCAAGGGCATCTACGACTGCATCCGTGACGTCGGCTGCAAGGTGGCGCTGCTCGACGTCGAGCGCTTCCGCCGGCTGCGCGATGCCGATGAAGACTACATCGCCAAGCTCTTCACCCAAGCTGGGAAGGATTGTGTCGACGACTTTGGCTGTACGCCTGGAGCGCACGGTGGGTTGGCTGGTGTCGTCGTCTTCCCACGTGCCTTTGCTGGCATCGTGCCGGAGGGCGAGCGAGAGTGGGCCAAGGGCAAGGGTGGTGACAAGGTCTTCGACGCTTCCGAACTCGACACCAAGTACGCTTCTACCGCTTCCACCGACAAGGCCATCCCAAAGATTAAGATTTCCCCTGAAGACATGGCGTCTGTGCTCTACACCTCTGGCACCACCGGAAAGCCCAAAGGTGTCGCAGCCACCAATCGTCAGTTCCTCTCCGCCGGTCCTAACTCGAGCTACAACATGGCCCGCGCGTACGTTCGACGTGGACTCCAACCACCCCAACCCCAACCGGACGATGAACAGGCTTCTACCATCCTCCTCATCCCGCTGTTCCACTCCACCGGCATCCAGTCGGGTCTCGTACCCTCCACGCTGCGCGGGGTCAAAGTCGCCCTTATGCCCAAATACGACGTTGACGCAGCAGCGAAGATCATCCAGGAGCACAAGATTCAGATTGTCGTCGGCATCGGGTTCATGGTTCGCGAGATCGTGCTGTCCAAGCACGAACTGCCTTCGCTGCAGGGTGTTTCTCATGGTGGATCCTCCTCGGCGAAAGAGCTTCCCGAGGAGTCGCGTGCCAAGGTGCCCTCGATGCTCATCGGTCAAGGTTACGGCAGTACCGAAGTCAACGGGGGAGCATCCGGTTTGGCTGCGGACGACTACATCGCGCGACCCACCTCCGCCGGTCGCGCCGTCGCCACGAACGAGATCCACATCATCGACCCCGAGACCCTCGTCGAAGTATCCAACGGTAAACCGGGCGAGATCTGGATTCGCGGTCCCAACACAGCTTTGGGATACTGGGGCAAGCCAGAGGCCACCGCCGAAGCCTTCACACCCGACGGCTACTTCCGCACCGGCGACCTAGGCCGGAAAGAAGACGACGGCTTCATCTACGTCATGGACCGCTCCAAGCACATTATCATCCGAGGTGGAGAGAATATCAGTGGCACAGAGGTGGAGACGGCCATCTACGCCGAGAGAAGGATCATTGATTGCGCAGCGGTCCCAATTCCCGATGACAGATTTGGGGAGACCGTGGGAGTGGTCTGCGTTCCGAGGGTCGAGTATCAGAAGGAGAACAGACCCACGGAAGAGGATGTCTTGAAGGTGGCGAGGAAGTTCCTGCCCAAGCACGAGGTACCGGATTTCATCTGGATCCGAGACGAACCGCTCGAGAGGAACGCCAATGGTAAGGTCGACAAGGCGATTGTCAAGGAGGCGGCGAGGAAGCGACACGCGGAAGGAAAGGCGGCCAGCGCCAAGCCTAAGCTCTAGATTGTATATGCACGAAGAACGTAAAAGAAATGTAGAACGGAATGAGGAACGTCTGCCCCATCGTCGATTCTTGCTGCGTTGCTGCTATTGATGGCCTTTGTGACACTCTGAAATGCCTGAGACTTGAACGCATGTCAAATGGAACGTGACACAGTCGTAGAGGCATGTTGCTTTCGGCGCTGATGCTGATGAATGTGATTTGATTCGGTACAAGTACAAGATCTGAAAGATTGCGTCTGCTGCTGCGTCTGCGATCGTGCCATCACGCGAGCATCATATCGTCGTGATTGCGCCCATCGCCATCGACCTCGTCCACCACCGTCCCCGACTCGACCGTTTTACCCGTCATCGCCTGGACCAGCGTCTTCGTCCGATCCCGTACCGCCAGCTCCATCTCGTTATGCAACACCGCCGCGGCCTCGATGGCCAGCGTAAAGATCTGCTCGAAGCGCTCCACGTGCAACCTCGTCTCCAACGATGCCAGTGTGACCTGCTTTGTTCGTGGCAACACCGCAACCGTCACATGCGGTAGATCCTGTTCTTCCGTATTCGACAGATCCAACATCGCCGACGTCGAGTGAATGCCGCACGATACCGACGCGACAAAGTCCTGCATCGCAATTCCCGCATCCAACAGCGCTAGCGTCGCTGCGTTGATCGCCGCAGGCAACACTCCACCATCCTGCTGATGCACCTGAACAAAGATGTCGATCTGCGACCGCGGATACAAGTGCGTGTGGATGACCGGCTCAAAGGTCGACTTGATCGAGCTGGCGAACTCGAGCAGACGGCGGTCGCCACGATTCCGTCGACGTCGCTCCATCGACCCCCACGGCGCGAGAGAGACCTCGACATTGACGGATGCACGGTCGTGGATGAGGTTGGCACCGGAGCGCGCTTCGCGTGGACCAAAGACGGTGGCGGATACGATGGTGAGCCCTTGTGTGATTTGGGCGGAACCATCGGCTGCCGTGTCTTGTGAGCCACCAAGTTGTATGGCGATAGACCGGAGCTCGTACTGCTTTCGCCCGTCGACGCGGAAGCCCCCTGCGTTGAGGAGCTCGACCCTCGACTGTGAAAGTGCGAGCAAAGTCAGGGATCGTTAGCTTCTGCCATCGATATAGCGTATTTCGCAGCACAACGGCACTTACCATCCTTGCTACCTGTCAGCTCCTGTGTGCGGTCAAAGGTTGGGAGGGAAGGAGTACGAAAGGAGGATGGTCGAGGTGGAGGAAGTTTGGCAAAGTCGAGAAGAATTTTCGATCGGGCCCGATCCAGCGCCTCCACAGCGCGTCACGCCAACAACCAACTCAGCCTGAAGTGTTGTTCTTCGAGACAACCAACCCTCTCGAGCTGTTCTCACTCGATGCTACCACCCTGACATTCAGACGGAGCTGGGAAAGAAGGCGTTGCTCGACCTAGGACCATGTCGCTAGCAGAGGTCTGGCAGCGAGCGCTCCACAGCTTGAGCGCTGGCCAGGATCGACAATCTTCAGCAAACGCTCCCGTCCTCCCACCATCAGAAGCCTATCAGGCTGTCACGCAGTTCCTCGAGCCTGCTGCACCGTCGCAATGTCGCTATTACGACGAGCACACGACATCATTTGCTCTCGATGCCGCAACAAGGAAAGCGCTGCAAACACTTCTCGGCAGCGACCTCAGTACGCCCTCAAGCTCAAAGGTCGATCTTGCCTCACCCAGTCCTGTCCTCGTAGCTCTGTCCAACCACTACGTGAACCGATGTCAGAGAAACATAGGCTCCACAGCGATCGAAAGCGGTGTCTCAGCAATGGACGAGCATAGAGTGTCAACCTCGGCGCTCGGCGAAGACCTGCCTGGAATCCTGCTCAGCGCATCGCAATGGTTCACAGCATGGCTGTCTCCCTACGCCGCAGGTACCATTTTTGACGGCATGCACGAACATCGATCTCGCCTCCTACAAATACTTCAAGCATATTTGCGCTCTCACTTCGACCGCTCAGCGGCCGAAGCGCTCCGTCACCATCTCGAGCGACTCGTTGTGGAAGACAACGACACGGATCTGCACACGACATTTGTTGCTCATCTCAGCCTAGCAGGCCTCTCCGGACCCGCATTGATGTTGATGACCCGAGTCGTGCACTCCGAGATCGCGCGCAAAGTACGAGCCGTAGTCGACGCTGCGGATTTGCGCTCCCAAGATTCTGTCCTGCCGCTCGAGTCAGCTGCTCGCCCCGTCTTGCAACAGTGGCTCGATGACCAGATGAAGCCACGTTTCGCGGCGTTCCGCGAGCTGTGCTTGGGACCGTCTGAGGCAGAGCCGAAAGAGGGCAAGTACGTAGAACACAACACATGGCAGCACAAGCTGGATTACGAGCTCGACAAGGCACTCTGCCTGACACGCGCCGGTCAGCTGTTCGACCTCGTGGCGCTCTACCCGGAGTCGTCGGCAGCACTCGAGGATCTCAGATTGAGCCTTCAGAGCGCGGATCAGCGGCTTAACGTCGCCAAGACGCTGTCGAGCTCGCTGCACATGCGGCTGCTGCATCCGGGTGCTCACACGCGCGACATCATTCAGATGTACGTTCACCTCGTACGTGCGCTACAGGAGATGGATCCGAGTGGCGTCGTCCTCTCCCGTGTCGTGTCTCCTCTGCGACGATATTTGCGCGGGAGGAAGGACACAGTGCTGGTCATCGTAGCGTCGATGCTCGGCGACGATCCGGACTTTACGCTTCTCAAGGACGAGCTGGAGCGTGCGGACCAAGAGGAGCAGGAGCAGGCGGAGCAAGCCGAAAACAAGCGCAGGCGACGACCTCGACGATCCCTCCAAACCACTGCCCCTCCCTCGTCGAACAAGACCAACGGCAAACGCCCCACAAAGCGTCGACTGCCCAACTCACGACGCGACGCAACCTATGTATCGGACAGCGATGCATCCTCGGACGAAGACTGGGACGACCCCCATTGGGTACCGAAACCCGTCGAGGCCGGATCCGGCTACCGCATGTCTACCTCAAAAGACATCATCTCGATGCTCACATCCATCTTTGACGATCGGTCCGGCTTCATCGCAGCGCTTGAAAAGAGCATGGCGGACCAGCTCGTCCAAGTCAAATCCTACAAGGCGATGAAGGAGTATCGCAACAACATGATCCTCAAGAAGCGCTTCGGGGAGAGGAACATGGGCAAGTGCGATGTGATGCTCGGCGACGTGACCGAGTCACGGCGGATCGACAGCGAGGTTCATCACCGTCGACTTCCGTCCTCGGGGTCTGCCGTGGAGGGTATGGTGTCGCGGTTGCATCCGTTGATTGTTTCGCGTCAGTTTTGGCCCGAACACACGACGAAGCCGGGCAGCGCGGTGGGTGGTGTGCCGACCTCGAGCGCTGCGGGTGCGGGAGCACCAGTGGGAACAGCAGGAAGCATAGCAGAGTTCACGCTACCCCCCCTCTTCCGCCACGCACAGGAGGAGTACGGCAAAACATACTCGCAGTCCAAGGCGATGCGCAAGCTGCATTGGCTCAACCACCTCGGAACCGTTGAGCTCGACGTCGAGCTCAACTCAGGACAGAGCGTCGCCGTCGAGTGCAGTCTCATCCAGGCATCGACGCTCGAGGTGATTTCGCGCTGCAAGGGTCGAAGCACACAGGCTCAGAGCGCCACGGCAGGTGCGAACGTCATTACGCTGACGGATGTGATGGAGGAACTCAATTTGCAGAGAGAGAAGGATGCAAGGGATGCGCTGGAGTTCTGGGTTCAGGTCGGACTGATCGAGCCCGTAGCGGGACTGGTGGATGCGTTCATCGTGCTCACTAGCTTGCCTGCTCGTGTGGCAGCGGGGGAGGAAGAGGACGAGGCGGACGACGAGCCGCTCTAGAATCTCATACTCTCTCAATCGATGCGTGCGCGTCCACGCATTCGAGCCAACTACGCACTGCGAGAAAGTCGTGAATGCGTCTGTATGAGCTGGCGATTGATATTACTACAGAGACTGGTTGAGCATCGGACGCTCTCAATCCTTCTTGAGCTCCCTCCTGATGACCATAACCGCGCCCTCCTCCTGCTCGTCCTCGCCACCGACCGCCTCGGCCACGCTGAACGGCACATCCGACGGAATCGTGTTCAGATCCACCGCAGCGGCGCCCTTCTTCTCGCCACCCTCGGCGGCCGCACTCGGCGTACGCACGACGAACACCTCCAACCCATCGCCCACCTCGATATGTCTCTCCGTGGCGCTCGTAAACGAGTCGATGACGATCTTGAGCACCTCTGGCAGGGTCATCTGGCCTGGGGTTGGCACCGTGCGTTCCGGTGTGCTGGTTTGGTTCCTGAACATGATCTGGTTATCGAAGAAGGGTTGGATGAGCGATTGGGCTGCTCCGGCGGCACGGCAGAACTCCCTCTCGTAACTCCCCACGGGGTCGAAGGAGTACACTGCGCCCTTGCCCTCCTCGTCCAAGCCACCGAGAATGTTGTACACGTAGTACGGGAAGAAGCGCTTGCCATAGAGGATAGTTGAGATCATGCGAGCGATCGAATGGAGCGGCATCGACCGACCGTGTGCGTGACGGTACATTTCGAGTCGTTGGCGTACGAGCGAGACGAGCGCCTCGGCGTCAGCAGCGAACCCGTTGGTGGCCAGCGTCGCCTTGTCGTTGAGTCGAAACACCTTGGGCTTGTAGCGCGTTTGGATGTTGTAACCCGTGCTCTGACGGGTGTCGGATGCTACGACGCAAAAGTCCGTACCGCAGACGGCGGCGATGCTGCCTCCGTTCGAGTCGTACGGCGAGAACTGGTGGCCGACAACATGGTCTTTGGGCGCAGAGGTGTGGGTCGGTCCGCGCGACGAGCCGGAGAACGTGCCGAAGAGCGACATGCTGAGGTGATCTTGGCGGTAAGGGAGCTGCTTGGAATCGGGTTGCGCCTTCGATCCGTGAGTGTGTGTGGAGTGGACGATGTGAGGAAGAAGAGGTGTTGAGATGGAGGTGGTGGTTGCGTTGAAAAGCCGCGTCGTCAGCTCCACACACGCTCTTCCATTTTGCTCACCGCCTACGCACAGACCGATCAGCGAGCGTGGAGATTTTCCTTGATGTTACATCTATCTGTATGACATTTCCATTTCAAAAATTCTTCCATACCGAGTCACCATCAACGACGACCTTGTTCGAAAGCCACCATCGCCTCGATGATGTACTTCATCAGGCGTAGATACTCTTCCACTTTGGCCGTGTCCCATACCACCGTATCGTGTCCAAGCTCCAGATTGAGTTGCCCTCGGAAAGTGAAAGACGTGCCAAAAGCCTCGCCAGCGCGAGTTCGCACGCCGAACAGAAGCCCCTCTCGCACCTCCAACGCACCCGACCCTTTCGATGCTCCGAACGGCAGGTCGAGCTTCGAGGGCAGCACCGGATCTAGCAGACCTACCATGCTGAAGTTCAGCGACGATCCTGGCCCCTGCATGTTCTTCTTGGTGAGACCCGGTCGACGTTCATCTTCGCCTGCCACTCCCTGCGCCTCTCTGTCCGCTTCGTCGTCCTTGAACACTTGAAAGACGTCCTTGACTCCGCTCTTCCGGAACCGAGTCTCTCGCTCGAGACCCATCAGAAAGCCGTCGGCATGCATGAAGCGCGGCTCTCGGAAGATGCCGTTGAACTGCTTCTGCACCTGTCGAGCCACCTGCCAGAGCTGAGCGACGTGAAAAGCGCTCAGCTGCGTCGCGTCCGACGCTGGCATTTCTGGAAGCGAGAAGACCGATGCTGGTGGGAGAGAGACGCCATTGAAGCCGAGCTTGACGCCGAGACTCGACGGTGGCAAGAGCGGATCCTGTGCGTTCGCCGGCTGCAAAGCGTCGACGGCTGCACGAGCGTCTAGAAATCTACGGACGGAGAAGGGGAAGCCCATGACAGTGGTCGTAGGCTGCTCGACCCGACCCTGAGGTGAAGCGTGCTTAATTTCGAGCGTGTTCAGCGCGCAGGCGGCGACGGCGTAGAGCAGCGATCCCACCCTGACACCCTTGCGCTTGGCCAGCTTGGTCAGAGAGGAGGTGTCTTGTGCAGAGAGGCGGACGATCGACCACTTGGTCTGGGCTCCCCACCAGGGCTCCTTGACGTTCTTGTCCGTGCGGTTTGCTTTGAAGTCAGACAGGATTGCCTTTTCGGCATTGGCTGCTCGGATCTGACAGATGACCCGACGGATCGTCCAGAACCATCGCAGCCTTGCCAGCCGCGATGGATGATCTGACGAAACCGCAGGAGCCGCCGGTAAGAGCTCAGGATATGTTGCTTCTATTGATGGTGGAAGCAGAGATGCAAAGTGGGTCTCGTCCAGGCTGTCATTGCCAATCATCTTGCCTCTTGGCGCAGCAGAGTCAAAGAGGCCGCTAATCAGGGCCTGCTGCATGTCGCCACTGATCGAGCTATAGCGAGCTGTGTACGCGCCGGGTACAACCACAGATACCTCGGCTTCTGACACCACCTCGGGAAGTTCTTCGGGTAGCTGAGAAGAGGCAAGGACCTGCACAAGCTCGCCGGCGAGACTCGAGATGCTGAGGCCGTCCGAGATGCAGTGGGCAGCGCAGAGGATCAAGTCGAAGCTGACTTGACCTTGTCTGCTGTCTGACAAGCACGGCGGGAGGAGTATGAGCCTTGCCAGCCCGAAAGGAGCGTGTTGTTCGAGAAAGCGACGCTTGCCGTTCCAAACATACTGGTCGAGCCAGGCGACTACTGCTTCGTCGCGAGAGGCGTTGTCGTCGCTTCTTGAGGCCAATCGATCTTGCCATGCATCAGAGACGATCACGACCCGTCGCGAGGCTTGTTCCAGCAGTTCCGACGTTGTCTCTGGCAGGTCAAAGACAAAGTGAGGCTCGAACGAGCTAGAGCCGTCTTGGGATGCCTCGCCTGCATTGCGTTTTGACGCAGCCTCTTCTGGATCCAAAGCGCTTCCATCTGGCGTCCGTGTCTCAACATGGGCACCCAGCATGGGATGACGACGGCACAGCAGCGCCCACACGAGCGGAAGCCGGCGTACGAGCTGCTCGTATGCATCAGCAGGACAGTTGAGAGGGATGCGGTAGAAGATGTCGGTCCTGCCTTCGTGCAAGGTGGCCATGGTGTTGAAGAACGACTCGACGAGGCCCATGCGACGCACATAGCGACGAGGAGTCTTGCTGCATCGCTGCCATCCGAACGGCGAAGGCTTGATTCGGTCGACGTCGTACAAGGTCCGCAAGAACCTCGTTTCCGAGGGTGCTGGCACCGCAAGCATTCCGGGTAGCGATGTCCGAGGTGTAGATTGTCTTTGCGGTGTGTTTGATATGTCCGTGACAGGCGAACCGACTTCCAGGTGCTCTATGAGCAAACATTTCACCTTGACCTCGGCGTTTTGAGCGGCCAAGGTTCTCAGCGGCGACTTTCAGCGTGGGGGGCTTCTACCGCCTGGCTTCCCTATGGACCCTGGAGAGCACCAGCCAGAGCACGAGTCCAAGTCAGAGTCAGAGGCGGACCTTGAGAGGCTCGTGGTCGCCCGAACTAAGGATGTCAGATCGCACAAATCTCTGTGATGGAATATTGAGGTTCCCCGCAAGGATCGAAGCTGAGCGCTGCAGAGACCGGTGACTGCCAAAAAGCCAAGGAAACAGCGCCTCACGCAGCTCTCCTCTGCCGAGCAGCTGCTCGTGTGCCTGACTTTTGTTATCGAAATGAGAACCCTGCATCCGAGCTCAATCGCACCATCACTCCACACACCGTTGCTCGTGACTTTGACGGATTGCTGCCAACCACCATCGAGATTCGACTTCATCAAGGACGCTGCAGCATCATCGGCATCAACACACGCGGAGTTCAGCTCTCATAACACGCCAAGACGGCCCGTGCTTGCCATCATCCTGCTGATCTGACACTTCGTCCGTCAATCGGCTACGACATCCGCGCAGCCAGCCTGCTTTCATCAGCATCACAGCAGCACCATGGCGGAAGAGACGGGCAAAGCCAAGGCGGTTTCGTCCGATGCGCAAGGTGCACCAGCCGTGGCCGAGTCCAACACCCTCAAGCCCTCGAACGACTCCGCTACGGCTCCTTCTCTTGAGCGACGATCTTCGTCCTCGCAGCAACCTCTTCGTCATGGCAGGAAACCCATCTACCCCGATAGCGATGCCGAAGCTGAAGGTCTGGACGCCGATGTAGACGATGAAGAACTCGAGACCGGCCTTCCGCCTGGTCCAGGCGATCACGAGCGAAGCTCGCTCCTGGGCGGCTCGGCAAGGAATGGCCAAAGCAATATCGGACCTTTGGATCGTGCCTGGCTCAACGTCTCCAAGCTCTGGGGAGGCGACAAGGCGTATGCCGCCAGACTCGTGCGTCGACGAAAGCAACGACGAAACGCTGCTGCCGCGTCGTCTACTTCTCGCAGGAACTCACGGTCCATTCACACATCCTCGGCCGCTTCGTTCTCAGCATGGAGACACGAACATCCCTTCATCATGCGCACACTCTACGCGATCGTTGCGCTTCTCTTCATCCTGCTTGTGCTGATCGCCGTCGCTGTGTCGCACCTCTACCTGGCCACACTCAAGTCTCCAACGCCGGAAGCGCAATCTCGCATTCTCGACGAGTCCCTCTTGCTCAAGGGTCCAGATCGGGTTCAGCTACTCAACATCTCGGACGAGGGCATCCTCGTTCGCGTCGATGCCCGTCTCGGTCTTGATCCAGATCATGCTCTGGACCTCTGGCTCGGTCATCGCGGCAAGCAAGGCTGGTGGAGAAACAAAGAGCGCAAGCTCGTCGAGTGGACCATGGGCAAAGTGGCCGGTGTGCAAGTCGACGTTGGTCAGGTTCGCCTGTCCGAGATCGGAGCTGTCTGGGACCAGCAAGCTCTACCGTCAGCCGGCTTGGCATCAGCTGGTTTCGACCCTCGAGACTTGCTGGCATTCCATCTGGACCCTCTCGTCTTGCCTCTGCCTCCCCTGAACCGCAAGATCGAAAAGGGCAAGGACGACGAAGAGGCGCTCCGACCGCCCATCCTTGGCAACCACAGCACACCAGCGGCACAGCACAACATGAGCCCGCTCAACCTCACTGTGCTGCTCAAGCCCGTGGTGCCGGCGCCTTACATCATGGATTACGCTCAGCACGCCATCAAGAAAGGCTTTGCCCACCTGGATGTCAAGATCGAAAGCCTGCGTGTACGCGGTCTCGCCAAATCCGAGATTGATGGCATCCACCACGGCCGCAAGGCTGGCTTCTTTGATGTGCCGCGCCGCATTGATATCGCTCAGCAGCACATCCGAAGCCCTGTCCGTGAGAAGGTGCCCAAGCTGGACAACGACACCAACCCGGACGACCTTCTCAAGGTAGATGGTTATGAGTTCTTCGAAGCTGGACAGGATGACGGTGACGATGACAAGCACGACGGCAAGGATGACTTCGTGTCTTCGATGGTGATGCGCGCACTTGGACTGCGAGCCAAGGCACAGGCGATGAACCCGTTGGGCAAGATGCTGCAAGGCAACGTGCGCTACAGTTTGCCATTTGGTATCTTCCTTCCCGTTGATGCAGCTCCAGCACGAAAGCCGCCCAAGCATCCCAAAGACGGCAAGTCTCACGCGATGGACGACGAGGAGGAGGCATCAGATGCTGCTGTCCTGATGGCCGCTGTCGCTACTCAGCCATTCCAGCTCACGGGCCAAAAGGTGGTGGAAGTCGACATCCTCGGCCGAGTGGTGCCACCACCGCAAGAAGAGGGCGTGCGAGCTATCGGATCCTCCCACGCAGGACAGACTGCATTCAAGGCTGATTCGGACAGCGTCGCGGCCGAGTACACCTCGGAGCAGGATGCGGTCCACAGCTCAGCATTTGGCGACACGCCTCAACAGGCTGCGCTGAGCAACTTCCTGAGCAAGTTCCTGCGCGGCGAGAACAACACGGTCTATGTACGAGGTGGGTCTCCGTTCCGCGAGCCCAAGAGCTCCAAGTCGTCCAACCAATCGGAATCGTCCGACTTGCCCGGCGAGGGCTCGGATCTGCCCGAGTGGATGGACTCTGCATTGCGCCTGGTCGACCTGCCCATCTCGTTCCCCGGAGCCGAGGTGACCGAGCTCATCAAGAACGTTACGATCAACGACCTCAAGATCTCGCCTCATCCGTTCGATCACGACAAGCTTCTGTGCAGTGGCACGGTGATGGGCGAGATGAACATGCCCGGCGAGCTGAGCAGCATTGATGTTCAGATCACGCACATGTGGCCGGACATCCTGGTGTACGATGGACTGCCTCCTGACATGCGCAAGAGCGTCGAAGTGGCGGGCAGACCGGTGAGCCGATTCAACATGCTCGATGGAGCACTGGACAGTCTCAAGCGGCTCGCCTTCCTCCACGACTCAGCAGATGATGCTCAACTTGTATCGGCCTTGAAGGACGATCCGAAGAAGCCGGAGCCTGTGCCACCGCTGCCCGATCCGCTGCCGGAGAAAGCCTTTGGCCGCGTCCGCCCGTACGACTTCTCGCCCGCCGAGACCTTCACGGACCCAGCAGACCCGGAGGGCAAGCGCAAGCTGCTGCGTGCAGTGCTCAAGGATGTGCCGTTCACGGTGCTGCCCGGCCGCGGACCGCTGTTCAGGTCGTTCACGTGGAAGCTCGTCACGGGTCAAGGAGCGCTGGTGGGCATCCAGGGCACCAGCCGTGCCAAGATCTGGAACTCGGGCCTAGGAGCGCTCCAGCTGCGCAACCTGCCCGTCAAGGGCGCCTTCATGCTCGGAAAGCGCGATTGAACTTACGATGTTTGTCAATAGCAAGTGCATCTCATGGTGATCGTGGTGTGAGATCGGTGATACGGCCGACAGCGGCGATATGCCAAGCAAGGTTTTTTCCCCACAAGCGGCGTCAAGATCCGCCCATGTGTCGTGCTTTGAGACCGGATCGACAAGCAGATGCGATGTGGGCTGAGCCAAGTTCGAAATGCGGAGAAGCAGCACAATTGGAGAGAGCTGCATTCGGGCAAAGCCTGCAACGTGAAAGGCATATCTGCAGCTGCGGAGATCGAAAGGCGACAGGGCTTTAAAGCTCAACTTTGAGGCGTCCGCATTGCGAGCTAGGATGAGACCGAGCTTTCTTTTTCGTGCTTTCATCTGTTTGCCGCCTTCCTCTGAGGGTGAAGACGAATAGCCGGAGTCCGTTCGAGACAAGCCGGCCTGCTGAGGCAGTCGGCTGTGCGGGGCAATAACGCACAGAGGAGTTCTCGGTTGTTTCAAGCTGGGCGTTGGTTGGGCGCGCCTAAGCGAGGTTCCGGATTTGCAGAACAGCTTTTCAACCCAATGAAAGGCCTTTGGTTGAGAGAAGCGATCTGCGACGTGCTTGCCGCTTCATCGACGAGGTTGCCAGCAGCGGCAGAGACGACAGACGACCCCGGATGGTGTTCAAGACGATGATGATGGGGCGGCGGCCTGATCGGACAGATTGGAAGAAGGATAGCATGATTGCTCTTTGGGCTGGTGATGAATTGTTGCTATTCTTTGACAACGCGGCGCTAAGCGAAGTCATGGAAGAAAGCAACGCAGTTCCTGAAACCCCTCTTTTTCGCTCTGGCCAGTGAGCTGATGGTGCTCAGTCTAAACCCTTCGACCCTTGATCGCAAACTCGCTTTGATGCGTCGCGAGTCGTAGCATGATGAACACGGGAACTGCACTTGATGCTACATCTGGCGACAGCTGATCTTGAACGACAGCCACCGTCGGCGGCGGCGTCTGCAAATCCATCCCAAGTGCAACATGCGGCGTGACGGTACCATTCTTGAGCTCAGCAAGCTCAGCAAAGCTCAGCAGCAGGTGATGGACGAAATTCGAGACCCCGCCGCCCTCTTGTCGATCCTCTAGAATCGGATTTCAAATCCTCTCGCGCCCCGACTTTGCTCGCTTACAAAAGGCGGGCGAGGCTGGTAGGCACTTGATCTGTCAAATTGCGCTCCAGCTCTACCAGCCCGAGGATTGCCCCGCACGCATCCGCCGCTGCTATTCTCATCCCATTTGGCTGCATGCATGCACGCTCGCGCGACGCCAATCATCAGGCAGAGAAAAGGCGTGGTGGGACCTCTTTTCACACCAAGAACATTCGAGCAGGTGGTCATGCAACCCTTTTGGCGTCTGTAGCTCTGCTTGTGTTCACCTGGAGCAAAAAACGATCCGAACACGTAGCAAGTGCGGTCTAGTCGAGCTACTGGCATGTGTACCAAAAGTGTGGGTGCGAGCGAAGGAGAGAGGATGCTGCCGCTTGCTGCACGGTGCCCGTGGTTCTGTTTGTGGCTCGAGCCGGGTAAGTTAGCCTGTGAGGCGGCGGCATTTCAACACGCTCGCTGGCGGCAACCGTCTGCCACACGCACCACAAACAAAAAGAGCTGCAAGACGCGCTTCTTTGCAGTCCCCCAACCACCTGGCTACCATCGCATCTTCTACCACTCCATTGTGTCGAGTCGAGCAGCATCAAGCGTTGTCACGAGCCCAACGTACGAGCGCAATACCGCAGCACAGTCCGTGGAAGGTCAAGCAGGGCTGAGGGCCCCGCACACACACAAAAAAGCGACTTCATCTTTCATCTAAGTTACAGCCAACTTCTGCAGCACACACCTTCAGAATTTCCAATTTCGGTCTCGAGCCTCGCTTATAATAAGTTGGTTTCTCACTCTTCTCTGCTGTGCCATCAAATGATTTTTCCCGTTTTTTGTTTTTCTTTTGAGCCGCCGCTGTGACCGTCTCCAGCCGCCGCGTCTGCTTGGTGCCCAAACGAGCAACTCGTTTTTTCTCACCGATTTGGGAAGGAGAATTTCAGCGCTTGACGATTTACCCCGCTCACGCCAATCCAGCCTCGCTCGTCTTGACCAAAAGCCAATTTAGAATAATTTCTCCGCTTTGAGAGTGGCATCACAGTACAGCTGCTGCAGCCAGTCACATTTCACGCTCTCTTTCCACTGTTCCTGTCTCAGCGCCGTTGCATGGCTACAGCCAGCCAGTGAGTCCGTCGAGTTTGCCCCGTCTCGCCTGGCGCGTCGTGCATATGCATCTGTAGCAGCTGCAGCCGCATCCTCTTTTGTGTCGCTGCAGGTGAGTGGCAGCAGCTGCGATTGAAAATTTGGATGGATGGATCGACCTCGCCTCGCCTGCCGCTGTCTGCTCTCTCTTTCCTGCCTGTTCACAGCGTAACCTACGGAGAGGCTAGGCCATTGACCCTGCCTTGCCCTCTTTCTGGCTCGGCTCGCCCTCTCTCGATGCGGGTCTCCATTCAACTCGAGTTGTCAAGCGAGCGCCTTCCTCTTCTAGCCTGTCCTCTCCTGTGCTGAGCCAGCGGCGGTCTTCGAATTCGCGTTTGCTCTGCCCTTTGCCGTCGCCCTTTCTCCTCTCCCTCTTTCTCTCTGAGTCTGAACCCCGAATCCAACCTTGAAGCGGTCGATCAGAGCAGCAGCAGGCGCTGTCAACGCCATTGCCCTTCCCCGCTCATCCTTCCCTCACCTGTCCTTGACGCCGCCACGTTGCTCGCCATCACCGTCGTTTCCCTCACCATCACCACCACCACCACCACCACCACCATCACCTATTCCGACCCTCCCGACACGGTCACCCTCGGCGCTTCTCTCTCTCTCCTCTCTCGGCCACCACAGCGTCGCCACGGTCGCGGCTCTCTCTCCACCTCTCGGTCTCAGTATAGTTCGTCTCTGGATAGTATTGTGCAGGGCTTCTTTCAACACCGAGCTTGGACGACATCATCGCATCTCTGCTCGATCAGCTTCGTCCACCTCGTAGAGCCATCCACCCGTGATCACCCCTCTACCCACGCTCTTACCACCCAGCACCCCTCAGCGCCACCTGCTCGGGAGCTGAGTCTCCACCTTTCATCATGGCGGACGACGGCTACGGCTCTCGGGAGAATCTCCGTCGACGCTCTGGTCCCCAGAGTGTCGCCTCCGACACTCCCGCCGCCGCTGGCTTCTACCAGCCCGGTCAACCCATTGGCTTCATTCGCGCTCGTGGCAGTCCTTACGAGAAAAAGTACTTCTCCAGGAAGCTCGGTTACTGCTGTCTCTTCCTCGCCCCAGGTGTCCTTCTCGTCACCCTCGCCATCACCCTGCTCCCCGTCTTGTACGCTGTGGCCAACCATGCTCTCCACACTGCCGTGCTCCACGTCTACGAGTCCAACATCACCTCGCCAGGAAACACCTCGTTCCCTTTGACGCTCGAAGGTCAAACCAAGAAGGTCGGCATCTTCCCCGCCCACCTCTTCTTCCGCGAGCCCGTTCAGGTCTACTGGGTCTTGCCTCCCAACCCCGGTCAGGTCGCTTCGCCAGAGACCTTGACCGAAGTCAACCTCGGTCAGTTCCGTCTCGACTACATTGGTGCCGCTGCTGGTCACGCTCGTATCAAGCAGGCCACCAACTTCGAGATCAACGACGTCGACGGCTTCGGCGAATTTGCCAAGTTCCTCATCTCCCAACCCGAATTCACATGGAAGCTCAATTGCTCTAGCGTCCATGCCGAGGCTTTCTCGTTCTTGCCCACTTACAAGAACTTGGTCTTCAACAAGCACATCATCATCAAAGGTTTCAACAACTTTGAGGATGTCGAGATTCTGGATTTCCAGCTTCCTGGCGATGACCCTGCTGGTGGTATCTCGCTTTCGGTCACCACTTCGCTCGTCAACCCCTCGCCTTTCGGTGTTCAGCTTGGCACGCTCAACCTTGGCCTCTACTACCAAGGCATGTTCCTCGGTCCTGCCACCACCAGCAACCTCAACGTCTCCGCAGGTCGTAACGTCATCACGCTCAATGGTCGACTGGTGCCCCACACCGATAACGCCACCGAGCTCGAGTTGCTCGGTCAGCTTTTCACCGGCTACATCAACGGCGAGACTCTGCCCACCCAGGCCCGCGGTGTCTCGGTTCAGCAGGCCAACGGCGACAACGTTGGCTGGCTCAGTCAGGGTATCACTGCTCTTGAGCTGCAGGTGCCGCTCAAGGCCCCTGCGCCCATCAACCCCATCAAGAGCATCAGCATCGGCTCGCTCGCCCTCATCTACACGCCCGAGACCGCCTACAGCCCCACGGCATTCTCGAGCGCTCTCGGGGCAACGCTCGGTCTTCCCTTCGGTTTCACCTTGTCCATCGTCAACACTGCTACCACCTTCACTATCCTCTTCGAAGGTGCCCAGGTGGCCACCATCAACTCGGCCTACTCCAACACCACCACGACGCTGCAGCTCGTCAGTGCTGGTCAGACCGCAGGTACGCTCGACCTCACCCTCGCTCCTTCGCAGCTGACGCTTGCCAACAACACCCAAGCCGCTCGCACCGAGCTCGAGGACTTCCAGAAGTACTTCACCTTCAGCAGTGGAACCGAGATTCGCCTTCAAGGTGCCGCCAAGGCCATCACCGACACTCCTCTGGGTCGCGTCGTTCTCGATGGCATCATCTTTGACGTCGACAGTGGTCTCTTGGGTCTGCAGGGCCTCACCGCGTACCCGACGCTTATCACCAGCGTCGACGTCACGGGTGGTTCCAGCGACGGTATCCTCCTTTCGGTCGGAACCACGCTCGTCAACCCCTCCAACTTGAACCTCACCGTCGGAGACAGTGGCTTCCAGCTGGTCAACAACGGAGATGTCGTTGGTACCGTCACCATCCCCGGTCTGGACTTGATGACTGGCCGTAACGACGTCAATGCCACTTCTGTCTTTGACGCCAACGCGAGCCCCAACGGTTTGGACACCCTCAACCGTTTCATCTCGGGTCTCGACACCCAGCTCGGCATCAACGGTTACGAAGGTTCCACCACGGTCTCGTCGCTGTTGCCCGCTCTGTCGTCGCTTCGCCTCAACGCCACGCTGCCGGGTCTTCGCTCCACGCTCGTCCGCTCCGCCAACTTGACGGTGCTCACCACGACCGGCTACACGAACAACATTGCCAACTCGACCGTCTTCCTGGCCAACCCCTTCACGTCGCCCCTCACCATCACGCGCATTCGCTCCAACGTCACTTCGCACGGCATCTTTGTCGCTAGCATTGACACGCCCTTGGAGTTCACTGCTCAGGGCAGGGCCACCACCCAGTCGCCGCCCGTCCAGCTTGGCCTCAACCTGTACCCTCCCGACATCTTCGCCCTCGTGCGTGCTCTTGCTATCGAGAGTGGTCAGGACCCCGCCTACATCGACGGTGTCGTTCAGCTCGGTGGTTACTCGCTGACGCCCACCACCTCGGCCAACTCGCGTCGCTCCTTGGCTGCTGGCCCTTCGGAGGCCAGCTTCGAGAAGCGCAACGAGCTCGCCGATGCCATGATGGACGGCGGCAACAGCGTCGAGACGCTTGCCGAGGTGGCCGACTGGGCCGAGCGTGACGAATCGGACTCGCTGGAGGAGGCGGGCACTCTCAAGAAGCGTGCCAACCTCTACACCGGCTTCGACTTGCCCACCTACATCAGCCGTGCCTTCTCCAGCGCCACGGCCAACCTGGAGATCGTCTCCGAGGCCTCCATCGGCGACTACTCGACCACGCTCACCTTTGCCCAGGCCAACGTGCCGCTCGGTACCGATGTGACGCTCAACAGGCTTCTGCCCGTCCTGGCCTCGCCCATTGTGCAGAAGATCGTCGACAACTCGATCCTCAACATCGACCGAGTTACGATTCTCAACCCGCAGCAGAACTCGTTCCAGACGGCTCTGCAGGGTACGATCACCAACTCGGGTCCCTTCGATGCCACGATCCAGTTCACCAACGGTCTCAATGTCACCTGGAACGGTCGTCTGCTTGGTCAGATTGCTATGCCCAACGTCTCGCTTGCCGGCGACGTCGGTGCTACGCTCGAGATTCTGGCCGAGTTCGTCGTCGCCGACGTCGGCTACCTCACCGAATTCACCCGCTTCCTCCTCACCGAACAGAGCTTCGTGTGGAACATTGCCGGCGATGGTCTCAGTGTTGCTGCTCTGGGTATCCAGGTCGACAACATCAGCATCTCCAAGAACGTCATCCTCAGCGCCTTCAACGGTCTCCGAAACAGCGTCATCATCAACTCGTTCGACTTGCCCTCCAACGACCCTGCTGGTGGTATTCGCCTCACCGCCGCCACCACCATCTACAACCCGTCGCAGGTCGGTGTGCAGCTGTCGCGCTTCGGTGTCGGTCTCGACCGCAACGGCAGCTACATTGGTCCCTCGGCTGCGCAGGATGAGTTCGTGCTGCAGGCTCTTGCCGTCACCACCCTGCCGCTGGTGGGTCGTTTGGTACCGCAGACCACCGATCAGGGTCTCGCCGTGCTCTCCGAGATCTTCACTCGCTTTGTTGGCAATCTCAACACGGGGGTCAACGTCTTGGGTGACTACGCCGGCCCCGAGAGCGTTACGTGGCTCAACGACGGTATCAAGGCGCTCAACGTCGAAGTGTCGCTGCCGTCGCAGCAGTTCACGGTCATTCGCACCATTTCGATCAACCAGATCTCGCTCTTCTTCTCGGTTCCGTCGGCATATAGCCCGCCCACGAGCTCCAACGACACGCAGTCGCAGTTCTTCCTCCCCTTCGCCTTCCCTCTGGACATCCAGCAGGTCGGTGGTGGCTTCATTGCAGGCTACCAAGGACAGGACATGGCCGTGCTCGACATCCCGCTCTCGCCTTCCATCACGGACGTGACGGCGCGTATCTTGACGCTCATGTTCAGCGACGTGCCCTTCGCGGTGTACGGCAACCAGCACCCTAGGTTCTCGCAGTTCCTGGCAGACACCACCGCGGGTACGCAGGTCACCTTCAACCTCAACGGTCGTGCCAACACCAAGGCGCTCACCGCCGCCGGTCTCGTGACCATCAGCGACATTCCTTTCGACGTCGACACCAACCTGTTGGGTCTGCAGAACCTCAACGCTCGTCCTGCCATCATCTCGAACCTGGATGTGTTCCGCGGTTTCCCCTCGTACCTGCAGATCAACGTTGACGCCGAGCTCTTCAACCCTTCGCACATCACGATCGGCACGGGCGATGTCACGTTTGATGTCTACTTCCAGGGCCGAAAGATCGGAACCGCCATCATCACTGGTTTGGTGCTGGTGCCCGGTGTCAACATTGTCCCCACCCAGGTGCGCTACTCGCCCCAGGGTTCGGCCAACGTGCGTGCTGGTCAGACGCTGCTCGAGAACTACGTGCAGGGCATCGTCTCGAGCACGATCATCCAGGGTACCTACGACACGACGCCCATCGAATCGCTCAAGCAGGCGCTTGCCGGCATTGCGCTCACGGGCGACATTCCTCCGCTCAGGCAGCTCCTCATCACGGTGGCTAGGCTCTCAATCCCTCCCAACATCGCGCAGACCGGTATCGCCCAGGCCAACTTCGACCTGCGCAACCCCTTCACTGCTTCGATCAACCTGCTCAAGGTCAAGGCGGATGCTTCGTACCAGGGCATCTTCCTCGGAGAGATCAACCAGGACCTGTCGAGCAACCCGATCAGTGCCCCGGGTCACACCACCATCACGTCGCGCAACCTGCCGTTCAACTTCGACCTGGACCCCAAGAACCTCATCCGCTTCGTGCAGGCAGCTGCCGCCACGGCGGGCGTCGATCTGGGTCCTCTGCCGCCTCTGTTCGCTCAGGTCTTGGCTCAGGCCTCCACCCAGACGACCATCAGCCCGTACCCGGACTTCAACCCTCCCAACTGCAGGTCGGGCAACCAGTTCGACGTGCTTGGTGCGATTCTGCGAACGCTTCAGGGTCTCACCACCCGGCTCGATATTCAGTCGAGCGTCAAGCTGGACGAGTACTTCACCAACCTCAACTTTGTGCAGCAGCCCGTGCCCACCATCACGGACAACACGGCGCTCTACTTGCTCGGTCCCGCCGGTGCCCCCATCGTGCAGAACATTGTCGACCAGGCCATCCTCACAGTCGACATTGCCAACGTCACCTGTGTCACCAACACGGGCTTCGACGTTTCGCTCTCGGGCGCGCTGCTCAACACAGGTCCTTTCGACGCTTACATCGAGTTCCCCGAGCCGCTCACCGTCACGTGGCAGGGCAGGAACATCGCTACGCTGTCGTTGCCGCCCATCTGCGCCTTTGCCAACGAGGGTGTTCCTGATCTGAGGACCAGCGGTCATCTGACCATCACCAATCTGGGTGCCTTCACGGACTTTGCCACCTTCATCTTGGCCAACCCCTCGTTCCAGTGGACCGTCTCGTCGCCCAAGGTGACGGTGCGTGCGCTCAACATCATCTACAGCAACGTCATCCTGTCCAAGGTGATCAACTTCCAGGCCTTCAACGGACTGCCCGGTGTCACTACGTCCAACTTTGACATCTACGGCGAGACGAGCAACTCGCTGCTGATCCGCACCAACGCCGCCATCCCAAGTCCCGCCTCGCTCGGTATCCAGCTCGACACGGCCAACTTCGAGATCTTCTTCATGGGTACCGACATTGGTCCTATCAGCTCGAGCAACCTCTTCCTGGCTGCCAAGACCACCACCAACACGGTGCTTCAGGGCATGATTACCGCCAAGTCCGGACGCGACCTGCAGAACACCGGCATTCTCTTTACCAACTTCTTGCAGGGCAGGACGCAGATCCTGCAGACCCAGGGTCGCTCGGTCGTCACCCAATGCAACGGCAACCAGCCCGTCAACTGGCTCAGTACCGCCTTCAGGACGCTCACCATCGACGTTTCGCTGCCTGGTCAGATCTACCAGATCATCTTCTCAATCACGCTTTCGGATCTTACGGTGTTTGTCAACGGCAACCCTGCCGACTCGTACGTGGTGCCATCGAGCTCCAACTCGACCATTGCTACGTTTGCCAACCCCTTCATGTTCAGCCTGCAGCCCATCCAGGCCGCGCCGCACATCAACCTCTCGTACGCCGGCGGCAACACGGCGTACCTGGTGCTGCCGCTGTCGAACGTGCAGGCCGGCACGTCGCGTGGACCCAGCGACTTCCAGGCGCTCCAGCTCATGTGGCGCAGGCAGAACATCGTGGCGCAGGACCAAGCCAACTTCCAGGCCTTCTTCGCTCAGCTCACCGACACGCCGCGAGGTACCTTTGATCTCAAGGGCAACACGGACGTCGTGGCCAAGACCGTGATCGGAAACATCCCTATCGGTGGTATTCCCTTCAACGTCACCACGACGCTCGCGGGTATCAACAGCTTCAACGGTGTCACTACGCTCTCGGATGTCATGGTCAGCAGCGGTACGCCCGACTTCCTGTTCGTGCCGCTCAAGGTCACGCTCGAGAACCCGTCGAACCTCACTGTCTTCACCAACTTTGCGACGTTGCCGGTCATCTACTCGGGTACCTACGTCGGTCGCGCCGAGATTCCCGTGCTTGGTCTTATCCCTGGATCCAACCTGGTGCAGTCGTACTTCTACTACTCGCCCGCCAGTCACAACGATTCGACCGCACAGATGCTCCTCACGCGCTACGTCCAGCCCTCGGACTCGGATGAGACCGCCCAGTCGTCGCCGCTTACCATTGACGGTAGCGCTGGCATCCTTGGCCGACAGAACCTGACGCCGTACGACTCGCTGCGACCCGCGCTCGCTGGTGTCAAACTGCAAACCACGCTGCAGGGTATCGCCACCCGAATTGTCACCGAGATCCGAGTCTACCTCACTGCTCAGACGCTCATCACGGGTATTCCGAACCTCTTGGGTCTCCCCGGTGCGCCCCTGCCTGTAGTGGAGATCGAGCTCTCGGCGCAGAACGTCCTCGACACCAATTTGTACATTGTGGCGTTGCAGACCTCGGCCAAGGTGGCTGGCTCCCAGCCCAGGAACGCGAACGACCCCGATGCGCGCGTCTCGTACACGTTCCCCAGCCCGTACGAGGTTCCCTCCCGAGGCACATCGAACTCGCCTAGGGTGCCCAACGTCGTTCTGCCCAAGGGTCTGGCTCGATCGCTAGGCGTCATCGGCAACAACCTGGACATCTACAACAACCTGCCCGTGCGATTGGGTCCTTCGGCAGGCAACAGCTACAACGCCGACGGTCTGCAGTACAACGAGTACAACATTCCGACGCAGTACTTCATCGATGCCGGTGGAGGAATCATCCCGATCACCATCCCCATCACGAACCTCACCGATCTGATCCCGCTTCTGCAGCAGGCAGGTGTCGATGTGACGCAGCTGCTCGGCGGCGTGCTTGGCAACTTGCTGCAAGGCAACGTGATCGGTGCGCTCGACAGTGCAGGCAAGGGTCTGGTGTGCACGCTTGCCAACCTGGGCAGTGGTCTGGGTCTCGGCATCCTCAACCCGGTTCGTCAGCAGGCCAACTGTCCTGGCTTCTCGTCGTCGGTCACGAGCACGTCGACGAGCACCAACCCGGTGGCGTCGCTCTCGTCGGCGCTGACCAGCGGCGCAGGCGCCGTGACGAGCGCGCTCTCGTCCGGGGCGGCGCAAGTCACATCGGCGGCCGCTAGCGTTTCTTCCGAAGCCGCCGCGGCGGGATCGACCGCCGCCGCTGCCGCCTCGAGTGGAGCCGCTGCCGCCTCGAGCGCCGTGGCCAATGCCGGTGGTGCCGTCTCCTCGGTCATCGGCAACCTCGGCGGCCTCGGTCGTCGAGATGAACCCCTGACCGTCCGCGCCGAACCCACGCACGCACCCAACTTCCAGCGCCTCTGGTAGAGATGTAGATTCTAGATACCCCTTCTTCCTCTCTTCTTGGGGGACACACATTCTCTTTAGTTCCATCACACGCTCTCTATTTAGTGCTTTAGTTTCGACTCTCTTGGAATAGGATATGCTCTCTCGAATCACACTTGCGCGTGTGTGTGCTGGTATGGCGGTGTGAGTGCGTGTGCGCGGGGTTGAGGCTTGCGGTGGACGATGGCCTGGCGAAGCTTGGGTGATCTGTGTGTGTTTGCGCGAGTGTTGCTGTGCAGTGCGGGATCGTTGTTCGTGAGCGAGGCGAGCGCGAGACGCAGTGAGTGCGGTGACGGATTGCTGTGCGGGGTGGGTGGCGATTGGGCGAGGGGCAAGGAGCTGGTCGCAAACTTGCCTCAGCGAGAAGACACCTCGTAGGAGCGTGCAGCGTGGCTCCTCTCGTGTTGCTCCGTCGACGCCGTCCGACGCACAGCCCTCGATTGCAGGCGTGCACATTCGCAGCGACCCCGGTGGTCGCTCAAACTGCCAAACCAGAGTCGAGGGGCTGAACGAGCCGTTGTGACAGGTCAGCTGGGGCCGAGCAGACTGTGGATGATCCGACGAGAGCATGCGTGGCTCTTTGCCTGTCGTTCGCGCTCGCACCCCGCAGAACGCCGCAAGCTACCATACCTCCCAGACTCAGCGTCCGAAGCCCGCAATGTGGACCAGACGCAGCACGCCTTGACTGCTGCACCTGCAATTCCCCCATCTTTGAAGTAGTGCCTCGATCGCAACTTGGCGGCAAGCTTCCTCGCCCTCGAGACGATGTCTTCATTCACGTCACACAGAAGGGCCCGTCCACACAGGTACACGCACACCGAGTGAGCAATGACAGTATAACAATTTGGAAACCATAAACAAGGAACGGCGATAAACAATAGATTTTTCCCTTAGTCGTCCTGCAGCTCGTCCCCCTCGTCCTCGTCCTTGCTGGACGCTGTCGAGTCGAGCTGCTTCTTGACAGCGGGGGAGAGGTCGCGGGAGGCAGGTTTGCTGGTCTCCTCAGCCCTGTCAACAGCCTCGGCGCCAGCTGCTGCAATGTTGGCCGAAGACGACGAGGACGACAATTGAGCCTTCTCAACGGGACGGGCCATGGGCTCGTCATCATACTCAGCAGTACCCGTCTTGGCCTCCAATTCGCGAACGCGTGCTTCAAGACCACGAACACGGCCTTCCCACAGCACGCGTTCCTCGCGAACACGTCGTTCGACCGTCTCTTCCAGCACGCGGCGGCTGGACTGGAGAGTCTGAAGGAGCGTGTTGGATCGCTTGATCTGGTCCTCGAGCGTAGCTTTGAGCGTCCTGCTGTCGTGGAGCGAGTCATAGAAGTCGGAAAAGAGCGAGAGGAAGTGCTGCTTGGACGAAGGAGGCGAGCGCAGGTGGTCGGGCAGTCGAGCGGTGGGCGGCGGGTTGTACGCTTGGCGCCCGCTCGGGTGACCTCGTGCGAATTGGGTGGTGTGATAAGCCGGAGAGGGCAGCGTAGCAGTCTGAGGTACATGACCGCCTTGCAATCGCGTCACGGGTCCTGCGCGTGCCAGAGGGTTGGCCGTGTGGGGCACGTCGGGCAAGCGGCCTTCGCGAAGTCCATGCAGTTCTGCTCGCTCATCCCGGCGAAGCTCGAGCTGACGCGAATCCGAAGCAAGACGCTGCTGTTGGTCGCTGCGCAGCGCTGCGGAAGGCTGCGAGGACTGGATGGACGAGTGACTCGGTCGAAGGTCCGACTCGCGATGGGCTTGGTCCTGAGGCATAGCGTGGTCGCGACTGTCGAACGAGAGCTTCTGCGGGGGAGCGCTCTTGGCAATGCCCGCAGAAGACCTCGACAAGCTCGCTGCGTCGAACGAGGAGCTAGTACTGCCAGTGTCGATGTGAAGGCGACTCGCCTTGGCCTGTGCGGCATCTCCTCTCCTGCGAGCAAGCATGCCGGGTCCGTGGTCGAGGCCATCGTCGTAGTTGGACGAGGAGAGCACCGAGGGACGGTGACCATCCTGCATAGGCGGCAAGGGGCCACCACCTGAAGCAGGACTGCGCAGTGGCCTGTCTAGGGGCGAGACGCGGCCGTTGGAACGGTGAGCGTAAGGTGGATGCAGTGGGGAGCGCTGGTCTTCTGCGTAGGCATCCCTCTCTTCGGCATATCGCTGACCAGAATCGGTCCTGCGGAAACCAGGTGGGGAGCGACCACCGCTCAGAGGCTCGTCACGCCGTCGGTCGTCGCGGTCGAGACCATCGCCTAGCCTTCGACGCTTGAGCACGCTTGCAGCAGGGTCTTCGCGCATCATGGCTGCTTCTTCTTCTGCGGCAATAGGCGGCAAGGTAGGAGGGAATTGGGAGCGAGGGCTCGAGGCGTTGCGAGCGCTTGTTGCGTGTGGGCCCGAGTTGGTCAGGTGGGAATACCTTGGGTCGGCTGGGTGGTTGGGTGGGCTATAACGGCTGGATCCTTCGTGTGGTGCGGATCTGTAGCGATTATCAATCAGGTCGTCTCTTCGAGCGGCTTCTTCCTGCTCGTATCTACGTTTTCTCTCGATCCAGAGGTCTCGAGAACGGTCGATAGGCTCTTCGTGCATGCTCTGCAGATGGAACAAGAGCGTGCGATAGAGATTGTCAAGGGTCTAGTGACAAGAACACAGCAGTGTGCACGTCCGTAGAGCTTGATGACTGCGTTCGAGAACGTGCGGATGGAGACGTAGTCGAAGGGTGGCCGACGTGATCGTCGTCTGGTGCTCAGCGATAACGGATGGGTTGACCACGTAGGATTTGTCGAGCTTGACGAGGATTCGGAGTGCAAGGCGGACTTGTGATTGGTTGAGATGGTGGTGAAGCAGAAAGCGAAGGGCTGTCCGGCGGCAGTGAGGGAGTAGGCAAGCACGGAATGGCTATTGTTTCTAAGTGAGAGAGGAGGAAGGCGAGCTAAGCGAAAAGCTCGAGCGATCTGGTTGAATCTAGAGAGAAGATCCAAGATGGCTTGACGATGAGAAGGAAGCGGATGCAGGTAGCCAGGGTAAGCCTGCACGCTTAAGCACGGGAAGCGTCGACGAGGGCAAGGAGGAGGAGGAGGCTGCAGAGCCCCGAGCGAGTGGACAGAGAGAGAGCGATGCAAGCGAGGGCGTCGAGTTGTTCTCAAAGCGGGCCAAAGCGAGGCGAAGAAAAGGGCGCCGCCACGACGCGCTGCTCTGGACAAAAGGCAGAGCACAACACCGGAGTTGGATTTGCCTCGACCCTGTTGTCGGATGCTGAGGGCGCAGCAGCCCCTTTATTTTAGAGCGGGAAGAGACACGCTGTTGGCAAGCCATGCCTTTGCCCGTCAAAGTGGTCGGAGCTCGAAAGTATAAAAATCCAAAAAAGAGAGCAGACTGTCGTTGAACCAAAAGCCAAAAATGAAGCGCTCCGCCTGGCCCCTTTTCCCCACCGTGTTGTCCAGCGCCACCATCCCTTTGCGCCTTTGGTGTGACGAGAGCCGAGCCGAGCCGAGCCGAGTGGGTGATAGAGTCAAGAGCCGCGGCTTCATCTAGCATAGAAATATGCTGGGCTGCATCTGTTGCAAAGGCCTGAGCAAATCGAAGCTCGAAGTGCAAGGGGCGGGGCTCGAGTTTAATTTTGAGAAAAAGGGTCGAGAAAAACAAAGCTGAGCGCCATGCACCTCATTCCGAGCCTGCCCCGAGCCAGTCTTTGTTTTTGGCTTGACACACACGCTCGACGCGACCCTTGACGCCGCAAAGGGAAAAGGGAAAAAAGGTGAAACCCAAGCAGAGACCCTTTTGCAGGCCCCTGTCTTTGGCGTCGCATCTGTAGCATCTGTCACCCAAACGCCCTTTCCAACGCTGGTGGGAATCTACGCCCGATCAACCTTCTCTCGAGCCTTCGATGCCTTGGTGAGACAAAGGGCGCTGCGTCAAGGTCGACCCTTCGCGAGTCAGTACCGCACTGCGCCGCAGCTTCTGCATCCGTAGCGGCATCCAGCGCATGGGGTCATCGCATCGCCGTCGACGGCAAGTACAGCACGATAGCCATACCTCGTTCTTCGTGAGATGCGCTTCTCGATCTGGATGAGAACGTCAGGCGGTGCCGCGATACGAGAGGCAGGGGCGCCGGTCAACGTAGCTGTGGTCTTGGTGAGATACAGTGTCTGCACTGAAACGGCCTACTAGCCCTATCGTGAGACACACCTCCCCGCGTTGAGAAGTCAAAGCATAGCCGATGACCGGCCGATCCACTCTCGATTTAGCCCTCTCGTTGCCTGCACACACAAGCTTTCGCTTCAAGATCGTTGTCAAGCATCAATCGATTGTCCAGGTATGCTACAATGTTCGTGAATCGTAAAGCGTCGTCATGAGATCATCGGCGCTAGCCTCAATAGTACCTCGGTGCCGGCTGAGGCGTATATGCGCCAGTGTAGTAGAGCTGAGGCGCAGCGGGCGAGGGCGCGTAGTTGGGCGTGTACGGCGTAATCGGCAGCGCGCGTCTCTGGGGTGACTGAAGCTGACACGCCTCGAACGAGTCCTCTTCCTTCTCGTAGTAGTCTCGTGGCGCACCATACCTCTGTTCGTCCTCGTACTCGTCGTCCACTTGTTGCGCCGACTGATACGCGTGATCGAAATGATACGCATCTGGTCCTGCGGAGAACCTCGATCCTTGTACGAGCAGCTTGTCTTGATCGACGGTCCCCTGCACCTGCTGATAGCTCTTCGCCTTGCTCCCTTTTCTCAGCAGTCGATCGGCCAGACTGCGAGTCGAGCTGCGGGACACCTTGGAACCCGCCGTCGACTGGCGTTGCAGATGCGACAGTCCAGCATCCGACATGAACCCGCCCCCGACCATGAGGTTCATGTTGGGTTCCGTGCGATAGATCGGAGCTGCCTCGTGTTCCAAGTCCTGGTATGCTGCGTTGATGGGTTTGCTGAAGCGGCTGGAGGGACCCGTGAAGCGCGAGTCGTGGACACCGGTGACGCCAATTGCGTTGATCATCGGTGGTCGCAGCGAGCGCTTTCGGATGAACGCAATGAGGGCCCAGAGCAGGCCCAGACCGATGATGGCTCCCGAGATAGGAAGCGCGTACTTGACGACTTGCGAGGTGGATACGGACAAGTCTTTGTCGTTCTTGTCGTTGCCATCGCCGTCGCTGTTGCTTTTACCGTCTTTGCCGTCCTTGTCGGTCTTGCTGTTGGCAGCGTCCCAACCTGGATAGCCGGGATACCCATCCGCAGCTGGATCCGCCAGCGTCCGCAACGCTTCGCTGCTCGTACCGAACTCGGGCTCGCCGGTCGTTGTCGAATTGTTCCCGGTGTACACGAACGAGGTGACGTTCCCCCCGCTCGCGCCTGCTACGCTCGTCAAATTGAGCCCGCTCAGAGGCGCGCACTGCACATTGAACTGCTTGATCTCCTGCCAGTAGTAACCATCCTCCTTGTACTCGGGTGTGTCCCAGTCGATCAGACCTCCAGCCCATTCGATTGTGCCTTCTGGATTGGTCGCATTGCCACCTGCCCAGGTGCTGAACTGAATCCTCGCCGGAGATCTTGGATAGCTGTCTCCCGCCTGGTTCCTCGTCAACGTCCTAACTATCCGGCCATCGACGCTCCACTGCAGCGCTGTGCTCGTCCAATTCAGCCCATACGTATGCCAGTCACTCACATTGAGCCCTGCGGGACTCAAATCCGCTGCGTGCGCAATCGTTCCTTGACCCATATGAAAGTAATTTGACATCAACACCGAGCTGTTCTTGCCAAACTCGATATCGATCTCGTCCTTGATATCCGACATTGTGATGAAGGCTGCGATGAGACCTTGGCGCGCGTTGTGACGGAGCGTCGCCTCGACGTAGCCGTACATGAGGTAGTCCGTGGTGGAGATCTTGGCTTGTTGTGCAGCGCGGAGTTGCAGGAGGACGCCTTCGGGTCCAGGACCAAGAGTGCCGGCGTCTAGGGTGAAGGGCGTTGATGCATTGCCGTTGTAGGTGAGGATTGGGGTGAACATCGACGTGCTGTTGTAGTCGGATGGTGCGATGGTCAACTGGCGAGAGCGACAGACGGGGTTGGGGAGACAGGAGGAGGGCTTGAAGCTCGACATGGGATTGCAGCCGCCTGCACACTGCATCGCGCCCGAGCCGCAGACGCCTTCGGACGAACAGCAGGGAGCTGACTCGGGGCAGAGGGAGGAGGTGCTGCACGCGATTCGAGCGGTCTGAGCCGATGCAGGACCGAGAGCAGAAAGCAGAGCGACTGCACCGATGAAGACGGCTGCCAGCCGCGTGGTCGTCTTGCGTCGTGTTCTCGCCATGTTGGGCAGATGATTCGTGTGTAGCACTGTCTTCGCTGGACTCGCTGTGAATCTTCGTGAATGATCGTCGTGAGAAAGAGAGCAGAGTAAAGAGAAGGTAGAAGAGTGTAGGATGCGAAGTAAGCTTATGGTGATCGGAGGAAAGAAGAAGGCGAAGCTCGAGACGGAAGGCAAGATGAGGCATCCCATCGACGACCCGCTGGACCCTGCGCAGCATCTCGAGGCTGTCCCCACCTCAACGAACAATCGCATATCCGGCCCGCTGCACAGTCTCGATTCATGCCGACGCAAGACTCCCAGTGGGACCACGGTGACCGCTTGCTGCCGGGACAGGGGGACGTGCTCCTAAACTCAAAAAGCAACGGCATCAAACTCTACAAGATCCCTCCGTCAGGGGCCGCTTGGAGCGCTTAGGCGAAGCTGTCAAAGTCCGCCAAGCTCTAAATTCCACATCTTGCCCCAGACATGCGGTCAGCCTCGTCATCCGACACAATGAACTTCTTAGAATCGCTCGCTCCTCTCCAGTATCTCATGCTTGAGCAGGTTTGATAGTGTGCATGTCGTCTCTTCATTGTCAGGCCAAGCTGGAGGGTAGTCGAGGAGTGACAAGCCCAATGGTGAATATCGAGTGATGTTCTACAAAAAAAAGTCGGCTGCGCAGACGCGAAGGGGAAAAAAGAGCGGGGGCCAACCCGGAATCGAACCGGGGACCTCTGTCAACTTAGTGCAAGCATCCGAAGACGCGAAAGCCCTAAGACAGCATAATAAGCCACTATACGATTGGCCCGCGAAGTTGTCAGGCTGATCCTGCATTGCACATATATGACCTTTCTTGACTCTCGGAACCCTTGTCTCCACTTTTGTCTGTCTGCACGGGGCAAGCACCGCCCTGAATTGCTTGACGGTGTCAGCACAAGCTTGCTTTTCCTCATCCATCCTAGCCTCATCCATCTTTGCGGGACCACAACGGAGGCATCAAGACAAACACTTCAGCTCGACTTGAGCCCTACTGATAGATCCGACAAGCTACTGCATAAGCATTTCGGCAGAATGGGTGTGGACGATTGGCGCAAGAACTTCAATCAGAGGCTGGACACTTTCGGGGAGGATGCGATGCGCAAGGTGCGGCAGCAGCGGGAGGTCAATGCGGGTGGCTCTTCCTCGACTCCCAAAGTGGGGCTGCAGGATCGGATGAACATGCTCAAGGGGCAAGATCCGCGGTGGAATCGGGATGTGGAAGCGAGAGCGAGTGCAGCGGGTGCGGGAGGTGAGGATCACTCGACCGTCGTGCCTGAGAGAAGCAGGGTGCCACCGCCGCCGCCGTCGAGGTTGAATCAATCGAGGCCGCCACCGCCGCCGTCAAGGCATTCAGGAGGAGTATCGGCGCCAGCACTGCCGCCTAGGATGCAGAACGAGGAGGGGACGAGCAACCCGCCCCCGCCGTATCCTCCGGTGCACGCAGAGCACTCATACCCAACCAGCACCGGCGCCGGACACATTGAGTTTTCAAGATTCACACCGGCTGACAAGCAGGCTTTCTTTGGGCTGCTCGATGAGGTAGGTATCATATCTAGCGTCGGTGTGAATCTGTCATACGTTAGTGATACTGACGTCCCATTTTGCCTCTTTCTTCTCGCCTTCAGTACTTTGACCAACGCGAGCGTGGCTCGCGCTGAGTCTCGCATCCCAGCAGCAATTGTTCGGCCAACTCTTCCACTGTTACCACTTCGATCTCACTCCAGCCTTCACATCACTGTTCTCATGCAACACGCAGCCATTCACAGTCGCATCGCGTCCACAATCCAAACGTGTGCAAGACTCTTGGCAGATAGGAGAACTGGATGCGATCAGAGCTAGCAACAGAGCTGCAGCGATGTAAAACGTGAATGAGATGCAATGCGCTTTCACTTCTTAGCGAAACGAGATTGCGCTGGCGAGTCGGTAGCCTTTGGCGAGACTGGCGAGGCGATGTCATTGGCCAGCTTCTCCAGATGCTTGTCGTCCGCTGCGTCGGTCCCTTCGAGTGCCTCTCGGATCATGCTGACGGTCGACTCTAGCGAGCGGCGACGGTTGGAAGGACTCGACATGGTCGTTCCGAGACTGCTTGTCCTCGAGTGGCCGCGACGGTGGCCGCCCGAGATGGGCGAGCTTGGTGTTGCCGGCGATGCCGGGCTGCCAGGCGTAGTCATCTCCTCGAAGGCAGGCGACGAGACGCGGCCGTCCGCAGGCGACGCCGGCCCTGCCTCGTCGGCATCGATGAGGTCAGGAGGTAGACGCTCGTTCTCGATATCCACCTTGCGCGCATCGTCGAAGTTGACAATCGAGTCCTTGATGCCCTCTGACCCGAGCACGAGCGTGCCGTATGGCAACTTGGCCGTCTGCGACGACTTAAGCTCCGACACTCGTTCCGCCTCTTCTCGTAGCAGCGCAAAAACGCGAGACATGCGGCCGACGGCGAGGATCTTGTTCTTGATGAGGGTCCTGCGCTCGGCCGTCTCCTCCTCGCCGCCTTCGGTAGGCGAGAGGGGGATCTCGTCCTCTTCCTCCTCCTCCTCGAGCTCCTCTTTGCTGCAGACATTGAGAATGGCAATGAGCATGTCGGTGATCTTTTCGCCCACGAACGGCAGACTCCAAGTGAAGACGTCCATGAAGTTGGGAAGCCAGTAGGGATGCGGTGTACAGTTGAACTGTCGGATGTTCATGACATTGTTCTCGTACTTGAGAACAGCTGCCTTGTTGTTGTAGACGTCGAGGTAGTTGGGTGCCGAGAAGATGGTCATGACGGAAGGGAAGCCGGTCGTCTTGGTCTTGCGGTACATGCGGTATCCTGCATCTTGCGCTTCGTGCGCTCGGATGATAGACAAAAGCTGGTTGCGTTCGAGGAATTGGCAGGCGGCGGTGTAGGTGAAGAAGTAGGAGCAGCCACGGACGTGGTTGTGAATGAAGCTCTCGTTGGTCTTTTCCGAGCCAAAGTCTTCCAGCGGGTCGGCCCAGAGGATGTCGCACATGAGACCGTGTGTAGGCGGCTCGCGGAAGCGGTCGATGCTGCGAAGGTCGTCGAGGGTCTGGAGCTCCGGAGAGAGGCCACCGTGGATGCAGAGGAACTGCTTGTTCATGACAGCAGCGAGGGGAAGGGTGCAGAAAGACTCCATGCAAAGGTCGTAGATCTCCTCCGAGTACTTATGCTTGCACTCGAGCTTGAAGGTGAAGTAGTCAGTCAAGTGACGGCATTCGTGGTTGCCGCGCAGAAGGAAGAGGGTGTCTGGGTACCAGATCTTCAACGCCCACAGGTAGAGAACGCACTCGATCGAGAAGTAGCCACGGTCGACATAGTCGCCCAAGAAGAGGTATCGGGTGTCGGCAGGATTGCCACCGACCTCGAAGAGCTTCATGAGGTCGTAGTACTGGCCGTGAATGTCACCGCATACTGTAATAGGAGCATCGACTTCGAGCAAGTTGGGTTCCTGGCGCAGGATCTCGGTGGCTCTTGTGAGAATGAAGCGGGCCTGGTCGTCGGTGAGACGACCCTCGCGGTAGAAGTGGTTCTTGAGGAAAGCAATGTCGGGCTTGGAAGGGTCCTTTGCGCTGTAGAACTGCTCGTCGGTGGGCTTTTGGAAGGCGGGTGCCTGCACGTCCTTGATGACGCGCTCTTGGGTGCTGACCTGGGTTCCGTCGTCGGTGGTGTGAACGGTGAAGTCGATCTCGGGAGGAGCCGGCTTGTTGACCATCTTGTCGATGGCCTTGACCAGCCTTTGCTGCCTCTCAAACTGAGCTGGCGTCGACATTGTGTGTCAGGTGCTAGCGTGCCGCGTAGCTGGTGCACGAAGGATCAGGAAGGAGCGAAATGAACGAGAGGGACCTTGTAGAGATCAGCCTTCACGTTGTCCCTGTAAATGGCTGGTGCAGTCTGCGGGAGCAAGACGAGAGAAGCCGTGGCGTAGATGCGATCAGACGAGATGAAGATAGGACTTGGTCAGTCACGCGATCAAGGACGGCGCGAGGTGTAGAGCATATAGCTGGTGATGCTTGGTCTTCGAGCAGAAATGATGTTGACCTACCTTGTGCAACAGTGAGAGGACAGGAGACGCCCGAGCGAGTCAAGGCTTGACAGCTGATATCGACGTGCGTTGGCGAAGATCCTGACCGATGTTTGAGCTACTTGAGAGGAGCGGGCGTGGCGACGAACAAACCCGCGAACTGCGTGAACCAATTCTACGAACGTATACAGAGAACGGCGTGTCGGCTTGAACTGAAACTGAGAAGCAGATAGTTGAGCGAGCTGTACGGCGTGCCTGTAAGTTGTCGAGATGGGTGAAAGAGACTGGTGATGATGACGACGAAGAAGGAGGGCTAGCAAGGAGGCTAGTGAGAAGAATCGGAACTCGAAACCCAAGATGCACGACACCGACACCCTCCAACTCGGGGGCTTGCACAAGACTGAGCCTAGGGCCAAAGCGGCGTCTGTTCGGCCACACTAGCAAATTTGGCGCGCTGCGGTGGGCAGGCGGATCCAAATCTCGCCAAATGCACACCTCTCGTGTGGGCCAGTCAGTCAGCCAGGCGAGAAGATCAGGAGGCGCGTGCGCTAGCTTTGAAACACACACACGCAGGCAGGCAGGCAGGCTGTCAAATCGCGTCCTGTCAAGCCTCAGAAGAGCCAAATTCAATTCGAGTTTCGTGGCTTGCGCGCTGGCTCCGCAAAAGTGACACTTCCAGACTCACACGGGCCGGCGCTTCCTTGGGAATCTAGAGCCTTGTCACTCCAGTTGGCTCCAGCTTCAACACTACTGACGCTTGAGCAACTACGTCTCAACGACGATCCTGGTGCTCACTCAGTCAGTGGGCCACATACTGATCATGCTTTCAGTGAATGAGATGGTCCATGCTGAAATGCTATGCGAAATGCGAAGAGGAGAACGTTATAAACTGCGAAGATGCGGGGTCCGAGAACAAGGTCGCCGCTTGACTCATGACAAAGCTGTCGGAGCTTCAGTGGACGACGCCGCTTTGTTCTCAAAGCTGCCTTCTCCGCCATGCTCGAAAGCTTGCGCGATCAGCTGCGACACGGCACCTAGGTAGCCATCGTTCTGCTCGTTGCGGAAAAAGAAGAGCAGCGACTCGCTCAGACGCAGCACTTCCTCCTTGGTCAGCGAAGATCGTCCGTCCGAGTGCAGCTCGAAGAACCACTGAATGTTGGCCATCACGTCGTCGCCGTTGAACATGATGGCATCCAGCCCGCCCACGATGTTTTGCAGCGAGAGCGAGCCACGGTTCTCCGTGTCCCAGAATCGGAACAGCCGCGCCACCGTCTCGTGGTCGGGTACACGCCTCTCGACTCGCTCTTGGAAGCCGTTCGAGACGACATACTCGTCTCGCGCCCATGTGGCCACCTCGCCCAAGAAAAGTCGGAAGGTCTTGAGATCGATCCGCATCTCCTTGTAGTCGTTCAGTGCCTCTTCGCTGCCGTCCTTGCTCAATTCCCGTGCCATCGCCTTCTCCATGACCTCCTTCGGGTCGTTGGCCACGATGCCGGCGTTCGGATTGGCCTTGGTGTCGGTGACTGCAGCTGGCGCATTCCTCGCTCGATAGATCGACTCGACGACCTGATCATAGATGAGTCCGATCTGATCTTTTGAGAAGCGACCGGGGTTCTTGAGATTGCGGATAGCGCTGCGCTTCGCAAACAGCTCGATCTCTTGTACGATCTCTTGTCGGAAGCGTCGACGTTCGCTCGCTATCGTCTCGTCCGTAATGATGCCAAACTCGCGGAAGGCGACCACCAGCAGCTCCTGGAAGTTGGTGATCTGTCGATGACGGGGGTTGGTGCTGTTGGGATGCGCGCTGTCGCCCAGCGATCGGAAGTAGTTCTTGAACAGGTTGATGAAGCCGCCGTCGTCGGTCACCTGCAGAAGCTCTTCGCCGTTGATCTTGAGAATGGCGAGACCCACCTGGAAGAGTACCTTGGGTCCCATGGCCATGAAGCAGTCCACAATGCGGAAGGCAAAGATCATGGGCATCGAGTTGATGTACAACGACAAGAACCAAGGCAGCGAGGCCACACTCAGCTGGATGTCGGTCTTGATGAAATGCTCGTGGATCATGGGCAGGGTGCGCTGCACCAAATTCTCAAACACCTTTTGATCGAGCAGCGTGCCGGACATCGACTGCGTGTAGTAGCCCGGCAGCAGTCTCTCGCAGAGCGTGTCGAGAAGCCAGAAGCACTGCTCCTCGCTCACGTAGATCAGGAAGGCAGCCACCACAATGTTCATCGCCTGACAGTAGCCAAGCTCTGGGTTCTTCCAGCTGTACGCTACGAGAACTCGTCGAAGGGTGTCGATGCCTTCCGGGGTCTGATAGGCCGGGTATTCGGGCAGACTGCGGTTGAGGTCCTTCTCGATCTCCTCGGTGCTGGTGCTCGTGACGCCTTCGTATCGCTTGAGAATGGCCTGATATTCGCCGGCGTGCGCAAAGCGATTGTAGATGGATCCGCTGGTGAGCTCCCAGATCTCGCCGCGAAGTCGATTCGGGAGGCCGACCTGGACCAGGCGTAGGAATTGCGGATATCGGAGGAGGGTGAGGTTGCGTCCATGTGCGAGAAAGTAGTCGCGCCAGAGCTTGAGCTTGCTCTTCTCTCTCAGCTTGCGGGCATCCCCTGGGAAGCCGAACGTTGCACCGAGGCCAGCTTGGTACTTTGGTGGTTCCTTGTCGGCGGGCGCCTCGACTTCGGTGGCAGCCGAGCCGGTGTTGGAAGGGTCCTCGCTTTCCGATGCTGGAGTCAGGGACGCATCTGTGACAGCACGCTTGCCTTTGGGATCGGACAGGTCGTCCGAGATGAGAAATTCGCTGTAGCAGCCCGTGAGGAAGGGTTTGAGCAGCTTCATGTTGCCGAGTTGAGCACGGAGCTGGTCACGCAGGACCGCGCAAAAATGCTCGCAGGAGGGTCGCAGCGCATTGAGTTGGAGAATGATCTTCATGCCGTGCCATACGACGATGCTGAGGGCGAAGACGGTGCCCTTGGTGTTGAGGCGCTCCACTCGACGGACGCACCACAATGGCAGGTTCATTCGACAGCTGCGGCCGCGATCCCCCTGACTGGCGAAGCACAGAAACGACTGAGTGAGCGTGAGACGTCCAGCATACACCTGATCCTCTTGCAAGCCATCCTTGGTCGCTGCGGAAAGCGACAGGACGCACGAGGTGATCTCTGCATCGACAATGGGTGCCTCTCCAGTTGGCAGAGAGAAGGCGTGCGAAAAGAGCTGGGATCGCGTGGGTGAGCGATAGTCACGCAGCGAGTGCGCGATAGTGGACATGGTGTCCTGCTCGCCGACGATGTTCGTATGGTCCTGATGATGATGAGAGCTGCGAACCACATTTGACCGGCAACTTTATCTTTGAGCCCTCACGCAGCGGCAGCAGCATCAGCAGCTCGGCGAGCCAGGAATCAGGGTCAAAGCGCTGTCTCGCACGGACATCGGGACTCGTCTTTGAGATCAAATCGAGATCTTCATTCAATTCAAAGATGTTAGAGCTCAATATTTTTGCACCCCGAAGTTTTCGGCCTTCTTCTCTTCGGCCAGGATAGCCCTTTTATCCTGGCCGAAGAGAGGCTGAACGTGCGCAGCCTTAGCTCGCCCCACCTTTCAGTGCCTTCTCCGACCTTCTGCCGCGAGATCGATTGCTGTCCAGGCTCTGCGGCTTAGCGCGAAGACTCCGCCTCTCAATCTTAGCTTGACCTCGCTCGTCACAGACATGATCCTGTGAGCTGAACATGGTAGGAGCTCGAGACCTTGTAGCGGTGATCTGCACGGTCCGCGAAGAACAGCGTCTGAAGGAGAAGATCTCTCGAGGCTTCTAGCCAACCAGAACGAAGCTCAAGGGGATGCGCGGACCGCACTGACTCGATGCTGCCATCCTTGCACCATCACGGCTCTGGGCGGCGCAGAGTCCCCAGGGTGCGTGAGTGGCAGACGACACTCGCTCAAGGCTCCACGTCTGCAGCAGGAAAATCAGCGAGAAGATCTGTCGGCCAACGCAGGCGCAATTTTCAAATTTGAAAGCTGTCAACGCAAAAGCTCGAGAAGGAAAAAAAATCTGCCCACTTTCAATTGGGCCAAAACGTGTGGCCAAAGAAGCGCGTGCGCAGCCAACTCTTTGGAAACACCTTTCTTCTTCTTCTTCTTCGCTTGGGCCAGGTGCCGCAAAGTGGCGAGAGGCGAAAGACTTTCTTCTCAGACGCAACACCTCCCCCAACGTCTAAGCCGCTTGGCTGCCTGCCTTTTCTTCTCGTGAGACTCTCAAGCTGGCCCTAGCGCGACCCTTTCTGCCTGCCTGCCTGCCTGCCTGCTGCTGCTGCTGCGCTCCCTCGTTCTTCCGAAATCCTATTTCTTCTCCGTCGCCCTCCTCACCATCTTCCTTCCCGCCCTCTCCATCATCCATCCTTCATCCTCCCTTTCATCCCTCTCTCATACAAACACATCGCGCCACAGTCGCAAAACATCTCACCTTCTTCCTCGCTCGTAGTCACGTTCAGGAAGTCTTTTCCCCCTTCGTCTCGATCCTCTGATTTAGACGTCTTTTCTCTCTCGCATCATCATTTCCGTCCCCCGTCTCGTTCACACATTCAAAATGGCTACTTCCACCGTTCTGGGTTACCCCCGTATCGGCCCTCAGCGTGAGGTCAAGAAGGCCCTCGAGTCCTACTGGGGCGGCAAGTCCTCCCAGGAGGAGCTCCTCAAGGTCGCCAAGGAGCAGCGTCTCCAGACCTACAAGTTCATCAAGGATGCCGGCGTTGACGTTGTCCCCACCGGTACCTTCTCGCTCTACGACCACGTCCTCGATGCCTCCAACACCTTCAACCTCATCCCCGAGAACTACGCCAAGTCCGGTCTCGATGCCCTCGACACCTACTTCGCTATGGCCCGTGGCCACCAGAAGAACGGCGTCGATCTCCCTGCTACCGAGATGCAGAAGTGGTTCGACTCCAACTACCACTACCTCGTCCCCGAGCTGAGCGAGTCCACCGACTTCAAGATCAACAACACCAAGCCCATCGACGACTTCCTCGAGGCCAAGGAGGCCGGCTACAACGCCCGCCCCGTCCTCGTCGGCCCCGTCACCCTCCTCGCCCTCGGCAAGCCCGGCAAGGATGCCAAGGACGCCGAGCTCGACCCCGTCTCGCTCCTCCAGAAGCTCGCTCCCGTCTACGGTGAGATGCTCGCCAAGCTCGGCGAGGCCGGTGCCGAGTGGGTCCAGATCGACGAGCCCGTCCTCGTCCTCGACCGTGCTCAGCAGTACGCTGCCGAGTTCAAGTCGGCTTACGAGACTATCGCCAAGGCCGCCCCCTCGGTCAAGATCATGATCGCCACCTACTTCAACAAGCTCGAGTCCAACCTCGAGATTGTCAAGACCCTCCCCGTCGCTGGTCTCCACATCGACCTCGACCGTGCCCCTGAGCAGCTCGACGAGGTCCTCTCGGCCTTCGCCAGCACCCAGCACGTCGTCTCGCTCGGTCTCGTCTCCGGCCGCAACATCTGGAAGACCGACCTCAGCGCCGCCCTCAAGACCGCCCAGAAGGCCGTCGAGAAGCTTGGCGACGCTTCGCGTGTCCAGATTGCTTCCTCCTCGTCGCTCCTCCACACCCCCATCACCATCGCCAACGAGAAGAAGCTCAGCGCCGAGGTGCTCGACTGGTTCTCGTTCGCCAACGAGAAGTGCGCCGAGATCGCCACCCTTGCTGCCGCTCTTCGCGACTCCAACTCGGCCGCCGACGCCCTCGCCGCCAACGAGAAGAGCATCAAGGCCCGTCGTGACTTCGAGAAGAACTCGGACTCGGCCGTTCGTGAGCGCGTCGCTGCCATCAAGCCCGAGGACCTCGAGCGCAAGTCGCCCTTCAGCACCCGTAAGGAGGTGCAGAAGGAGCACCTCAAGCTCCCCCTCTTCCCCACCACCACCATCGGCTCCTTCCCCCAGACCAAGGAGATCCGTCAGTACCGTGCTCGTTTCAACAAGAACGACATCACCAAGGAGGAGTACGAGAAGTTCCTCGAGGACGAGATCAAGATGGTCGTCGAGAAGCAGGAGGCCCTCAACCTCGACGTCCTCGTCCACGGTGAGCCCGAGCGCAACGACATGGTCCAGTACTTCGGCGAGCTCCTCGAGGGCTTCGTCTTCACCCAGAACGCCTGGGTGCAGTCGTTCGGTTCGCGCTACGTTCGTCCCCCTGTGGTTGTCTCGGACGTCAGCCGTCCCGCTCCCATGACCGTGCGATGGTCGTCGTACGCCCAGAGCCTTACCGAGAAGCCCATGAAGGGTATGCTTACGGGTCCCGTCACCATCCTCAACTGGTCGTTCCCCCGTGCCGACATCAGCAAGGAGGTGCAGTCCAAGCAGATCGCCCTCGCTCTCCGCGACGAGGTCATCGACCTCGAGAAGGCCGGTGTTCGCGCCGTCCAGGTCGACGAGCCCGCCATTCGTGAGGGTCTGCCCCTCCGCCAGAAGGACTGGGCCGGCTACCTCCGATGGGCCGTCGACTCGTTCCGTCTCTCGACCTCGGGCTGCTCGGACGCCATGAACATCGCCTCGCACTTCTGCTACTCGGACTTCTCGCTCATCATGAAGTCGATCATCGAGCTCGACGCCGACATGATCTCGATCGAGCACTCCAAGTCCGGTGAGCACCTGCTCGGCGCCTTCAAGAAGGTCGGCTACCCCTCGCACATTGGCCCCGGTGTCTTCGACATCCACTCCCCTCGTGTCCCTAGCAAGGACGAGATGGTGGGCCGCATCAAGGCCATGGCCGAGGTGCTCGCCACCGACTCGATCTGGGTCAACCCTGACTGCGGTCTCAAGACCCGAACCTGGGAGGAGTGCACTGCCCAGCTCAAGAACATGGTTGCTGCTGCTGAGGAGTGCCGCCAGACCCTTGCTTAAACATTTCCTCTCCCCTCTTTCGAACGCTCATCTCGCCTATAGGTCCAGCATCAACTGCTCCGGACCGGGCTGAGCCTCGCTCTATTTCCCCCTGATTCCCTCTAGTCATGATTCCCGGTCTTCTCCTCTTGTTGTCATTGTCCTTCTCCATTTTCGCATCTGTTCTCTCGTATGCTGCCACTTGTATTCTTCAACATGATATCCCGCCCAAAAAGCATTCAACATGATCCTAGCAATTCCAGCATTTCAACATGGATACATTGAAAAAGAAGCTGTGGTATGTGGGAGAAGGCAGCAGTGCTACGGTGTAAGTGCAATCCATGGTCGTGCTTGAATGATTGTGACGCGTCTGTGATGTGATCTTCGAAAGTGACACTTTTTTTAAGTCACACGGGAGCATAGGCTCAAATTGTGTTGCACACGCATGTCACCCGCACAGAGCAACACGCAGGCACACACACATTCAGACTCAAGCTTGACTTTCGCATTCCTCCACGCCTATCCTTCCGACCACCACTATCTCCTACAGCAAGCTCTTCAGAGTCGCTCACGCGCAGACATGTCAGACACGGAAGATCACAACGAAACAATACAGGCTGAGCAGCCCTCGCACCAGGATGTCGACGCTGACGGCGGAGACCAGCTAGAGACGGCTTCGGCTGTCGGTGAGGTTTCCGCTGACGATGTTGTTGCAGACAGCGATCGAACATCCTCCGAGAAGGAAGGCGGAGAGATCGATGCGGATGAGGAGATCCCCGATGACCAAGGCGATCTCGATGATATGGTCAAAGAACAGCAAGATGTCGACCTCGAGCCTGCCACGAGTCTGACGCCGTCCAAAGCTTCTGCTCCTACAACCCCTTCTGCTGGAGCAACACGTGCTGCTGGCGCTACCAAAGCAGGCACTACAGCCCCAACCGCAGCTGGCAGGGTCGTCGCGGGTGCTCGGCCATCCGTCACCGGCGCGACTGCCTCAAGAACAGGCTCCACGACTACCACCGCCGGAGCTGCTCGTACTGGCGTCGCGGGCCGTCCCAGCATCGCCGGCACAACTGCTGCAGCAAGAGCAGGCACTGCCACAGCTCGTCCGGGCGTAGCTGGCCGAGCAAGCTTGGCTTCGGGTGCTGCGGCCCCTGGCACCGCAGCTGCACGCACGACCACAGCCTCCGCTCGACCCTCCGCCGCAGGCACAGCTAGCACGGCAGCTCGGCCTGCAGTTGCCGGCACAGCATCGACAACAGCAGCAAGGCGCGTATCCACCGTGCCCTCATCGCCTGCTCGCGCCACCGCGGGCGCTGCAGGCACAGCAGCGGTACGTCGCCCTGCCGGTACGGCTACAGCTGCTGCAACCGGAGCGACCACCACCGCAGCGGTGCGAAGGCCGGTCGGGGCTCCCACAGCTGCAACGCCTGCTACCACAGCCGCTCGCCGACCTCCTGTCTCTTCAGCCGCGGGCACCGTAGTCAAGAAGGCACCTGTTGCTGGCTCCACCACCTCATCCAGCGGAGCGCCCACGACAGCCACTGCTCGACGCGCATCCATCACCAGCAATGGCACGAGCGCTGCTGGCACCGCAGCCCGTCCTACATCGGCCGCACGGGCTTCCTTGGCTCCCGCAGCGAGAGCAGGCACTGTATCGACAACTGCTGCCACCGCTGCCGCCCGGAAGAGCCTTGCTCCCGTTGGAGCTGGCACCACCGCCGCCGTCAAGGATCTGCAAGTTAAGGTGGCCAAACTCGAGACCGAGCTTTCTGAGCAAAATGACCAATTGGAGCAGCTCAAGGCCGATCTCGAGACCAAGGAGGAGGAACTTCAGTCCAAGACCGTCAGTCTCTGCGCAGCCGAAGCCAGACTGGCTGAAGCAAAAGAAGCTGCTGATGCGCCAGCCCAAGAGCAAACCGCATCTTCCTCCGAACAGATCGAAGCTCTGAAATTGGAGGTAGAGCGCCTCAAGACCGAGCTCGGCTCCTCCGATGGCCAGCGCGCAGACCAAGCATCGCAACACGATGCCATACTCAGTCAGAAAGAAGAGGCCATCGTCGCTGCGCAGAGCAAAATCGAAGAGCTCGAATCAGAGTTGACGGAGGCGCGAGCGGCGCATGAGGATGCTGCCGCTGCCCGAGATGCTAGTGCCAAAGAACAGGGTGCAAGCCAGGCGGCAGCTCTCGCAGATCTTCAAGCGAAGGTCGAAGCCAGCTCCAAAGAGATCGAAGAGCATCAGAGCAGCGCCAAACGAGCTCACGACGAAGCCGAGGCTGCCCGGAAAAGCGTTGCTGACTTGGAACAACGTGTTCAGCAGCTCACAATCGATCACGAACAGAAGGTCAACGCCAGCGGCGAGCAGACTTCCAAGCAGCTCGAGGAACAGCGTCAAGCACACGAAGCTGCGGCTACAGAGGCCAGCGAGAAGGTCGCAACGTTGCAATCTCAGAATCGAGAGCTGCGAGACGAGCTCGAAGCCTTGAAGTCACAGCTATCTGATTCTCACGACGAGATCAAAAAGGCCAGCGCCGCCGGCGAGCAGGGTGCATCCAACCTTGCGGAGAAGGATGCGGAGCTGGTCGCGCTCAGAAAGAGCCATGAAGATCTGCAGAAAAAGCTGGCTGATCTCTCTGCAGTCCAGGAAAGGAACGCGGAGCTGGAAGAGCAGGCGGCGAAGCTGCCTGAGCTTGAACAGCGCAACAGCGACTTGCAGGGCGAGATTGAGTCCAACTCTTCGGCGTTCGAGACAAGACTCGCCGAGGCCGTCGCTGCTGCCGAGGTTGCGGCACATGCAAAGGCGCAGACCACGCACAAAGAGGAGCGATCTTCTGCAGAGTCGCAACACAGTCAAGCACTCGCCCAAGCCGTGGAGCAGGCTCGAACGGAAGCCGAGCAGAAGCATATAGCTATGATCGAAGACGCTGTCAACCAGGCTCGTCGCGAGCTGTCAGCCGAGCACGCAAAGGTACTCGAACGCGCGCTCGAGGCAGCCAATGCCAAGCATGCGGAGCAGAAGGCGAGCGATGTCGACGCAGCTCGACGCGACGCTGAGGAGCAGCTGCGAGCTGCCCTGCAGAAGGAGCACGAGGCAGCTCTCGAAGAGGCGCAAGCCGCTACCACCTCTCGCCACGGTGAGGAGCTCTCGACGCTCGCTGCAGCGCACGAGGCGACCCTCGCCGAAGCTCGCGACGGTCATGCGTCGGAACTCTCCTCCAGCAAAGAGGCAGCTGAGGCACGGATCAAGGAAGTGCAGCAGACCTTGGACGAGGTCAAGGCGGAGCTGGCCGCTCAGGAAGCTAAGTACGCTGCCCAGGTCGCCGAGGTCAAGGCCGAGCACGACCAAAAGGTGATGGCCGCTTTCGAAAAGGCACGGGCCGAAGCAGGCGACAATCACTCGACAGATCTTCAGGGTCTCAAGGAGCAGTCCGCCAAGACGGCCGAACAGATGCGCAAGTCGCACGCCGACGAGCTCGAAGCTGTACAGGCCGCTCACGCTGCCGCCCTGTCTGAAGCGGACGATCGCCACAGTAGCGAGCTCAAACGTGTTCAGACGGACCTCACTGCAGCACAGGCTGACCTCAAGAAGATCAAGGACACGGTTGCGCAGCTGCAACGCGAGAAGGAAGCCGGCGACTCACGCATCCAGTCGCTCGAGGCGGAGCTGGCTTCCGCTTCCGACCGAGTCAAGCAAGCCGTCTCTGACTCAGCGGCTGCCAGCTCGACCGAGACCTCTACGCTGCGAACGCAGATCGAGCAACTGGAGCAGGAGCTTGCCGACGTCCGCACCGCGCACAACCAGTCTCAGACCGCGTTCGTTGAGCAATTCGAGGCGATCTCCACCCAGCATGAAGCCGACAAAAAGGCTCTTATCGAGAAGCACATTGACGAAGTGGGCCAGCTGACTGCGCAGCACGAGCAAGCGCTGGTGCCGCTCCGCGAGCAGCACTACCAGGAGCTGGAGAAGTCCATGGAACTGGCGGACAAGCTGACGGAAGCACAACGCGCTCACGAAGCCCTTACGGCCGAGCTGGCGCTGATGACGACCAAAGCTGCCTCCGCCGCAGCTGCGCCAACCAGTGCAGCGAGCCTGCTCGAGGCGCAAGGCAAGGAGAATCAGGAGATGAGCGATCTGGAGCGTCTTCACGCTGCGCACACGGAGAAGGTCGCTCTCCTCTCCAATCAGCACCACGAGCAGCTGGAGAAGATGCTTGCTGAACGCCGGGCTGAGCGGGAAGAACTCGACACCGTCAAGCGCGACCTATCGAACGCTAAGCGCGAAGTGGCCCTCCTCGCCGGCAACGCGGAGGACGTCGAGACGCTCAAAGCAGAGATTACGCAGCTCGAGGAAAGACTCAACAAGGCCCTTTCCACGCACTGATTCCAATTCGTAAGCAATGCAAATAGATTCCTAGGCACGATGCGAATGCAGGTACAGCGATAGATGGATACGAACGACCGTCTCGACGGCGTCCTTGGCGAGTGGTTTGATGCTTGCGACATGCCGGAAAGCGCACCAGGTGCCGGCACACGTTTGGTGGTACGAAGCGATGTAGTCCGGGTCGGACTTGGTGAGGTTGTGTTCGCGCACGAGAAGGGTGTGTGTGATCTTCTTGATCGTGGTGCGGTTGGTCTTTTCGATGGTGTCCGTGTCGAGTAGGGGCTTGGTGTCCGAGAAGGGCTCGGGGGAGACGGACTCGGTCTTGACAGGAGGAATGTCGAGCGAGTCGGCGCGCTCGGCTTTCGGAACAACGATGCGTGTGGGCTGCTTGGAGAGATTGAGACGAGGCAGGTCCGAGAGGATGCGGTCCGCACGATGCTTGATCGCTTTGGTCGGTGAAAGGGCGAGATCGGAGGATTCGCTCTTGATCTGGCTGTCAAGGCTCGGACTGCCGGCGACTTTGCGATCCGAGCTGCTGGCGTGACGTTTCTCTCCCCGTCGACCTGGTGTGCGTGGTGCGACAGGTGCTTGCGAGGATGTTGATGGTCCCACCGGCGCCGCACCCGTATGGCGGTGTGTGAGAGCAGGTTTGCGCTTCGACCGAGCTTGGAGCAACGCAGATATCGAGCCTCGCGGAAGCGGGTCGTCTGGTCGCGGTACAGCGCTCGCCGGTCCTCCGAATGTCGGTAGAGACAGCCCAGCCTGCGTGAACACATCGTGCAGCGATTGAGATCCTACACTCTGCTGTCGATGGAAGCTGCGCGATCGACTCAGCTCCCTTCCTGCAATGTTGACGTCCACCCGCTTCGTCTGCACCGTCACCCTGCGACCGAGCACGAGACGTATTGGCATCGACTCCGGGGCGTGACCTGCATCATCTCGCTGCGGTAGGGGAGTCGGCTGAGCAAAGATGGCGTACTCCACCGGTGCTGCGTTGGAGAAAGCGAAAGGGTCCGATACGCTTGTCTCGTCCCCGAAGGCATGCAGCGACGGTTGGAGCGAGACCGACACGACCTGTGCGGACCTCTCGGCGCCCGCATCCTCGACAAAGTCGGCGTCAAAGCAAAAGGTGCGGTTGAAGAAGCTCCACGTTGCTCTCTCGCGTGGATCGATGTAGACACGGACCTCTCCGCTTGCGACCCAATGCGATTGCTTCTGGCTCGCTGCTCCCAAGACCGGAGCAGACCCTCGATCCGTCGTCACCGCTGAGATGTGCAGTGGCTGGTTGCGCAGCATCTCGAGCGCCAGACATAGCTCCGCCTCTGCCTCGTGGTTGTCGCCCTGAGTGTCATCGCGTCCGCCGATGCCGCCGTCGAATGGGTTGGCGTAAGAGACGATTGCAAGACCTGGTAACCGCGTGCCATCAATGAGAACCAAGTCGCTCCGCCACAGCAGCCTCGCCTTGGCATCAAGTCGCTTCGCCATCGCAGCCTGGCCTTGGCTTCACCTTGGACGTCGCCGATGGCATGTCGCTGGCTCGCCCAGTGTTGTAAGTGGATAGTCGCAAAAAGGTGATGGTGGTTGGCATGAGTAGCCCCTTAACGCGAAAACGCCAAAAGTGTTACTTTCAGCCTCGTGTCACGCGACGCCGCGCTGTGCTGCCGGGAACAAGTGCAAAAAGAAGTCAGAGTCCTACGGGGATTGAACCCGCGACCTGCAGAATGCAAATCGTGACGATTTTCTTCAGAATTTCTACCGAAGTCTGCCGCTCTACTGCTGAGCTAAAGACCCTTCGAAGCCTCGGAGAGCAAATTACAAATATAAACGCATTGCATATGACCATATTTCGCCGGCATGGTCATCAATGATGGCCTTGCTCAGGTCGCACGTCTGGTCGTTACAAATGTCATTCTAGAGCGCAACCTGGTTCAATGTGACACAAGACACCCTGACAGTCATGCTGCCTCGTGCAAAGATACTCTTCGGGCTGACGATTTCGCCTCGATCTTGAAAGACGCTGAGCAAAGATGCGCGTCGTTGTTCGATGTCATCCTCTGTGATGAGGCATTGAGGGATCGAGAACGAGAGCAATTCGAAGCTTGAGCCTGCTTCGTCGGACCAAGAGACCTTGAAGAGGGCAAGTGGTTGAGATCCAAGGCAGTTTGGTGGTGAGGCGAGGAAGGCAGGCTCGGTCGGAGCTTCCAGAAGAGCGTGGAGCGACCGGACGTCGTACTCGCTCTGCGAAGCGATGCCTAGAGAGGCTGAATCGTGGATGCAGTAGACCGCACCGTACTCTAGCAGGAAGCCAGCGAGCGCTACTCCAGCCAGCTGAGCATCGCTTGCCATCTCGGACGCCTGATTTGCAGGGGTCTGCGAGACAACCAGCACGTCGTGCCCGTTGTCTTCGAGGATCGCTTTCCGAATCGAAGCCAGGAGGCGCGAGACGTGCGAATCCGGACTCGACAAAGTCGGCGAGGCGTGCGCCGGCGTGTAGCGAGCATCGATCCACCGCACTGGATCCTTGCCGTCCTGGTCTGTGCCATCGGCATCTGACAGGGCAGCTACGTCTGTCCAAAGGCTCTTACGTCGACTCACGACGAACGTCTGCGAGGTGGGAGCGTGGAAGAGCAACCGCACCTGACCTAGGTCTTCGCCATCTGATGCGCCCGCTTGCTGACCGATTGAAGCGAGCTTCAAGCTGATTGCAGAAGCTTGCTGGATATTCAAGCCGACCGCGTCCACTAGCGCAGCCCGTCGAAGGCCTGCCGCAACGACGAGAATCTGCAGCGCCAGTTGAGCGCATCCTGACCGGGATGGTCTCGCTGTCTTGCCGCTCGACGCAGATGCAATGGCGCCTGCGATGTGCTTGGCGAGGTTGACGACCGTAGATTTGGCGAGCAGAGGATGCTCAGCCTGACGCTCGTTACTCTCGAATCCCGCCGCCTTTGCGATCGCGGCTCGCTTCGACATCTTGGGCAGCCTTCGCCCGTGAACAGGCTCTTTGGGGCCCGTCAAATAGCGACTTGTTGCTGAACATGCTGATCTTGTCAAACGCCAAATCGTGCGTCCCAACGAAGTCCGCCTGGTGAAGTTGGCCGTTGACGAGCTTTGAAGGTCGTTGCATGTGCACTCGAGGAGGGGTTCACACCTCGACAGGGTCCAGCCTCGAGAGACCCTGGCAACTGTCATTCTGTGCCACGCTCACCTCTGTCGCGCGAAAGCAACTTTTTTTGAGCTGCGAGAAGAAAAAGGATTTTGAAGCTCCTTTCGCTCAAGCAAAGCTCTTCGAGCACCCTCAACCTATGGTCTCGACCATCATCTCTTCCGCACGTCACCGCTGAACATCGACAATAGTCACCACATCTTCTGCAGCGTATCCTCAGTAGTCGACACTCTGCTCCTTGAGCTCGTCCGACATCACAGAGGAGCGGGCTCGTTGCGCTTTGATCGTCTCATCCCGCCTCTTCCACCCTTCGCACTCACGCTCCCTCTTTACTTTCTCCCCGTCCTCCCAACATACCTCGATCTCCCTACTTGAGCTCCATCTGACTTGATTTGACACCTCGCATCCTCTTCCTCCCCCGTTTCTTGATCTACTTATTGAGTCAATCGCCCTTAAAATAGAGTCCATAAGATGCTTCCTACATCTTCTGTGACGGGACAACCTGGGCCAAAGCAGCAAAAAGTCGACCTTGAGTCGACGCATCTAACCTTGTCATAACTATCTGGCCCGTCCCGATGCAAATGGACGACTCGGCTGAACGACCTGGAACATCTCTTCTTTCTGTACCATTGCAATACGAAAATGTTGAGAGCGAAAAGACTCGAGTGTGAGCGGGTTTCGGAAGTGGCAGAATGCGCACAGACGCGCGTCGTATAGGTGGAGCAACACCTCGGAGCAACACCACCACGAGCAATCATGAGCGCATCATCGTCCAGAAGCCTGCGTCTCAGCTTCAAGGGTGACAAGCCCGCGAAGCGCAAGCGGCGGCGTGACGAGGGCGACCGCGGGGAGGGATCGTCGCGAAAACGCAAGGAAGCCGACGTGTCGGATGTCGAGGATGTGGGCGGCGACGAGCAGGCGTGGGTGCTGGCCGAGACGCTGCAGGACCTCACAGGTCCCTGCTTCATCATGCACCAATCCGAGTGGACCGGCGACACGCACTGCGTAGCCGTCGAGCCAAATCGCCAGCGGATCGAGGCGGGCCTGGTCGTGCCCAGCACCGACGCGGCGTTGGTTCGAGCCAAGGAGGAACTTGCCGCGGCCAACCCGGACCCGCGCATCGCCATCATGGCGCAAGCGATGGCGGAGCATCCGGACAAGTTCCCGCCCGAACCCGGACAGCCTTCTGGTATGGCGCCCATCTCAACCCCTATCGTTGGCGATCCCACGCTCCTCCCCACCTCGGTGCACCACGTGTGGGTGGTCAACCAGATCCGCCAGCGCGGTGCCGACGAAGCGCTGTGCACGTTCAAGAGCGCCCAAGGCAGGTTTCTCGGCGCCGAGAGGTCCGGTGGCGTGCGCGCGGATCAGGAAGCTAGAGGCCCGCAGGAGTTGTGGGAAGTCGGACGTGCAAGTGGCGGCTTCTGGACCATTTACTCCACCACTCACCACGGCTATCTTGGGTTCGACAACGATGCCGAGGGCAAACGAGTCGTCCGAAGCGACCGCCACGACAACCACTTTGAAGCGAACCTAGTCATCAAGGTGCAGTGGAAGCATCGACACGCTGCACGCCATCCCGTCGACCCCAACGCCGCAGTGCGAGTCCAGACAAACGACCCGACAGCAGTCCTGCCAGGCACGCGCGATCAGACGGTGGCTCGCGAAGTCGAAACCTTCCGTTCCCGTGCCGGCTCCCAATACGTCCCCGCCAACTACGGCAGCAGCCTCTCCAAGGAGGAGCGCCGAGCACTGCGCAAAGCCGAGAAAGAAGGCAGACTCGCCGAGGAGATGCTCGACCGACGAAGTAAGCTCAAGAGCGACAAGTACGCATGATTGCACAATGTCAACAATGCACAGGGTGACTGGGTTGTTCGCTAGGCTGCAAAGAGTGTGATTAGAATTGTACATCGAGTGAGTGGACCTGCATCTTGACCAAATAGAGTGCGCGGGCGAGAGCCTGGGCATTGGCGAGCGCAGGATGCTTTTCCGCAGGATTGCCGTGATTGAGCTGCTGCTGAAGGATGGGATTGGGAGGGGTGGGAATGCCTGCTGCGCCCTCCGCAGATGAGTTCCCAACCGCGGCCGCTGCCGGTTGAGCCGACGTTGGGAACCCAGACATGAACGGCCACTGAAAGTTCAGCGGGTCTCCATCAGCACCCTTTCGTCGTTCCTCCCCAAGTCCATCGCGGAGATCTGCGTCCGACGCGGACCGCTTGATGCCGCTGCGTTCGCGAGGCACACCCGACTCGCTTGTAGCCGAGTGAAACGAGTGGCTGGTGATACGAAACACGTACAGCTGGACAAATTTCTCCGTCACCTCCAGCAGCGATTCTGCTTCTTTCGCCATCAGGAACACTTCCCGCCGTTGAACGAGGAGCAGAAGCAAACCAGCCGCGTGTCCCAGCAGCCAGTGGTAGAACTGCGGTAGGTACGAGAGCTTCTCCCCGAACTCGTCGGTCGCGAGCTTGAGCGCGAATAGCGCCGAATGCTTGGCCGTCGAGATGGTGCGCAGCTGGGCGACGGCAAGACGCGAAAAGTCGGGCGGATTGGCATTCGATGCTGCACGGAGTGCATGTTGTGTTTCGTCGAGGATGCCAAGCTCGGGGTCCAGCGGATGGGAGGCCAGGAACGTGCGAGAGAGATGGTAGAGCAGCGAGAGGTCGATCGACTCGAGCGAGCTATCGGACAGATCGGAGTGCTGCGAGGTGAGCAGACGCCATCTGTTGAGCTCCTCGAGCCATTCTCGCCATCGCTCCACCATGTGAGATGCCTCAAATCTCTTCGTGTCCTGAGGGGATCGTGACGAGGTCTGATCGGCCGCGGCGGCGCGTGCAGAGCGATGAAGATCTTGTGCTGCCAGGAGGATGGACATCATCCGTGCGTGTGCGACGAGCTGACGGTCGGAGGTGAACGACCCGATGCCTCCTGTACCGTCGCTTGGCGGGGGCGGCAACGCTGACGACTGCGACTGACTCGAGTTCGGTGTAGTCTGGACGTCGTTCGCCTTCTTCACTCCGTCGTTGGGCGCAAAAGCCTCGCCCAGCTCAGCGCTGTGACTGCTGGCATTCAGCAGCCCCTGACAGTAGTGTGCCGGCTCGCTGTCCGGGAACAAGCTCGGCTGGTCATTGATGACCGCTTGTTGCGCTTCGGTGATGTAGGACATGAGCCAGATGCGAAGCTTGCCCACCAGATCGATCTGACGGAAGGGCGGCAAGATGGTCATCCATTCACCCAGCGTCTGTGCGGACCTCACCTCGAAGTGCTCCAGATATCCGATAGCCCAATAGCGAGCCAACCGAGCGATCGACAAGGCTGTCTGACCGCCGAGCCAGCAAGCGGCGATGCAGGCACCCGTGATCTCTTCCACGCCAATGCCTAGTTCCGGATCGAGAGGCGCGTTGGGGTCGATCGGCTGATCGAGCAGCAGAGGAGATGAGAAGGCTTCGTGACGCAAGCGCTCGAACAGCTGCCGAGAATTGGGCTCGTGCATGGACGACACCATTAGGATGCAGGCTATGATGAGCGGCGTCATGTTCTCGTTCGGTGGGTACGCCGGGAAGCCGAAGCAATGAGGTTGCAGACATCGCGCAAAGAACTTGAAGAGGTGCCGCGCTTGATCCATCGATACCAGGCCCATGGAGATGACGGTGAGACGCGGGTCGCTGCGCCCGATAACGTGCGAGGGTCTGGCATAGGGCGAGCTCGAAGTGGCTCCCCTGCCCGGCGCTGGTGACTTGCTCGACTGGCTCGTGTGGCTGTATGGCTGTTGGGCAGCGTAGATGATCGAAGACGGTCGACTTTGACCTGCTTCGAGCGCAGGCACGTATCGCAAGCGTCCAGTGGATGGTGACTGGCCTGAATGCGAGACTTGGAACGGTCCCGAAGCAGACCGGACACGATGCGGGGACGAGGCGCTGAAAGCTGGGGGACCTGCCATTTGCGGATACTGCGTGGCTGGTGGAGGCAGTGACGGGGCCGGATGGGGATTGTGGAGGAGTCGGAAGGTCTGTGACGCCGAAGAAGAGCGATGATGCTTGTGAGAGTTGGCAGACGAATCCGAAGGCGAAGGCGCTGATCGAGAATGCGAGTCCCCGGGACTGAGCAGCCCCGCAGTGCCATCGAAGCCGAGGTAGGTTGTCGATGAGGGTCGAGCGTGGCCTGAGCTGCCATTGTGATGCCTGATCGGGTCCGAATGATGAGGTGGATAGTCAGACGGTGCCGAAGAAGGTTGCGATTGCGCATGCCACTGGCTTGCATTCGGCGTTCTGGTCGGAGGTAGTGGCGGTCGGTAGAGACCAGCATTATGGTACGACTTGCGCATCGAAGGTCCGGCCATAGGAGAGCTACTTGGAGGTATCATGTCGGACCGTCTGTGTTCGATCTGTTGCTGTTGCTGCTGCTGCTGTTGGACAAGCCATTCCACGCTATCGCCCAGCCGGCTGAGAACGTCGTCGGTACGTTCACGCCAGGTCTCGTCATCTGCACGAAGTCGGAACTTGCACTGCGCTTCCTGGTTGGTGTCTCTGCATCGCTTGCATGGAGGTGCTCCGTCGTGGATACACTTGACCTTGGATCGGCGACAGAGAACGCAGGCCTTTTGCGGCTTGACCTCGATGTGAGGCAGCGATCCCATCGATGTGGAGGTGGAAAGCCTGGTGGGGGAAGAAGCAGAGGCTGGAGAGGTCGACTCTGTTGGATCGGAGCGGAAGGGCTTCCCCTTGGGCGGCATGATGAGCCTGCTAGCGCCTCGCACTACCCCTTTGCAGCGAGACGTGGGAAATGATGGTGGCGCTGAGGCTGGTGGTGGTGATGGTGGTGGTCAATGAGTCAGGACGGAGGTCGAATCCGTTATGCCGACTAAATTAGACTTCCGCTCTTCCACCCGCGACAGCCGGCTTTGCTTCCGTATTCACCTTTGCTCGGCTCGCCGCGACCCACACTATAATCATAAGCGACATCTCGGGTAAAATGCAGGTTCTGTAGGAGGTGCATGCTGTAAGGTAGTGTGCAAGGGTATAATCGCAATGATGCTTCGAGGCCCATCGTGATGGTGATCGTGCCAGCTTGTTCTGTGCGTCAACTGCCGTTGGAGCGTCGAAGACGATCTAGCTCGCGCTGAGCACGCAGCGTCGCATTCTCGTCTCGCAGTCGCTCGATCTCGGCGCGGAGCACTCGAACCTCGGCCTTGAGCTCGACAACCGTCTCGGTTTGCTCTGACTCTTCCGCCTTCTTGGCCTGGCGTCGCGCGCGCTGATACTCGATGTTGCGCTGCGCTCGACGACGGGCTGCCTCGCCAGGTTCCAGCACCGCTTTCCTGCCTCTCTTCTTTGGCGCGTTCTGCTCTGCTTCAGCCTCGGCATCGGCCTCGTTCTCTGGAGGCGTGGATGAAGGTGCAGGTGCCTCCATGCGGATGGGTCTTGGTGGCGATGCGGGTGTGGGCGAGGCGGGTCTTTTGCGTGACGTTCGAACAGGTCGTCCAGATGGTGACATCAGGTGGTCCGGAACAGTAGTACGACTGCCTGGACGTGCGTCCGCGAAGCTGGGAGCGGGGGTAGACGCATCTCTTCTCGGAGACCATCGATCTTCGTTTCGAGCTGGACGACTAGAAGGAACAGACGCCACCTGAACAGAGGGAGAGGGTTGGACTTGCGATGGTCGCCTTGATGACTCAGCAGGAGGTGGCTCGAAGGACGGCCGACGTCCTCCTGTAGCTGCCGCTGAGGACGCACGCGGTGCCAAGTGTTCCATAGATCCAGCCAGTGATAAATTGCCTGGTCTGTATGGATCGGCTCGCAACACGTCTGCGGGAGTTTGAGTGCCAGAAGGGGTGCCTGAGTGAGATGCGGCAACAGCGGCAGCCGCCGCTGCAGCGCGGGATTCCTCCGAGGCCACGACATCTTGCACTGCCATCGACCAAGCCGACGGAAATGGAAAGTCCGGGTTCAGGTCTGGATTGAAGTCGGGATCGTCTTCGTCCTCCTCTTCAAATTCGAGATCGGCGAATTGCATCGGTTGGAACGCGTTGCTGTGGGGCAAATCGAAAGAGGCCGCATTGTTGACATTCCGAGGAGATCGACCCAAGGATATAGGTGCCATCATGCCTTGCTGCGGAAGGAGATAGTCAGGATGAGAGTAGGCATCCAAGGACGGAGTCGGCATTCCTTGCTGCCTGGCTTGTTGATCCTGCTGGCGCTGCTGCTGCTGCATCAATGTCTGCAGCAGCGCAGTCAAGTCTTGCTCGCCGACAGGCTGACGTGTCGGTTGCTGCTGATCCTTTCGAAGGCGAGCGATGAGCTCGTCGATCATCGGCTGCAGCTTCGTGAGCTCCGCCTTGCTGCCTGCGCCTTTGTTTGTGCTGTTGCTTCGGCTCCCGCCTGCCACAACCCTAGAAGGGGCAGAGAGGGATGCTGCTGCATTGCTGGGTGTATATGCCGGGCTGCTGTAGGGATGCGCAAAAGGAGATGGAGCAAGCTGCGATCCAGGCGTCGGTTGATTGGGCCAGGAGACAGAATCCGAGGAGCCCAAGACGTGTGTGAGCATCTGGATCATAGCACCGTAGAACTCGGTGTCGTCCGCACTTGCCGCTGGCGAACGACTATCGATCCCGCGTGGGTAAGCGGCCGGTGCTGGATGGGGCGTCAATCCTTGTGACCTTCCCTTGAACCAATTTGGATCGATGTTCTCGAGGAATCGGAGAGGCGAACCCTCGTCGTCTTCCTCTACTGCCTCTTCTTCGTCCTCATCCTCGTCGTCCTCTTCATCATCATCATCGTCGTCCTCATCGTCTTCGTCCTCGTCTTCGTCCTCGTTTCCTTCGTCTTCCTCTGATCCGTATCTCCTGTCCTCGTCGCTCTCGCCGTTGCCCTCCAGATCCTGCTGCTCTTCCTGCTCTGGCTGCTTTTGAGCTATCTGCTCCTCGACGCTAGCATCGGTGCGGCCTCCATCGTGCCTCGCCGCCTGTTCGGGCGCATCTCCATCTGCTGCTTTTGCACGGCGTGGTCGCTTTTGCCTCGCGCCATGGACGGCCGTCATGAATGCTTGAGCGAAATCATCGGGTTGTTTGAGGTGGTGGGGAGCAGCTAGGAGAGGTGTCACACACAGAAACGCCCAAATTTCCAACACGCAAGCAACACTTCACGCGGCTCAGTCGCGTGAATTTTTTGGGTATGTTACGTTTCAGAGCGATTCGCTTCTCTACAAGGTTGACTCTCAGATGGAATGGTATTGCCGTGGATGGACGTACTTGACTAAGATTGTTCATTGGGATGTGTTGACAGTGCGTGGGTGAGCGATTACAGACGTGGAACCTAGCCCTGGGTCTTTCGAGCTTGACATAAAGGTCACATATGGAACGAGACTGGGTTCAGAGGGGCTCTGCGTGCGTTTAGGACTCGGCCACACGAGCAGCCTGTTCGAGTCGCAAAGCCACCAGGTCGACATCCTCCGACTCGGAGGAGCCATCCGTCTTGCTCGAGACCGTCGGACTTAAGGCTGCTTCTTGAGCACCAAGCTGCTTCGGTGCGGCCCCATTTGTGTCCGTCTTGGCTGCTGCAGCCGTGGGTGCGGCCGATCCGGTCGGTCTCGACACGCTGAAGGTCAAGGGAACGGCCAGTGGCTCTTTGGCCGTGCTGGCATCCTGATCTTGGCGGAGCCGCCAGAGCTCGTGAACATTTGCGCTAGCATACCCGGTCACGCGACCGGCATTGATGCCATCGATCATGTCTTCCACCATGGCCGCCTCATCTTGCAGCCTGCGAGCTTCGCTGGCCTTGGCTCTTCGAGCCTGCTTTTTCTTTTCCTGTCGTAGACTCTCGGCGGCTTGTTTTGCGATCTTGCGTTCGAGGGCTGCTGCCTCTTCCGCCAGTTTCCAGGGTTCGATGCTGGAGCCTGTTGTGGCAGTATCGGCAGAACCGATCGCACTGCTGACGACGGCCTCGAGCTCTTGTCGCACAGCGTCCGAGAGGCACAGATCGAGGATCAACGGCGCATCCTTCCAACGTACCTGAGGAGCATGCCCGACGTCTCCTTGATTTTGCACGCCGAGAAGCGCAACGGCGCTCTGCATCGTGCTCTGCCACTTTTCAACCGATGCCGCCTTGATGTTTCGCGAGGTGTTGCGGTCGAAAATGAAGGGATCTTGCACCACCAGTTCCTCACCCGCCCATATGTCCTTCTGCTCCTCACGCAGGGCCGCACGAGCATCAGCGTCTCTGGAAGCGAAATGGAGGGGATCAGCAGAAGCCTCTGCATGACCCTCGTTGAGGTCGGACCCTTCGCCTTCACTTGCTGAATCGAAGAGGACATGTCCGGGATGAGAACCCGCTTTTCGTTGCAAGGGTGCTCCATTGACGACGGACACGACTTGTCTGCGCCGGTCCAGCTGTGTGTAAAAGCGGACAAAGGAGACGAGCATCCTGCCAAGCAGCCTGTCTGTCGCCGACAGCTTGTCATTGACGCAGTCTGCGGGTGCATCTGCGGCTGCGAGCTGCAAAGCTCTCGTCTTGTAGGGCTCCAGGTCCATCTCTCCTGTCGCAAAGGTGACGTTGTACTCTTGCGAAGGCGGCGCCAGTTCTTCGAGAGAGTTTGCTTTGGCGTTTTTGCCGCGCCTCGGTCGCTTGAAACGAGAATAGAGAAAAGTGGATTGGACGTCGAGACTCTTGAGCATGCTTGGACTCTGCAGATTGGGCAGAATGCCTTCCATCTGAAGCACTTGCAGTGCCATGAGGGCGATCGTGTAACTGCTGAAGGTCATGGAGCCGCGCTTTCCAGCTGGATCGTTGAGATCGCGGCGCGAGAACCAGTGCTTGAGGAAGAAGATGAGCGGACGCACAATCTGCGGCTGGAGGTTGGCGTAGGCCTGAATGAGCTGCGAGTTGTACAGCCCAAATCGCTCGTTGATGTTAATGTCGGCTGGAATGTCGTACTTTCGATGAACCATCTTGACGATGGGCACATTGGCACTGCTGATCGGCACGATGGTCTTGAACTTGTTCGAGTTGCGCAGGGCGTTGGCGATCTGATTGGTGCTATACCACTCGGGCATGCCGGCCGTATGACGGACAAAGCCGTTGGTGTCGCGACGCAGCTCCAGAGGCGTGCCGACTCCACAAGGTCGCGTAGGATCGAGCAGAACGAGATCCAAGTCGGACGTTTCCGTGAGCAGACCAGTGACGCTGGAACCAAAGGCTGCGACTTGCAGGCCTTGACCGGGCCATTTGCGAGTAATGGCACGCTGCACGTCAGCAATGACTTCGTTGCGGTGTGCCTGACTCGAAGCACCTGGTCGCGACTCGTCCCAGAAGCCTCGCAGTTGGCGCCCGATGGCTGCATACAGATCGACGGTCTCGGCAGTCGCATCTGCAGCAGAGGCGGCCGAGGCAGGCTTGAGGTCGGACAGCCATTTCCGACAAGCGTCCTGATCTGCTTCGACGCGCGCGCGTTCGCGCTGCTTCTCCTGCTGAATCGCCTTGATACCATCTTCGACTTGCTTCTGAATGGCCAGCTTCCTCTTTTCCTTGTCTTCCTCGCGCTGCCTGTTGCGACGCTCCACCTCGGCTGAGCGGTGCGCAGCATCGTCGTTTTCGAGCTGAAGTGCATCCATGCCGTCCTGCACTCGCTTTTGGATCTCGAATGTTCTGCGTGTCTTTTCTTCTTCTCGCAGTCTGTTGCGACGATCCACCTCGGCTGTGCGGTGAGCAGCATCGTCTCTTCGCTGCTGTGCTGCTGAGCTGCTGTGATGAGGTTCGGGTCCTGCCGCGAAGCCAGCATGTGGAGGCGGCAACACGGAGTGTGAAGAGGAAGCCGAGTATACTGCGTGATGAGGATGCATATACAGATTGTTGGCGTGATAGAGCTGCTGTTGCTGCGACGAGGGTTGCTGTGGGGGCTGCTGCTGATACGCTTGCGGAGACTCGTGCGGATAGGATGGTGGGAGGTACTGGGCGTTTGGAAAGCCGTTGGACGCGATTTGATTCTGAGGGGAAGGACGGTTGGAAGTAAAGCCGAGTTTGCTGATGGGATCGAGCCCAGAAATGGCCGATCCGGGCGACATCGGACTGGTGCTTTGGCCGGGTCCGTGTTGGTGAGCTGCAGAGTGATGCGCGCCGCCAAAAGAATGCGTGGGAGAGTGTGCTCCGCCTGCGTAGATACCGCTGGGAGATTGATGCCTGAAGCCAAACTGCTGCGTAGGAGAATGATGCCCGCCGCTATAAGGAGAGGTCGGGCCCGAGCCGTGGAATCCGCCAAAGTGGGCCTGGGATGCGCCAAAGTCGATCGACTGTCGGTCGTTGCTGGACGGCCCCGGAATTGGCTGTGTCTGATCGAAGTACATCGCATCAAACGACGTGTCGGCAAAGTGGGGCCATTGGGCCCCCTGTGTGGGCATCGTCATGGTCGGCGTTAAGAATCGCTGCGATAGCGTCGCGTATGTCTTCTCTTGCTACAAATTGGACTGCATGCATGCTTTCAGAGCGAGTCGCTGAATTTGCCGCGCTGTGAACCTGTATGCTTATGATAGCGAGCTATGTGGTGAAGTAGAAAGGATAGATGGAGAACAAGGGCCCTGTATGCGTATGGGTCTCGCCTTGCGTTCGACGACGCTTTCTAAGCGCACCGGCACTGTGGGCGACTTTGGCGTCAGCTGCAGCTCTCTTCCACCTCGGCCGCAGACGTTCGACGAGAACCTCTAGCAGAGCTGAAAGTGGGAATGGTGGTAGACGGAAAGGGAGAACACTGGGCTAGCGAATGAAGTGAGCAGCGCATTGACAGGTGGCGCGTGGACCGTGTGCATTTCTTCGAGTTGCTGCGCAGTTGACTTGCATCATGTTGAGCTCAGCCGTGCAGCAAAGCGTGTAAAAAAGCCTCCACTCGGCTGGCTGAAGGCGGAGCTGTCAAAAAGTCGCGAAAAAGCGGTCCAAAAAAATCGGCCAAAAAAACCAGTCGAAATGAAGGCGGGATTCGGCCTTCATCTGCTGAGGCTTCAGGGTCTTGGTAGCGTCCAACACCTTGACGTTCGGGACCCTTCCTGCCTCGATTGCAAGCCAAGGCACCAAGGTCATCGAGGCGGGCGATCAAACTGCAGTCTGGTACTGCTAGATCCGTCAGCTCACCGGGTCAGATCGGCGAACACAATGGCCGAGGCTCACGACATTGTCGCGACATCCAAGTTCAAGTCTTCGAAGCCTGCTAGCTCAGTCCGGTCACGGCAGCAGCAGGACGACGTGGTGGACGATTGGGACGCTGAAAGCAGTGACGATGGCAACAGCAAGGATAATGTGGACTCGAAACAAGCCGATGTCTTTCACGCTTCCAAGGAGCAGTGGTCGGAAGCGTGAGTAGCTCCCCTTCTATTTGACCTTCCGCGCACGATACACTGACGCTCTTTGACATGGCTCGTCGATTCAAACATCGCGAACGAATAGCAACGCACGAGCACCAGCTGCTGTTCCGATTGTCGCCTCGGGTCACGCTCGTACTCTGCCAGGTGCAGCATACGGAGACCGAATGCAGACGAAAGACGGCCAGCAAGCTCGAGATATGCACAACGGCGGCATGACAATCGCGGCAGCTCCGCCGCGGATCCTACAGCGTCCCAAAGAGGCCGTCCCAGGCATGCGAAGTGATGGAACAGCCGCCAATGTGACGAAAGGATCGCAAGAGCACAAGACGGTGGAGCAACGCCAAGAGGAGTATCGCCTGGCTCGCGAGAGGATCTTTGGCGTCCCGTCGCGACCCTCCTCTTCAGGCAGGGGTCGCTCGTCAAAAGAGAAGCCGTAGCTACCACACCGTCAGAGGATGTATGCTGCATGTAGTTTAGGATGGACTGGATTTGAATCATATACCCTATGGACCTGCACATCTTTGTCTGACATCGATAACGCTTAAATGAGACTAACTCCAGTCGTTAAGCCAGACAGCTGCTGGCTTGGAAAGTCAACGACATACTGTAGCATTGAGGACCCGGTGACGAGCAAGACCATGCCTCGCCCGCCGATTTTTCAAGCTTGTTACACCGTCAAGACGCCGGTCCGTTAGTGAAATGGCCGAAAGTGTTGGTCTCCTATCGGACCCGAAGACTGTGCGCCAGATCGATGCGAAGACGGCGCGGCCGCACAATCCCGGTCATTCCCATCTGAATTTCAAGCTTGAATTGGCCTGGTAACGAGAACTTTAAAGATTTGTATTCACGTCGGCCTTTTTGTTTGCAGAGCGAGCATTCGACCGTGGCTTCCGAAAAGGCCGGCCTGTGCTGGAAGAATTGAAAGCGTCGTTATGGACCATACGCAAACACACATCTCGGGGTTCAAATCGAACATCCTTGCTGCTTGTTCAAGAGAAACTTGCTTCGTTGTCGTAGGGAAGCGTGGGTCAAGCATGGGCAGGATGACATGCGTGTTGGTTTGAGAGCAAGAGAGGTCAGTGCGGAGACGGATCAGGTGTGACCTGCGATCGTCATCATTGCCTGGTCACACAGCTCGAGCAGCCGAAAAGAGACCTGTGGCCGGCAACGGGCCATGATAGCGCGAGTTGGTTTCAATTCGCCTGCGGAGGCAGCGTGTCGAAGTTGAAGTGTGAGAGAGTTCAAGAGCGGAGCGAGCAAAGGCCAGCAAAAGCCAGCTTGGCGCTGTCTGTAGTGCAGGTTCAGGTTCGAAATTCTGGTTGGTCGCTCCGGTCCTTCCCTATCCAGCTTGGCCGTGAGGTTCGATCTTACGGATCAGGCACTTTGCCAGTGTGTTGCTCTCGAAATTTTCCTTCCTTCCTGGTCCGGCCTCGGGGGCACGGGTTGAGAATTTTTCTTCTTCTTCCTCACCTCTTGCCGCTGGACTGACTGATCTGAGAGCGTCCTCGCGCCATCCAATTCGCTCTGTGCGCCAATCATCGCTCGCACCTTTCCGGCTGGCTCGCTCGCTGGCCCTGCACCCTCGTCCGCGCGCTGCTCCCCCCTTCAAAAATACCTTTCTTCCGCCGACACCTTTCCTTCTCACCTTTTCCTCACCAACCTACCACCTCTCATTTCGTAGAATAGGTAAGCATCTCGTCCGCTTCAACGACATACACACTGCCTCGACGACATCAGCATGCAGACGATCCCTTACGCGTGAACATTCCCGCCATCATCGGCCTGGTCCTCGTTGTGGCTTGGCATCGTTCGATCATCGTACCACTGAGCCGAACTTCTTATCGGTCATGGTGCACGCACCTTCAAGACCTGATCGAGCTTGTTCTTGCTGGACATGACAACGAGTACTCGGGAGCAGCCTCGCATTGTTCGTCGATGACGTTGTTGTCTCGCTGTCGACATTTGCTTTTTACACAATGAGCATTTGTCCTCAACGGGAATGTACACCGTCCATGACATGCGAGGATCTAAATAGCTCCGCGCTGCTAGTTGATGCGACGATTTACCAAGCATTGGTTCGATCCCAATAACCTCGATCGACCTGCTCCCAACGTCGTCGAGGCTTGAGTGTGATGCCAATTCTCTTGTTCTTCAGCCGAATAACATCTGACCTCTTTCTATCGCTTCTTCCCCTTTTCGCCCGCCTTCAGTCAAAATGGGTACCGTTGCCGACCCCGCTAAGACCAAGAAGACCGCCAGTGGCTTCGCCACTGATTTCCTCATGGGTGGTGTCTCCGCCGCTGTCTCCAAGACCGCTGCCGCCCCCATCGAGCGAATCAAGCTCCTGGTCCAGAACCAGGATGAGATGATCAAGCAGGGCCGTCTCGCCTCCCCCTACAAGGGCATTGGCGACTGCTTTGCCCGCACCTACCAGCAGGAGGGTCTCGTCTCGCTGTGGCGTGGTAACACCGCCAACGTCATCCGTTACTTCCCCACCCAGGCTCTTAACTTCGCCTTCAAGGACTTCTTCAAGTCGCTTTTCGCCGTCCCCAAGACCGCTCCTTACTGGAAGACCATGTCCGCCAACCTGGCCTCCGGTGGTGCCGCCGGTGCCTCGTCGCTCCTCTTCGTCTACTCGCTCGACTACGCCCGTACCCGTCTCGCCAACGATGCCAAGTCGACCGCCAAGGGTGGCGGAGAGCGCCAGTTCAACGGTCTCGTCGACGTCTACCGCAAGACCATCGCCTCGGACGGTATCGCCGGTCTCTACCGTGGTTTCCTCCCCTCGGTTGTCGGTATCGTTGTCTACCGTGGTCTCTACTTCGGCATGTACGACTCCCTTAAGCCCGTCCTGCTCACCGGCTCGCTCTCGAACAACTTCCTCGCCTCGTTCCTGCTCGGCTGGGGTGTTACCACCGGTGCTGGTCTTGCTTCCTACCCCCTGGACACCATCCGACGACGAATGATGATGACCTCCGGTGGCAAGGTCCACTACAACGGCATGTTCGACGCCGGTCGCCAGATCGTCGCCGCCGAGGGTGTCAAGTCGCTCTTCAAGGGTGCTGGTGCCAACATTCTCCGTGGTATTGCCGGTGCCGGTGTGCTCTCCGGTTACGACAAGCTCCAGGAGCTCATGTTCGGCAAGGTCTACAAGGGTGGTTCCGGTTAAACGGATCCCTGGTCGACACTGTCGTTTTCGTTGCTCCCTCCCCCTGTTCTGTGCCGTCTCTTCGTGTGTTAGCCGAAGATGTTCATGGAATCAAAAATCAGCTTCTAGATCTGATCTTCAACTCAGCTTGCTGGTGCTTGTGAATAGAATGCTGAGGCATCGTTGTGCGTGAGGCGAAGATGACAGTTCCATTGTCGTGTGGTATGAGGATGAGGAGGAGGAGCAGGAGCGGCGAATTTTGAGTGAGGCAGCGACTCGAGCGCGTAAAGTGGAGTTGGCGCGTGTGCGTGTGTGTGTTTTAGCGCGTGTTGGCTCAGCTTTCTCAAAATTCCAACACTCTCGCAAAGTCACTCACACCTACCCTTCCCACATCGACCTCCCTCACCTCACTCAAGATGCTGTTCGTGGACAAGTACCGTCCAAAAGCGCTCTCGGAGCTGCACTACCACTCGGACCTCTCGAAGCGTCTCTCATCGCTCGCGGACCATGAGGACTTCCCACACATGCTCATGTACGGCCCGTCCGGGGCCGGCAAGAAGACCCGCATCGCTTGTCTCCTCCGCGAACTCTACGGTCCTGGCACATACAAGCTCAAGATCGACCAGCGCATATTCGTCACTCCCTCGAATCGCAAGATCGACGTCAACATTGTCTCCTCCAACTATCACATCGAACTGACCCCCTCCGACGCGGGCAACTACGACAGGCTGGTCATCCAGGACATCCTCAAGGAGATTGCGCAGACGCAGAACGTGGATCTGAACGCGAAGCATCGGTTCAAGGTGGTGGTGATCAACGAGGCGGACTCGTTGAGCAGAGATGCGCAGAGCGCGCTGAGGAGGACGATGGAGAAGTACATGGCGAATCTGCGGTTGGTGTTGTGCGCGACGAGCACAAGCAAGATCATTGCGCCCATTCGGTCAAGGTGCTTGTTGCTGCGGGTGGGCGCGCCCAGCGATGACGAGGTAAGCATTTCCCAACCCTGACCCTATCCCTGCTTTGACACAATACTGACCTACTTCTCCGGTATGCGAAACAGATGAAGACGGTCCTGTCCCACGTCGCAAAGAAAGAACGCTTCAGCGTGCCCGACACAGTCGCAACTCAGATCTGCACCGACAGCAACGGTAACCTGCGCAAAGCCCTCCTGGTCCTCGAAGCGCTCCGCATGCAATCCCCGGACCTCTCCGGCGGCATCGCCGTCGCCAAACCCGACTGGGAGGTGTACATCTCCAAGACTGCCGACCTCATCCTCTCGGACCCGTCGCCGCACAACCTCCTTGCCGTCCGCTCAAAGCTCTACGAGCTGCTCGTACACGCCATCCCGCCCACCCTCATTCTCAAGCATCTCACCGACTGTCTGGTCGCCAAAGTCGACAGTCAGGTACGGGGGGCGATCGTGCAGAAGGCCGCGTTCTACGAACTGCGCACACGGACAGGGAGCAAGGTCATTTTTCATTTGGAGGCTTTCGTCGCCGCGGTGATGCATATTCAGAAAAGCTTTTTGATGGGTATGAGCTGGGACGATTGATTGCGGATGCGATTACAGGAGGCATGAGATAGCGGATAGGGGTTGGTAATAGGGCATTGGATGACGAGGCGCGGCATGCAATCGTATGATCTCGATTGTTGACACGGTTCTTGCTTTGTGAGGATACGAATTTTGCTTGAAGGTCAGGGTGGGTCGAGGAGGAAGTAAGGCAGATGCAACGCGCTGAAGGAGCTGTGGCCTCGGACGATGACTGCAATGCCGCTCGGATGAGTCGGTGTCACCTCACTTCTTCTTGGGCGAGTTCTTGCCGCGCGTAGGCTTGTCCGCGTCCCAGCGCTTGCTGGCCACCTCGCCGCCCGGGGCGTCCTTGAGCATCGAGCGCAGCTTCATAGTAGGCAGACCAGAGATAGGATATGGTCAGTGTTCGCCACCTCAACGGGCGGGCTGGCAAGCAAAGAGGAACGCACCTTGACGAGCAGACGGCCCTTGACGCGCCAGGGGTTGAGGCTGGGGCTCGCATCGTACAGCTCCGAGGCCTGCCGATCATGACGAAAGATGAGAGAGGTCAGCGAGGATGACGAGAGCAGGACGGAGAGGGCTGCGACGTACGTGATCGTGGAGGACCTTGAGGATGGCAAAGTTGAGGTCGTCCCAGTGCTCGGCGGACCAAGCCTGTGATCAAGATAGAAGCAACAACTGTGCGGTCAGTGATGTTCGCCCGCGAACGCGAGACTGTCGAAAGCGGGTATGCTTACACTAGCGGGTTCGCCGCTCTTGGGAGTGGTCGGGGCCGAGACGGCCTTCTTGGGCGGCGTCTTGGGAGCGCTCTTGCTGGGGCTGCTGGCGGCGGCATTGGCGCGGCCCTTCTTGGTCGGAGTACCGGGCTCAGTTTTGACGGGGGTGGCGCTCTCCTTGGAACCCGTCTTGCGGGTCTTGCGAGGAGGCTCCTGCTCGTCATCCTGTTCGTCCGCATCAGCCTGGGCGGTGGAGCGAATGTCCGAGACGGGCAAGGCGACATCGCTACCGTCGATCACCTTGAGCGAAGGCTTGACGTCCACCTCGTCGTCATCCGTGCCGGCGATGGTGGAGCTCGCGTCGTGCGGCTCGGCTTTGATAAACTCGTTGAAGACGTCCGTTGTGTCGATCTCGTCGGAAGGGTTGGAGAGCAGAGGCGTGGTGACGGGCTTGCGCTTGCCAGCGGCCGTGGGAGAGGTGGTAGGAGGAGACGAGATCGTTTCGGATCGCTTGGGAAGGGCTGGTCCGCCTTTGAAGGCTGGCATTGAGGTGCAAGTGCGGTGGAGGAGAAGCGTTCGAGGACACTGTACGGGATGAGCAGGATGTTCGAACTGGCGAGAGGAGGGAAAGAAGCGGCTGTGGTGAGGGAAGGAGGAGGAGAGGAGCCAACTAGAGGACCCGACCTATTTGTACACATCCTCAATCGTCTTGTGAGCCTTCTTTGTCCCTGCGGCGGCCCAGTGAATCGAGCCTCCCGCAGCTTCACCCAGTTCCGCACAAAGGGGAAGCCTGAGTAATGCGGATCAGGGCACAAGACCAGTGTGTGCGGGACGATTGAAGCTGCATGGAAAGGCGTCCTGGTCGTGATCAGGGTTGTGACAGGCTGTCAAGGTCACTTTCCGCTGCTTGAAGTTAAGCTCTGGAGCAAGATTGCTCCCGTGCATGATTTCGCCCATGCAGTCTCGGTGTGATACAAGACGCTGTACAAGGCATTGGACAAGCTCTTTCGACCTCTAACTGAGATTTCCGTTGTTTGTGAACGTCAAATGAAGTGCTGTACGCGGGCACTCATTCAGCGTCACTGAGAGTCGAGCGAGGTATTAGTGTCTACCCAAGGCGATTTTGGGATCATGCAGGCTCATGCACGCGCAATCCTAGCCTTTCTTGCTCGATCTGTTTCGTAGTGTCCTGACGTGGCGTCCTTGCACAAATAGCATGGACAAATACTCTGATTGACGAATACTAAGCAGCAACAAACGACTTCTGAGGTCTAGCCGTGCTGTGAAACATCGAAGGGCGTGATCCAGGCTGCCAGATCCTCATCCACTACCCGGCCGTCGCCGCTCCTCTTGCCCAATCTTCGTTTCACTTTGGCCTTCAATCGTTGCCTCTTGCCCATCAGCACCTTGTCTTGCGCATCGAAAGACCCATCCGCCAACAGACTAAAGTCGCCAAAGTCGACGTCATCGTCGTCATCCTCGTCGTCTTCGTCAGGGCTGGTGCCCGATTGCACACTCGCCCGTTTGTCAGTCGGGTTGGCAAGAGCGTTGCTAGCGGCGAGCCAAGCTTTCTGCTTCTGAACGAAGCCCTGATCGTGACGCTCGATGGCGTGGTGGAGATCGCGCGGCGAGTGGCGTGCGGTCGATCCGGAGCTAGGGCAGGCGGCGCTGAACGTGTGTGAGGCGTGCAGCATCTGTGCGATCTGGACCAGTGGTGCTGGCAAACTTGGTGGTTGGCGAGCGAGCTGGATGAGACGACGGGTGGAGCCTTTGCCTGCATACCATGCGTCCAGCCGCCTTGACTCGCGGCGAACCAGCGCATACTCCTCGGACTTCAACCACGCACTAGCCTCGCCAGGCAGGATCGAGAGGCATAGCGAGACGTGCGCGGGCGATGGATTGCGAGGCAGGACCCCCGTGGTCAGAGAGGCTCGTGCATGCTCCCCAACACCGTGGCCAACGTCCACGCGTGTAGGCGTGATAAACTCCACTTCCGCGCGGAGCACGCAGCGTGAACGCCGATCAGAGGCTGCCGCAACCTGCTCCGGACTCGGCTCGACCCGCGTATTACCATACCAGGCGATCGCGCGCAAGAGGCTCTTCCAGGACGGCGCACGGATGACAAAGAAGCTTCCGTTCGCCAAGTCGTCTTTGCCTGCTACCTTGGTCACGCTCGTGAGCTCGATCGATGGGGGAAAGAGTGATCTCGATGTCGCCGCCGAGGCCGGTCCCGTCGACGGCGTTGACGGTGACGAGGACGACGCACCGCTGGGCAGACTGCTTTTGTCGAGCTTGGGAGCAAAGGGCAGACTGCTGTAGCCAAAGTCGACACCGGCGAGCGCTCGCTGTCCCTTCTGCTCGACGCCAAGTGAGGACACGCTGGACCGCTTCGGGTCGGGAACAAAGTACGAGCTGTTGCGCTGCGGGACGGAAGGCGAAGTCGATGCAGAGAAGGGCTCTGTAGCGCTTGGTGGCGTTTGCGGGACGTCCGAGTTGGTGGAGGCGCCTCCGAAACTGGGACGAGGCGAGTCGGTGCTGCCCCGCGATCGACTTTGCGTTGAGCTGGATGATGATGAGGATCTGTTCTGCAGCACGGGCCGATTGAGGGCTTGGAGCGTGACGGTGTCGTAGCGAGAGGATAAGGCCTTCTCTGCTGGAAGGGATGAGGCATCGCGCTGTTCGGGTCGACTCGATGGTCCAGCCTCAACATAGGCTGGTGGGGCGTCCTCTCCGGCATCGTAGAGGATCGCAGGATGCGACACTGCAGGAAGAGGATCTTGTTTGCGGTTGACGGCGGCTAAGCTGGTTCCGGCGTCTTCTGTGTGCTCGGGCATCTCGGGCGTGCGTGGGAGTGGCCTTCGAGCGAGTGGTGTTGACGAACCTGGTCGGTGCTGCGAGCTAGATCCGGCAAGCGAGGCACGCTGCATCTCAAGGGCAAGCTGATAGGCCTCGTCGTGGCCGGCGAAACGCCAGTACTCTGCCTCGAGGTCGGCCTGAGAAGCGTCCGCCGCTTTGGAAGTTGACGCACGTGGAGCAGTCAATTGCGACGTCGATGCCGACGCACCGTGATCGACCAAGGAGAGAGGCGTCGTCGATCTACCGGTACCATTCATTTGGTCAAGAAACTCGAGCAGCGAGCGCTCGGCACTCTCTCGACGAGCCCACTCCTCCTCCTGTTCTTGCAAGCTGAGCTGGATCGCCTTCTTCTCTGCATCTTGCAGGGCCTCCTTCTCTCGACGCCGTTGACCCTCTTGGGCAGCCGAGGCGAGCTTGGCAGCTTCGAGCATCTCAGCTTCGCGCTGGATCGCCTGCTCGCGTTCGCGTAGAGCGTGCTGGCGCGATTCTTCTAGCAAGACTTCTTCGTGGTGTGCTCTACGCTGTGCTTCTTCCTCTGCCTCGCGACGACTGTCCTCCATTGCCCTCTGGAGAACTCGCTCTTCTTCGTCGGCGAGGCGACGCTGACGTTCGTTCTCCTCGGCGTTGGCGGCGTAGATGCGTTGGAGCTCCTCTTGCTCGCGCTTCTCTTGTTGGCGCTTCTGGTCTTCTTGCTGAGCCGACTCCACCGAGGCCTTGATTGCGTCATCCATCTCGGCTTGACAGCCGGGACAGTCGTCCATTCTGTGTCCTGGTGCACCATGCGTCGGACCTGGCGTGTTCCGGCGACTGTCTGCCGCATATCTAGCAGAAGAGCTGGAAGCGGTCCGCTGAGCCATACTCGGCGGCTGCGATGAGTTCAGCTGTGATGGAGCAGGACCGTTCGAAGAGAAAGGTCGCGGCGACAATGGAGGTCGAGGGGCATGATCTGGAGTATACGCTGCCGAAGCTTGGTGTGCGGAGAATAGCGGGTCACCTGGGCCAAAGCTCGAACGAGACGCCTCCGTTCGATGTGGATTTGGAAGCGGAGCAGATGCAGTCATTGCTGGCTCTTGCTCTCTCTGATCGTATGGATTCACCAGACGGCCAGCCAATGGGCCCTGCATCGCGGGCTGTTGCTGTTGTGGACGCAGGCTGGATGGCACGTTGATTTGAGACCCTTGCGAATGTGCTTGCGGGCGTGGTGACGGAGGTGGTCTCGGAGCAAGCATCGCAGGTGGCAGAGCCGGAGATACAGACTGAGCTGGAGGCTGCATGTAAGCAGGCCGAGGCTGTCTCGGTGCCTCCGAAGCAGGTGATAGTCCTGGTGATGATGGCGGAGGCTGCATAAAGGCCGGACGAGGCGGTGGTAGCGCAGGTGCGTCAGCCGGAAGAGGAACGAAGGTGGTTCCTGCATAGCTGTTCGGCCCGGCCGACGCGTAAGGGCCCCCCGATGACCATCGTTCTTGGCGATACCCACGCTGATGGGGCTGTGTTGTCGGGTGCATGCTGGTAGCGGCGGTTCCGATCAGGTGGGCGCTGTTCTGTGAGAAGACTTGAATTGGGCCGCTCTAGGCTATGCCGCGATGTGCAAATCCGCGATGAGTCAGGATGTCATCACTTGATATCAGTCAGTACAGCGGATATCCCGAAGACGTGAGCGCTTGCGAGTTTGATGGTGATTGTGTTGATATGCCGTCACCACCAAGGCTGTGCTACTTTTTCGTGATGTTATGCAGCACCCTGAAGCGTGACTTTAAATAAATGTGGAGTAAGGCGCGTCCGAAAAATCGGATCTTGGCTCAGATGCACGACGAGCATGGGCAGGAAAAATTGGAGGCGACTGAGACACCAAGATGTCGATGATGGCGACAAAAGGTCCCAAAGACAAGGACACTTACTTGGCCTTGGCAGCGCTTGAGTCACCTTACCGCCCTTAGCAGCAGCGGCCGTGGTTGACGA